AAAAAAAAAAAAAAAAATCAACACCAAACCTCCCTAAACTCCCCCACCCACTCCTCCAAACTCTTCGGTTGTTTCCCCGTAACCTTCTTCACCTCATTCGTAATCCTCGCACCTTCTCCCCTGGCAACTCTCACATCCAAATCCGCCATATAATTTGCAAAATCAGGCTCCAAACCACCTCGTTCGCGCAAGAAATTTTCAAAAGCGTTGCGAGAAAGTCGGACGTGAATTATACGGCGGCCGAGGATTTTTGTGAAGATTGCAGCAACCTAAAAAAAAAAAAAAAATAGTTAGTCGCGTGCTTTTCTTTTTTTCTCTTTTCTGTTTCTTCTTTTTTTTGGGACTCACCTCATCATAATCCAGCGCTTCTCTCCCCGTAATAATATAATCTTTGTTGAGTTTTCGTTTATCGTCGTCGAGGAGAGCGTGAGTTGCGACATTTGCAATGTCGAAGGCGGAGATGAAGGCGACTTTGCCGTCTTGGGCGGCAGAGTAGATGCGGTTTTCGTGTTTGATGGTGTGCAGATGGTAGCCTTCTTTGAAATTTTCCATGAAGAAGTGAGGGCGAACTGTGGGGTTGGTGAGTATAGGTGAGGTATTAGGTAGGTGTTATTGTGATTTTGGAGGAGGGAAGGGATTGGGGAGTTGGTTGATGGGTCAAGTGGTCGATTAATTGATCAATACAGTCAATCAATCAATCAATCAACACAGTCGACTAGTCCAACAGAACCCCTCCCCTGACCAACAACCCCCATCAAACCAAAGAACGAAAAAAGAAAAAACTCACCAACAACCCACTCCGGCCACACCATCCTCCCCCCCTCCTCACAATCACCACCACCCCCTCCTCCAGCAACCTCCTCATGTACACCCCCCATCATCCTCGCCTCCCCCCTCTCAACCTCCCACGCACTCAACACCACAATCCTCTTAACACCACTCTCCCTCGCCAACCTCACAAACGGCACAATTTTCTCACTCGCATCATATACCCGATCGATTCCAACCAGATACATTGCTTTCACATCCCCCAACCCCTCCTCATCATCCTTCTTCTCAACAAGAGAGTCGTCATGTTGTTGTTGTTGTTGTTTTCGTTGTGTGTCAAGAGCGTCATGACAGAACGGATTCGAGAACGTCTCAGGGAAGAAATAATTAAGTTTAACAACTGGACGATGGGTTTGATTGGGAATGGGAATTTCAGGATGGCGGGAGGTGAGGAGGAGAGGTTCGGAGGCGTTGTGGTTGGGATGAGAGGAGAGGATGGGGAGGAGTTGGGAAGAAGTTTTTCCGCGGGAGCCGGTGATGAGGATTGTCATTTTGTTTTTTTTTGTTTTTTCTTTTGTTTTTTTTTTTCTTTTTTTTTTCTTTTTTTTTTGGTTTCTTGTATTTTTTCTTGGGGGAGGGAGTTGGGTTTGGATTGAAGAGGAGGGACGGTTTGATTCTTGTGGTGTGGGAGATACGGGAGAAAGGTAAGTTCAGAGAAGGTAAGTAAGTAAGTAATCGACTGATACAAGTGATCGAATAATCAAGTGAGACGTGATGTGATGAGATGAGATGAGATGAGTTGAGATGAGTCGAGTTGACTTATTAGCAGCAGCAGCAGCAGCAGCAGCGACAGCAGCAGCAGAAAAGATACTCAGTAGTCCTCAAAAAAATGATCAGGAATTCGGAACAAATGTATACCATTCATTTATCCCAACACATCGGACAAAAAAAAATAATACCAACACAAGAATTACAAGGTACCGTTCACCATAATTCAGGAATTCTACAAGGTAGGTTCCGATGTCACGTTTCACATGCCCTGGAGCTTTGGTGGCGGTGACGGACCGCTTCATGACTCGACTCGAGAGTGACAGCTGTCTCGGGTACACAGGCGTCGGTTTTAATTGTTGTTGATAGGTTCGAATCTCTTGTTTCCTATACTGCCGGCAGTTCAAGGAGGGCGGCTCAGCTGAGAAACTGGGAACTAAAAGCCAAGCGGTGAAGTCGTGCAAGTGCTGTCTGTCAGGGGGATTGAACTTTATTCAACTCATTCAGGCACTCCTCGTGACGAGGCATCACTTCCCAGGTCATTGTATCACCTACAACTGTGTGGTCCTGCTACATACACCGAGAGTATGCAGGTGAATACTTGGTTCATCTATCTCCTATTCGGACCTTTTTTCGTTCGTTGCTTATTGCATCTGAGCCTAGTCTGTTCCTGTGACCGGCTCCAGTTCAGGTACCCCATGCTTTTCATCTGGAATCATTTGCAGTTGGAAAACCCCAGCGCCATTTGTAGAAACCCATCACATTCAGTCATCTATAATTGGTCCAAAAGACCTTCGGCTTCGAGCAAGAGCACGATTTGATGTACGGCAGTGCGCACGTTGATCTGCGTCAGGTCCACAACGAGGTCCGCTTCCTTGCCCTCTGGTGCCTCGTATGGGTCGTCGACACCAGTGAAACCCTTGATTTCACCAGCGCGAGCCTTGGCGTAGATGCCGCGACGGTCCGTCTTCTCGGCATATGCGAGCGGTGTGGCCACGTGGATGAGGTAGAAAGAGCCGTGCTTCTCGACGGTCTCGCGGGCCGCCTTGCGGGATCTGGCATATGGTGCGATCGGTGCGGCGATGACAGCGGCGCCAGCACGGGTGAGCTCGGCGGAAACGAAGCCGATACGCTGAATGTTCTTGTCGCGGTCTTCTGGGGAGAATCCGAGCTCAGAGGACAGCTCGGAGCGAATGGTCTCGCCAAGAAGCAAGGAAACGGATCGACCGCCTTGCTGGTTGAGAGTGACGTTCAATGCACGTGCAATGGCATCCTTGCCCGAGTTGGTGTAGCCGGTCAAGAAGACGGTGAAGCCTTGCTTGTTGCGGGGAGGGTGTGATTCGCGCAGCACCTTGACGACTTCGGGGTATGAGAACCACTCTGGGATATCACCTCCCGTGCGCAGACGTCTTCGGAGCTCTGTGCCGGAAATGTCGAGGGTCTTGATCTCCTTGGGTACTTCATCCTTGGGCTTGTACTCATCGGTGTCGGGGAGGTAGGTCATCTGCTGGAATGGCACGACTTCAATACCAAGCTCATCGCGGTACTTTTCCACAGCGTACTGCGCATCGTAGGGGCCATAAATCTCCTCGCCCTTGCTGTTCTTGCCGGGGCCCGCGTGGTCGCGACCGACGATGAAATGGGTTGCACCGTGGTTCTTACGGATGATGGCGTGCCAGATGGCTTCACGTGGTCCTCCCATGCGCATCGCAAGTGGGAGCAGACCCAGAACAGCCATGCCATTCGGGTATCGTGGGAGCAGAGCCTGGTAGACACGAACGCGAGTGAAGTGGTCAATGTCACCCGGCTTGGTCATGCCCACGACGGGGTGGATGAGGACGTTGGCCTGTCGCTGGCGGGCGGCGCGGACAGTGAGCTCACGATGAGCTCTGTGCATGGGATTTCTCGTCTGGAAAGCAACGACCTTGGACCAGCCCAGCTTGTCGAAATGCGCGCGGAGCTCCGCAGGGGTGTAGCGGAGACCGACATAATCGTAGTGTTGCAGGCGGTCAATGGCCTCGATCTTGCCTCCCACGTAGTACTCTCCGGTTTGATTGAATAGGTACTTGACCGCTGGATGGTCGGGGTCACCACCAAAGACCTCTTTGGCCTCCTTCTGCTTGTCGGGCTTGTACACATCCTCGACGGTGATGATGCCGAGGTTGCGGTCATCACGAGAATCGCGCAGGGCAATGCGCGCACCCGGCTTGACGCCCACCTGTTCAATGATGTCCTGGTTCAGATCCAAGTTGATGGGGATGGAGAAGAGATTGCCGTCCGCGAGACGGTTCTTCTCTACCACGCCATTGTAGTCCTTCTCATTCATGAACCCCTCGAGCGGGGAGAAGCCTCCATTGAGGATGAGCTCGAGATCGCAGAGCTGGCGTTCGTAGAGGACAATGGCAGGAAGGGTTTCGGCCTCTTCTGACAATTGTTGGCGGCGCGGGGCATCGCGAGCGATCAGGTCCTTGAGGATGCCGCCTACAGAGAGTGTTTGTGTCAGCACCACACATGTCACAAGAGCGAGAGTCCGACGCAGTCCATACCATGAGGTGGGTTAGCCATCTTGGTGCGATGGGGGAGGAATAAAGAGTGAAGTGCCGTCGGGGAGTGGTGTGTGTAGCAAGTTCTACTTCTGCAGAGGAACTTTTTGTGAACCTCTCCCAAGCGAACCTGTTGGCCGGTGACGTGATTTGAGAGGACCACTCCACCGATACATTAGTGCCGAGTGGAACAATATTAATAATAATGGATGCCGTGCATTAGGTGGTTTTCTGTTCTGGGCGTACCCTCGAAATTCCTCGCGTTGAGCACGCCATTGTCGACCAGCTGACGCAAGCCGTTCTCTGACTTCCTCTTCCTCCTCCACTTCCACCCCGTCGCCTCCCTTTTTCGCCCTCCCTTATCATCATTTATATTGCTATGGACACGCCGTCCCCTCTATCTCATACGGATCTTCTCCGGACGTTGCTGGGAGCATGTTTGAGGGCGGTCGTCCAAGTCGAGCATGTCCGCCGGGAGGGGAAGAAGACGACAACGACGACGACGACGATCATCCCACTCGAGGCGTGTGCAGCATCGCGTGTCGCATGTACAGCAGTAGACACATAAATGTACGTACATACGTACACTATGTAGCACTATGTTTCACCTCATCATCTCTACTCACGTTTGAGATATGTGGACGGTGGGATGGAACATCGCCAATCCAAAACATGTCCTGGTGGCATATACCATCGGCTCGTCGCTTCGACCCGATACTTCTGATAGTATAGTTGTAGCAGGTAACAGGTAGATCTACTTTGACCTTTCTTCCTTGCTCGTCTTCTCCGCTTTCTTTCTTTCTCACTCACTCTCTCACTCTGCTTCTCACTTCTTCTCACTGCTTTTCTACGACGTTGGAAAACGGCTTGTTGCTGGAGATATTGTCATGCCGTCGTTCTGGATGTCTGGAACCCTTGCTCTACCTTATGGACCCCGTGACTATCTCGGGCGAAGATCATGAAGGCTCAGCCTCACTTTTCACTGCCTACCTGACATACTCTCTCTCCTGTATCAGTACGATGGGAGATGAATCCACGATGCGAACCGTGCCGAGCATTGTCTTGCCATTTTGGTTACACATCCGCCCTCATCGTAGGCACGAGATCAGCGTAGTCACCCTGGAACAAAAGGCAAGACGGTGAGGAGGTGAGGAGAGGAGAGGAAGCTAGACAAGCACCTTGGTAGGACACCAAGGTGCACAGAGAAGTATTTCTTTTTTGATTAATTCCAAAAGCGATCTATCCTACTCGCTCTGTCTCTCTCTCCCTCTCTCATTCTCTCTCATCTCCAGTGGTGTATTCTATTCGTCATCATTCACAAAAGCGGCAGGAACACACCGCTTTTCGCAACACCTTTCTGAGGCGGCGACCATCCCATCCCATGAAAGCAAACAGAAACAGCGCCAAATGCTAATGACTAAAGGTTCCCAAAACTCCCCCATCCTCATACAGTTCATCAGCGACAGCGACGACGACGACGAGGCCCGCCGCTAGTCCATCATAGGACCAATCACCCAACCCGTCATCCTCATGCCTGGCGAATGACATCGAGCGGCGAGCACTTCATACCGAGCCCATCCTGAATCGCCTCGGCCACCTCACGCTTCTGCTTCGCCTGCTGTTCTTCCAAGAAGATGGCATACCGACTCCTCTTGTTATGAATCCCACACTCTGTCTTCTTCTGGCCCTTCCACCGACCCGCACGCTCGTCCTCGCCCTCCTTGACCGGCTGCGTCGAATGCCAGTCACCCACCGACCGATACCCTTGCTCGAGCAAGACATTCGTCGGCACATGGTTCGCTTCGATGTACGATTTCACATCGGCAAAAGACCAATTCGCCAGAGGGTTGATTTTGAGCATCCCTGCCTCATCAACCTCGATGATGTCGAGATCTCCACGCTTGCCGCCTTGCGTGCGCCGACGACCGGTGATGACGGCTGCGACGTCGAGCTCGCGGTATGCACGTTGAGCAGGCTCCACTTTGGCGACAAAGTCGTACTTCTCGTCGTCTGTTTCCCATAGGCGTTCGCCGAACTTGGCTTCGAAATCTGCTGTGGTGTTGCAGCCCTCAGGCTTGTACGAGTGGATAGTCATATCGGGGTAGCGGGTTTGGACTCTTTGCACAAGGTCGAGGGTTTCTTGGAAGTGGTACAGGGTGTCGAGGAAGATGCACTCGACGTCCGGTTTGGAGTCGAGCTTGGAGAGCATATCCATAATTGCCAGACCTGTCAAACCAAAGGCGGACGTCTGGTAGAGGTGAGGGAGGGTGATAACGCACCACTCGAGAACCTTTTGAGGCTCGAGTTTGGCGAGTGTGGCGTTGATGTACTTGAGGTGTGGTCGGGTGAAGTAGACCTCTGGCAAAGAGGCAGAGGATGAGCCCGAGGCATACCCAGACTCCTGGTCGGAAGAGCTGGATCGTTCACGGAAACCCATGGTGGCGGTGTTGTTGTCGTGTTGGTAGTGGATGGAGGCGAAGAAGGATGTTTCTCTGTAAGAGGTCTGTAAGAGGTGGCTCCTCAATCACGCCTTCGAGCCTCACTTCTGGAAAGAGTCAAGTGCTGAGGCTGGAGTGTGTAGGAAGAGCAGCGAAGACACACTTGGTGATGATGGTTCCGAAGGCAGAGTGTGATGTCGATGTGATGGAGAGGAAATACAGAAGAGAGGAGCGGAAGAGGGAGAGATGGTGTGTGTGTGTGTGTGTGTGTGTGTGTGAGAGAGAGAGAGAGAGAGAGACGGAGTGAATGGCCTACCGAACCTTTCGACTACCGCGCGACGCCGGCATTACCAACCTGCTTTGCTTGCCATGTCTTGCGTGCTTGACATGCTTCGTAATTGCGATTCAATATCTCGCAATCACGACATCGCCCATAGGACGTCACGTGCCAGCACGCAATTGCTTCACTGCCGCTGGAAAGGGTCTAGGTTCAAGTCCTCGCTTTTAGCGCAAGAAGAAAAAGTCGTGCTGGTCGGTGGAACCAATCACAGAAGACAACCAAGGCACAAAGAACACAACGGCACTTTTTCTGGGAGGAGAAAGAAATGCAGTCTCGGCCTGCTGCCTCTCTCTCTGCATTGCATTGTGCGTGGTGTGATGTGGAGAAGAAGAATTGTGATTGTGCATGATCACTGTGCTGATACTACCTCCTACCTCCTACCTTACCTTGCTGTGCTGGACTGGACTGCATTCTTGGCAAGAGTTGCCCGTCCCGTTTCGCTCTCCCGTCCTCTTCCTCCCCGTCGTCATCGTTATTCTTACTATAGGTACGTGGACATTACTAAGGTACTGCACTGCACTTCACTACATCACAATATAAATTCCTTGTATGAGGTACATGTGTAAGGTAGGTATACATGTACATCCCTCCCGGCTGATCCAATTTGGAAGTAGGAGTTCCTTACCACGTGCTTGCTATATTAGTAGACTATGAGACTAGTGCATAGGTACCGGGCTATCAAAAGAATGAAAGAGTCAGCATCGGCTTGGTAATCATACGCTAGAACTCGAACTAGAACGAACGATACCTTAGGTATACACGGCTTTGACTCCCGGCTGTTTGAAGGTTAGGTAGGTATGTCCCTCCTAGGTGTATTGATTGTAGGCATAGGTTCAGGTTCTTGCTTCGGGGTAGTGTAATACTATATGCAGATAGATACCTAGGGCAAGTAGGTAGGTATATAGATGCCAGGTACGCTATCGATATCGAGGTTTACTCTCTAGGTAAGGTATCTTCTCTTCTCTCTTCTTTTTCGGACTAATTTGCTCTCTCTCTCGCAAGATACATTCCTACCTAATATAAGAGGAGATTGGTAAGAATTCATTTAACCATAGTCACTTGATCTAGTCGCTCGCTACTTGATTGATTAGATTACTGATTACAGATTATAAAAACTCGCCGAGCAGTATCCTAGATAGGTATTTTTTGATATATAGAAATATATTGCATTGTCCTCTCGTAGCGAGGATAGTATATTCTGTAGGAAATAGGAAGGACGTATATAGTCTCGCTACTGACTAGGTAAGGTAAGGTATAGACTAACTAAACAACTAGGTACGCGATACTCTCTTTCACTTCCGTATCTGGTATGTTCATCGCTAAGGTAAGGTAACATAGCCAAGGTAAGGTAAGGTAAGGTAAGGTACTATATTGCGATCGCCAACTTCCAACTAGGGTAGCGCATACTCTTATCATACAGCAAGACTTTTCTAGCGCGTCTACCGCGTCTGGAGATAGTTAGAAAGGGAAGTGCCAACTTGTTGTTTTTGTATTATGCAGGGTGATTTTTTTCCTGTAGAGGCGAGCTGCGAATGAGGGAGGTAGATTCCCGTATCGAGCGAGTCGGGAATTAAGGTAGTAGTAGTAGGTGACAGTTTTGGGGGACCTTAGATCCGCCAGAGAGGTCCAGAGTGGGTATGTGTTCGCTTATTATGTAGGTAGGTGTTCTATCTTGCTCTGGTGACGGCTCATGCTACGCTGTAGGAGATAGAGGAGGAGGACGTCAGGTCATCAGCCGATGGATGGGTCTATACGTGCAGTTACAGTATGCAGTTGGGCAAATTGAAAATGATTTGAACTTGCGAAGGAGCATATCCTGATTGTCGTATGCTTGTCCTCTCGTTGCCCGAGTGTGCCTATTCCTCTTTCGTCGGAAAGGCCTTTTTCGGCATTCTGTGAAGGGTATCATGGGCCGCTTTTGCGAAGCATATACCTAGTCGCCTAGCACGAGCATTAGACTACAGTGGATCTCCTCGTGCACAGCGGAGCGAGAGACTGATAAGTATTGTCCCGAGTGGAGTCCTTCACTGGAGAAGCATACCTCTACTGCACTACCCCGCAAGCTGCAAAGTGTCTTTGGAGAGCAACATATTGGCTCTCATCCGTACGAGAGCTCCTTGGATGGTAGAGCCGAAAATCTGCTACGCTCTTGTCTCCTACGATAAGAAGATCTTCGGGTTCCAGGTAAGTATTTCAAATTTCTGGCTTGATCAGGGTGTATGCGCCGAATGCGACTACATTCTCCTACCGATCGGAGGATCTGTCTTGGCTGTATAGATGGGATTAGCAAGCAGTAGAGGTAGGGAAGTCTGACAGGAAACGAAGTTGTTGTGGGTGTTATTCTACCCTTGACCGTCTCCTGAGATAGAGCATAAGCTGAGTCATGTGATTTGTTATCACATGATCTATATCACGTGAGTCCGAGCCACCAAAAAAATATCTACGAAGTTACAACAGAACTACACTTTCCAACACCTTCATCGTCGAGCGACATGCGCGGAAAGATTGTCGCGCTCGATACGCAGAGGGCACTCATCCCACGCAGTCCGACAATGGCCGTCCGGCCATCTTGAGGCGATGACAAGAAGTTCACTCACCGAGACCTCCGAGGAGATTAATAAAGGTAATACGGCAGAGTGAGTGAGTGAGTGAGGTAGACACAGTATGATTCGAAACGTAACGTAGTACCATGTCCGCGGTCGTCGACGAGGAAAAACTTCTGCGAACAATAGAGAGACGAATCAGGATGCAGGCAGAGGAAACGATACAGCGACTGGCAAGTCTCGAGGCTGAAATCACACTCGCCCGACGAGTAGAGACAGTCCGGGCTACAGCATTGGACGACGATCACTGAAACAAATAACACGCTCCTTATCACAACTGTCTGTCGTACTACGAATGGACAAGCAACCTGAAGCACTGGTCGCCAGGGAAGGCTTGTTACGCGGCCAAGCTACGTGTTTCCTCCCGAGGCAAACATCTGCCAACTCATAGGCGGTCTGCCCTCCTCTAATGGCTGACAAGTATGTATGACTCTTTATTGCCTTGTGGTTCAGCTGTTCACCGCGCTTTGCACGAAGAAGGTCAAGAATCTCGGAAATGTGTCATGAAACCCTCAGCAGTACGTACTACATATATGCTTCAGAGTCCAACCATTCACGCGGCCGGTGTATTCCAAGTGGGACCATTGATAGGCATTGAGCTGGCACCTCCGGAGGTGCCATGATCGTTGAATTAGACTTCTTCGACTGACGTACGAGCTGTTCAAACTACTCGACTTACCGGAACAGCAGCGCGCCTTCGCCAAAGTGTCGGAATGAGGCAAGCAAAAGCAAATATCAAGACGGGATCAGAGCGCGCGATGCGATAGAAGACGTTTTGCAGGAAACTGCACGTACAACGAACGCTTTATGTGACTATGCGATTGATTCCCTTTCTTCACGAAATGCCTCGGAAAAGCGGCTCCAAGGCACGCACCGCCATACTGTTGTCCAAAATTCCATTACGACCCGACTGGCTGGAATTGTTCACGATAAGGGTTACTTGATTCTACGATTTATTCACTCGGGGTGTCCTGGACTAGCTATTGATAAGGAGTCCTCAACGCAGAGCCTCCAGTCTACGGTTGTCATCAAGGCTACAACGTCACTAAGGTAGGTACTGCTTCTTCGCAGCTGACGCGGCAACTATGTATGCGCCGCCGAATGTTGAAGATTCGCTCAGAATACTCAGCGGTCGAAAAGAAAGCGGATCAGCAAAAGAAAAACAAAAAAAGTCCGAGAATTTCTTCTCATGGCGAGTGGTCTTCGCTGTTCTACATTCTTCCTTCTCTCTCATTGGAATAAATAGCTGCTAGCATTCGCTCCAACGTACGCCTCGCTGCTCGGCAACAAAACTCGTCACAATGGACGCCTTTACCCCACAACAGACCATTGAATTGGTCTCGCGCATAGGAACGAAAAAGGCTCATATGAGAATGGACAAGCTGTTTGTCAACAGTCTGATGTCGGGACCACTGCTTGGGTTTGGGTGTGCAGTTCTGGTCAGCACGAATGCATCACCATGGTATGTCGTCCACCATTGAAACATCTGGGGCACATAGAACGCTAACAACTAGCCCAGGTACCAAGAGAACGCCCCAGGTCTTATACGCACAATCGGTGCTCTCTTCTTTCCTATAGGTATGTTAACACATCATCGTGCCTCAGCTCCACCCCGAGCATCTCCCGGCTGCAGTGAAAAGCACCCCCCAAAAGCAGACTGACATTTTCTCTCTCTCTTCCATAGGGCTGGTAATGATTGTTCTCAGTGGCGCAGATCTCTTCACCAGCAACGTCATGTTCATGTGGACCGCATTCCTCCATCGCCGCATCTCACTCTGGGACGTGCTCAAAAGCTGGATAATTTCCTATCTCGGAAACCTCGGCGGCATGCTCTTCTTCACGCTGATCATCATCGGCTACGGCGGCGTCTTTGAAGAATCCTCCACATATCAACAAGCAGCAGTGCGACTCGCCACGCAAAAAGCCTACGATCCCCAATGGCATCAAATTTTCCTTCGAGCCATCGGAGCAAACTGGCTCGTCTGTTTTGCCGTCTTCAGCTCCATTAGCAGTCGCGAAGTGGTATCGAAAATTCTCGCCATCTGGTGGCCCACGGCGACATTTGTCGCTCTCGCACTCGATCATGTCGTGGCGAATATGTTCTTCATCCCGCTCGGCATCTTCGAAGGCGCCCATTTTGGCGTCGGATATTATATTTGGAAAAGTATGATCCCCACTGCGCTGGGAAATATGGTCGGAGGTGGGATTTTTGTGGGAACTGCGTATTGGTATTTATACCTTACGGGTGAAGACGGAGTGGCTGTCAGTTTCAATATTGGCACGTTGGACTCTGCTATGGAAGCCGGTGGGCCTATGGGTGGTGGTAGTAGTCGTCGTCGTCATCGGCCTTCGAAACCAGACGAGGGAATTCTGCGTGAGACAACGACGACGAGGACGAATGAAGGAGAAACTCTCGTCGGACTGGATCCGAATCACTTGCCGAACTCGGGCGGACACTTGATGAGTGGAATTGGACAAGAGTTACATGACGCAAGCCCTTATGCAAAATCGTATGCCGAGAGAGCGAAGATGAAGGAGGAGGAGTCGGATGAGAGGGTCTAAAAGGTAGCAATTGGAAGAAGAAAGGGCATTCGTTCGGGTCATGATAGCCATTGGTGATGATACGTATCCCTCCCTCCCCATCTCCACCCTTGGCACGGAAGAGAGATCTGCCGTCGTTCTGGATGAAGTATTCCGGCAGTTTCGAAAAAAAAAAAAATCAAAGAAGACAGGAATCGCCCTGCCATTTCTTTTTGTTTAATGTCGAGGTAAACAAAAATAAAAAGTTCAAGTAAACTAACAGTCTACTGAAGACTGTGAGTGAAGTGAAGAGACGCTCGCATTGCATACACACATTTACTCTATAATCCGCGTGCTCATCGGCACTCCCCTTTAGTTACCTTTAGAGGTACCCTATACAAGATCTGTGCTAGGGCCAGCGCGCAAGCCGATACGAGTTTCCGCCAAGATTTTCCACCACGACCCCTTGCACAACACCATCTCACCTCTCTCTCTCTACTGGAAAATCAACTACCGTATCTCTTTCTCTTTCTCTGTTTTTTTGTTTGTTTCAGAGACACACGGCAACGCAACAATATACCAACTAGGCTGTGCAAACATTACTAGCCGACCGAGACAGGAGAGGACTATTGTTTCTACTTTCTCTTCTAACTATGAGGTATAGCTTTCTTTGTGTTCTGTTCTGGCGAAACTAAGGTAGACTAGAACCAGATCTCCCAGATCACAGGTAGGTGGCACCACGGGCTACATCCGAGTGGGCGTATAGCGTCCAGCGTCTATTAAAAAAAGGCCAATCATCTTTCGCAGTCTAGTCTTATATATCCGGATCAGTTGAATATATGGATAACCCCTTTCTTCCCTTCCCTCCTCTACAACTCCTGATCTTCCCGCTAGGAAGTAGTAGGTAAGAAGTAGAAACTAATACCCACGTGCTCTCCTAGCCGGGTTGTTTTTTCTTTTTGCTTCCGAAGAACGAACGCCACAGGGCCGGAAAACGTGTTCAGATATCTCTGAGCTAAAAAAGACAAGCATTTGGAGCTTTCGCGTTTACCCTCCTCTACCTCCTCTCTTTTGATCGACATGCCGATTTGCTAGAGAGGGTTTAGATTTGAAAAAGCTGGGACGCTAACTTTTCTCTACCTTTCTACTTCCCTATAGGAAACACAAAACCAATCATGACCTTACGCATGGCACCATATCGGATCTTTTGAGGATTTTGTTCTGTTTTGTTTGCCGTGTACATACATACCAACAACCTTCCTGTGAGGCCGATATCGCACGCTTGTTGAACGTTCTCGCTGGGTTTTAGAAGAATATATGCACCTTTCAATTCCCTCTTCTCTGTCGAACGGGAACGAGGCCGTATAGAAGACAACCAACCAACCAACCAACCCAAACAAGCTTTCGATTTGATCCAAATCCCCCCCCCCCCCTCCTACCACAATGCGCGCTCCTACCATCCTGTGCTGGTATACTTCAACATTCCTCTCCTTTCACCTCACATCAGCCGCGCCCGGAGGAAAAGGAAGAGGAAGAGGAGGAGAAGGAGTTGCAGTCGCCATCGATTTCGGTGCTGTAACAGAAAAATTTCCTCTCCCCGACGCGTCGCAGCAGCAGCAACAACAACAAGTAGTAGTAGCAGCAACAACACTCCAAAGAGAACAGAAGATTTCGAAATCTCAACGACCGGAACCTGTGAGATTGTGGATTGATGATTTTGGAAATATTGAAGCTGTTCCTATTGTTTCGAAGGATGGGTTGGATGATGATGACTCCTCTTCCTCCTCCTTATCATCATCTTCTTCTTCCACAGACGATATCAAACCACCACCCTCCCAACCCCCCAACCCCCAGAAGAAAAATCATCATCTCGCACCTCCTGCTCCTGCTCCTGCTCCGCGACAGCAGCGCCAGCTACAAGACAGAACCACCTCAGGAGCGATAATAAACTGGAAATGGCCATCTACTTTTACAGGAGTTACCGGAATATTATATTTTGTATTCGGAGGTATACTTTTATTAGGAGGGCTAATTACGCTTGCACTGAGTCTTTCGACTAGGAGGAGAAATATTCGGATTTTGGGAATGGGGCATCGGAGAGGAAGATCGAGGTTTTCGCTTTGAAATGGGATTGGGGAAGTTTTTTTTCTTTTTCTTTTGGGGGGGATGGGGGAAGGGGAGGGGAGGAAAGGGTGATGTTTGCATTATGGGCAGTACGAGCACACGGCGAGTGTCTCCCTTTCTCCAGGAGGACAGCAATCCTACTTATGCCGTCTATATGGGCAAGATTTCTTTCTTCCTACGATCGGAGTAACGCCAAAAAAAATCATCAAAAGACTTCTGGGACTAGCCGCCAAAGAGCCTTTGCAACGAAGTGACTAGACATCTCTCCTTAGAAGGCTCCCCGATATCAGCAAGACAAAAAACAAGTAATCTGACAACCGGTTTTAACTGCATTGCAGTCAGAGACAAACGAACGAACGAACGATACCCCTTTTTCCCGCCTGGATATCTTCGAGACGGATACTTCCTCCTCCTCCACAAGCAAGCCCACACACGCAGAGGAGTAGCCTCTTATGATATACTCATCTCAGGATCATCGTTCACTTCCAGCTTCCGTTCCTTTCCTTTTCGACTAGAGAGCCATTGCTAGCCATTACTGGGTCACCCCCTTAGGGAATTTATGCCTAAGCTTCGAAAAGATAAGATAGGATAGGTCCTTCTGCTCTCCTTCTTCGAGAATATAGTACGCTTTTGACGCCGAGACGCTTTCGAGCCTAGCAAATCAGCGAGCAGAGAATCTACGACTCTGCTGAGGAAAAACAAATTATACTGCTGGGCGTGAACGATAGTAGGAAGTCAATACGATAACAAGAATAATTACTACGATGAATATATATATATACGTATACCTTAGTATAGAGACTACTACTGCTACTACCTGACTCGGGGAGGTAGATAGTGTTCATGTAGTACACAGCATGTAGTCAACCTAACAAACGACGAGGTTGCAAACGACGATTAATAATACACGTACAAAGACATATACATACTTGAATTCTGACTAAACCTATTCGTCTAGCCATCTATCTGTCTATCCCAATCCTAAGATTTTGTCTAATTCAATCTTTTTCTTGCTTAGTCTTCACTCAATTTATCACTTTCTTATTCCTTTCGCAAACGAAAGAGAGAAGAAGAAGGGAAAGAGAAAACAAACAATGCATATGCTGCTGGCAGATGTGATTTGCCTTGCTCTGGGGTATATTTTCTTCCTCTTTCTTTTTCTTCTTCCTCACTCATTGGAGATACATACTCCCTTTCCCCCTCCCCAATTCGACTCAATCCATGCAAGACAGACAGCATCTCCAATCATCCACCAACCAACCACACCTTACGACCATACGACCTTACCCAGCCAGCCAGCCAAAAACCTTCCTATCCCCTCCAATTCCATCACACACCCAATCCCCCTTTTAATCTCTCCCCCTCCTCCTCATCATCCCTCCTCCTCCTCATCATCCCCTCTCCTCCTCCCCACCACCACCACCAACTCATCCTCCTCCTCCTCCGCCTCTTTCTCTACAAACACCCGCCTCAACAACCCCTCCAAACGTTCATTATCCTCTTGTAACTTCGCCATTCTCGTAGCGAAAAAATGTAATTTCGCTTCGAGATCGCGGACGTGGCGTTCTTTGCGTTCGCGGAAGGCTCGTTGACTTTAGAAAAACAAATCAGCATAAATAAATATCAATTAATTGGTTGGGGGAATGATGATGATGAAAGAACAATACATACGCAGCACGATTCTGTGCTTTCCTTCGAGATTGTGCAGGAGTCAAATTTTCTTTTTCTTCACTACTATTCCTCCTAGTTTGAATTTCGAATTCGGTGTCGATTGTTGAGATGAAGGTGTTGCTGTCTATGGCAATAACATTATTTCCACTACCACCACCACCACCACCACCACTACAGCTACCGCTACTACCATCTGATACAGAGGAGGAGGAGTGGTGATGATGGTGGTGGTGGTGTGATGAAGGAGGAGAAAGCGAGCAGGTGGTGTGTTGCTGTAGCTGTAGTTGCTGGGGAGAGGATATTGCTGTTGTTGTTGTTGCTGCTGTTGTTGCTACGGGATGGAGGAGAAGAGCTGCAGTGTCGAAAGTCTGAAACGCGTACGAGCCAGTTAGAGGGAATTCGCTGCCGAGGACGTCGAGGATCTGTCAGGAGGAGAGTTAGGAGATCAAGTAGGTGAGAGCCTCTTGCAGAAGGGGGGGCTGATTACATATTATGCTACTTACAGGTGTAACTCCCAAATCGCTGCTACTACTCTCTGCGTCAAATGCCATGTAGTCGTATTGTTGAGATGCAGGAGAAAAGTAGTTGTACTCCATAGTCTCCATCGTTCGGTCGGTGCACAGTCTGAGACTTGTGTGTGTGTGTGAAATGCGAAAGATTGCTTCTTGTTAGATGGACTAGATGGCTGAGTCTATATTTTGCACTTTTGAGAACTTGGTGTAAGCAGAAGTGGAGTCATCAGTAACAGGGTGCGAGAAGGAGGAGGAGGAGGAGGAGGAGCAAGCCATATAGACACAAAATGAGCTCTGCAGTAGCAGCAGCAGCAGCAGCTCAGGTTGTTCCCAGGAGCTAGCTACATGTATAAGGGGGCAGCAGCAACATGCTCACTCAGTCTTGAAGGTAAGATTCTCGTAGGTACCAACCCAGCACAGCACAGCACAGCGTAGCACCCATCCAGCACATGCGAGTCTAGGTAGTAGGTATACATCCATCCATCCATCCCACCAGAAGAAGGCTGGCTGACAGGCTTGGCGACGACAACGACAACGACGACGACGATGCACGGGACACGGTCGGCAAAGAGAAAGGCCAGAAGGCTCATTGGTGACCAACCATTTCCAGGCCACTCTGCGGATTTCAACATGGGCAATAAGTGGTGTCCCAACAACCATGTCAGTAAGATACTTTGATATGCGACTGAAAGCACCCAACAACAGTCGATGGATTTTCCGGCTTTCGCCTCTCGGAGATGACCCGATGTCAGTCTTTTCTTTTGGTTGGATGCGTGGGCGCCGGCTTGCATATGATTTTGATGGTTCTTTTTGTCTTTTTTTTTGTCTTTTTTTTGTCTTTCTTTTTCTTTTGGTGGCCGTTCGGGATGTACCTTCGCAGGTAGGGCACGCAGACAGACAGGCAGGAACTGGAGAGTAACTTTTTCGCGGTATGGACTTACAGTGATCTTGTGTGGAATAATTCATCGACATCCAAAAAGAGAGAGAGAGAGAGAGACCGGCCAGCCGCAGAAATAGAGGCCGAGAAGCGAGTCCCGCCCGCTTCAGCTCGCTCTCCGATACACCGCTGCCGTGGAACCCAGGGGAAGCAGCTGAATGGTAGACGGCTCTCCATGGGAGAGAGCACGGATGTATCGTATATACGGTAGGGCTGTGACTGGGGTGTGCCTCACTCCAGCAGTGCGACCTCGCGATGAAGACCGTGGCCCGGAGTGGAGGAGATAAGCGTGTACCAACTACATGTACATATCAAAAGCAGCGTCAGTGATGCGCCAAGTATAGGGCAGATCATGAAGGAGGATAGGTACTTACTGTAGTGAGGGTGAGGGAGTCTCGTCCCGGGTTGCCCGTCAAGGGAATCAGATAGACAATGAAACGTCGTGTGGTATAATCATAGGCAGACGGCAAGTCCAATCACAATCCATTGCACTCCACCATGGCAGAGTGTGGGTGCACCAGGTAGCTTCGGATTGCCATAAGGCTCGTAGGGCTGTTCAGTAATCATTCAGAGGTCATCGAAGCCGACTGGCGAGATCGCAGTATAGGCAGCAGAACAGGGAGTAATAAGACTTTGCCAAGAAGATGCAAGCGTTGTGACTTGACATGTACCTTACCTCTCTCTCTCATTCACGTCCTGTCAGCTGTAGTGAGTGTGAATGTATTTTTGGTCCACCGGTCAAGGAGTCAGAGTAGTGGCGGGTGACTGCAGGACGTTTTCGGAGTGGTTGTCAGCAAGTGGATGAACAAGGCGAGAAATACCTAAGGTAATCATTGGAATGTGCCGACGTCCCTCCACATTCAAAGGATTGGGCTCTTTTGGATGTCGATCCAGGTCGTGCTTCTTCCCATGCATGCGACATGTAGGAGGTACCGGTTGCTTCGATATGTTGTCCATCCACGTGGCGTGTCTGGGGAAGGGAAAAAAAGTAACCTGAAATGTATTGCATAGGTACGCACCAATACTTCATTCACTTCTTGGCATATGCAGTATGGGGAGGGAGTTTCATAGGGCAGACGCACGCGCCCACCTTGGGAGGGAAAATCTGTAGCTCCTTCGCGGCCAATGAGCGTTAGAAATGATCACTGTCTACTTCTGATCTCGACTGCTTCTCGCAACCCAGACAAGCCCACCCATACGGCCTCTTCGGTTCGGATGGTTCTGGAGCCTTGGTTCGGTACCAGGTTGACCCACGAATCAAATACTTCTTCGGCCTGGCTGACGCCTGCAGACTGCAGTTCGGAGTCTGCCTTCAGTGCTGCCTCGAGGCCAGCAACTCCGCCAAAGACCACGATCAGGTGCTTCCAGGTCGGCTCCACATAGGTAGGCGAAGACTGGTCGATGATGGATTTGAGTGGCTTTCCTCTTTCGCTGGTGCCTACACTGACATCGTATCCTCCATCGAATGGACACTCGGTGAAGATTGCGCTCAGCGAAGAAGCCTGTCGCACGCTGTAGCCCCAGTAGTAACCTGCTTCTTCTCGAGGTGTCTCTGGTGAGACTGGAAGACCGGATATCGTGTAGCCATCAGAGGAAGTATGACCCAACTTCACAGTCACCCGAGTGTTGGGGTCAATTGCGCCAGGAATGGCAACCTGCTGAGAAAGACCACAATCCACAAACGTCTGAGGCATCTTTCCTTTGCCCGAGGAAGAGTGAGTCGTAATACCCTCACGATACTCACACCACTCTTCAGCCCGGAGATGATGAGGCATATCCAAACTCGGCAACGCCCCTGCAGTGCGAAGATCCGGATGCATAGGAAACAGCGCTTTGCGCAAATTCGGAGGCGTTTCCAGGTAGGTCAAGACGTGAAAGAGGAAGAAGTTGGGATCTGCAAAGGCAGTGTAGCCTCCATGTTCGGGGGCACGAGTCTCGGCCTGACCATCGTCAAACACGACAACTTCATCGACGCAGAATACTGCACATGCTCGAGCTATCTGGCCGGCTAAGCTGGTTTTCTGATCGTGTGTGAGAGCGCTGACAAAGGGGGGAAGACATTAGCACAACGAACTACTACTGCCTAGTAGGTCCCCCCATTTTTCATATAAAAGACGTACTTGGCAATGATACTTCCAGGAAGTGCCAGACTCAACGTGAAACTTCTTCCGCCTGTTGGTTTGAAGATTGCAGAGGGTTTGGACGTATCTGGGCCTAAGCTGTAGTCATCGTCGACTTTTCGTTTCTTGTCGGGCACGTCAGTAGGACATCCATCATTAACGGATGCTAGTTCGTGCGTACTTTTGACTTGTGACTGGGCATATTTTGGGTGAAAAGTGGTGCAATGTTGTTTGTTGTTGCAAAGAAAAGTGCTGCGAGGCGCAGAAATTGGTTTCGAAGGGCCGGAGGAGAGCCCGATAATCCGCCATCAATATTTGATTAGGATTTGACTGACATCAACTGCCACCACATACCTACCGAAGGCACCTGTACCTTTACTATAACACATCGATGTCGGAAGCTATCCCTACCTAGATATGAACAAGCCATTAGGGCCGCGGAAAGGAGAACTGACGCCTGTTATACAAGTAAATCGACTAGTAACTTGCCAAATGGCCTGGTCCCAACTCCATCGTCGCTGTTACCTTGGCACTGCAAGCCGAACACGAGTACTTAAATCGCCAGAATGTCAGCAACACAAATCCAACAAGAACCACACTTTGGCGGCGTAGAGAACCTCCTCCTCGTCAAGATGCTCGTAAAGCAATATCCCATCAATCCCCTTACCTTAGTTGTAGCAATAAATACCCAGATCCCTATCCCTATCCCCCATCTCCATCTCCATCCCCTCCCAAAACCCTATACAAATCATTCATCGCATAAGAACACCATACAAAAAAGACAGTCGACAAGTACTACCAACAAAAGAATTCCCCCAACCGACGACCATCCCATTGAAGAAAAAAAATTCAAGCGCCGACTTCTCCCTTCCAACCCCGACCCCAAACCCCCCGGGTACGGGAAAGGAAAAAGGGAATTGCGTGATGACAGCTCCAGATGGTGCATACATTTTAAACTTTCCCATGTACCCTTAGTATACCCAACCACCATCCATTCATTCCATCCAATGCATCATCCATCGTCCTTCGCTTCGTCGGCATACCATTACTCTCAATGAGGGGAGATCGGTCTATCGGTTCCATCGTCAATGGGCAATGAGAAATATATATGGCGACATCTTCAGGGTGAATTGAGTTATGCATATACCTCCTAGTAAGATATATGTATGTATATATATAGAGAGAAAGGTAAGGTGAGGTAGGTTGGGATTCACTCTGGCCTTGACTGCACTTGTTCTGGCGTTTTTCTCTCTATCTCTCTCAATCAAGTGCAGAGACAGATAAAATTTTGTTTTCCACCCAGGAGAAGAAAAAGAGAATGGCACACGACAATAGAATTGAGCAGCTCGAAGACCTCAGGAACATCGAGACGAATGCCGACTTTTACGAGCGTTTGGCGGCAGGCAAGATTGCAACGACTGCGGACAATGCATCCTCGCTGTCGACGAATGGTGGAAAAGGCTATACTCAACCTTACTACATTCCGGTGCCAATCACCATCAAGTCGCAGATTGGCAGTCCGACTGCCTTGGCCATTGGAGCTTTCTCGACAACATTGACTACGCTCTCGTTTGCGCTGATGGGCTTTCGGGGTGTGGGGACGACCAATGCTTTTATTGGAAACTTCTTTGCTGTTGCGGGGATTGGCATGGTGCGTAGCAAGGCATCACAATGTGAGTGAGAGTCGCCGTATGCTGACTTTCTTTCCAAAAGGTGATGTCGGCGAATTGGGAGCTCGTCCTGGGTAACACTTATGCGTACACCGTGCTCGGAGCTTTTGGTCTCTTCTACCTCGGCTTTGGGTTCATCATTACGCCATACTTTGGGGTGGCCGAGTCGTATGGTGGAGCTGATACCCCCGAGTACAACAATGCGCTGGGTTTCTGGGTCTTGATGTGAGTTCTCGCCCAACGGCAACCATCGCGTTGAAGAATACAATACTGACCTCCCCATAGGTGGGCAGTGTGGAACGTCTTTTTCCTGATTGGCTCTCTACCCCTAAACCTGGTGTACATTGGAATCTTTGCGACCGTGCAAGGCGCCTTCACGCTTGTCGCAGCAGGTTACTTCCTTGCCGCTGATGGTAGCCCTCATGCGACAGCAGTGAACAAGGCTGGTGGCGCCTTCGCCTTCGCCTCGGGAATGTTGGGGTACTACACCGTCGCGAACCTAATGTGTCAGGAAGCATTGGGATTCTCGTTCCCGATGGGGGACACAAGCAGATTCTTCAGACGAAAGCAGAAGCAGCGCTAGGTCGAGTCTTCGTGGTGCTGATGCGCGCGCACCCACGTCTCGCTCGGATTGGAATGATGTCGATAGGCACTGATATTCTACGCCTTGAATGAGAACTAGACGAATAGATCTCAACATATCACCATATCAGTTCAAAGCTCATGAAGCTCGCATTGTCTGCCACGATTCAGTGGAGTTGACCGTCCACGTTGTAGCCCATCCTGAATACGTCCGATGCGAATCGATCGCGTGCAGCTGTCGTAAGGCTCACAGTACTGTCTCGTCGTCGCTATTTGGCCTGAGAGTTCCCATTCTGTCAAGGTTGCGGATGTACGGTTCTCCTCAGCGTGTGGATGTGGCCGCCCTCTTCCCTTATCGGGCTCTTCATGGTGGTGCTTCACTAGGTAGGTAGGTATATGTATTGGCATCAAGTATCTTCCGCCCCGCGGCAAGAACCGCCGGTGCTGCTACCGTCGCGGGTGTGGTGAGCGGTCGTGACTGATGTATTGTAGAAGAGCTAGAAGGCGTGGCCATGCGGGTGCAAGGCAAGCAAGGCCACTGCCAAGCCTGACCTTGACGCATGAAACTGAGTGTGAACTCTCCCTCCGCCCGCACCCCGTCCAACCATCCAACCTTCTCCAACATTCACCATCGATATCAGCTTGCAGACGGCGAGCACGGAGTGGTGGCACTGTGGGTGGAGGTGACCGTGGCAGCTACGATATACCGCCAGAGCGGATGTGGTCAACGTCTCGACAGGAGGCGAGGACAATTGAGCTCACCACCACCACCGCGTGCCTCGACGGCATCAACACCATAGGTCTCCCACCCGCTGTACTGCGACAATCGTGTCACCCCAGCCGTCGACAAAGCCCTCTCAACCGTGAGCATGGACAACGACTCGAGATGGACGGGTCCCGACTCCGTGAAAGCGCAGCAGTGCTCGCGATCGCCGACCCTCGTTCAGCGATACTCGGGTAACAACACAGCCGTGAGATGAACCATGAATCCTCACATGGCGCCAACAGAGTGAGAAGGCGCACTTAGGCGGTGGCTGGCCATGAGTTCACGCCCGATCCGGACCGCAGCTCATTTAGACCACTTCGCGCTCCGCTGTGGAGGCGATGAACTTGACCAGCAACTCATCCAATACTCGGAGCGCTGTGAACCCACCAACCAGGGACGGATGGATCGCGCAAACCTCCCGCGCAATTGACGGCATGCGCTGGAACGTATGCGCCGGAATGGTGTGCGCTCAGAGTGGTTTCCAGCATATACATCTTGGTCTATGCCAGCGAGATGCCTGCATCATTGTGGTTCAGCTGGGGCTGCTGGGCTGCTTTGCTAAGTTCTGATCGCCGGAACTTTTCATCGGTAGACCCGTTGCGCAGATGCGCTTGGGCATTGGTCAATGGCCCTGCTGCGGCTGCACAATAGTTCGATTGACACAGAGCAAGAAGTATGATACCGTCCCTCATATCGATCTCCTAATGGAGCCCCCGAGGTCAGTATGGATGGCTGCGGTTGTCACTGCATCCGTTCGCCAAGGCTGAGCCCCTGGACTCAAGATGAGCAGGTGTTGGCACGAAGATTCATGCAGTCCTTCACGACTCACCGAATCACATACATAACGACGAAGTGACGAGATCACTCCAAATTTTGACCTCTGCTCGGGCTGAGGTCAAGCACAGCGAGTGACACTGCAAGAGCTTGGATACGAAAGCACATCTTACGCAGCAAATCACGAAGGAGCATGGAGCTCTGCGAATGTCGGTGACGTTCCCAAAGTCGAAAACATTCAAGGCCCAGAACTATTTCGAGAGCACCTGGGAAATGTCATGCATCGATCCAGTGCTTTGGGCATGGGGAGGTGTTGAGCGTCAGTACCTTCACCCCGCGACATCGAGCCTTCAGTGGCTGTGCTTCTGTTGAGACACGTAGCAGCTCGACGAAATGCTGTGATATGGGCACATCCGGACTCCTCAACGCGCGGAGAGCGTCTGGAGATTTTCAATGGTTTTGATCTGCTTCGACATACACTTGGGTGTGGTAGGTTCGGCGATCACCAAGTTGGACACTGCTCGCAGGACAGAGCATTACCACATTCCAGGAATAAAAGCTTTCAGCACAGAGTCAACCAACCCATTCATCGGGCTGCACCACAGAGAGCATCTTCAAGCAGTGATCAGGCTGTTCTAGCTTGACTAGAGACTTGAAATGTGGATTCATGCTCTTCACGGACACGGTTATGGCTCGAAGAGCCGAATGAGACAAGAAGAAGATACGAAAGAGACTCAGCACTGGACCTACCTGTGTCAACTTTTCAGCGCTTGCGAACTCGGTATGAGCTAGCTGAAGTGGAGCCGACTTTGTATTCCTGGACTATTCCTGACTGCGCATGTCGCATGTCAGTGTCTGCCTGGATTGCCCATGCACTTCCTGCTTGCCTACCTTGGACCCGTTTACAGGCGCATCTACTTCGGATACCTCCTGTTAAGCTGGTTGGGACTTCGATAAGGGGGCCTGCCATTGTGTACACAATAGCTGCAGCGTCGGCTGAACTCTCCTGACGACCGGGAGCCACCAGGCCGGTCGAGGTGGGTTACAAGCGCCACGACCGCTTGGAGGATAGATCTGATATCCACGAGGCTTGCTTGGTCCCCACGTCAACGATCATCTGGCACCGAATGCAGACGTTATAGCTTCAACACTGGCGTCGTTCGATCGTGCTGGTCTGCCCGGGAGTTTATGGGACACCATTGCCGCCAATGAATTTGTCCACAGAACTGGAAAAGCCTCGACTGCCTGTCTGTTTTGGCAGCAATACGAAGCCCAGTTTGCCGTCTTCTCTTTGGCGTGGCGAGGTTCTCACTATCTCCACCCAACGCATTGCCGCCTTTTGTGCTCACTGCCGAAATCGCGCGTTGGATGTGAAACAGACACATGGCCGGGCTTTTTCTCTCCTGCCGCACAAGTGGCATGCAGCGCTGTAGTATACTCTCTGCTCTTGCTGACGTGGTCTGCTATACCAGAAGCTTCTTCGCCTGTTCCACCAAGTGCGATCACTGATTCGCGGCTTGTGCCTGGGTTGTCTCCGTCTGTCTAGGACTCTTGGATACGGGCCTGACTCCTGACTGCACTCCTGGCGAAGTATGCTTGAATTTGCCGTTGAATGTGTAGCTGTTCGAGGCGATCTCGGTGCCAGTAGTGTTATCATTCGAGGAACGGCTCTGTCGACAACCTGGGAAAGCTGCCGTCTTCGCGTCACTCTGTTCTGCTGTCACTCCTGGAGTCCTGAACACTCGGCGGTCCATGGTCGATGGGTGCAGTATGGTCATCTCGAGTGTCTGGATCGCGAGCTCTCTGGCATGATCAGTTCATTATGGACTGCAGCTGGAACTGTCCCGAATTCTCTGGCTGCTGCATCATCTGACTTGGATGCCTACCTGCCCCCAGCATCATATCGGGCGCGCGTCTGGGCGTGCAGGCTACTCGTGGTCCTCTGGTTGATCCTCCTGTCGACGATGTTGTTTCCTCTGGTTTCAACTTCAGTATGCAAGCCACACGTTGCCGTCGTTCTTCGAGGGATGCACAAGACAGCCGGTATTTGCACAGTCGAGGAGGCCAGGCGTAGCTGCTCTTGACTACCCTCTCACCAGCACTGCACAGCAGTATGTTCCGTGCCTGTGGTGATTCGTGGAAGCTGCTGCCACACTCAGCTGTGATGCCGCAAAAGAGCTCGTTGGACGTCGTGGCCTGGACGCTCTGCTCAAGATGTTAGTGACTGCAATGCATGATGAGGTATCACCACTGCCTTCGGAGTAGCAGGCTTCATGTCGCTGCTCCGTGCTGTTCGCCGGCGTCTTCCTGGCGAGGAGATTGGTGTCCTGCTGCTAGAGCAGATGTAAGCTGTTCGAGCTTCCACCTCCGTGGATCCCGATATGTTCAACCCGCCGCGGTATCGACAACCTCGGATTTCAGTGCAAAATTAGTGCACGGCGACACAACACTATTGAGATGCAATGGAGTGGCTCAAAAATGGTTCATGGGTCGGACGATGAACCTCCAGGAACAAGCACACTATTGTAGCACTACTGTGTGGGTGGCAGGACCTGGTTTCTCCCTACTCAGCCACCGCAAAAGCTGGAGTCGAACCCGAGATCAAGCAAAAAAAAAGTTCTTATCAACTCATCTGTTACAGAAGAGGATCTTGATGCAGGAGCACCGAAGCTGTCAGACGTTAGCAGTGAATCGACCAATAGACACAGGGGTAATACAATACAAAGTACGCACAACTCCAGCCGATTATATACCTCATTTTGTGAGGCGAGCAACCAGGAAGCCCCTGGCACACGTACAAACGTGTTGTGCATACTCAACTAGCAACGGATTTCTTGCGAGGTGCACATCAACGAGGTCGACGAAAAGAACATGCTGGAGAGTCTGAGATTTGAGGCACACGTTCTGTCACTCAAGGCGGCTTCAGTGATCAAAGAGCGTTTTTTGCTGCGCCCGCTGTCCTTAACAAACGAACGATGACGGGCCTAGAACGACTTGATGGACGATAGAGGGGAAGCCACTGAGCATATTTAAGTATGTCTACGTGCTATCCGGAGTCCTGTTTCCTACCAGCGCTGCCAGCAAGGCCGATAATGTGTGCAGCCGCTGCCTGCTACAGCTCCGCGGCTACGGATATCCCAAGTCGCCATCCACGCACAGTGCAACCTGTTTCTCTTGAACTGCCCAACCTGACATCAACAGCTGCGCGGACTGCACTGGCTCGCGAGTTTGTTGTCTACACAGCTGCTCCGTCGAGTCTTGCGCTTAGTCTGTCTTCCAGCGGCATTGCTCTTCGTTCCTCCTCTAGCGTTCTCCCGAAGAGAACCTGCCTCAGGAGATTGGTGTGCGAGCGGCACGCCGGGCGCGCGGATCTCTAATGATATCTTGTCGCGTTCTCCTACCGCTGCTCTTGCTGGCTGCACCTATCTTCGCATAGCCCGCCCCCTGCGCCCCTGCGCCCCTGCGCCCCTGCGCTGTCCACGCCGCTGTGCTCATGCTCCATTCCTGGTCCTTGGTCGCATGTCGCTCTGTAGACTGCTGAATTGGGCCTCCGCTGAAGCTGTGTTCTGCGCTGATCTCGAAAGCGGTCGTTGTCAGGAGCGGCGTAATTACATCTCGGTCTGATGGCGGGGCCTAAGATGTCAGCTGGTCAATCGGTGCTGGCCAGGGCTTGAGGTTTCCAGAGCCCTCTCGCTTGAATATGTCCACATTCATCAGCTCCGCGCTGCGGGCAATTACCGGCGTGGCTCGCATTCGACTACAGGTCACGGCATGAGCGCCGTATATCAGAGATTCTGCCTCGACGTCTCTTCCCGCTGGTGCGAGCGAGCTCTCCTGGCCCTATATCGTCCTCCTACTGTTGAACAGCGTCGTACGTTTCGTGCGTAGAGCTGCTCTCAGCAGTGTCCTAAACCATGAGAATATCTCCTCGAGATCGAATGGAAAGCCATCATTGGCGTGTACATTGATCCATCAGTATCATCAGAAGAGTATGGTGGTGGTATTGCTGCTGCTGAGATCAAGTCTGGATTCTTCTAGAGCCAGAAGGCCACGAGTCTGAGCTTTGCCAGCTCGAAACCCTGGATGGTGCACGGACCTTCAGTTCGCGCCGTCCCTGACGACTCGAGTTTATTGTCCGGCCAACACGCGTGTCCTATTCAACGTGTGCCACATTGGAAGTTGCTGGTCTTCCCTCTAGAGCTGCCGTTGCTGCTCGTACTGTGGTATATGATCGTGTCATCTGCCCACCTTTCGAGCTTCGAGACTGGTGGCTCCGCTATGGACCGCAAGCTTGCTGTGGATTGAGAGATAGTGTTTGAACAACAGAAGATCGCTGTTGCATGCTCTGCATGGTCTGCTATAAGCATGAGCCATATGCGACTCAGCTCAGCACGACTTCTATCATTGCTCGGGCTTCAATGCCCTGGTCTGCTGTCGGTCCTGCCTCGCCCGGCTGTCGTCCATGCCTAGAAGATCTAGCCTTGGCTTCTCGGGGCTTATGATGCGTAGCATATGGCAGGCACGCGCCTCACCGGTGAGTACGTCAATGGTATGCTATCGTTGCGGGATGATGCGTCGTGACCGATGGCGTAATGGCTGCCTAACGCTGCACAATGTTGTAAATTATTTCAGGTGAGCTCTTCTCATTCTTCTTCTTCTTCTGCTTCGATGTTCTTCAGGCCAACGATAACCACCACGAGACGAGTAAGTATTCATCCCCCTTTCTTTTCTCAGTAAACCTACTGGGCAAGCACGAGTGAACGCAGCAACGCGAACAAGTGTTTTCGCACCCGCCATAGCCAACTCAGCAAGCAAACGCCGGATGGGCTGGTGACTGGAGCCGATCTGGAGTTGGACTGGAACTGGCCTTTATAGCCCTGACCACCAACTTCTTCAGCGGTACTACAGTAGGTACATGTAAGCATTAACTCCCTCCTGCTAGCGTCCTCAACTTTCTGACAACCTTCCCAGCGTGACTATCGACCAGCATCACCGTCGCTGGGTCGTCGAGCCCTTGAGGCACGGGCGCACATATTTCATCAGCAATAGGTAAGCTGGTCTGCCTTTGAATTCAGAGATTGTAACTGACGAGCTTCACAGCAGCTCTCTGATGCGAGCCCATACCACGTTACAAGCCTTCACGAACATGACATGATGTCTCTGAAGACTAGCCTTGATTGCTGTTCTCCACGCAGCCTCACTGCTCGGCCAGACCGTCCTTTCATTATCCAAGATGCTCGTCTGGCTCATAGCACTACTCGGCCGCCACTTTGTCGAGGCTAGAGCTCTGATATTCGCCAAGCGGCACATGCTGGGCGGCCCACAAGTCGAAAGCAGTAGCAGGACTTCAAAACGAAAATGTCACGGCCTTCTAGCTGGTACGTGCTGGCTCTGAACAATGGTGCAGCGCTTCAGGAATATCGGCAATCTTGCGGCTCTGCTGAGGCTGCTGAGGTTGTTCGCCACCTCATCAAGCGCGGTCAGTGTTGACAGTATTGACCAAGGTGTTGCACTCCTGAAGAGCCTCTTCTTAAAGGCGGCTGCAGGATATGCCCTCTGTGTTCTCGCCTGACGTTGTCACCTGAATTTCAGCCACAGGACAAGAGGTCGCTACTCCTGTCGCACCAACTTCCCATAGAAACCTCACTCGAGGACCTCACCTTTGCTTTCCGGCCATCGGTTTCGACTATTCTTCTCACTGACACTGGAACCTTCTGGCGGTCTGGGAGTCCTCACTTTGGTCGTCGCTCCTTCCGGCCGTTGCTGCTCTCTTCGTTCGTGCTTGCCTCCATTGTCACTAGTCCCTGTCGCCAAGCTTTGAGCTTTGGCCGACAACAAACATTTCCACAAACACTGACTTCTCCTCGAACATAACACTAACTGAGCTGAAAAACAGTGTCCAAGAACGCGACAAGCTCCCCGATCCCCATCCCACAACGCGTCTCCGCCTATCCACGAGCCACAACCGTCCACTTCTGGAGCGTCGACTACTACTTCGCAGACACCCCACTCTCCAACCCTTTCCTCGAGGTCATCCGCCAGTGCGAGCGCGAGAGACAGTGGCCAGGCGCCAAACCTCTCGTCTTTCCTAGTCACGTTCCCCGCCTCACGACAGACAAGCGTCCTTACCCCGAAGTCCTCGCTCTCGTCCGCAAATACCGCCTCCGCGTGAAACCTTTGCCCCCTCCACCACCGCCACCAGCGATTGACTGCGCAAAGCGACCATGTCATTTCCCTTCGAAGGCGAGACGCACGTCGTTTCTGACGGAGGCGCTGCAAGTTCAGCAGCGGGACAGATCGCAGACCCAGCAGTAGCTGCATCCAGCGCTGCAGATCTACAGAGGGCAAGAGACTATGGTTGGAATGAGCGAACGAACCTCGATTATGACAAGTTGCAACAAATTGGTGACTCGAACGAGTGGCTCGGCGCTGCTCAGGTCTACGAGTGGAAGGATGAGTACGGCGATGTCGCTCCCGAAGTGCCAGAACTTGAGGCATTGCTCTACGGCACCGAGCAGCGCGTCACCGAGGGTGGCCACCGCGAGAATCTCGATGAGATTGAGGTTCTCCTTGAAGGTCCCACCAAGGTTGCTCCTATCCAGAAGGCAAGTGTTGACTGATATCCCGCCGTGCACAACCTCGCTGACGAAGAAAACAGTTCGAAGACGGTGGTCTGCACCCTGTCGTGCTCGACAATGTCAAGCGGTGCGGTTACAGCAAGCCGACTCCAATTCAAGCCTACACTATTCCGGCGGTCAAGCTCGGACACGATGTTGTTGGCATCGCTCAGACAGGTATGTCGCCGTTGCGCACCGCTCATTGGCACTCCGACAGACCACTGACTTTTCATGTAGGCAGCGGCAAGACTGCAGCATATCTCATCCCCATCATCTCAGCGTTGATGGGCAAGGCGAAGAAGCTTCGTGGTCCTCGTCCGAATGCCGGCACTTACGATCGCCGCGACAACCACGTTCGTGCAGAGCCACTTGTTCTTGTCATCGTGCCCACCCGCGAATTGGCAGTGCAGATTTTTGACGAGGCTCGTCGCCTGTGCTACCGCTCAATGCTTCGTCCTTGCGTTTCCTACGGCGGCTTCCCGCTCGGCCAGAACATTCAAGACTTGGGCAAGGGCTGTGACATACTCATCGGCACCTGCGGTCGTCTCAAGGACCTTATGAGCAAGCCCGACGTTCTGAGCATGAACCGCGTCAAGTACACCGTCATTGACGAGGCTGACGAGATGCTCGGGGACGACTGGTCTGACGAACTGAAGGTCATCCTGGGTGGTGGTGGTAAGTCTGATACTCATCAGCGGTTGCCCGATCTCTACTGACATCCACACAGATGCCAATGAGGATGCGGATCATGTGTACATGATGTTCTCCGCCACTTTCCCCAAAGGCGCCCGTCAGGTCGCTCGCGACTACATGGAGTCACATTATCTGCGTATTCGTGTTGGCCGTGCCGGTCAAGCACACAAGAACATCAAGCAGGAAATCATCGAGGTCGACCGCAACCGGGCCCGCGACGCTGTCTACGATTTACTCTTTTCGATGGAGCCAGCGCGCACTCTCATCTTCTGCAACGCGAAGGCGTCTGTCGACCTCCTTGACGACTACTTGTACAACAAGGGCTTGCCAACCACGTCCATTCACTCGGATCGCAGCCCACGTGAGCGTGAGGATGCCATGTAAGTCTTTTCCATCCCGTCAAGCCCTGTACAGCTGCTAATCTTTCTGCAGTCGCTCTTTCCGCGTCGGCAGCGCGCCTATCCTCATCGCCACCGGCGTCTCTGCTCGCGGCTGGGACATCAAGGATGTCAAGCACGTCATCAACTATGAACTCCCATCTGGCATGCACGGCGGCATACAAGAGTATGTTCACCGCATCGGTCGTACTGCACGAATTGGCAACCAAGGCCTCGCCACCTCCTTTTACAACGACCGAAACGAGGACATTGCTCAAGAGTTGGTCAACGTTCTCGTGGAGTGTGGCCAGCCTGTGCCAGACTTCCTTGGCCATCTCAAGCCAGAGCGGACGGCCGACATCGATTTTGACGACAACTCCGAGGACGACGGTGAAGTTGGCAACGGCTTTGGGGATGACGATGCCTGGGGTGCTGAGTCACCAGCTGCTGACGATTCTGAGGCAGCCGACGCAGGCTTTGAGGCGGACTCTAGCTTCGAGGCCTCTGCTCACTCCTCTTGGTAGGCGCCTCCAAAGCACACCACGACACACTGCTGCTCTCTGTCTCAGGGGTGGCTCACTTACGATACGACATCATGAGACATGTTACGGTAGCACCGCAAGCTTTGGACGGCTTTATCGACGTACTGGGCGAAGCGAGGACCCGGCTTTTTGAAGGCTGATTGCATGTCTCAACGCAAAGGATACCCCACAAGGTATACCCAAATGAAGTACCAGAATAAGGTATCAGAGCAGATAACACAGAGGTGGCTGTTCCAGAAAATTCACTGAAAAATCATACTCGAAACACAAAGTTCTCCACTTTCCACCTTTTCTCGTCGTTGCTGTCGTGTTTCTTTCCGCGCTGACTTTTTTGGGGGGGATATCACTGTCGCATCCCCCTGAAGTTCCGCTGACTGCATGGCTACTTATACCTATGACCGCTGCTGTTGTTCCGTTCCGAACAGCGCCGTTTACCCTCCTCTTTTTTTTCTTCTTCCCACCTCTCTCTCTCTCATCCGTTTTCCCTCTCCTTACGTTACCTCTTCACTCAAGTCTTGTCCAAGTTTTGGAATGTTCAAATATCGTGAGTTATGAGTTTGAATAGACACATATTTTTTTACATGTACATGTATATATACAATAGGAGGGAAAGAATGATAGGCAAAGGGCGAGAGCAGACAGGAGAAAGTAAAAAGAGCCGGGAGAGAGAGGAGAAATAGAAAAGGAGAGACTTTTGTATATCGTGAATTGTATTATTGTATTATCTTTATTATTATTTTTATTTTTATTTTTATTATTATTATGCCATTACCTTACTACTTTCACAGCATTCACATCGAATTTCTTTCATTTTCTCCCATTTCTCTCCTCTCCTCCCCTTTTCCAAGCTTCCTTCCACAGCTTTATTATATTCATGAGCGAAGTGTGAAGAAAGTATGCATATCGACAGACGTCTTTGTTTTCTTTTTCCGTCGCCATCCCTCTCATGCTTTTCTTCTTCTATATTCCTTCCTTTTTCTCACATGGGGATGCTGTTTTTCCGCCATATGAATGCCATCATATCATATACAGAGTTATACCATATGCACGTTCCAGTCATTCCAAAACTCATCGAGATCCGACTTGTTCCCATCGAATAGCTCATGTGGATGAGTAGTACTCCAAAAAACACCTTCGCTAAAGTCGCTTGCAAAACCAATCACACTCCACTCCACTCTGGTCGGCGTCATCATCATCGTCACTATTGTCATCAGTATCATTCCATCCCTTCATTTCGTCTCCTCGCCAGTAATCCCTCGTCATACCTCACGGAAAGACGCCTATCGCCATGTCTACCGCCTCCTAATGCGATCAATTCCCATGTACTCCCTCCCATCTCTTCCCAAGATCCTGCTGAAGGCATATCTCGCAGGACCCATAGCATCATCCGCCCTATCAGGGACAGGCAAGGCAGCAGCCTGTGCCCTCGCTCTCCCAAAGCCTCGAATGGAGTCCGCCAGAGAGACTCTACTCGCTTCTGCGCCGGCTCGTGATGAGTACATGGTCTGCTGTTGCTGTTCCAACTTATTACTCCGCTCTGGCGTCGAATACGACAACAGTCTCGTCACAAGATCAGTCCTACTGGAAGGATTCCGGAAGGTGAAATCATCCAACAGGCGACTCTGACTCAGACAATCTCTGATGCCGGCAAAGGTGTCAATGTTCTCGGGCAGGCCGCTTCCTCTCAAAGCGCTGCTGGGCCAAATCGCCAGATACGCCAAAGCGTAGATCGTGACGAAGACGCTGAGGGTGATGTAAGCCGGCATGTCTGCGGAGATCAGCACTCTTTGCGGAACAATGTAAAATTGTGCCCAGAACACACCACCGGCTAGGATGGGGATCGCAGTGCTGAGTAGTGTGATGGTCGATATGAAGGCCATGCGGTAATGACCAGTGACAGCGGCGCTTAAGCTGATCAAGATAGGGAAATCGGCAGTGTATGAGGGAAGGAGAGTTCGTTCTGCGATGTCGCCTGTCAAGTCATCCGTCCAGTTACTTTTGGCAGATTCCGAGTGGTTGATGGACGTCAAGCTCTCAAAAGGTGTAAGGCGGCGGTATGCGAGATCGATGTCGTACCAGCCAAGGAGGGCGATTGTGGCCAGAAGAGCTGGAAGGAAGCTGTAGAGGAAGTTGGTGCCACTAAAGCCAAAGGTATCGACAGCTGCCTCGACCATAGGATCGAAACCATCAGAGACTCGAGTGGAGGGAAGGTAGGAGACGATCAGAAATGCTAGCACAAGGACGATTGCGACGATGGGCCAGAGGAGAGCGAAGAATGGCTTCAGGAACCACGGAAGTGGTGAGCTGGCCGATTGACGGTCCTGGCCATTGTGACGAAGATGTATCATGGATTCCTTGGAGTATCGCTGTCCAGCTTCCACGTCCATATCTGGGTCTGAGTAGCGCTTCTCTTGAATGCGGCCTTCGTGGACTTCGTAGCTGCGTGCGGGCTTGTCTGCGATGCCATAAGCGTGGAAAACATCCGTCGGCCGGTTAGCGGTGCGGAAGTAGCCCAATTGTGGCACAGTCTCGCTGTCGCCATCGAGAGCATTGCTACGCTCGAGAAGCACAATCACATCTGCCAAGCTTCGAGGGTCCCACTTCAAGCCTGTGGTCGTACGACCAATCGCGAAGAGCAACACGATTGATGCGATCAAGAGCAGGGTGTAGAGGCCGACGACGACCCAAATGGCGCCTTGCACCGCGATCCAGTGCCAGGTACCAGTGCTGTCTTGGTGCACATTGAAGCTGCTCGCCAGGAGCGGGATCGTGAAGATCTGCAACCAAGCAAGGAGCAAGAATGTGCCCACAACAGGCATGCGAGCACCAAAGTGACCAAAGTAAGGTCGGAGCCAGCTTCGTGGCTGCAAAGGCAACTTCGCACCCGCCAGCCTGCTAGGAGGCGAAGCGGCAGAAGTCATGGCGATGAAAGGCGCAATTCTGTAAACAGCCGCGACGATTTGAAAGAGCCAGGCCAAGATCACCATACCGAGCAGGGTGGGGAGGTAGCGGAACACGAAGTATTTACCGTCTGCAAAGCCATCGTAGCGTGTCAGTCCCAAGCCTCGATTGGATCTGCTCCATGCTGCCGCGATGATCAGGGCCACGAGGTAAGCCAGGAGTGCCAGAATGAACAGTCCCAAGAGAGGTGTGCGCAGGATGCCAGGAACAAAGTTCAAAGGCGGTTGTCGTGATTCCGCTTGCGTGACGGGGATAAACACGTTCGGCTCTTGGGGTTGGTCCACTCGTCCATACGGATGTGCTGCTTGGTGTGGCCCCGCTTGAGTCGCATATTTGATCTGTTCTTGTGGTTGCGATATCAAAGGCTGAGCCTGGCTCGAAAATCGATCGGAGGTTCTCGCTGGTGGTACAACTGCGATATCCCGCTCAGGCTCGTGCTGCTCCTCTTGCAGCACCTCCTCATAACGGTGTCGCTGTTGGATGTGCGCAGGAATTGGCCAGTTTCCACTTCTCCCTTCTGCCGCTGCAACATCTCCAGTGTTCAATGCATCGTACGAATAGCGACCTCCATCGCCAGGATAGCGCCGACTCCCTCTCACTTCCTCGTCGCGAGTAAGCTGATCAAGCGCAAAGTGAATGTATGGAGTGTCGTCCACTCCTGGGGTTGGGGCATCTCGTTCGCGACTGATGTCCTTGGCTACAGAACTCTGTGCCATAGTAGGTGATATGCGACTTGTCAGTCTTTTCGCTTGATCTGGATCCTCCATGACGACGCTCGGCACTGGCTTCCTTCTAATGCCGCCGTTGCGCAGCTGTCCTTGCGAGGGAGTGGGAACAGTGGTGGATCCTGCGTGCACACCGCAAGTACCCGCAGGAATGGGCGTTATTGTTGTTGTCGTTGGCGCAGCAGCAGCAGAAGCCAACTCAGCACTCAACCGTCTCTGGCCTTCTCCTCTCAGAGGAGTCTTCCTCGTTGGCTCGTCGGGGTCGTCTTCGACAGTGGCATGATATGGGTGTGGTTGTGACGATGATGGTGGGGGTGGTGGTGGTTGGGTGATGAGTCGCAGTTGCGTCTGACTCTGTGCTGGAGTACGATATCGTGAAGGAGGAGTTCCGAAGCGTGTGATGGTCTGTTGTGATGCTTGAGCTTGGGCGGCCGATTCGATCGATCTCCCCGAAGAACCCGAATTGGAAAGAGAGTAGTAGTCTTCGGAAGCCGCGACTGAGTTGAGGGAGGGGCGACTGTGTATCACGGAAGGACTGGAGACTACATTGACGGGGCACGAGTTAGCAAGGTAGTTATATTGGCCATGGCAACCTACACCTCATGTACTTTTCATGTACTTTCAAAGGTGTTGTTTTGTTGGGCGCCATGCACGTCCCGGCATGCATGCATGGATGTTGTGTCTCTTTCTTTTCTTTGCTTGCATGAGGAAGAGTCAGGTAGGTACGTACCATTAGTTTGGCGGAGAGCAAAGACGCCCTGGTTGGAGGCATGCAGTGGGCCTGCCATGAGGGAGTAAGAGGAGGAGGAGACTTCAGGTAGTAAGGTAGGTAGGTGAGTAGGTGAGTACAGGTACGTAGCGAGTGTGTACTGTAGTTTAGCAGTGCATCTCAACTGACAACAACGACGACGACGACGACGATGATGATCGATAACAGCGCGACGACGATAAGGAACGAATGGATCGGGCAGTTGGGACAATCAACGTGTGCAACAGTTGCTGGAACGAAGCGTGCTCACGTTGGAGCCAAGTAGTTTGTTGGCTATGTACCTACTGCGTCGGCTGTTCCTGGAGCGAGTGGTACGAAGTATTCGAAGGCTGGGCCAATACGGCGGAGGCGGGGGACTGTCGCGTGGCTGGGAAGTCATTTCACGCGCTGTAATTGGGGCAGAGTGAGAAAGAGTGAGAAAGAGTGGTAGAGTTCGAGAGTCATGATGCGCACAGTGCAGCGCATCCAATTGACATGTCCAGTGTGGTGCTGCACACACATGTCGTGCCCGTGCGGTGGTGTTGATGTGCGCGTGCAAGTTTGAAGTGTCCCGCGAGGAAGAGGAAGAGGAAGCGGCGAGGCTGGCCGGTCTCTGCCTCAGGCGTCATCCTCCCGTCTGAGCCTCCCGGGAAGGCCCGCGTCTTTCCCGACACCAGCGACTTCGATGCGGAAGGAGCAAGCAGAGCAGACAGCAGCATTGAACCCGCCCGTCTCACACACACACTCCCACTCTACACATCCCTCACAATGGCCGGTCTCCTCGGAAAGAAGTTCCCCACGCCCGTCGGTATGGCAATGTGACGTCGAACCTGCGCGCGAGATGGCGACTAACAGCCGATCCAGCAAAGCCGATGTGGCCTTTCTACGCTGCCGGTACGTCGAGAATCGCACGAGATGGGAGAATCAGAAAAAGAAGAGCTTGAGATCCACAGACGGAACAGTCAAAAGGAGAAGCCCGGAAGGCAAACAAGAGAAGGAGTTCCAAGAAAGAGCTGACATAACCCGGTGCAGGCTTGATCATCGCATACGGCGTAAACTCCTTCCAAACCGTCCTTGCAAACAGTACGTCCCCCGCATTTCCATCACCTACCCTCGCGAAGACTCCACCGAGTGAGCCGCGAGCTTGGGGGAGGAGTAGGATACTAATAGATCTCCCGCAACCAGCCGACGAATACAAGAACGACCCAAGGAACCCATCGAAGAACATCGTGAAGAAGGATCACTAGGAGGGAGGCAGGCAGGCGGCAGCGTGAGAGAAGAAGTGGCCATGATGACACGACGATGTGAAGGAGGTTGGAGAGAAGGGAAGGAAGCTCAGCATAGGTAGCGCTGGGCTTTGGACGTGGACAGTGGGGAAAACCTTGTGTCGCAGCTTGCTATAGAAGAGAAATGGGAAGCGGACTGTACTGTACATTTTACCCACTATACCATTGTCATTACCACACCCGGAAATCGTATGTGTGTGTCTGTCTCTCTCTGTCATGCACGACTGGATCACAAACGGATACATGAAGGTAGGTAGGTAGATATCTACCTCATCTGCACTCTACATCATGCATATGTAGAGGTACCTACAGCGAACACCAATTTCCTTCCTTAAAAAATTGTCATGCCACTCACCTAAGAGTGACCAAAACAAAACAAAAAAAAAGGAGAAAATGCGGAGGTGGGAAATTACCAGATAAGGTACTTAAATGTACCTCCTAACACATGTGTGCCAGATGATGTACTTTTGGATGAATCTGGAAGGGGGAGAGAGGAAGCTCACCTTTTAGGGTAGGTTACATGTCAGGTACCTGTATGTATGTATGGTAGGTACCTTACCTGTACTTTATGGTAGGAGGTAGCGTATCAGCTTATGTACGTATACGAGAAATGCACACGCTCCATGACGACAATAGAAAGAAGAAGAGAGAAGACGGTAAGGTAGGTTAGGTAGGCAAAAATGATTCGAGGCACCCAAGGCAGTTGAAGAGGGGGAAATATTGTTTTTCTTTTTGTTTTTCTTTTTTTTTTGTTTTTCTATGTATTTGTACTTCAATCTGGAGCTATGTACCGTACCGTACCTATAGAGCAGTTAGTTCATGAGTTGAATAAACAAGGTGCAGAACATGTAGCTCAAGCTTCGGGAGGATTTACCTGATGCTATCAATCACCTGAGCGTAGGCGATTGCCGAGAGCCTCGTGGCTTGCGACATTGATACCTCACGCAAGCAAGCTCGATTTGATCGACGTCGCCGATATGGGTTCAGCGTTTGCTCGCTGTTTCTGCACAAGTCGTGCTTCTCCAAGCTGCACTGCTGTGCCTTTCATGATGAGAGAGGGTGAGCACTATGTCAAGAGCGATTTGCTCCCCGCAGTGCGTCTCTTCTCTCTTCTCTCTTCTAGTAGAACTGACCATGTGCTGGTGTGGCTGTCTGCCAATGTCCTCAGTGGTGCCATGGCCCTGTATAGCAGCAGCACTGCTTCATTCCTGGGCATTGACTGTTCTCTCGCCATTTCGTCACTTGTGGTTATACCTCTCATGTATGCGCCTAATGTCCTCGTTCACGTTCGTGCCTTGAGTACCTGGCGGATAGATACCAGGAGGCGCTTGGCCTATGGCCGCGTTGGGAACCTGACTGATGCCATCATAACTCTGCAGCTCGGCTCGCTTCCTCCGCTCCTTCTCTTCCTCCGTGATAGCCTGTCCGGTGACAGGGTCAAACAGGTCTGTACGTTGTGATGCCAGTCTCTTGAGGTTGTTCGCCACATCCACAGTGGACAAATTCGTAGTCGAGGAGCGCTGCTGGTTCTTGCCAAACTGCTCACGCCATCGCGGGTCGAGTTGTTCAATGCGCATGTGCTCGGCAATCTCGTCATTGGGGATAGTCTGGTGGCAGTTCGGGCATATGGACGTGTTCTGCTGTTGGTTTCGCTGCTGGGCACGTGGGACGTAATCCGTTCGAACGCGTGTGGGCTGTGCCTGGGTAGCTCGGATTGCGGCACGGGCGTGCTCACGTTCCTCGGAGAGAGATGGTGCGGCAGGCTGTTGATACGGTGTCGTCTGCGGAGGTGTGGAACCGAATGGTTGCTGCGGTGCATGTCCTTGTGGAGGTGGCATCATCTGTGCAGCCGGGAACTGCTGTTCGTGGCCGTAGATGGCGGAGTAGTCGTTGAATTCGGGCACCGACTCTTCGATTCTTCTGTTTGAATCGATACGCATGTTGGCCTTTTCCTCCAAACTTAATGACAGCATTTCATTGAGCGTCCTGGGATATTCCATGGTTGCGGACTCGTCGGCTTCGTCGAACACGATTGTTGCTATCACGTTGAAGTCGTGCCAGTCAATCTGGGCAAACTCGATACGATCCTTTTCCAGCTTCTCTTCTTTCTCCTCCTTCTGCCGTTCCTGGTACTTGACGTACTCGGCCCGCTGCTTCGCTTTTTCCAGTAGACTGAACCGGTTGTCTATGTTGGCCTGCAAAGCTGATATACGCTTCTTTTGTGGGGCGCCATCGTCGGCAGTCTCACCTTCAATCAAATCCTTGTACTGATCTACAAGGCGGCCGTAGTACATGTTGAGCGAGTGTTGTGGTCGCAAAAAGTCGAATTGAGCATTGACCGCCTCTTTTTGACTAAGGCTTGTAACCCAGCTCTTGCCATTCTTCGCGGCATACAAAGCAGTCAACTTGACAATTTCCAGATCTTGGGCACTGATGTTGGGCATGCGAGCGCTGAATTGGAACTCTTCCGGCGCCTTGGGAGCTCTCGACTCGCGGCCTTGAAAGGTGACATCGGTCTTCGCAGCAGGACCATTGGAATCGAGACTGCGGCCAGCTTTACATTCCGCCACGCGCCATTTGTAGTAACCGTTGTACTCGTCGCTAGGCTCGAGGAAGTGGGTGGTGTTGGTGCCGGCGTTTTTGGTGCGCACATTGTCTTCGAAGGCCTGGCCATTGCGAGCGACATAGACAGCGACTCTCTCGATCTTTTCTCGTACGGGGCGAGGAGGCAGCACAGTGCCCGCAGGCATTCTCTTCTGCAAGTCTGATTCTTGACCGTCAGCTGGAGGCACTGCTGCTGCTGCCGCCGCTTCTGCAGGCTGCGCGCCGTTTGTGGCGGCCATTTTCTGTGTTTTTCCCTCTCTCGCTCTTTCGTCCACCACCTGATCCGATTGCGGGTAAGAGAAAGCGCGATAGCAGCAACAGATGATGCCGTGGAGAGTGTGCGCGCGCTGTCGTCGTTGTTCAGGTGTGAAGTGCACGTTAAGTTCGTAGTGTTTGGCCGGTCAGTAAGGTAGCCGTCAGTAGGTAAGGTAGTATGAAAGTTAGATCGACGCACAAGCTCGCATAATCGCATTAGCTGCACGAGGCAACGCGGAGATGTGATTGGTAGGGTAAGCGAGTGGTGGAGGACCCCTTGGAATAGAATGGAACACAGTGCTGCATCTTTTGGTCGCCCATAGCTGGCCTCTCCTGCTTGGAACCAGAGAACACCATATCCTCTCCTCTCCTCTCCTCTCCCTGCCCTTCGTTTGATCCTCCCTTGCCGTACCTTGACCATTCACCTCACCTTCCTTTCCTCTTCTCTTCACTTCACTTTTCCGCGACATTCGCGCCCTTTGGTTGTCGGCCTCCAGCACGACGCCCGCCCGCACTCAATCTATCTACCCGCGACACTGACTGAAGCTACGCGCGTCTCGGAAAGTAAAAAAGCCGATCTGCGCATGGGAATCCCACCCTCAGCCTGACGACCCTTCTCGTTTCTTAATACTTACCCCTTCCCTGCCCATCCCATCATGGCCACCAAGCCAGGTCAGACCAAGCTGCAGCAGCACAAGAGCAATGGCAACCTGCGCGCCGCCAATGGCAAGATCACCAAGCAGCAGAAGGACTTCGTCCAGTCGAGTCCGAACAAGCCACCGCACCCTCGATACGATTACACCTCGCCCGGCGTGACCGATAACAACATTTTCCATCTCAAGAGCAGCGACTGGGAAGTCTTGGGCGTCGTTACACTCGTCGCATTGTTCGTGCGGTTGTTCAGGATATACCAACCATCAAGCGTCGTCTTCGATGAAGTGCACTTTGGAGGATTCGCAACCAAGTACATCAAGGGAAAGTTCTTCATGGACGTCCATCCCCCTCTTGCCAAGCTGCTGATTACGCTCGCGGGCTGGCTGGCTGGTTTCGATGGCAGCTTCGACTTCAAGGATATCGGCAAGGACTACCTCGAGTCCAACGTGCCCTATGTGGCCATGAGGATGCTCCCAGCTTTGCTTGGTGTTTTGGCGGTCCCGACAATGTTCTTGACTCTCAAAGCCGCCGGGTGCAAGACTACGACTGCTGCGCTGGGCGCGGGTCTGCTCACTTTTGAAAACGGTTTCGTCACCCAATCGAGGCTGATCCTCCTCGACTCTCCCCTTGTCATCTTCACTGCACTTACCGGGTTGTCGTGGATCTCATTCAACAACCAGCACGAGCTCGGCCCTCGCAAGGCTTTCCAGCCTAGCTGGTGGTTCTGGCTGGCTGCGACTGGCGTCTGCTTGGGCGCGACCGCCAGCGTCAAGTGGGTTGGTCTCTTCACCATTGCCTGGGTTGGCTCACTCACCGCACTGCAACTGTGGGTCCTCCTCGGCGATACCAAGAATGTTACACCCCGAATCTGGTTCAAGCACTTCTTTGCACGCGTCTTCTGTTTGATTATCATTCCAGTCGCTTTCTACATGGCCATGTTCGCCATTCACTTTGTCTGCCTCGTCAATCCAGGCGATGGAGATGGTTTCATGAGCAGCGAGTTCCAGTCTACGCTCAACTCCAAGGGCATGGCCGATGTGCCTGCTGACGTCGCATTTGGCTCTCGCATCAGTATTCGCCATCACAACACCCAGGGAGGTTACCTGCATTCGCATCCACACATGTACCCAGGCGGCAGTAAACAGCAACAGATTACACTCTATCCACACAAGGATGAAAATAATGTCTTCCTCGTCGAAAACGCGACACAGCCCATCGACTGGGCCTCGGATCCAACTGGTAACACGACCATTCCTGGCCCAGCCGCTTGGGATGACAGAGAGGTGTCCTACGTCAAGGATGGCAGTGTTCTTAAGCTCTACCACATCACCACCGGTCGTCGCGTGCACTCTCACGATGTCCGCCCCCCTGTCACTGAAGCTGATTGGCAGAACGAAGTCTCCGCGTACGGTTACGAAGGCTTTGAGGGCGATGCCAACGATCTTTTCCGTGTCGAAATTGTGAAGCCAATGTCTGACGGCAAGGAGGCTAAGGACCGCCTGAGAACCATTGAGACAAAGTTCAAGCTCGTGCATATCATGACTGGCTGTGTGCTCTTCTCGCACAAGGTGAAACTGCCAGATTGGGGTTTCGAGCAACAAGAAGTTACGTGTGCCAAACAGGGCACCCTGCCAAACTCAATCTGGTACATCGAGTCTAATCAGCACCCGCAACTCAGGGAGGATGCCGAAAAGGTCAACTACCGCAACCCGGGCTTCTTTGGCAAGTTCTGGGAACTGCAAAAGGTGATGTGGACCACCAACGCAGGGCTCGTCGAGTCACACGCCTGGGATTCTCGCCCTCCTTCATGGCCAATTCTCAAGCGTGGCATCAACTTCTGGGGCAAGGATCATCGCCAGATTTACCTCATCGGCAACCCTTTGATCTGGTGGGCCAGCACCGCAGCCATCGCCGTCTACGTTGCCTTCAAGGGTTTGTCTCTCATCAGATGGCAACGAAGCTGCAACGACTACCAGAACCTGACCTTCCGCCGCTTCGACTACGAGATCGGTACCGTCGTTCTTGGTTGGGCTTTCCACTACTTCCCTTTCTTCCTGATGCAGCGTCAGCTCTTCTTGCACCATTACTTCCCCGCTCTATACTTTGCTATCATTGTGCTGGCACAGATCTTCGACTACAACTTCAGCCGTATCAGCATTGGCTCCTTCACTCTCAGGAACAAGCCCATAGTTGGCATGGGCGCTGCCGCAGTATTCTTGGCGCTTTCTATTGTCGTCTTTGGACTCTATGCTCCGCTCACATACGGCAACCAGTGGACTAAGAAAGAATGCGCACGCGTCAAGCTCTTTGATAAGTGGGACTGGGACTGCAACACTTTCTACGATTCCGTAAGTATTTCACCTCGTCTCAATCAACAATACCGTCAGCTGACATGTTTTAGTACGCCGACTACTCGCTCGCAGTTCCGTCAGCTTCAGGAGCGGCTCCAACCACCCAAGCAATCCACGGGCCAGCACCTCCGGTCGCAGACGATCCACAAAAGGATGTTCACGTTACTCCTCTAGCACCAGGGCAGCCACTACAAGAAGGACACATCGAAGAGAAGATTGAGTACCGCGATGAGGAAGGAAATCTTCTCAATGATGAGCAAGTCGCGGCCCTGGAAGGCAAGGTCTCTTTCTCTACAAGATACGAGACGAGGACGAGACTGGTGGATGAGTATGGTAATGAAGTCCACGACGGGCTTGTGGAGGCTCGTGATGGCGAAGCTCCCGTCAAGCCTCAAGGTGTCGATCCGGCGACAGGAAGAGAGGCGGGAAGTCCCGAGATTAGTACTGTGGATGTCGAGGATGATTTGAGGAAGGAGAAGAGTATCCTGGATGCGGAGACTACAGCTGAGCCGGAAGCGGAAAATCCGGAGATCAAGACCAAGGATGAGCTTTGAGTTCCTTGACTGTGCTTTGTGTTCCTTTGGGGACGATTTGGCGCACAGTGGAAATGGGGAGGAAATGTTGTACTACTATACCATTACGTTTTGTGTGTGTCTCTCTTGTTGTCTTACCAAAGCAAGGAGATGGCGACAGGGGAGGGGTGTATTTCACGTCTGCATGCATTCATGTATGAGGCAGTTGGAGGCGATGGTCGCCAGGAAGAAGTACTATGACAACAAATGACAACAAACAGTCCGATCACAATCAAAATGGCAATGTTTCGTATCTCATCATTTCCTTCTCCCTCTCTTTCCATGTACTGTCAAAGGTCGTTCCCACGAGTTACTTGAATTAAGAGTCCGAGGCTGGAACTAAATAGATACTGCCGAGTATGGACCCCTCCACGTTGTGCTCGACTCGCTTCGCTCCATTGGAACTTGTCCCAGTTGAGACCCGAGGCGGGCACAGGGCGAATTGAGTTGCTGAGTTGGGGCTGTAGGGAGATTCGCTTATTCTTCTGCTTCATTTCCTCCTTATCTGATTACCTAGTGGCACGATACAGTACTTACTATTGGAGGTTGCAGCAGGGCATTGCTTTTCCTGGCTTGAATTTTGTTTTTCTTTTCTTGGTTTGGGTTTGAAGGTACGCGGCAAGTTATTCTACCCTGTTGAGCAGGCGTTTATGCGAAGTCACTGGAGATGACTTTACTCGTAGCGTGTTGGGAGCTGGTAAGGGTTTGAAATCATGCATTGCGAAGTGATATTTACACGCTTCTCGCAACAGCATTTCTTGGTGTCCTTCTCTGCCATTCAACTCAAAGAAATCTCAGAATTTCGTATTTCGCGCCCGGCCTATTTCTCTCATCTATCTCCATTCCTCGGGTGATTTATTCCTCAGAAGGCTTGTGGTAGTTGACCTTTGGGTTCCAGAAAAGTGTCTACAGGAAGAAGACCATGATTGTCAGCATGTCTCCGTATCACACTCGCACTCCGATCTCTCTGCTTCTGCTCTCTGCTCTTCAACTCACCTTGTCTCCGTCTCCCCAAAAGAAGTTCTTCGTCCGGATGTTCTGGAACGGGTATTCGGTCTTCTCCTCCAATGAAGGACCATGAGCAACATGCTCCCAATGCTCGGTCCACAGACGGTAAGCGTTCACGCTTGCGATACAGAGGCAGGGGATGACCACACTGAATGCGCGGTTAGCGGGCTCTCCCTTACTGCTCCTCAATTGACCTCTTGCCGCAGCAGAGTGGAGATCAGTCATACTAGATAGACAGCTTGCGCCACAGGTCGGATGTAGCAGCAGCGTGTTCCTTCACAGCCGCTCGTTCGCGGTTGAAGGCATTATCGGCTGCGCCGGTGAAGTTTGGGGTGCCGCTGGAGAGGCGCTTCTGGGTGATGCGGCGGACGGCGGGCGTGAAGGTACGGGAGGCAGTGCGGAGGCCGAGCATGGCGGGCAGATGTTTCGTATGGTGGATGTGTAGAGCTGGGTCTTCAATGTCTGTCGGTGGTGGTGGTGGGTGTCGTTGCGCTTCGCGAGGTTGCTTCACTACGGGATGGGCCGCGCCGATGAAAAGTGGGGCTACCTCATGGCGATTTCTACCGCTGTGACGTCGGCTGGCAGACAAAGGATACCTCAAGTACATACACGTACTGGCATGCTTTCTTGCCATACAAATCCTATCACAGGTTGACAGCTACATTTTGGAGAAGCCGCCGAGAACAGTTGAAGAAGGTCCTGGGGGTTGCAATGGGCGCTTGAGAGAGTTCTTGGAACGACATCACGGACCTGCTCTCGCCACTGCAAGACATCATGTCGGCCCTTGACCAGCAAGCCAACTGGACCATCTCCATGGCCGAGAACCTCGAACATGTCAAGAAGCGTGGCAAGATCAAGCCGCTGATGAAACACCTGCACTATCATGAAGAAGCTGCTGCAACCAATCCACCTCTTGCAGACACAACACCCAAAGTCTGGACCACACCCCCAGTCTACCTTCCGGACGAGATTATTATTCAGATTGTCGAGTACACCTCAAAATTTCGCCTCGCTCAAGCGACTCTCGCCTCCTGCTGTCGCCTATCTCGGCAGTGGTACGCTGCAGCAGTCCCCTTTCTCTACACACGCCCCTGGGTTGAAGGTAAAAACTTTGACCCTTTCGTTCAAGCCATAGTCCCCTCGTTGAATCTCCATGTTCGCAAAAGTCCGTTGGCAGAATTCGTCAAAGTCTTGGACATGTCCCATCTCGTTCATTCGGGAAACAAAGCCACCACCGCGCGACTCCTCGGACGCACCAAAGGCAACCTGGTTGAATTCATTGCACCTCAAGCTTCCTTTGGGACAAACTGTTTTCCTGCTCTCGGGAAATGTCAAAACTTGGAAGTTTTGGACCTGAGTCGCGTTAGTCAAAGTCCGCCTTTGCTGGATCTTTTCAAAACGATAAGTCAGTTGACAAAGCTATCTCGGCTACGTCTACCGAGAAGTGCAGGTTTCAGTCAGGGCTTCCATCCAGAGGCTATGATTTGGCCGCCGAACCTGGAAGACTTATCCTTGAGTGGTGGAATCGATGTGCACTTCTTACAAGGGGTAGTTTCATTTCCAAGTACGTTACGGAGTTTGACAATCGAACATTGTCCCATGGCCAAGACTGGGGCGATTTTGCATTTGCTACGAAGTGCTGTACGACCTTTGCCGAACCTCGAGGTGCTGAAATTGTCGAACCTCCCTCGTCTGACAGGAAACTCATTAGACGATGTGTTAGTCATCCTGCCTGGTCTCACAAAGCTCAGTGTCAGTGTTGATTACGTGACCCCCAAACTCCTCGATCTTGGAATTGCAGAGGGACGAAGTCCAGGATTTGCGGGAATATATCTTCCACCTGGGCCTCGACACGGATCAAGTCCGATATGTCAGCTGAGAACATTGGAGCTGACGAATTCGGGTAATCCGGGCGTGGAAGACAAGATCACGCCGATCGATGTCTTGATTGCTGTAGAAGATGGGTCGCTCCCGAAATTGAGACAGGTCAGAGTTGCAAAGAGTCTGTTTTGGCAGTCCGGAGGAAATGCGGATGAGACTGCTGCGTTGGGCGATGCATTGCAGGATGCGGCAGCGAAGGCTCAGGCTAGACAGCTTCAAGATGAGGATGAGTCGGAACCGGAGGTGGAACTGGAGAGTGGAGTCTGGACATTTGATGGATGAGTCTAGCGAAAGTTCATGCGAACGCTGGGGAAAGCTGATAGCTGCCACGAATCGAGACGATTCCACGACCCAGAAATATGAAGCATGGTCAATGCTATCATGGTGATGCTAGCTTTCCGTTGTGAATGGCTACTTGTCAATGAGCGTTGAACGCAAAGGAGAAGAGCTGGGCGGGCTACCCATGTTACCTGTGCATTCTAATGTCTCGCGTCTGTTGCAGATTGAGATATGATAGCACATATCCTAATGCGCACTGTAATTCGCAGCTCAAGCCAAAATGTTCTGAGAATGGCAAAGCTACATGTATGCCGATAACCGCTGAGTTCTGGTAGAATGGATGGATGGGAAGTGGACTGTAAAGTGAAAAGTGGAGACGTCGGAGCGGAGCGCACCTCCGACGACATCCCATCCCATCATCTTGTCATAGACAAAAACATATGTCCATCGCTCTCTTTTACCCAGATTTCGATAATCTCGCGCCTAACAATGGCATCGCCGCTATTCAACACCCTCCGCACCGCCCCGTCGGGCCTCTGCAAACAATGCATCACCACATCCCGAACCACTCTGACCAAAACAACGAGACACAGCATCAAACAACAGGCCTTCCGCCCCTTCTCCTCCACTCCCATAGTTTCCCGACAACGCACCATCCAAGAAGCCAAATCGCGCTACCGTCTCGGCCCCTTCTCCTGGCAATCCGGTCTCCTCTTCCTCGCAGCCGGCACAGGTCTGACCTTCTACTTCCGGTACGAAAAAGCTCGAATGTCGCGTCAACGCATCGCCGAAGCGAATAAAGGGATGGGGAAACCTCTCGTGGGCGGCCCCTTTCATCTCGTGGATCATCATGGGAAAGAGTTTACAGAAGCGGATTTGGTGGGGAAATATTCGTTGGTGTATTTCGGTTTTACGCATTGTCCGGATATTTGTCCAGAGGAATTGGATAAGATGGCGGGCATGATTGAGAAGGTGAAAGAGAAGCATGGAGAGGGGAAGATGAGGAGTGTGTTTATCAGTTGTGATCCTGCGAGGGATACACCCGAGGTGTTGAGGAGATACTTGAGGGAGTTTCATCCGGATATCTTGGGGTTGGTGGGGACGTGGGAGGAGGTGAAGAGTGTGTGTAAGGCTTATCGAGTGTATTTCTCTACGCCGCCCGATGTGAAGCCTGGGCAGGATTACTTGGTGGATCATAGTATCTACTTTTATCTGATGGGTGAGTTTTCCGTGACGATGGAAGGAATGGAGAAGGGTTCGGTTTGCTGACTTGAGATGTTGCTCAGATCCTGAAGGTGACTTTGTAGAGGCGATTGGGAGAAATTTCACTGTCGATGCTGCCGCGAAGGTCATCAATGACCATATTGCAGACTGGAAAGGGAAGATCGATACATCATGAGAGATGTATGATAAAAAGTAAAGCATGATTGTGTGGACTAGTGTACAAATAGAGCATCCCATGGCCTGCGAGGTGCAGTGCCTGGACTGCTATAATGTAGAAAGTAAGTCTCATCGAGCTATGGATAACGTGAAGCTTGCTAATATGCCTCGATGCAGTACCTCACTCACGCCCTGATATCGTCTTCATGACTACTTGATCCCCACCGTTCTCATTTGGCTTCTCCAAGTCTTAGTCTCAGATGACTGGGCCCGCTGTAACGGCCCAATGCTCTGAAAGCCGAGTGTGAACGAAAATACAGAAATATCAGTGCTGTCATGCCTGGTATTTCATATCTTGCTGATGCCATACCAGGTCGACTCTCTCGATTTGCCACATCGAACTACGCTTCTCCCACGCCTGCCATACGCGTCCTTGGTCGTATCTTGGATGATGTGATATTCCATTGTGGTGAAGAAATACTTTTTATTTATCTTGCAGATGCACAAGAAGCGCGGGCACCTCCCAGTGACTGCCGGAACAGGAAGGAGCAACGGCCTATAGGTACTTTCACGATTGTACTTTGGCAGCCGAATGGATAGTGCCATTTGTCTGCGCGAGATGCATCGCTACCACCGCAGTACCCTGGTCAGTATCTTCACGCTTGCGCTGGCTCGAGACGTTGCTGTCTGAAGTCACGGCGGTGATGGAGGACGTCGGAAGCCCAGGGTAGAAATATATTGTTGTATGGAAAATGTCGGCTGACGAAAACGATATCTGGGGGGTGCGTGCAAACAGAGATATGATTATGAAAAGGTGAGTACATCTGAGATCATTCATAAAGGATATCTACGTATCACTGAGCTGACTGGATAATTGTCAATAAAATGCTGCAGCTCCATTTTGCGCTAGCTAGCGATCCCGTTTGCGATATTCCCCAGTCTCGCGCTTGCTGTCTCTCGCCTCGCTGGAACGACAATTCGATGCTCTGCTGATGTGCTAGGCATCAGGTTCAGTATGTTGGCTGTTTCCTCCCATCCTGCTGACATCAAAGCATTCGCGAGGCTCGAATAAGACTTCTCCCAGCCAGGACATGCGCAACAGACCCGGTATTGAGACGGGCTGGTTCGGGTGCTGAGATCAACTTTTCTCAATCCAGGCCATCCTAGCATCCTCGATAGTTTCCTTGGTGAGATGGTACTTCTCACGATCCGCCATGGCTGGAATCTGGTGGTCTTCTGGGTTTTCGATGCGCGACAGCACCTTCATGAACACGTCCATGAGGAAATCATCTCCGCACTCCATTTCCGTGTATATCAGAGGAGCTCGCAACCTACCCATATTTGCCGTAGATGCGACCGCTCCGATGGAGTCAACCGCCCAATGCCACAACTTCGATCCCTGCAAAGCTTTTTCCAGATGATCTTCGAACCCAGAAAAGATTGTGACTCCATTGTCATACTCGCGCATGATGAGCGCGTCCATGACCGCATTGGCGTAAACCGGATCGCGCAACCAAAGGCTCGCTTTCCATTCCCAAAAAAGACGTAGGCAACTATCCTCGATGCCGTTCGTAACGACGCCAGTGTACAGCCAGTGTACGTACTCTTGGAGTGGCTCCAGTTCGGACTCGAATATTTCCTCGAATGCTGGGTGGCCGCCGTTACCCAGCAGAACGACACTTCCTTTCTCTAGCTGGGCTTTAATGAATAAAGAGCTCCTGGAGATGACATCCCGATGCACCCACATGTCAGTGGTGCCGTCTCCAGACTTGAGTTCTACGAGGTTCTTGAAGTTGGGACTATACTGGCTGTCAGCAGATTGCGCCTCGACGGGAGTGCAAGGGTTGGTCATACACTGGGCGCTTTACCGCGACAATTGTCTGTTCTCCAGCATCGCGCTCACGCTTGAGTGCCGCACTGCTGTCTGATGACATGATCGTCATTGGCGAAGGGTGGCGCGTTTCTGAAAGAGCTGGGATGTGGTCTTCTCGGGGGTAAGCGTGGCGTATGATGCGATGTTTGTAGACGCACGCATGGAACGAGGGCGAGGTTGGTAAATGAAGCGAGGTGAGTTATGGTAGCGGTGATCGAAGTAGTGAAGTTGGAGCTGACTGGAAATGTGTCAACATCAGTAACCGCGGCATATCAAAGCTCAGGCCAGGTGAAGCGTGCGCGAGGATTCACTTCGAGAACACCTCAGAAGTGCTTCCAGCTTATGGGCTCAGCTCAGCCTCTATGCGACGAATGCAGCCTTGCCTCGTCTCTGAGGGACCAGTGATATCTACGCACCCTCTGGACTCTGCATCTACTGCCCATGTTGACCGCTCGTAGCCGTCCAAGACTAACGGACTTTCACTACCTGCCTCCTCCACTACTTTTCGCGTCACAGAGGAGCACTTGGGCAGGAGACCTTTGTATGCTGACCCTTCTGAGCCGTCTGGAAAGGTCATTGCCATTGTCTTGTCAAAGTTCAAGCTACATGATATTAGCGACTTCATCCTTTTCACTGACAGCAAGGTCATAAGCGCACAGAAATCGCTTCACAGGCGGCACATCATCCTCTCTGTCAGTGTCATGCTTAGGTTTGTAGATCAAGGCTCGGGACGTGTGCTTGGGTTCTACAATTGTGGACATCCGGTCGAGAAAATGGGTGTCCCATGGTACCTGAATATCGTTGCTTGTGGGTTTCCCTCGACGAGCTGCCTTGGCATTCACCACGAAGGCGATAGTGTGAGTACGCAACAAGTGAAGACGGCGAGCTAACATATCATAGGTATCTAAGCAATCAACTGAGCGGTCTCTCACTCTGCCAATACTTGCTTCACTGTGCGGTTTGCAGTCGTATGACTGAGGCATAGTATGTGGGCCGAGGCTTGGCAGCTACCTCCTTCCATCGACCACCCGGCAACACGCACAGGATTGTACCTATATAAACTTCCCACCTCGCAATAATCGGAGCTTTCGCGATTGTCCTCGATCATTGGCACCACCATCCGACCGAGAACACTTGGAGTCTTCCACGAACCCCAGAAATCCTGCCCTGTCTTAGAGAGGCATTCTACAATTCCATCGCTGTGACGATGGCGAGCAGCTCTCCTCAGCGCACTGCACTTGCTGCGCAGGGACGCCCTCCGGTCGAGCACCGAAAGATGATGTAAGCAGTGGAGATGTCTACCACCATCGGGATCTGACTCTCGATTTGCATAATGCACCCATGACGAAGTCTGTCCTGAACCATCACATGAAGCTGACCCTTCGCCTTAGGCGCGGTGCGTCGAAATCGATCATCATCATCGCAGGCAGTGGCATGGCCGCAAACGACCCCAAGATTGCCTACACCGTCTCCAAAGACCTCCTGACCCAGAATTCTGGCAGTTTCCGCGACCTGTTCGCTTCGAAGCCGCTTTCGGAAGCCTTTCAATTGCCACGGGTCATGGCTCTCCCTTTCGAGTTCTACGTCCGCTTTCTTACAGACGCAAACCGAGATCTGCTCACCATGGCGAAGTCTCATGCCGATCGAGCATGTCAGACAGAGGCTCTTCGTGCACAACGCCCCTCTTCCGACCATGGCGACCTGGAACACGAGGTCTGTATGCTCGAAGCCCTATGCAATATCTGGTACTCCGCGCATGGTTTCCGGGATCCCAGATTCTGTAATGCAGCTATCGACGCCATCCTGCATCTCCCGAACCTCGGACCCTGTGCCATCATCTGCACTACGAAGTGGTGTGCCCGCGCAATGGGAGGAGACTCCATAGTGGCACAGCACTTGGACGAAGATACGCCACTGCTGAAGCTGATGCTGGATAGTGTCGCGGCTACTATGACACCTAATCTGATGAGGTCCAACTTCCTGGACGGCACTTGGTCTCTCGACTTTGGCGCGAAACTTACCCTCCGATTAAACACCTTCGTTCATTTCGGCGTGGAGGTAAGAGTTCCGACACTGGGAGAGCGACAGCGATACTACGCCCAAGCATGATTGAGATACGAATACCCATGAACTCGCCACCTAGAGTCAGACGGTGGAAAGATATCTGGAAAAAGAGTGTATCATGTTGCAATTCTGTTTTCTGCAGCTGCGACGGGACAATTGGCGGCTTCGGCTGCGGAAGGAATGCATGCGGGCAAGTGAATCGGCACGACCGGAATCGGCACAACGCCTAATATCATTTGCAATGACTGGTTTGCTTGCGCATGGAAGATGCAAGAGGGGGATCGTAACAGATGCGGGAAGAACACAAAGGGCAGGGAAAGATTCTTCCAGATGAAGAACTACACGCTCGAGCTGCGTAGTACTCTACCTTATGGAGTTGCGTTTGGCCATATGTGATTCGATATGAGAGGGTATTGGCAATCGCCATCTAGGTTGATACACAAGCGGCGGTTCACACTCATATGCGACGCATCGAACTTGCGCTTGTACTTGCATGTCATCATGCCTACCTATTACATGGCTCATACGACCACATCACGAGCCGTGAAACCAAAAGGCTGAAAGACATAAGATAGCGCGCTGAGATTCCATAACATTATTCCAATCTACCTTGACGTGCGGCTCAGAAGTACCTAAGTACTGACCTAGGTAGGAGGTACTTGTACCTGGTAGGCTTGGTGATCTGCACCATTCATTCGAATTCCACATCAAGCTCCAAATACGCCCCTTCCTCCAACGCAACGCACCAGACCGCCTTTTTCACAAGAAGTCAATGTCCATGTTACGTTACAATCGATCGATCGATAGATAGATGTTCTAACTAGAATACGGGCAAACCCAGCCTATCAAGAAAAGATACCTGTACCTGTACCTGTTCCTACCGAGTATAGTATATAAAAGGGCAAAGCAAGCTGGCACGGGTTACTAAGCAGGAAGAAAGGAAGAAAGGGTTATCCATGTATAGATGTGAGCGATCTAACAGGTAGAATCGCTGTATAGATAGGTAAGGTAGGTGAGTAGGTAGGTAATGTAGGTAACATAGGTAGGTAGTACCTCTAGGATAGGGTCTATAACGAGATCGAGATCAAAATCGAGCTATGGTGACTATACTAGAGCGCTATATCTATACCTACCTACCTATTCTTTGGATCTGGAACTCTAGGAGATGGTGGTGCGTAATTGTGTTGCGTAGAATAAAATAATCATAACAATGATACGCTGATAACGGGTCGTTCAGCAGTACATACCTAATGTATAAAGAAGCTTCAAATCCCAATTGTGCATTATACCTATACCCATATACAGCACATTGGATAGACTACATTCGGACCAACAGTCGGCTTACCTAGGTGTATTTCCACACGCGATACATTGCGTCCAGCTCTCTCTCTCTTGTACTAACTTCGAGAATCCAAGCCATGACCAGTTTGCAGTACCTTGCGAAGTGGATCAAGTGTTCCCTTTTGGACATACGAGTATAGGTACCTTAGGCTTCGATACGAGGTCCGAACAGTATACGAGACGGGGCAATCTGGGCTGGCTGGTATAAGAAAAGGGATGATGTAGGACATTTCGCGTGCTTGGAGGCACTATAGGCTTTGGTGTTGGGAGGCATTGGAGATGAAGTGCTGACTGCTAAAAGAGAAAAAGTCATAAGAGCCTTGTCGCCTTGCACGTACCTATTTTATTACATGATGTATAGCTGATCATGAATAATGAGTAGGTAGTCTCCATCAGAAGTCATGCCTGCACAAGTCAGATGTGTCGCGTCTCCTAGCGAGGTTTCTTGCGGAGTGCAGCAAAAGAGGAGAAATTCGCAAGAGGCCCCTTTTGGATCTAGTTTCTCTATGTCTCCCTCCCTCTCTCTCTCTCTCTCACTCATATGATTCATCATAGAAAGCCCACGTGAACCCTTGAGGAGCCCACGTTCTTGATGAGTGGCCTGCTACGAATCGGTTTCTCGACAACTCGGCTCAGCAGCGGGCGAGTTACGCGAGTTCATGGGAAGACTCGTGACCAAAAGGCTTATCATCATCAGAGAATGCGGCTTGTCAGAAATGAAATAAACCTGGTTCCCAGCAAAAAACATGGGATGGGGGGCATGCTCTTTACTAGCCTCTTGCATGACGAAAGTCTGTTTCTGAAGCAATCTTTCCAAGGAACGTCCTCACCATTGGGTGCCAAGGAATGTTTTGACTTGAGTCTTGCGGCATGTACCTGTATATTTCAGGGGGGGTTGTTGGAAAAGATGGCTGGGTGTCGTGATGTGAAGTCGTCGATAGGAGGTCAGGTAGTAAAAAAGACGTGCTCGATCTTGGCCCCGGATTGAGTAGTCATCAACAATCGTAGCTAAATGTAGGTAGGCTCAGTGACCGTCTGTGAATGGCGTGTATGGAACAGAGTGCTCTAAGATGTAGCCTGTTCCTGTTGGAGAGATGGGAAACGCTGCCGACTGCCGACGTGCCTAGGGGTGAAGAAAAAGAAATAGCAAAGTACCTAAATTCGCTGCATTATTCGCACACTCAAACGGCCGAAGTTCTTCCCACCTCACCTCTTCCCGCCGTCTCTTTCCCTCCCTCCTCCTTCTCCTCTTCCACCTGGCAACCAACACTAAAAGGTAAAGCCTGATGACCGGTAACAGGCCTGAGGGTTGTTGGGTGAGAGAAGTCTTCCTCAAGGCTCAATCCATCTCCCTGCCATTCAGCTTCGGCGGCGGCACGATTGTAACCTTTGACTGCCGTTGAATAAGGAAAAAAACCGTCACTCGGTCCCCTCCACCGCAACAGTGGCGAAAAACAAAAATCCAAGGTAGTATCATGTATGAGAGCCTACGAAGGTCGCAATCGGCCTACTTCGACAAAACTTCGGGAACTCATCGCTGGATTTCTCTACTAGTGTCTTCTTTCCAAGTCGTACTGGGGGGTCCCTCATCATGGCCAGGATAGAGTGATAGACCGTCGTGTGGCTACCATACATCGATCATGGTCTACCCCTTCCACCCCCAGCTGGTTGCCGGGCTGCTGGTACACTCTCTTGATTTGAGTCTTGACGTCGTAGCCGCAAAAGCCCGACAAGTCACCACTAATCCCATTGCTGCAAGATGCGTCTTCCTACCGAGTATAGTGATATGGCAGCGGCACTAACACGATACGATGCCCATCATGCAATTCCACACAGGCTAGGTCGTGGCAAGCGTCCGGATCGACCGTGTCTTTTTTTTTGCATGCCCAGTGACAGTCCGACCGATCAAGCAGCCAGCCTTTTTATGCTTAAGGTAGGTACCTATTGACCGTATTGTTGCCACTCACTCACTCACTCACTCACAGAAAAAGTAAAAAAGAAATAAAAAGGTCTTTTGGACTGCCCCCCCGCCCATCCGCCCCCCTGGCGCGAGATTCCCCTTCATCAGTACCTACCTAGCCATCTCTCAACCCGGAAACCAAACTTCAATGATCCACAACGAAGACGACGACGACGACGGCAGCGAAACTATTACATTATAAAATTCTGCAATGGAACATCACACAACCGAACAACTCGGCCACCACAACATCCACACCTCACCCACAACCCTCCCCGAGCTCCCCCAAATTCTCCATCAAGGCCTAACCGCCGTCTCCGTGCTGGCACTCCTATCCGTAACCAGCGCATCGGCATTATTTCTCCATCTCGGATATCGCCTTTTCAGATGGAAACACCGCAGTCAAGTACGATGCAACCAATTCGTAGTTTTAATTTTCAATTTGCTGCTCGCCGACATTCAACAATCTACTGCGTTTGTCATCAATTCGAAATGGGTGCATGACAGGAGTATCGTGTCCGGTGGTCCTGCTTGCTGGGCGCAAGGCTGGTTCGTCAGTATCGGAGATTTGTCGAGTGGACTTTTTACTTGTGCGATTGCGATGCATGCCTTTGCTGATATCGTCTACGACTATCGACTCTCGCAACGGACCTTCCGCCTCTCGCTGCTGGGCCTGTGGACATTCACTTTCCTCTGCGCGGGGATCGCGCTCGCATTGCATCGCTCCAACCTCTACGTGCGAGCGGGAGCATGGTGTTGGATCGATATGAAGTACATCCACGTGCGATTGTGGCTGCACTGTTTCTGGGTGATTCTTGCCATGCTGGCAATTGTCGTGTTATACGCCATCATCACCATCGTCCTCCATCACCGCGTGTCCGGGTCCTATTACACAACTTCGACTGCGCAGCTCCGGATACAAACCACCATGAAAGTCATCATCGCCTACCCGACCATCTACGTCGTGTGTACTCTCCCGCTCATCATCTCCCGACTGCGAGCCTTGTCAGGCTACGATGTAGGCTTCACAGAACTCTGCGTCGCCGCAGCGATGATTACCAGTAATGGCTGGCTGGATGTCCTGCTGTATAGTCTGACTCGAACGAGCGTCTTGTTCGGCTCAGATTTGACAAACCAGAACATCCGGGCTCTGGAGACGTTTACTGCGACATCCAACTGGCGACCAGACGGCCTCTTCGGTACCACCACCACAGTCGAAGCGGGAACGAGGAATTCGCGCCAGGCAAGACGATCCCAATTGGGCCAAGTTCACGGCACCGAGAGTCTGGAGCAGTTGCATAACGAGAGGAAGCTCAGTGTTGTGCAGGTCGAGACCACGGTGCACGTGAGCGTCGAGGATGTGGAGCTCAAACAAGTCCACATTCGAATGGGCGTCATCAATGAGAGGAGAAGGAGTGCGGGAGGAGATCCGGACTGCATCAAAGGTTCCCTGAGCTTCGATACTGCAACCACGAATGAAAAATGAAGTTTGATGAACCGCATATCTCCATTGAACTGTTGAGTTTGAAGTCGAGATGCCCTGTGCTATTCTGCCGCCGCTAGCTATCCCCATAGCAATGACTCTTGCTCATTCCGAGCTCATACTCGACGTCTCCGATCCTTCGTCCTCATCATCAGCATCGGAAGGTGATCGCACGGGTATACTGTCAAGGCGCACTGAACTCGATATCAGATTTTGCGCACATTCAAACACAGAGCAGTCACGAAAGCCTCACCAGGTGGTGCCTCAGCTTCCATCACCCGAAATCGAGACTTTTTCGGCGTCACGCGTACACCACTATCATGTCTCTGCCGCAATGGAGATCGCGAGCAAGTCGCGCCAGCTATACAGTTCACGACATGGTGTCGGGTTGGGACAGTGCGCATCTGGTCGACCCCAAATTCGCTCCGGTATGGTGATTTCGGGACGAAGATGTCGTCGCCAGTCCAGGCTTCAGACGACGAGGGACTGCCAGTGGGCGGGGCGGATCGCAGTCGAGACAAGTCAACAGGAGAGTGAATATGTAGGGTCTTTCGCCTCTCTTCGCGGGTGGGAGACGGAGAATCAAAGCATGCTGCCACTGCTGCTTCCACGTCATGAATTGGTGCAAAGTCTTCTGGCTTAAGAGGCGCGCCACCTGGCGAGGAGTCTTGGTCCGTTCCTGGCGAGCTGGCTACCATGTCGAAGGCGCCATCAAGGCAGTTATTCAAAGTCTTTGTGAGAGACCTAGGTAACGGGACGCCTCCACTGACACTTGCGGGACTGGACGATTGAGTGTGACTTTCTGTTTGGACTCCTTGCGCAGCACATGGACGGAACCTCTCCGCAGGCGATACCCTTGGCGATGCACTCCTTCGACGATCCGCCTCAGGCGTCGTCCAGTGCTTGCTCATCTGCAGCTGATACGAGGGCCTGGATGGTGTGTCTAGGAGATGGCGCAGAACTCTAGGGCGGCGAGGTGGTTGAGAGATGTGCGTACCTCCGGGGCTGTACGTTGGCCGCAGCCGAGGAGGAGACCATGTGCATCTGCCTGCACAGCATCAGCATTCAGCATGCCGCAAGTGCATATACCATGGCACACTCAGCACACCTGTGCTGCTGTATCTGGGCGGCTGTTCTCGGGATGTTGATTGGCTGTCGACTATCAGATGTCAATACCATCGGGTCAAGATGACAAGAGCATGTGTACAATGAATTTCACCTGGTTGGACATTCTCTTTTTCGGAAAGTTCATGCATGGTGTAATCCATATTCGCGTAAGTCAGTGCTGTGTTGTTATCGCTGGGTTTTGTGTTGTTGTCCAAGACCAAACCGAGTTACGTTGAATGTAAGAGGTACATGTACTGTAGTGTTTGTGAATAAACAAAAGCCCGACTCTTGCTAGGTCGTGTTACTATCTGATCTCCATAAGTAGAAGGCGTTGTCGCGAAGCTGCGTCTCGTGGCAAAGTCAGTCCTTCCTCGAAAGTCAGTGTTAATAGTTCATCGCGAGGCTCCAAAGGTAATCTTGAACTATGGCCTCGTCGAACTTTCCCGCGGTGGTGAAGAGTGCTTGACAGGATTAGTCGGTTAGGTAGGAATGAATCTGCGAAAGCCGTTCATTCCATTGTAAATCTTGTTGTTGCTTCGTCCATTGCACTGGAGCATTCACTCACTTCAGTTGGAGACAAATCGCCCATCGTGAACTCTCTCAGCACCGCGCAAACGCGTCCCGACTCCCGCTACAGGTATGGAAGAAGACGCACGTGGTGGTCATCGGTTCTCGAGAGTACATGTACTTCGGTTTCAGGCTAGGAGGTATGCTCGGAGAGGAGGCGATAAGCTGCAAAGTCAATCTAAACAAACATTAAACAAACATTGTTTCCAAGTACATGTTCCTGGACGGATGAGCGTTGACTCTGTTGACTCCGTTGACAAGTCCACGTCGAAGGATGCCGCGGAGTGTCGCGGAGCGGCAACAGTGTCTCGCACCTTGAGATTGCGCGATCCCTCTCATCATATCTATGTAGTAGTGCAGTGCCTGTCAATTAATACCAAACTGCGAACCGCTGCATTAGGCCGTGGTCCGCTGTGCCCCGGTGGCGGAACAGAAGGGAGTTGATGATATAAAGTAGTGTCCCACGGTGCCAATATCGAAGATACCCCGGCCCATAGTCCTAACTCATCCTGGCAAATCCGGAATCCACAGCTCGAGGCACAAACGCCACAGAATGGAGCATTTAGCCAAGGTCGTTTCAGAAATGGATGTTCGGCTGCGTGCTGTATGTACTGTAGATTATGGGGCTGCAGCTGCATTTGGTCTGCACAAAATTCACGGGAGCATTCAGTCCATCCAAACTGTTGCGTAGAGGGATCACGAGTGCAGAAGCAGTAGTAGTAATACTGTAATACACCGTGTTTGAGATGTAATGATCACGATGTTGGAGTGAGGGATTGCGGCCGGCCTACCTCCTAAGTATAGCAAGGGAGAGCAGAAAAAATAGCACTAAATCATGTCCCCCCCGCCAGCGCACGGGTCGCGTTGTGCTTAAACCTTCCTATGCACAAGGTTTCATGGAGTTTCCAGAAACATACGCGAGCGTAGCGTGCGATAGCAAGAGGATGTTAACCATCCGTATGATTTCTCTCTTCCTTGTTCCGGGGCACGATGCGCATCCATCGTACTCAGAACAGCCTGGGAGGCTGGCAGCAGCTGCCGGCTTTTCTGCTTCGGCAGCCTCGCTTTCCATACGGTAGTCATCTTCTTCTTCTCCTCCTCCTCCTCTTGTTTTTGCTTTTGAGGCGCGAGACTGCGTCAGCCCTGCTGCTTTCTGCCACCACTTCCGTTTGAGGTGCGCGGGAACGTTTCGAAGACTCGACAGCACGCGCGAGTGAAGTGCTGCCCGGCCGTGTGGCTGTTTGCGAGACGAGGGCAGCGTTGGACGCAGGGTGAAGCCACGGTCCTCGACAATCTGCTGTCCCGGCCAAGGCTACACTACCTCCTACAGACTCGCTGTCGATATCATCACCTCCAACGTGCCGGACCTTACCTTCGTAGCGGCGACCCGCTGATCTGGTATCCAGCGAGCGTCGTTGACCTTGTTTTTTTTTCTCGTCCTCTGGTGAGTTCCTGGCTGGGCTGGCTGGCTGGCTGGCTGGCGGGTGGTGGTCGGCGAGGGCGGCGGCGGCAGAAGAGCTGCAGCAACAACGGCTGACTGCAGAAACAGGGCAGGACAGCCACTCATTCAGCAACACCCACACTCGTTTGTACCACTGAAAACCACGCGCGCACCGCACGACGAGCCCACTCCGCTGGACCAGTGACGAATTTCCCTTGCGCAACAGCGTGCACCAAACGCAGGAGACGGCCCTCATCCATCGCACATCGCCATCCGCAAGGTAGAACACGGCAGCGTGCCTGCAGCTGCGCGAGCGCTGTGCGCAGCATCCATTGGAGCGACGACGTGGACCAGGACACATCCAGCCCCAACGAAGAAGGTCTACAGCAGCCAACGCTACGAACACGCCATCCGGACCTGCATATAGGCATTGTGAAGATCCATTGTTCGTGCGCAGCCACCGCCGCTTCCCTTGACCACACGTCTCGATGAGCCGACCTTACTACGACCAAGGGTATGGAGGAGGCATACCCGAACCTCATTCTTCTGACGAGACCGCACGACAACGACAGAACATTCATCCTTCCAGTCGCATTCCTCGGCCAGGGTTGACCCCAGACCGCATCCGTGGCTCTCCAGTCATGGTTCCTAACTTCTCTTCTGCTTCGCCCATGCACAGCCCGAGAAGATCCCCAGCTCATCAGCCGTACCCTCCTACAGCTCAGTCGACACGACAGACTCCAGAGCATCAACTGTATGACAGCAACCCGTACGAGTATCAAGAAGATTACGGCCAGAATGATCAATGGCCATTGCACGCCCAGTCTCCCGCGCGAGCCACTCAAGATCCCACTAACAGCTCTCGAATGACCCCTCGACGACCTGCGCGGCCAGATGAGGCTCCTCGGCAACTGGACTATCGTCAACACGATCGCGACCCTCCTCGACACATGCCTCCTATGATGCCGACAAATCGCCAACCCTATCATGGACACCCACCTTCACATCACGGCAATGGACAGTGGACGGGAGAAGGATATAGCTACGCCCCACCTCCCAACTACCCACTACCTAATAGGCCTTTGCCGCCTGATGCCGCAACGTCGACCGCGAATTTCTCTGCTCTACCTGCATATCCTCCGCCACAGGTCCCGCAGCAAGCGGCCTACCAGGCACAGGAAAACCGTCGACCACCTCTTGGTCCTCCCCCATCTGCGCGTCGAGGACCACCTTCCTATTACCCACAGGTTGGGCCCGTGCATCCCATTCTAGAAGAAACCGACAGCATGCGTGGAAGTATGCGCACCGGTAGTGTCAATACGGGTGGACGCGACAGCAAAACATCTTTCGCCAGCAGCAATGCTATCCCCATCGGCATCTCTCAGACACACCTCGAGCGCGGCAGAGAGGTGAAATACCAACCCGTCCAGCGACCAGCGCCGCTTTCTGATACCGAAGACGAGGAGGAGGATTACGATGACTCTCCCACGGAACCTGCCATTGCTCGCGGAGAGATCAGAACGCCGGACTACATGCATCGTCACGACCAGGCCAGTCCCGAACATGGAATCGTGCGACAGGCGAGTCTTGGCAAGCGCAGTAAGCCTACCTTGACTACTGTCAAAAGCTCCGATCAGGTCAGAAGGAGTGGTGGCGAGGCCAAGAGCAGTCTCGCAGGACTTCCTAGCCAACAGCAAAGTAGCACGCGAGCCGAGCCTCCCGCATTTGATATTTCTGAGCGTACCGAGAGAGCGAGAGCGTTAGCGCAGGAGATGTTGGAAGGACAGGCACAACCGGGTGCGTCCAGCGTGCAGCAGCAACAATATGCCGACAGTGACCAACAACAGCCGAGTACGACAGCTGCAGTGACAGGTGCCACCGCATCGTACATGCAAGAGACTCCTTTGGACCAGAAGTCCACCAAACCGACCCCAGAGGAGGCCTTTCGTTCGGGCAGTGCCTTACTCGACGCTTCGTCTGACTCCGAGAGCAACAGCAATGCCAGTCTCCATATCAGGCGACAACGCTCCCGAGAGCTTCTTGGAGCCGAGTTGGCAAATCAACTCCATCCACAGCGTTCAACAGCACGCTCACCACTTGCCCCTGCAGTGGACCCCCGCGTCGAGTCTATTATTGGCAGTCTCGAAAAGGGTGGTGCTATTAGTGCAGCTGAGGCGGAAGAGCTTAAGCAGCCGATGGGCGGCATGTCTGAACGTGCGGGCAAGCGTAGGCCGCCTCGCCTCAACGTGGATGCAGTCAAGGAGGCCGAAGCGCGAGGATCACTGACCAGCTTATCGGACCTCATCCGAAGAGCCACTAAACTGGCCTCGAATCTGGATCGTGGCAAGACTGCCAGTAGAATGGGCATGAATTGGATAGATGGCGCGGGAGCAGACGAGAAGAAACATCGGTCCGGCAGCATGTCCGACATCCTGTCCGCCTTCCCACCGCCTGCTCTCGCGACTTCACCAGGTTCTCGAAACGGCTTCAGACGCAGTCTGGCCAACTGGTCGGTGAAGGGAGACAGACACTCCGCATTGCCCAGCGATAGTGACGCTGGCGCAATCAAGCGAAGAAGATGTTGCGGCATGCCTCTGTGGGTTCTCGTCTGCCTCATCGTGCTGCTGATCTTGCTCGTGGCCGCCGCTGTCGTTGTACCGGTCGTGCTCATCGTGCTGCCCAGGCAGGAAGATGCCGTTGTATCAAAGGTTGGGACCTGCGCCGCGAAGCTTGTTTGTGCGAACGGAGGAACTAACATCCTCGGCAGTAATGGCATCTGCGAGTGTCTTTGTGTCAATGGATACACTGGCTCGACGTGCGCGACATACCAACAGTCTGGCTGCAGCTCCATCAGTGCTGGTCCCTCCAGCAATGCGACCATCGGCGAATCCTTACCACGACTGCTCTCCAGCGCCGCTTCCACCTTCAGCATCCCCCTCGATACCCAGGAGCTTTTGGGATTGTTCTCCTCTGCCGATATGAGTTGCAACGTGCAGAATCAACTCGTCACGTTCAATGGCCAGAGCACGAGGCGATGGCTCGTACCAAGTTCGGAGGTCCGAGCGCCTTCATTCAATGGTATTGTTACTGCGAGAGAAGATTCGAGCAGCAGCTCTCCAGCTACGGACGACGCCAGTCTCAACGCACCCAGCACTCCCTCCGCCCTCTCCGCCCCTACACCAGCGACATCAGCGACATCCACCACCACTACAACGACAGCTGCAGGGGACGTGAACAGCAAAACCCTCGACTTCGCACGAGTTGCGGTCCTCTACATTTTCCAAACTTCGCGCGTGCTTCACATCGCCGCCGACGCACAAGATAATCTGCAATCGTACTTCCGCTCGGGCGATACAACAGACCAACAGCCAGCGAGTGCCAACAACATCACGCTCGGCAGTGGATACGTAGCTGACTTGACCACATTCAGCTTGATCACCAGCAATGGCACCACCGTTGGGAGGCGTCCGATACGGCGACTTTGACTTTGAGACGGGCACCAAGTTGAGCGCCTACCATGTGACGAAGGAAAAAACCAAGACGTGGTTCAAGAAGGTGTGGAGGGCGGTCTCACTGCAATGGCGGTGGATGGTGGCAACCTGGCCATTCAAAATACGAATGTACTTTCGGTCCTTTGGCCAAACGAGCCAGGGCCTCGGCACGCCAGTCAACGCGAAATGAGAAACGAGCGACGATTTGGGAGAGAAGGATGGCGGGGCGCTCTAATGGGGCATGGCACTTTGTACGTGGGAAAGTAGTCGAGACAGATAGGCACAAATGAAGGATGAGAAGCCGGCCATTTGTCTCACGTGATCTCAATGCCCTCTCGAAGACAGGATGCTTCTTGCGGGTTCCACGAGCCAGGGCACCAAAGGCAGGCAGGCATGGGTGACACAATTGCAGTGAACAACAGAGTTGGACCTGGCTGGTGACTAACCTCTCATAGCACGGGCGCTAACAACATAACGGATCAGATGATGAGGTGCGTGAAGCGAAGAGGGAAGAGGAAAGAGGTGGAGGAAAGCCAAGTAAGTACAGACAAAACACCACCCACCTCTCCCGCGAGGGTCAGGAGGTCAGGAGGTTGGAAGGTAGAGAGTTCCATGGGGCACCAGGTACGTGCGATTTTTTTTTCTTTTCCGACAGAATAGAATACCTAGGCGGTTTGGATAGCTAGGTAGGTTGGAGGATAAGGGAGTGAGTGAGGGAGGACCAAGGCGCTGTACTAACAATAACTACCTTACCTGTACACAAGACGACTAATGCAGGTATGGTAAGGTAAGGGACGGGACCTATCGAATGCGTGCGTTATTGCCAAGAGGGACGGTAGTGCGTACCTGTACTCACTATCTACCGTACTAGACCCATAGTGTGAAGTAGTTTGTGCGTGTGTGTATATGTATGCGTATGCGTGTGTGACTGACTACCTTAGGTACCATTCGAGGTATATTACACATATCACAGTAAGGTAAGTAAGATATCTAGTGCTATGTACCAAAGCAATAGTCTCCTGCGAAGTGTCTCTGATGCAACTTTTTTTTGCGGTGTGTAGTTAGTTGATCCTTTTTCGCTTGTCTGCACTAATAATAGTTCTAGGACTAAACCCAACTCACTGTAGATATAGCTATATATATATCCCCCGCGCAGATTCTCTCTCTGTTTGGGGAATTGTCTCCGCTCTTTTGGTGTCACTAAAGGTACAGTTTTAGAAAGAGGAGGGGGGGCGAAAAGGATTGGCATACATCACATCCAAGATTTTGGTACTACTGCGAGAAAGGGGACTTTTTTTTTGATGTCATGCATGAGCTTGACAGTTGGTTGGAGTGAGGTGTGTGTGACATGGAGAATAGGTACAGGTATGATATGTAGGGACAAAGAAGAAAAGTGGCGATGTAACATCGTCATGATGGAGTAGCTACTATACTCACTGTATGGCCTCCTTGTGGAGCCGAGAGGAAGTGATGGGGTACTGATCTGTACCTTGTCTATATAAGTATACCTACGTGTACCTATCTGAGCTTCCACTTCAACTCAAAAACTATCTTATCTCACAGGTCAGCTTACCGATATTCGAGAGAACTTTTTGTATTACAAAAGGACAACAACAACAAAGACAACATCACCACTACCAAGAACAAGAACAACAAGAAGAACAACAACGAGAAGAAAGAAAATAATAGAACAACCATGCTCTCCTCCAAACAGCTTCTCGCCTCCCTCGCCGCATTCGCAACCTCCTCCCAAGCCCTCTACTTCAACCTCGACCCCTTCATCGCCAGCGACGTCCGCGTACCCTCCGAATCCCACTACATCAGCTTCACCGTCTCCAACCCCGAAGCAGTGTTCGAACAAGGAGGTCCCTATCCTCGAAACTGCTCCATTAGCTGGTAAGTAAAACAAAAAAAAAGAAAAGAAAACCATACCCTCACCCACACCTACCTTTACTCACCCTCCAAAAAAACAGGACAACATCCCCCCCACCAACCTGCTGGACCCCCTGCCAATCCGACTCTCTCTCCCCAAGCTACTTCACGCGCGTCTCCCCCGACACATATCCCGGAGATTCCGCCTCCAAATTTATTCTCGAGATTGAAGAATATTTCGTGTACAAAAACAGTGCCAAATACAACGTGACAGTCGCCGTGGAAGAAACTCCTACGACGAATACGACGGGCCCGTTGTATCGCTGTTCGAGGGGTGGGCAGAGTACGATTTGTGGGTATTGGGGACAGCCGATGGGGTGGAATACGTCCGAGTTGACGGCGACGTATAGTGTGGCGCCGAGGGATGGGGTGTGTGGGGAGGCTTAGGGTTTTTTAGGTATGGATGCATGAGTGGTGAATTGCATATGTACGTACGGCAGAAGTACAACAGTAGTAGATGCATGTGACCTGCCTGAGGCACTCATAGAGGGCCCCCACAATAGGTAGGTGGGCAACAGTGGATGGAAAAGTAGAAATCGAAAGATTTTCGACTGCATGCGATGACTGTGGTTTACGACCATACAAGCCTCACACTGAGCGCCTTCTTCGCTCGCTGGCGAGGAGCTCCTCTCTAATCTTCACGGCCTCGTCGAACCCACTCGAGGACTACTCGCTGCGCGAGATACTTCGCAACACGCCAGAGTCCATCAGTGACCTCTCGGCTTGTGACCTCTCATTGTCCTTCTGGCCACAGATCTCCTAGTATCTCCCATAGCCATACCGACCCATGCCCATCGACATCGGGTGTCCTCCGGGACTGCCAATTGCATTCGGATCCAGAGGCGACAGGTTGCCGAATTGCAAATCTGCGCGATCGCGACGATATCTCGGATCACGACCAATACGAGCTGGGGGATGTCCCCAGTTGTGGTCGTAGAAACTGTGGTTCCCATTTGGTCCTAATCGTTGATCAGTACATGGTTCTGGCCCAGACAACAACTTTGCTCACCTCTGTCGACACACCAGTCTGGTGGCTGCGACCATCGACACCAGTAGTCATGGCGCTGCTGGGGCGGACCTTGCACGTGAGCAGCTAGGTTCTCATAGATGGGGATGAACAGTCGCGTAGTGGTCTCGTTGTAGCCGGACACGCCTTCTGGTGGGGACGATCTGCACCCACTTCCGATGGCCATCAGACGTTCCAAAGCATCGCTGTGTTGTGGTGGCTGCGGTGCACTCTTCATGATCATTTGGAACAGCTCCTCGTGGCGAGCGAACTTGCTGCCACCGGTCCACCAGTCGCGCAGTTCCTCGTCATAGCTCTTCCTCTTGAAGCCCTGGGCTGTATACATCATCATGTCAGGATGCCAGTATCCGTCGTGAAGTGCCTGAGCGAAGTCATTCATGTCTGGAACACTTCCAAAGGTGAACCCACTCGCTGTGTGGGCTCCGGGAAGTTGGGCATTCGGAACCGATCGCGCAGTCTCCCAGCTTGGATTCACATTCTGAAGGCCAGCTCGATTGTCCTCTTGTTGGGGTGTGGAAACGTAGGGGCTCACATATGTGCCAGACACTGCTGGTGGATTTGGATCGTAACGTTGCTGCTCATCGTGTCTGGAAGCCTGCATGGGATCGTGAAGCACTGTGCGAGCAATGTTTGCTTGGCTGAGGCTGCGTTTCGTGGCGATGTCGACAGTCTTGTGCAATTGATCGCGCAGGGCTTCGCGGGTGGGAGTCGAGTCTGGTAGTCAATCAGTGTACTTTCTACGCTCGACAAGACATGAGATGCCAAACCTGAAACTATCTCATACCGCCGCTCATGGATCGAAGAACCCTGCAGAGTGTTAGCAGGAGATCTCTACGAGCTTGCTGCAAGTCCAAACCTGGTGAGCAGCAACGCTTGTAGAGTTTGTGCCGAATCGAGACTTCCAACTGAAAGCGGCATTGCAATCACGCGTATCGGTGCAGAACGGGTCATCGTGTCTGGGCGGGCTTACTGGAATAAACGGCTGAGAGCGGGGGTCGGCTGGTGTCGGGCGTGATGGGACTTGCAAGAGCGGACGAGTGTTGAATCGTTCTTTTGGGGGGTCGGCGGCTGTCAGCCTCTTTGGGAATGACTCCAAAAGTGGCTCGGGCAGTGCTGACTTGATATTTTCCTGTCCAAAAGCGGACCCGGTTACAGTAGCCTCGCGCTGCTTAGCCAGGATGCGAAAGTATGCCAAAGTGTGCTGCTGGAGTTTCTGGTACGCGGTCTCGCCCTTCAGTCCTTCTCCCGCAAGCTGGCCCTCGGTTCTTTTGCGAATGTTGGAGAAATGTCCAATGTTATCCCATATCCAGTTCACAGATGACCACATATGCGCAGCGACATCGCCGTTCGGGTGCTGCACAAATTGCACCTGTCCGTTGATACTGCCAGGAAAGGTGCCTAGGAAGTCCGGTGATGGCAGCGCCTGCTTGAAGACTTCCAAAGTCTCGTTCTCGTCAAATGCGGCTTCTACGGTCTTTTGCCTCTCGATGACGGGCTTGTCGGTGTACGCGTTACCATCACCGACAGCTCTCATGCCGCGGGCACCACGTCTCGTCCATACCTGGAAGCCAGAATCGTCCTGTGAGTCGGCATCGAGCTCAGCGCCACCAACATTCGCAGTATTTTGGGTGATGGTGGTCTGCGAATCACTCGACAGTGAGCGCGAAAGGGAGTGGTCGCGAGAAGGTGCCGGATACTTGTTGACTCGCACTTCCACGGCACCCTCGCTGTCTTGGGCCCGCTGTGCTGCACGGTCGTGGGTGTCGAGAGGCTTCCCGGACGATTTGGCCACGCCGCGCGGGCGGAGAGCCTCCACGGGCGGCGGATGGTGCAGAGCGGCTTCGGCTTGCTGGATGCGCTCCTGCTGTCGGCGGAGCTTGCCCTGTGCAAGAGCCGCGGTGTTGACGGTGGAATCCACCATGTCCGTAGCCGACGACGCGATGACGGATGTCGGCGTGTCCGAAGCGGCTCCAAGGTCCGACGAGGAGTGCTGGGTGGTGTGCGAAGAAGTTCGTGGACGATCCATCGTCACTGTCGGAGTGCCCAGCGGCAGTCTGCTAGGGGGAACGTTTCTAGCCGCCACGATGCCACGCTTTGCCGGCATCTGGTCGACCGGGTTGTTATAGTGGAGGTTGTTGACGTGGAGCAGTTCGCCGGCAGAGTGTGTGGCGAGGGAGTTACATGTAGTCCGTTAACGTGTCTTACTCGCCGTCGTGCTCGCTGGCGAAGTTGCGCTGGAGGCACGTGCGGGAGCTAGTGACGGGAGCGACAGCCTATTCAGAGAGAATTGGGGACTTGCATGCTCCTTCGGTCGCGCGGGAGAAGCGACTCGAAGCTTCGGGGCTCTAGGTAGCATCGAAATTACTCGGGGGTCGAGTCGGAGTGGGAATACTACTTACACGCAGACAGGAAACTCACGACATGATCTCAATGGCCGCATGGTCCCATCTCGCGCGCGTTCTGTCCTTCCTCAGACTGCCACTGCCGCTGCCGCTGCTCCAATGTCACGATGATGTGCGCATCCGCATAAGGCAGATGAACACCTCAACCCGCCTTAGACAGCGCCGTGGAGTATTGATAGAGGGTTTGCGTCCCTCGCGATGACTTGCATCAAGAATACCTGTCCTGTATCCGCGACAACGGCATGCACTTTCAGCAGCTCATGGGAGAAAGGGCCATCGTCCGCCTGCTCAAAATGGTATGATAACCAGCTCGCATGGCATGAAACTTCGAGAAAAAGGTCTCTGGCTCATGATCTTGCAGCTTGGCAGCCTTCGAAATCTGATCTAGACGCCGACAATTTCCCCCCAGCTGGGCGCTGTTTCCGAGCAGGTCGGTTTGGTGGGATAGGTAGGTTTGATACCGTATTTGCAAAAATTTCAGCCTTCGATGATTCATGTGGCGGTGGACTCTCGCTCATATGCCACTATATTTCTGGATCATTCCCTTCAGCTTAGCATTCTCCTAAAGTCTGCTGCTCTTGGACCCATGAGACACAAAATCCGTTTTGATTGCATGATAGCGCCGTTTCACGGTGTCCCCACTACCTCGAAGACGGATTCCAATCTCTTTAAACCGTAGGCCTTCCTCGTCCCGGAGTCCTTTCCTGGTAGCCTACTCTTCGCCTGTCCATAGGCAACCATCACGCTCGGCGGTCGACTCGTGTACCCTGGCCAGATGACGCGTCATCAGCGTGTACACTGGTCTCTTCTCTCGACTCGCAAGCTGAACTCAGGTATAATCACTTTCCCTCAGCGCCTTCCATCGAGAGAGGTCATCTTGAGTGACCGTTGCCTTCGGTTGTTACCTGAGCGGAATCACCCCGCGATTAAAGAGCTGCTCTATGCGTAGTTGTACTTTTTCCAGAACAGTCCCGCTGCAGTTTCGTGCCAGCCACGCGGCAAATTTCCTCAGCAATCGCACGACGAGTGGCATGTTCACTCTTCAAGCGTATCATCAGCGCATTCTGAAGTTCGGAAAGGTTACGGCTGGGGGTCGACTGGGAAGTCTTTGTAGTCGCCGCTGGGCGTCGATTGTTCACAAGATGGTACCTCCGGCACACCACGGTCTGTGAGCGGCCAGTTTGGCGGCCAGTTTCTCAGAACGACGCACCGCTCTGTCGCGCTTCCGTATGAGCTCGTCCTCGGCCGCGGAAAAAAAAATTATGGCTGCTCGGCGCACATTTCCAATGAATTTCGCTGGTCTATCCGAGATCGCTGGCTGATCAGGACCTTGGCTTGGGGAAGGCACGGGAGGTTTGGTGATGCCTTTGCTTTTAGTAACCAGGTATCTGGTATAGGATTCTTGTATAATGTTCGGTATCCAGCTACAGCGAGGATTGCTATGTTAGGATAGCTATGTTGTAGTCTCCGAGCAGCAGCGACCGGAACGGCTCCTCGAGTGCTTAGCTTCGGATTCGAAATCGGCTTCATCGAGTCACTGGAGCACGACTAAGCCTCCAGAAGAGTGGTTACTGGTGCCGCGTATTTCGTTCCTCCAGGACCGCACAAATTATAGCAACCATAAGAAAGGGCACGACACAATGCTTGTATCCTGCCAGCTATTGGTTTCTAAATGCTACATACCTGACAGACTAAACCTGTGCGAAGTAGCCTAGACGGCCCCAGAAGTTCAGTAGCCAGCCACTGGTGCCTTCATATTCCCATCATCATATCCTTGTGCTATAGACGTGAAGTCGGGCGGCAAAGAAAACACGCTACCTTACCTATAAGGCTTAGCGCTTGTGAGTCTTGACTGGGTTATGATGGGTTATTGATCAAATGTTACGCCTCACTCTAGTCTCTTACCTCCTAGCTCCCATCTACTTCGGAGTCTCGGACTTTCTAGCCGAGAAACACTTCCATACACTCCAGACACTCCTCCAACATTGTGGTTCTGTCGCCATATAAGAGACCGAGTCCAGAGCCACGCCCTCATTATGTCTAAATCGCTCCCGAGCCGGATTGCAAGACTCTGGAAAGACTTTTCCACCGCCAGTGTTCCGACCTCTCTGGTAACGCGACCTCACGTCTCACACCTTGGACTGTTCTCGCTGGCGAGAAGGCACTCTTCCAGTAAGCTACCACGAATCGCAGACCAACAAGCAGTCCCTGCCACCAGTCCAAAATCGTCTTATTACGGGCGTAGATTTACTCCTCACGAAGACAGTGTCTTGCTGGAGAGACGCAAGCAAGGCCTGGCTTTCAAAGAGATAGGAGCAGAACTCAAAAAGGATGAGATGACGGTCTGTGCCAGGTATCGCGTCCTTGTTCTGTTATTCGGCATGAATGGTACCGTTCCGAGGAGAAAACGGAGGTACCGTGGCAGGTATTCAGCATCAGATGATGCCACTATCTTGAGAATGAAAGCAGAGGGATTCAAGTTTAGTGAGATCGCGAAAAAGCTCTCTATTTCCGGATCATACGATGCTAGGCAAATGCTAGGACGCTGGAGGGGGGTTGTACTGCGCGAAAGATTGTCGCCCGCATCATCTCCTGTTGCAAAGCCACGGAGAACGCGCTTGACAGATGAGGAGTTTGCGCGCATTCAGAAAATGAGAGGCGAAGGCGTGAAATGGAATGTGATAGCGGATTCTTGGGAGGAGCAACTTTCAGTGCCGACGCTGCGTAACCTATACCATGCCAGGCGATACGTCACTGCACAGACTTCTGCCGACGGACGTTCTGAAGCGCACCGGCGATGGTCTGCCGAAGATCTCGCTACTCTAATAGCCCTTCGCGATCAAGAAGGCCGCAGCTGGACCGAAATCTCGCAGCGGCTCAATCGTAGTAGAGTGGGAGTGCAGCAGAGATGGTTCAGGCTTAAGAAGGAGACAAAGACCACTCAATAGTAAGTAATACTATTTACTATCATCGAATTTTCCCATAGGTCTCTTGCAGCTTGACTCCGAAGTATTGATTGACCAAGAGGATTAGAGCACGACTCGAAGAAGTTCTAGTAATTAACGGAATCTTGCATTCATATCTTATTCGCCATCATCTTCCGAACCTACTCATCAAACACCCGAAAATGCCTACGCCAAGTCCCGCATCCATCAAACAGACTGGCTCTATAGCTGCTATCGTCTATACCTTATTAGTTACTGTTTTAGAAGCGATAGGTACCAACCAAGCTGGACCCCATCGAGAGCTATAGAGTTACTGGACGGACCTGGCTATACTGAACTGCTATAATGATATTGTCATCCTAATCATCGACTTTTTCAGTGCCGGTACTCCTAGTCTTTTGATCCAATGCCTAGCTGAGCATACTAGAGCGTGAAATGTTCACCAGCTTGAACTCTACCAGGTATAAAAACAAAGCCTAACGACTTGTGCATTATTCTGGTGACTGCGCTATAAGTCACACCATAAATGCCAGAGTCTACCTACTTCAGCCAGTAAGGTACATGTATTTATCAAGTCATGATTGGGGGCCAGGTAAGAGAACACTGCCTTCCGGTCCCGAACGGCATAAGTTACCTGGTAGTCTTGAGGTGCAAAAGTCTGTTGTTGATGTACATATACATGATTATGCCAGTTTGAGATGATGTGTTAATGGCTCGTAAAGACGAGGCTACCAGTCTCGGGAGCGCCAAGCCCGCGACCTGCAATCCATAGGTGGAAGGCGATCACTTCACTTTACCACACTCATCTCATATCGACCGACATGGACCGCTCACGCCTCGTATGGCGCTCACTTATTGCCGCTACGCCCGCGCGCACCCAGATTCGAGCTTCACAATGGATCTGCCATCGCTGCCTCCACCGCCAGACTCCCTCCCGTCGGCCAACGCCTTCCCAACTCCTACGCAACACTCGTCAAAAGGGTCAACGCCGCCACAATAGCAGCAACGCCAAACACGATCAACCCGGCGACGACCCGAACTTCGTCGGTTTAGCAGATACTCCTCCTGTCCTGATCCGCGCGGGCAGGAAACACAACCTCTACGGTCTAGCTTTCCTGGCCACAATTCCCATTACGGCGTTCATTCTCGGCTGTTGGCAGGTTCAGCGACTTTCATGGAAAACAGAGCTCATAGCACGTTTTGAAGATCGTCTCATTCGAGATCCTCTGCCATTGCCTCCGAGGATAGATCCGGATGCAATCAAGGATTTTGACTATCGACGTGTATACGCAAAAGGAAAGTTCGATCATAGGCGGGAGATGCTCATTGGACCGAGGATCATGGATGGAGAGGACGGATATCTCGTGATCACGCCATTGGTGAGAGACGGAGATAAAGGGAACACAATATTGGTATGCAGAGGTTGGATACCAAAGGATAAAGCGCCGCAGTCGAAGAGACCTGAGGGACTCGAAGATGGAGAAGTGGTAGTAAAGGGCCTGTTGAGAGAACCATGGAAGAAGAACATGTTCACTCCGGACAACGTGCCCGAAGAGGGAGTGTGGCATTTCCCAGATGTGGCACAAATGGCAGAGTGGAGTGGGAGCCAAGCCGTGTGGATCGAAGAGACCATGAAAAACGACTTGCTCGAGTCATATAGGAGGATGGAGAAGGGAATCCCGATCGGGCGACCTGCGGAGGTGAATTTGAGAAACAATCATACCCAGTATATCTTCACATGGTTCTCATTGAGTCTGGCGACCACGATCATGATGTGGATGGTCGTGAGAAAGCGGCCGGGAGGCGGTGCAAGGGCGGCGGGAAGGTCAGTGAGGAGGAACGGATGAAGAAAGTAAAGGGATCGCAGTGAGAGACGTGAAGCGTGAAGAGGTAAAATTCTTGGCTCGATCTATCATATCAGCAAGCCGATGCAATAACGAAGAATCCTTTTCTACGGTGCCGCCGATCATCTTTCAGGAGCCACATTTGTCGCCCACCCGCAGGTCTCTGTACTTCTCACATTCGCGCTGATATTCAAGCCCAACATCAGCACTCACCTTGTTGACAATGAGAAGAACACTTTCTTTCTCCTATCAATACCTTGTTTCCACACTCAATAAGCCCTTGGGCTTCCAGTGCAGTTGATACCTGGTTCATGTAGTGAGTCCAAGTTATGATCCTGCTAATAAATCCCCGGCATATCTGCTCGAGATCAACGAATTTGTGCGATTCGTCTCACAGGTCGCTATGATCCCCTAAAGCTAACTAGATGAGATGGGTCTGATTCTGGTTTGCGTGCGAATGGCTCGTATGCTGTTGCTGTTGTCATTGGCAGTACCTACCCACCTAACCTAGTTACCTGTATGTCCAGAAAAACAAAAGATGCAACTCAATGACTGTGCGACTCTCATCTCATCTATACTGGCCAGCCAGCCGGCCCCTCTCTTCTTTCTCCACTCAAGACTTATGCTTCTGCGTCGATGGACCCGAGTATACGACAATGATGATAGGTACTTAACCTCTTCCTGCACCTCTTCCTAGCACATCCCTCAGAGTGCTCATTCTACTCGCCATAGTACTCCCTCCCTGCGCCCTCATGTTACTCATGAGTGCCTCTTCCAACGCACTCTGCGTGACACTCGCGTCGTCCAAGTCTGAAAAACTACTTCCCATACTCGGACTTCCGCTGGCTTTGCTTTGCGGACTCAAACTCGCCACTTGCGCGCGATGACGAGGCGATAGAGGATGTGCTGCTGGTCCATGTCTCTTCGGTGCTGCTGCGGAGGAAGAGGAATCATATGAAGCTCTACGTCTCGAGACATTCGAAGAGGGACCAGGAAGAGCGGCAGCAGAGCTAGCTGAAGATTGAGATGAAGCGGTTGTGTTGGTGAGGGTGGGAAGGTCACGCTCTCGATCCCACTCTAATCGCGTTTTTGGAGTTCGATTTGTTGCTTTGGATGTTGCCGGTCCTGGTTGCACTGATGACATTTTCGGCGAGTTCTTCCTGAGCGTAGCAGCTGGATCAACAGGTTTGGAAGCTACTGCGGCGGCGAATGGCAAATGACCTCCATTTGAGCTCTCGTCGTCATCGTCATAATCACCAAGCTCTTCGTCGTCTCCCTCCGACGCTAGATCGGCGAGCGTAGGTTTGACCTTCCTGCTCGTAGGAGGTGGACGACGGAAAGCTTGACTTCGTGCTAGCGCCGAGGGAGGTTCATCTTCTGAATCTGAGCCCGAGTCGGAGTGGCCTCCTTGCTCGACTGCGTCTTCGTAGTATTCAGCTCTCGCAGTCGCGATGGACTCAGCAAAACTCGCGGGGCGTGGCTTTCTCGTTGATCCGCTCGAGCTTCGCAAACCTCTCGATCGTGGCTGCTGCATTCGCGATCCGGCCAGTTTACTCTGCGTCACTGTGGCTGAAGATGGGGTGCGCGACATGGGCGGCAGACCAGCTCGTGGCCCGTCAGTAATGGGAGAGCCGGGTTCCTCATTTCCGATAGGGTACGAAGGACTTCCACGTCTGACAGCTGTGGAGGTCGACCCTGATCGTAGTTTGGACTCTGTAGCCACATCAGCACTCCCGTACCTCGCAGACATACCGGTCAGCTCAGAGTTCAGGATTACCTCGACTTGCGGTCCTTTCCATTTTCACACCACCCACGGAGCTTCCTGTGCCGCTCCCAGTAGTGCCTTCACCTGCTGCGGCGCCACCAATTTTAGTGACTTGGCGTCGCATCCTCTCCATATGCCGTTCTGACAGCCATGCTGCTTGCATCAACAGAAAGTTAAGCTCAACATCAAATTCTTGGCTCAGCCCAGCCCAGTTCAAGTCTCCAGACTGCGACTTCGATATGAGTTTCCATAGTTGTCGATCTTTGGCAGCAGTCCAGTTGGTAGGTGCGGGATCTTGAAAATCGCCTCGAGCGAATGGAAGTCTGATGAACACAGTATAATGCGGTGTCGGCGCAGAAGAGAGAGCAGATGTGTCCGCTGGTGAACCAGGTCTTGATGATATTCTTGATGGTCTGGTCGATGATGCATCTGGTATGGGTGTTGCGTTAGATGACCCACGATTTCGAGCGTGGCTTGGCACAACTGCCGCTGATGACGACGGCGACATGAGTTCGTTGTTAGCTCGAAATCGACATGGTTGTGATGAAAAAGATGATGTTGGTGTTGAGGTGTTGACAGTTCCGCGAAGTGCAGGTGCATTGTTCGCCAAGATAGGTCACGTGGCTCTGTCAGCTTGTGAAACGGTGGCATATTGAGCAAGAACAGCTAGGAAATCAAGTATAAAGTGGTGTTCATGCATGTAGCTTCGTTTTGCTCACTATGGAGAATGGCAGAACCAACAGAAGGCATATCTTCTGCCGCCGCTGCTCTTCATTGCCTGGAGTATCATTTTCCATCCCATCACATGCGCCACGCCCAAAAAGAACAACAACAGCCTCTAGATCGTGGTCTCGTAGGCAATTGGAGTAACGTTCTCCGGCTTGTTGTCCTTGGCGCTAACAGTGCGAGCCTCACGGGGCTGAGCTGGCTGTCTCTTCAAGTGGACGTGCTCGCCAGTCTCCTTGGCGTGCCTCTGCTTTGCGGCGTTGGTCTTGACACGGGCCAAGAACTCGTCACGCGATCGAGAGTGCTTGACGTGCTCGACGCGGACGTTGATGCGCTTCTCGATGTAGCGGTTGCCGACCTGACGGTACAGAATGACACCGACAGCGGACTTGGTGACATTGTAGACAACACCAGTCTTACCGTGGTAGACTTTGTATGGCTGTTGAATGCGGGCGTTAGCCTCTCACCGCAAGGAGGCGCTTGTAGCGTGAGTCTGGAGAGCCAGAACACAGCGGCTACTAAGCTAATGTGTGTGTATCCATATTGATCATCCACCTACCATGCCCTTTTGAACAGCTCCGTTGGCCACGACATCGACGATATCTCCAACTCGGTAGGTCTTAAGGTACGTGCCGAGCGCAATCATACCCTTCTTCTTGAAGTCGCGAGAGAAGGCTGTTCAACAGTCTCTGTTAGCGAAGTTTCTGTCGCATTGCGCCACTACTTCTCTCTCCTTTCCACTGGCTGTGCACATACCATAGCGAGTACCAGCGCGGAGACCTGCGGCGTGACCCATCTTGTCGGTGGTAGGTGGTGTTAGAGGGAAGTGGTGGTGTTGTCGTTGGGCGTAGTCGTCTCAATCGCGTGTGTCGGCTTCACAAATTTGAGTATGAAAGATCGTGGGCTTGGCGCTCTTATTATGTCAGCACACTCGAATTCATGCCTCTATCTGTGCGCCCATTCGACTTCTCTTCTTCGACTGACAAGCACGAGTTGCCCGCACGACACCCAACATGGCTCCGTACGTACTTCCATTACAATTTCGACTGCAAAGAGGATGCAGTGGTTGCTGGAGTGGTCAGGTTGCATGCGCTCTGTGTGCGATGCGCCGTCCCAGAATGCCTGGTCTGCTCTTGGAAGAGGTGGAATTGAGGAGCATTAGATGCGTGGGCATCATCTGTGAATACCAGCAGAGAAGAGAGCAACAAGCGGACTGGTGGCGAGCACGCATGCAGCGCAGACTATGATCACCACACCGCAATCGCTGCATCACTGGTCGGGAGTATCATTTTACAAGATCACGATGTACTGACTGCTTCACAGAATCTCGTACTCCAAGACCTACAAGGTCCCACGTCGTCCCTTCGAGGCCGCTCGTCTGTGCGTATAGCCCATGATCAATGAGCCAGCTTCATGCTGCGCTGTATATCTGGTGTCTAATAATGGCTGCACAGTGACTCCGAATTGAAGATCGTCGGCGAGTACGGTCTGCGCAACAAGCGCGAGGTGTGGCGTGTCCAGCTCACCCTCTCCAAGATCCGACGTGCTGCCCGGTAATCCACCCTCTTCATAGCTTGAGCTCATATAGTATCCCGCTAACGCCGCATTCAGTCAGCTGCTCACCATGGATGAGAAGGACCCAAAGCGTCTCTTCGAAGGAAACGCCCTCATTCGCCGTCTGGTCCGTGTCGGTGTCTTGGACGAGTCCCGCATGAAGCTCGATTACGTCTTGGCCCTCAAGATTGAGGATTTCTTGGAGCGTCGCCTGCAGACTTGTGTCTACAAGCTCGGACTCGCCAAGTCCATCCACCACGCCCGTGTCCTGATCCGCCAGCGCCACATCCGGTGAGTACTGACGATCCAGCCACACGCTGCGCATATACTAACACCATGTCCAGCGTCGGCAAGCAGATCGTCAACGTCCCATCGTTCATCGTCCGTCTCGATTCCCAGAAGCACATCGACTTCGCCCTCACCTCGCCGTTCGGTGGAGGTCGTCCAGGTCGTGTCAGGAGAAAGAAGGCCAAGGCCGCTGAGAGCAAGGGTGACGGCGATGATGCCGGCGAGGAGGAGGAGGAGTAAATCATGCCTCGTCAGCCGTAGCCGAATTATCAAAAATTCACGATACCAATGGGAATGCAAGGACAAGGACGGCGTTCAGATAGTGCTGGGTCAAATGCACTTGCGGCACACAGTTAGCTGCCACTTTCAATCAAAACTGCTGAGTTCATGGTTCCCTGCAGATTTTCCATGTCCTCTTTCCTTGCACCTTTTCGCGGATCGTTGCAAACATGTATTGATCATGCTGTTAACGACGAGCAACACGCACCGCTATTGGCGACCTCGGTCAAACAACGTGCTCTGCTGCCCTGCTTCACAGCACATGCTTTCTAGAATCTACAACTTACCTTGCCACAGATCTTTTCCCTGTCCATCCGACATCTCCAGGTACAACATGCTCGATCGAGACCGGTCGAGACCGGAAACCCAACCAACCCTACCTCCTAGGACTACCTATCCGCAAACGCAATTGACAATGCCACCTTTTCGCCAATCAACATCTCCACCAGACCGACTACCCACAGCGTACCTAACTTTTTGAGCTGTGGCCACGGCCGACGCGCAATTTGCATCGACATCATTTTTACCCAGTTAGGTAGGTAGTGTGCCCATAGAAAGACAAAAGTCCACTGATGAGGAGATTTCAATTATAGCTGTCTTGATACGCAATTCTAGTCGTCTAGTAACCGTCGGGTTCGTCTACACACATACATACACACACACACATCTCTCTTACAAGTGCGGTCGGTCGGTCCTCCGAGGCATCTATCGGCAAGTTTGTAGAGTAGGTAATCTCTCTCTCTCTCTCTGTGCTATAAGGTTATATACATAAGCACACCTAACATAGCAAACTACTCCCCTTCTACTCCTACAGCAGATATACCTACCTAGGTAGGTATTCGAAAAAGGGAATTGCTTACCTCCTCCAACGATTAGGTAGAGTAGATAAGGTCTATCCGTCGTATCTCTAAACCAAAGCTACCAAAACTAAATCGATACGAATAAGAAAGACTAACTGACTGTACTCGTAGTCGTATTCGTCTATTCTATTCGTCTATTTGCTTTGTTTCAAAATTTTCGTATAATAGGTAGCTATATGTAAGCTTACCTTGCCTACCTTACCTACCTAGGAAAGGAAGTTTGTATACCCTACACAGTAGGTATTATTTCAAGACAGCTTTCCCCCCGCCCCTACCCCCCAAAAAAACCGAGCTGACTAGGAGATATAGTATAGATAAAGATGAAAAAAAAAAAAAAAAGAAAAAAAAAAAAAGAAAAAACGAGCGTTATATCCATTGTCATTCGTTGACCCTCGTATAACGAGGACGATTTGTACTCTCCGCAATTCCCCGCTGCAAAAAGAAAAAAAACGAATATATACTACCTAGGTAGACATCCCTCGTCATGTACAAAGAGAAAAGTCTTTGTAAAAACTTCCTTAGGTAGGAGGTTTCGGAACATCACATCCGTCCTTGCAGCACGAGATCTAAAAAAACCCCCCAAAAAATTCATTCGAGAATTAGCACAAGAGATCAAGCAAAAAAACAGAAATAAGAATAAAGAGCGCAAGCCCCAAAAAAACAAAACACAACATACAGCATAACTACACCCCCACCCCTGCCAACGATCACAAAACCACTCTTCTCGCGTATATCCGACCAAACACTCTGTAGGCGGACAAGCGAGATTGGACACCTTGCAGTCGGGATCTACAGCATTGTCGGGAAACTCGCAGATGACAGTGACGTTTGATTGAGTGTAGCAATTCGATACTGTTGCATGTGTGGGTTGAATAATGCCACTTGTTAGGATGAAGAGGAGCATGGTGGTGGTGGTGAGGGTGAGGGTTGAGAATGAGGTTGGCATCGTGGGTAGGTTTCGTGGTAAAGGTAAGGTAGGGTGTGCTCTTGGGGGTGTCGATTTTTTGGGGGTGCGGTGAGGTGAGAGCTGATATAAGAGATTTTCTTCGTGGTCCTAGAGAGAAGGAGAGAGGGAGAGAGAGAGAGAGAGTAGTGGATGCTCGGATGCAGTCGATGGATTCTTACATACCTTATATATACCTATATATGCACTTCCTACATCTAAGTCAAAGATGAGTCAGGCTGCTTGCTACGCTTCCAGGTTGTCCTTGGACCTTGACGCCTTGCTGTCCTTTCCTACCGCTCAGCCCGAAAAAAAAAAATCCGAGGAAGACCTTACCTGGTGAGATCCCTGGTCTTGGCAGTTCGTGTTGATGACTACCTTACCTACATAGACCTACCTTACCTATTATTTATAGGATTCCCTTTTTTCTTTTCTTGATTTTTTTTTCTGAGTAGCTGAAAAATATTGACATAGTATCAAAGAGGATACACTAGTAGTAGGTAGGTAGGTAGGTAGGTAGGTAGGCATTTAACTCGAAACAAAGAGGGGAAAGAAAAAAAAAAGAAACACCAGATGAGAGCCGACGAGATTGAATTTTTATGTTGCATTCATAACCCTCTCGCGTAACTGACGATATGTGTACTGTCCGCAGTTCCTATAGTATGCTGATGCCGCAAGCGAGTACTAGGCGTTTGGTTGCTCGTCTGAGTAAGGAGGAGGATAAGGATAGCGAAGGGTGGAGAGTAGAAGCCAGAATCGCATGAGGGCGGGATTCGATCGTATCAAGAAAAGTGTCGTAAGAAGATTCCTCGCAGGTTCCATTCTGATGAGAAGTCGTAGCGTGGAATCAACATCCCTGCCTGCAGCATGAGATCTGATAGATAGATTCGATAAATTAGCTAGGGAACGAGGCTAGATGGTAGGATGGAGAGAGAGAGAGTAATATACAGCATATCGGCAACCGCGCTGCTCGAATAGCGCTTCGCAGTATTCGTCTATTTTCTGCTTGCCGACCAAACATTGGCCAGGTAGGCAAGCGAGATTGGTTTCCTTGCATAATGCGTATTTCGAATGTTCAGGAAAATAACATCCAACTGTAACCTCTGCAGTGTAGCAATCGAATACCGTCGCATGGGCATTGTGGACGCCGCTCATCAGAGTGATGAAGAGGACGGTAAAGATTGAGAATGTAGGCATCGTAGATCCGTTGTTTGCTTCGGGGGTCAATTTGGTGGGTGAGCGGACGGAAAAAAGGGCTTGTTGTTTGTTGTGCTGGAGAGGGGGCGGCTGCTTGGAGGCGCCGATGCCTTTCTGTTTTTTTTATACATGCGCCTCTCTCACAACTCCCTGTAGGTTCAAGTGCGCAAAGAGCCCCAAAATGAAGAAAGCTACTTTGCTACCTCCTACCTGGCCCATGCTGATTTGTACTCTTTTTTTTTTCACTCCGCAGCTCCAACCCTAGTCTTGGCAGTTTTGGTTTGACCAGATGTACGTCCTTGTCGCTTTTTTCAGTCCGTCGTCGTTGAGACTTGCGAGTACTGACTGTTATTACTGACTATACTGTAGCATGTAAGTGTTCCAAGCATTAGCAAACCCACTGGATATCGCCACTTGGTATATCCATACCTCCCATCTCTGTATAACCACCAACTACCAACAACGACGAGGACAAGGAGAAGTAATAGGGCATTGAAGTGTAAAAATGATATCCTTGGCGCGAGTAGGCATAGACAAAAGAAGCAGAAGAAGCAATAGAACATGAACCTTCCGAACCCCTGGAGGCTGACTACTCCCGAGGTGCCCTACATAGGCAAGAGCATCATCCCTGACAAAAGACGATCCCAATGATCCCATGGTCCCGACAGGCGACAGCCTAGAAAGGCTAGGATCCCCTTGAGCGGGAACTCTGCCTTTTGTAGACCAAGCTCAAGTTGGCGGTGTTCAGGGGGGGGGAGAGAGAGATCGGCAGATATAGACCCAACATGTGGAGACTCTGGAGAGGGAGAGAAAAGTATCAGAGCACGTCGCTTGGCGGAGTTTCTAAGCTGTCAGCCTCGTGAAGAACATGTGGCTGATCATCTATAGTAAATGAAGCATTCATTGCTTTTACTCTAGGAGGTGGAGGTACAGGTAGCTGGTATTCGAAGGGTCTAGGCCCAACAGCTACAGAATGCTACATATAGTATATGAGCTTGCTATGATATACAAGTCCTTATTCGCTTGATCTTTTCCCGACACGGTTCCACTCAACGAGAATCTACTCTTCGTATTCTGTGGTAGTAGTGCCACTCTAGCATTGATACCGGATAACAGCATAGGTATCTCTAGTCTTAATCCATCTCCACCAAGTGCCGATGATGCATTCGAGCCTCGAGCTCAATTACGGCGGGTTCGTTACGGTTTGTCCCTACCTCCTCTACTCCTGCCGGCGCGCACGCCCTACATGCACACCGCCCGTCGTGCCCCGATTGATTGTGATCGTCAGCGCTGTTGGCTGTGTGACTGCTGTAAGCTTGAAAAGGCTCCATCGGGGCCGAGACTCTTGACCTACGTACGGTGCAGCGACGGTAGGAGAACTTAGTTCTAGGGCAAGTAGGGCACGCTTTGTTGTACGTTCCCAGGGAAGAGCGGAGAGATGTGCAGTCGTAGGGTACACACAAGTTGGACGTTTTTTTACAGGCCTGGGCAAAGTGCCCTAGGGCTGGACGTGTGAGGGCTGGCCGTTGTACGTACGAATGTCTCAGCGGAGAGTATTTGGCGGTCTGTCATCCACAGGAAGGGCGTATAGAACTAGTTGGGTCGTCGGATGATCCCACTCTATAACACATGGTGTATACCGGGCATCTTGCTGAAGCTGGAAGCGCCTGTCGCTGACTCAGGGCAAGGCAATATAATACCTAGGCAGTCGTGCTGGTGCACAACAGGACCCGAGAATGTGGCATCTTGACATGCTGTCTCCGGCAAGGATCCGCCGCGCACGCAGTGTTTTGACTACCTCCTACCCTCGTACACCAGTGGCACTGAGCATGGTGCGGATGGTGGCGACTGGCTACAGTGGCTAGGAGGTCGATGCGTCTCCGAATGGTGCGGCCGAACAACCAGCAAACGCAGGAGTTAGTCGGGGATTATGTGCAAGCGACGATGACCGAAGGAATGGATGATGCAATACCTAGCCCTAGAAGTATAATGGTAGGCTTTGTAGGCACTAGTGGTCATTCAGCAGATCCTGTTGGGTATTTGGACTCGGAAGGGAGGTTAGGTAAGGTCATACATACCACCCGACACACTGCACATCGGCAGCCCTTCTCCGGAAAACATGCGTGCCCTAGACGCAGCTCTTCCACTACCCTCTCAACTCTGCAAACAACGAACCGTTGGAGTGGTACCACAACTTTCTGCCCTACGAGGCAAGTGGAAATTGTGGGAATTGACTGTCGATGGCATCTGTCTGGCAGACTGGCACTGTCTGCTCACTGGACTCACTGCCAACCTGCAGCTTGGCAATGCCCCCAACGCCGGCTAAAGGGAGGTATGGGCAGAACAAGTTCCCATGTGGCTGTTAGGGCCAAGTCTTCCCTCGGAATCCTGCCTCGAGGGCTCACCATTTTCACTGTAGAGGTTGTTGTTGTATATATAACAAGGTAATCGTCAGCAGCCTGACCCTAATGCCCCGGCCTCTCTCTACACCTCTTGCTCCGCAGCGCTCCACTCCCATATACATCTTGACCGGACTAGTCCACCTCAGGTGTCCACAATACATACAAGAATGACTTCTTCCCTAGATATTCTCCGACCCTCACCCTCTCCGCCAGATGCCACAAGTTCCTCCCGGTCTGCGACGAAAGACCTCGAGACCCGCTCGCTCAAGTTCGCAGAAATCATGGGCACCCGAAACTACGCAGACCCCGTCTTCCAGCAGCTCGTGACTCCCGACTTCAAATGTCAAATTGAGCTTCCCGATGGAAGCATAGGCATGGTCCAGAGCCGCGAGGCCTTCGTCAGCCACTTTCGCAAAAACACCCGGACGCGATTGCTCGACGTGTCGAACGTCACCATCGACCTCGACGAAGACGCGGGTCTTGCAAAAGTCATGCTGCTTCTACGTCTCGGAGATACGCCGCGACCCGTTCCTCAAGAAGCCGTATCGATCCTGTGGTGGAAATTGGACCGGGGCTCGTGGCGATGCTATCAACAAACCGGCATGAGAGGCAGTCTGTCCATCCATGGTATATGAGACGACCTCCTCTCGTGTCGGCGTCCCTGAGAAAAAGACATTTTCTCTGTCGAGAGAGAGAGACGAAATCCTGCCGCATGGACATGCAACAAAGTGCTGTAACAACACCCGCCGCAGCTTACCCGCTTTGCCCGATACGATACGGTACTACCTCTATACCTTCCATCCACCACCCGACCGACCGACCAACCAACCAACAACGGCCTCGAGATGTCCAAAAGAGAATCCGCCAGATCAGACATCGTCATCATCATCCACATAGCCATCACACAGAAAACCACTGCAAGATCCACCAGTTGCATCAGGACCTACCTGACTTTCCTCGTCCGACACGAGACCTACCTGACCTTACCTGACCTTACCTTACCTCACCTCACCTTACCTTTTTTTTGGATCCAACCCAAAAAAGAAAACTTCCTCACTGATCCATCCATCCATCCATCCATCCATCCGAGAGGACCGGTCCCTCACGATATCCAAGTCAAGTGAAAATCCTACTCTCCAAAAGCTCTAGTTACTACCTTACCTTAGGTAACTAGCTAGTCCGACCAAACACCAAACACGACGACAATACATTGATTGCATACCTTACCCCTCAATGCAAGTTCTGCAGTGTCAGCAACCTTAGCACAAGGCACCAGTTCGGACGGGATGGATGGATGAATGACTGAATGAACGGAAGGAGAGCTCAAAGTGGTGGTCGTGGCGGCAGCCGGTCGGATTTACAGCTTGCACTGCACTGCACTGCACTGCACTGAGGAAAGGTGGAAGGTACAGGTACATACCATACTATACCATAACGACAACAACGAGACTGCCCAGAGTTGGGATGGTCCCAAGTTCAGATGGAGGGCGGGTGAACTGGAAGGTGGTATCACGAGGGGCATATATGGAAGAGAACGCAAAAGGGTGAAAGAAAGATTCTGGTGAAGTAGAAAACAAAAGAGCATTCGAGAGAGTGAAACACTTGAATTTGAGAGGAAGAAGCTTTCATTCATCGCCCGCTCGGTTCCCAATTGCTCGTGGGAAGAGGGGAATGTGATCTACAACCTTATATACAACACAAGGGAACAAAGTACAGTATGAGTAGTTAGTAAGAATCGTCTCAGCGAATGAGTGTGTCGCTTCCAGCCATGTTGTTATGCTTGCTCGCCCTCCCGAGCTCCATCCGGCAGTCTCCCCCAAGCCCCAATAAAAAAACCCAAACGATGGTGTAGACTCCTTGATTCTCCAACAATGCGTCCAATTGTTGAGGGACGCCGCCCTCGTCTTCAGCCGAGCTGATCTTATCGTGTCCCATATGACATGGTCCTGTCACCTGTATGCACCCGTCCAAAAAGCAAATCGTCATGCTCGGTTTTTATTCAAGTGAACCCTCTGCTCTCCCCTCCCTTTCCCTTCCCTCTTCTCCATGCTCCCCTTCTGCCCGCAATTCGCGTCTCGGTCTCGACGTGGGCAGAGACTGGCCATTCGCCTTGTTCTTCGCGAACAGGCGCCATCAACATGCGCCTACGGTGCACTTTCGTTGAAGCTATAGCACGAGTCGGATCAACACAGAATCCCCATGGGGATCTGAATTTGTCATGCCATGAGCAATTCCAGATAGTGCCAAGTAACATAGCCCGCAGGTAGCTGATGGCGGACTAACAATCCTCGTGGACACCAGGATGCCCTTCGGCTGCATCATGGCCAATCGTAGAACACCTTAGCATTCAAGATGGCATCAGAAGATGCGCGGTTCATCAACCCTTCCATTCAGCGCCATGTCAGCGCTCAATCTTGGGCCAGCCGTTAATATAAGTCATTGCAAGATACCCAACAAGTACCACAGCAGCAAAACTGCCATACGGCACAGAATAATAGAGTAGAGCACTGTCGGCATCATGTTGTCGCATTTTCGAAGGATCGGATCCGAGGACTTCCTGTGCCAAGAATTGTGTAATCATCTTGGCTTGTTCCTGTGTGATAGGTTGGCCATCTTCTACGCCTGCACGTTCCATCAGTGTTCCAGAAGTCGGACTGGACTGCGAAGGGGGCGAGACTGCGTGACCGTTCGGCTGCATTGCCACGCCATCCAGCTGAGGTGGACGCTTAGAAGGTGAGCTGTGAGTTTTAGCAGGCGAGCGAAGAGTCTCGCTTGCTTCCTCCGCATATTGCCGTCTTTTCTGCTCCACCATCTCGGCAAGGGTTTGGTGGGCGACGTCCCGCTCGGTTTCGGCCTTCTCTGCACGCTGTCGATAGACCTCCATTTGTTGCTTCATTTCATCCACCTGAGCGCGAAGTCGATCGAGCTGCGCCTGCACTTCCGAAGCCGGATTAGTATCCACGCTGGTCGTGCCTGTAGATGTGCTTGGGCTGATATCGCCACTCGGGTGGCCTTCGTTCGTGGGTGAGTCACGTCTGTCGACCTCTTCCAGTCGCTGTGCTCTCTCTTCCGCATTTTCACGGGCCATGCGCTCTTGTGCGAGCTCATGCTCCAGCGTCTTCATACGTTCGCTTTGGCTGCTGAGCTCGCCTTTCGCCAGCTTCAGCTCCTCACACAGTCGCAGAATGTCACTGGAGTGATCGGTTCTGGTAGGAGAACTACTCGATGATTGCGGCCTGGCTGTGTCGGTGCGACGCAGTAGAGGCTGAATAACGGGATCTGCAAGAGCGCGTGCTACATCGGGCTTTTCTGGTAGCGGTGCTTGGGGTGGTGGCGCTGGAGGTTCCGAAAAGTGCGCCTTCAGGTCGAGCTTCGATTTGGTGGGAGAAGGCCGTGACCTCTCAGAGCCTGTCTTTGGCTTCTCCAAGGCAGGTGGCTCAATTTTGCCGCCGAGCATGTTCTCAAGGGCTTGCCTAGCCCGAGCAATTTCCTGCGATTGATGTACAGCAAGTTTCATCTCATACTGGGATCGTCAGCATTCGTGAAACATGACCGATATGTGTCGTGCACTTACATTTAGTTTACGAACAATGTGTTCGGTGGTGATCGGGTTCAGCCAATTCCTCATATGTTGCGGCTGATTGACCAATCCCATGTTCAAGGCAGCTTGGCTTACTGCAGGATTGGCAGCCAGTCGGGAGTTGACCGAACCCTGACTGCTCCTTCGACTGAATTGTTGCGAGAACCCTTGCCCTGCACTTGGATCAAGGTCGCCAAAGCTCAAAGCACCCGTGTTATCTGGATACACACCGACATTGTCGACTTTTGCCGCAACTTTATGGTGTACAACTGTCTTCTGGTCCTCGGAGACGATATCAATGCCGAGCTCCAGAATATCGTGCTCTCGTAATTCGCGTGGCTCGGACTCCTTGTTCTCCGGGCTGAGGCGAATGCCATTGACAAATGTGCCATTGCTCGACTTGACATCGCGGATGAATATGCGTCCTTGTCGATCGGCATATATTTCTGCGTGTTGTCTTGACAGCACTTTCGAGTCAAAGAAGCCGTTCACTGGTGAAGGCACAGTCTTCTGATTTGTCTGTCGACCAATACGCATGCAGTCCGGTGCATACGGCACATTTATAGTTTTGCGCTCGAAAGTGCCGTTCATAGGAGATAAATGGAGTATGGCGGGTGGCATCTGCTGCACAATTTCCCGGGCGAGTACGCCATTGGCCTGTCCGTTTCCATTTGCCATTTGCTGCGATGGCAATAACGGCGCATGCAGTGCGGATATGGCAGAAGAAGCTGTTGCGCCGGATGTGGCCGAGCTCACAGGCTGAGGTCTTGCTGTCGATATGCCCGCCACTGGCTCAGCTTTCCCAGGCGGCCAAAGCCCACGCGTGGGCTTCTTCCGCGCTGCCCAATTACTTGTATCTGATGTTACCGGCTGTACGGCACCATTCGCTGACGTAGATGTGGCGGATACGGTGGAGGTGGAAGATGCGGTGGAAGCTATGCTGGAGCTGGAATTCTGGCGTGACAGGTTCTTGCGTGGTCCTGCGTTCCCGAACATCTCAGAGCTGAAAGGGTTGTTGCCGCTAGATGTCCATCCTAGTTTGGTAGTCGCAGGCTGGAAAGCAGAAGCGACGGCCGTCATTGGAGTTCACTTAGGCCCCTACTAGGTGGTATGGGTGGTATATGTGCGGCTCGGCAGCCTCCTTGACGTGTAGACCCAGTTGTTATTCCAGCGGTCTCGCGTGGCCGGCACGACTGCTATAAAATGCTGTGGGTCGAAGCGAAATCGTTCGTGGTCTCGTTCGGTCGTCTGTGCTAGGTGGGTGTCGTGTCGTGTGCTCTGGTCGGGAACGGCGTGCGCGCGCAACAGAAGGAAGGGGCGACTGCGGCGAGTGGCGATATTGATACGATTCTATCTCGATATGGATGGTCCTGTCGGCGGCAGCAGGACTCGAATGAAACATGCGTGTAGTCGGGGGTGTGCGTAAGTACCCCAAGGGAGGGAGAAGTTGGTCTGACAGGCGGCGGCGCCAAAGCACCGACGAGAAGCGCTGGACCTATTGCATTGGCTCGCCCACGGTCGGTGAAATGCTGTGAATAGGAAGTGAGTTCTGGCGCGAGTCGTCTCCGCACGCTCGTCCTGGTAAGGTGTTTGGTGGTGCTTTGTGTGATCCAGGTTCATGCTGTGGTGTTTCTGGTCATGTCACGTGATTTTGATCAGACTTTCGAGTGGAGAAGCACATCACATCTTCCGCGGATCCCCAAGACCGTGGTATTGTCATCGTGTTTTGTCTCATCCTCTTGAACGATCAACAGTCAATATGCCTCCAGTAGCTGCAGCAGGTAGGCGAGGGCTCAAGTCAGCGTCGATGCTGACCTTTCGCTAACGCGATCAAAGGTGGGATGGCAGGTCCTTCGACCTTCGACAAGATGAAGATGGGTGCCATGATGGGTGGCAGTATGCTTACCCTCTGACAATTTTGCATAGGTGCATACTAACGATGGCTATCAGCGGTGGGATTGATTATTGGCTTCATCTTTGGCGCTACGAATATAATCAGATATGGGCCAGGACCGAATGGCATGATGCGGACGCTAGGACAGTATATGCTGGGCTCTTCAGCAACCTTCGGGTAGGGCAAGTCTCGTCTGAATACGTGACAAAGTGCTAATCGATTCACAGCTTCTTCATGGGCATTGGAACGACGATACGGACAGACAGCTCCCCGATCCTCACCGAAGCCTTCAAGGCAGCACACATGCGACATGGACCACCAATGATCCTGCCCGCTGACCGCATGCAAAGAAAGACAAAACTCCAAGCATAATAACATGCTGTTGACGGTGATGGATGTACACTTGATGTAAAATAAGCCCAAAAACGATACCCAAGGCTGGAGGGGCGTTGATGAGAGCCACAAGCATGGACAGGCGATATCCGGATATGAGCTCCAGAGTCATTCAATCACGATGTGTGCTAGGCCTCGAATGAGCCAAGTCTGAGCCACAAGGAAATGCAGCTACCTGCAACCAATATACTTGTTATCCCTGCCACAGTCGTTGCTTCATGCTTCACTCCATGATTCAAGTTCCCCGAGTCTCTGCTAACAAGTTACAGTTCGTACGCCTGAGGAATGCTTGAAGTACTGTCGGCTGAATTTCATCTAGGTCGTGTTCGGCTCAGAGGCGTCTGAGCGCGTGTCGAGGCACGTGGCGGTGTCGATGGATCGCTCCTGCCAGCACTCGCGAAATCCGCGAGATGCGGCTCCGGGCATCCAGATTACTCCTCAAACTTCACCGTACCTTCGTCCTGCCATTAATCAGACGCCCACGCTGCCATCTCCTCGGCAGCAAGGAGCAGCATGGACCCGCAAATTGCCTTCAGCGACCTATTCCAACCTATTGGGGACGCACTTGCAGGCCTGTTCAAGGACGTGAATACCAGGATCGAAGCAGTCCAGCAGCAGAATACGGCACTTCAGGAGCAGTACGAGGCACTCCGCAAAAAGCACGACGCCGATATCAACAAGCTTCAGGATATTATCGGGACTATTCTTCACGAGCACAACGAGCTCGAGGCTCAACTCCTGCCAGTATTGCCTGTCATCAATGGCATGGCGGCGGGCATCAAGAGTTCTAGTGAGCGGCTCGACTTCTCGTGGGACTCAACCCAACACACAGCTAATCACCTATAGCTGAAAATCTTACCCCTAGCGATTTGACGACAAGCAAGAAGCTTCCAGCGCTGAGACCCCTCTCGCAGCGCAGCTCCGATGGCTTCGACCGCTCTCATCTGCCATGGCTGGCTGCTTTCCGTGCTCAATCTTCGGTCACCTTCCGTGCGGTCTCACAAGAGTTAGAGGATAGTGTGGGTGAGTTCGACGAGGCCCCGCTACAAGCCAAAGCGAGCGCTATCAAGCGTACTATGAGTCAGCGACATAGCGAGAACGGAAGCTTCGAAGATGTCCCCCACAAGCGATCAGGGTCGCTTCAGCGCAAACGTGGAAGAAGCGATCTTAACAAGGCCAGCCGCGAGAGTGTGGAGAAGTCCAGCATGGAATACCTGGACATAGAAGACTCGGACGTAGAAGACTTCAACGCTACTCTAGAAGGTACGCCACAGCCAACCTCACAGGTACAGAAGTCTGTTGCTTATGCGCAGACCGGACCAAATCAGCAAGAACCCGGTGACTACAACGACCTTAGTAGCGAGATCGTAGTAGCTCGACCTAAGACCAGGGACGCAGCGAGTCGGTCCTACCTGCAGCTACCCGGTGACCCTAACCATTCGGAACTCAGCCCAGCTAGTCAGAGTCATCTTCGAAAGCTAAGCGCCGGTCAAACCAGTGCTGGCGAGATGCTTGAGAGTATAGCAAAAGCTGCTCCACCGCCAAACTCATCCCAACGAAGTCACTTCTTCGATACTGATCTCAAAGGCAGCCCAGCAGGTCGCCGCCACTCCACTCGGGACACTAAGAAGAAGCCACCGCCAGACGGCTTCATCGATGTCCGCACGCTCAGGAATGATAAGAAGGTCGGATTGGTGCTAAAGAAGGCAGAGGAGATTGGCCGCTAATCATATAACGGTTCTCGCTATGAAGCGCGACACGGCGGCACGCAACTGCATGAAGAGGCGGATGCTGCATACTCTGCTCATACAGACTGATTGTGCAAGACTTCACTGTATGCTCTATCAATGTTCTCGATTTCTCACTCGTATTGATCAGGACGCACTATGATGGCCACGAGTTGAACAATGTCAATTAGAAGCCAGACGCAGAATTGCTTACTGCACAAGCCCCGAGGCTTCATCCAAAAGTACTCCAAGCCTCTTACCCAAGTCCCGTACCCTTCCATCCCACTTTCGCAAAATAGGATGCACATTTGCCACAACCTCAAAGGTAACATCCTCACCATCCTCCCCAGGAACCTCGTATAGCCAAATTCCATCTACGCCAAAATGCTCTTCCCCCAACAGTTTCTCAATCTTCAACTCCTCTTGCGCTTTCGCAAAGCATTCTCCAATCTCATGATCCTCATCCTTGTTCTTACTCTTGACCCCACGAGCCATCCCGTCCAGCACACCTAAGATCCATCCAGCCCTCTGGCCAATCTCACCTCCAAGTGAGAAGCCTTCGTCGAAACCCGCTTGAATGTGAGATTCTTTAGATAGCGCAATGCCTTCTCTGTAGCCATTTGTGATGTGCAGGCTTCGCAGGCGAGGGATGTCGGAGTGATCGTTACTTCTTCCACCTTCTCCTTCGTTGTTTAAGGTGGGGCTGTTAGGAGCCGACCCGAAGATGTCGTCGTTTAGGTCATTGGTGTGCGGTTCTTGTTGTGGGTTGGCTAGTTCTTCTGGCTCTTGTTCATTTCTGCCTAGAGTGCTCATAACGAGGAATGGCTCGGTGTTGTCTGACGTGCGGCGACCGAGGGTGTCGCGCAGCATTGTTGTTGGAGGTTGGCGGTGAAGTGCATGGTTGGTGGTATACGGTGAGTATATATCAGAGCAATGTACTGGATTAAGATGAGGTAGTGAAGAAATGTGGCTCGCTCGCTCGGCTGGCTGGCTGACTTGCGCTTCATTGCCGCGTCAGAGCTTCGGGCCTGAACATCAACACCACCTCCACAAACACTTTGCCATCACACGACCACAAACTCTTGCCGTCAAGCTGAGGCATACATCACACTCAAGCTGACCACAAGACCAATCGACACGGACAGACGAGCAGCCACCTCAATTGATCACAACCACCCGCCGCTCCTCGTTCCGCAGCACCAATGTCGGACGGCAGCATTGTCAAGGCCGACAAGGACTTCACCAAGGAAGTCGACGCTGCTCTACCCCAAGCGGAGAAAATCGCCAAGGTATAAATGCGCGAATGAGGCTGGTTTTTGCGGAAACAGACACTAACGCCCTACCCAGAATGGCGAGACACAACAAGCCATCGACAAGCTGCTCAGCTTAGAGAAGCAGACCCGCCAGTCCTCCGATCTCCCCTCCACGTCGCGCCTGCTGGTCGCCATTGTCACGATATCCAAAGACTCTGGAGACTGGAGTCTGCTCAACGAGCAAGTACAGCTGCTTAGCAAGAAGCATGGACAGCTCAAACAGGCCATCACCAAAATGGTGCAGGTGGTCATGGACTTTCTGGATGACACGCCCAGTGTAGATGTGAAGCTTTCCGTGATCGAGACGCTGCGGACAGTCACAGAGGGAAAGGTGAGATGGCTGTTGCCTTGAGGCCGGAATCGACCAGGACACTGATGAGGATGATTGTAGATCTTCGTCGAAGTCGAGCGCGCGCGTGTGACTCGCATACTATCGAACATACAGCACAAGCAGGGTAAGATCACCGCAGCCAAGGACACACTATGCGAGCTGCAAGTCGAGACATTCGGATCCATGACGAGGCGAGAGAAGACCGAGTTCATCCTAGACCAAGTGTCGCTCTGCATCGAGGATGGAGACTGGACGCAAGGTGGTATTCTGGCGCGCAAGATCAGCACACGATACTTCGCACGCAAGCCAAAGAAGACGGCCGAGCAGATCGAGAAGGAGAAGAAAGAGCGAGAAGAGAAGAAGCGATTGGCAGCGGAAGTAAATGCTGGAGAGGTGGAAGAGCCAGTGGATGACGATGTTACGGACCTGAAGTTGCGATTCTATGAACAACAAATCACACTCGCCAAGCACGACGACAAGTATCTGGAGGCTTGCAAGCACTACCGATCAGTCCTGGACACCGAGGCTGTGGAGAACGACCCAGACAGTCTCCGTGCAGCTCTTCAACGAGTCGTCTACTTCATCCTGCTCGCGCCATACGATAACGAACAATCTGATTTGCTGCACCGCATCGCTCAAGATACACGACTCGCCACATCCTGCCCGGCAGAAGCCGAACTCGTCAAGCGATTCACAACCCCCGAGTTGATGCGCTGGCCCGCCATCGAGTCGAATTTCGGAAAGCAGCTCACCAGCACCGACATCTTCACTTCCAAGAAAGTCGACGACAAGAAAGATCCCAAGGCCCATCAGCGCTGGCTCGATTTCCGCAAGCGCGTCATCGAACATAACGTCCGAGTGATTGCAAAATACTACACTCGTGTACACTTCTCGCGACTCACGTCTCTGCTCGACTTGCCTGCCGAAGAGACGGAGAAGTACATCTCGGATCTCGTCACGAGCAAAACGATCTATGCGAGAATCGACCGCCCAGCGCAGATTGTCAGTTTCGAGAAGAAGAGAGATGCGGATGAGGTGTTGAATGAGTGGAGTGGAAATATGAAGAGTCTTTTGGGATTACTGGAGAGGATTGACCATTTGATCACCAAGGAGGAGATGATGGCCCGGATTCAGCCCAAGAGTGTGAAAGGCGCCGCTTAGGTGGGCAGATGACTTGTCCCGTTCTGCTGTCAGATGTGAAGCTGCTCCGTGGCAGGGAGGACGCTCTCATGGACAGCAAGAACCACGGTATCTTAAGTACAGCACGCCGTCTATGCTATGCTATGATATGCCATGCCACGCGATGATAAAATGTACTGTATGCATAGAATTGGAACGGCATATGCATGTAATTGTCCAAAACTTCCCCCGGAATTATCCTTTCAATATTGATCTACAGCAAGTGAAGCTTTATGGGGAGTTGAAGAACTTCAGCCACTTGGACTCTTGAGCTATGTATGCTGTACTGCCGCCCGTCAGGTACATGTGAAGGTCAAGTACATACATGCAGGTGTACATGTACATGTAGGAACCTTATGTGCTTCGTTTGCGCTTACGTAACTCAACCCTTGTCCATATCTTCCCTAGGTACCTGTACCTTACAGACTTCCCATGGGTTCGTGTCCTGATGACCAAAACAATTCATGCTCAGGAACAACAACAACAACAACAACAACAACACAACAACAATAATGAAGCATCATGGCTGCGGGCCAACAGCGAAACGACTCGGCGGCTTACCGACCCACTTCCATCGACTTCATCAATCTGCCTAATCCGATTCAGCCGGCTCCTGCGTCTCAGAGACATCCCCTGAATGGAACACCACAACTCGAGAAGGCCCGGCTCGAAAGTGGCTCAAAGAACGATATATTTCGACTTGCACTGCTAGGACCATCCGATGGTAGAAGCTCATCCAAGAGACCACGATCTACCGAAAATCTGCATCTTGATCTGCCAAAATTGCCTGTCAGAAATAATGCCAAACGTCTCCGCATTCCGCCAACACTATCTGGACTTCACCAGCCCCCGCCTGATGCAGGGTTATTGCCATCCATTAACGTCGAGCAGCCTGCACATCCTCCACCAAGATTGAGAGATGCTGAGCAGCCCACGGCAGAGACCGTAGTCAATTCCTCGGCAGCGGCAGGAAGCACGTCTACCACCTCAGGCCAAGCACCCAACTTACTTAATGAGCAGAGCAAAGCTGCCAAGAAGTCTACGCGACAGCGCAACAAGTGGACCGCTGAGGAGACGGAGGATCTGCTCAAAGGCGTCTCACGGTTTGGTGTCGGCAGCTGGACTAGGATTTGGAACTGCTCAGACTATCACTTCCACAACCGCACAGCACTAGACCTCAAGGATCGCTTTCGCATCTGTTTTCCTGATTATAATAAGAAAAGTAAGAAGTCTGGGTCTTCGTCCAGGAGTGGCGAAGGTATCTCGAGTGGCGCGGAAGATCAGCAGACCACAGTGCGACGAGCAAAGCGAGGACCTGCGCCAGAACGAGTGGCGCCGTCTACGCTGGAGAAGCTGGGGATCAACGAGCCGTTTGAAAAGACGGAACGACGCGCTCGACATGGCTACAGTACAGCTGAAGATGAAGCTCTACTGAAAGGTTTCAAGAAGCATGGCAAAGCATGGACTGCCATCATGGACGATTCAGATCTTGGTCTATCTGCTCGTAAAGCAACGGATCTGAGAGACCGTATGCGCACTCGTTTTCCCGAGGAATATGCTCAAGCTGGATTAGCGCCACGGACGAAGAAGCAGGCGACCACCTTGGCTCAGGCTTCTCGAGTGGATGACGATGCCGCAGACGATGTATGTCAGCTAAAAAATAGCGGCAGTAGTCAACCCAATGCCTGGACAACCAATACCAGCACTCCTTCGCAGGCCAGCGGCCGTGCACCGTCCAATACTCACGCAAGGAGCAGCGTCCAGCCTAAGACTGCAGAGACTCGCCGACCACATCAGCCATCACTATTCAGCCTCGATGATATATATCTCGCGCGGCTTAGTGACGACGAAGAGGATGCCGAACATGAACGAATCACCCTCGATCGAGGCATCCTAGATTGGGCTCCGAGCACCGCGAGAGTCGCGCCCATTGAAAGCACACGACCTCCCGATATCGATCCATTAATGTTGACCCTGCCCAAACGAATCCCGCCCATGCATGCGCCTGACCCGCCTTTGTCGCAAGGAGGACAGGGCAATAACACCACGTCGCTTCCCTCGCTCGCAAGCCTTGTGCCACTACCAGAAGGAAGTAATAGTGCCGAACAAATGGAGCAATTGCCATCGCTCACAGAATGGTGGGTACCTCCTCAGGAGAACGACTCGAGGTCGGGTGGAGCGTCGCTAGAAGACATACTTGGGAGCGCATTGTAATAGTCCCACAGCGGGCTGCTGCGTGTTCTTGAAGCATACATTATTTAGTCCTTGGAGCCATGTAGAGCATGGAATAATGTATATACATGTAGCCACCGTACATTAATTGATAACGTGCATAAATACGGCCTTGTTCCAGTTTCACAAGTGCATGCGAACATGTTGCTGTCACCAACCACGACGGGGGAGCTCCGGCATGAGCCGCAGCCTCCAGACAATTTAGCTTTCTGTTTTGCCTTGCCCTCCACTTTCGAACCATGGGCTGCTTCATCAACCTCCACCACGTCGACACACCGCACCCATCACCGTCGGCGCTCGCTATCGCCCTCATCGCTCGCGCGCAGTGCAGCGTGTTCGTCCAGTCCGGCGCATCAGCCCTTGCGCCCTCCGCCCGTGACGCGCCTATCACCCAGCAGCACTCGATCAGCGGCCTCATGTGCCTTTCCTGAATTTCCACCGTTTTCCACCTCCAACCGACCCTCCTACTCGTCCTCTGTCCGCGTCGCCTACCCACACACCTACCAGTACCCGTTGACGCTCCCCCTCGCCATCGAGCACGCGTCTCCATGCCCTCCAATGCAGACACAGGCACAGGCTCTTAAACGAGGCCCCGAAGATCATTGGCAAGGCACCGCGACAGGCAGGCCTAGCTCAGGTCCGCCGCGCCTCCGCGGAGGCTCAACCACCAGCGTGAAATGAATAACCACCCATACCAGGGAGGGCACGGCGCGAACGCGCCGCCATCTGCTCTCCCTTTGCATCCGCAGCGGCGCGACTTTGTGCCCTATGCCCAACAGCATGTCGCGCAGCACACGGGCATTGTCCAGCCCTATCCCACCTATCACCCCGCTGCATCATTCTACCACACGCAACCGCCGCGGTGGCAGCCAAATTATCAGCAGGCATATCCACAGCACTTCATGCAGCCGCAACAATGGATGCCCCCTCAGCATTTCGCGCAGCGCTCTCCCATGATTGTGAGCTCGCAACCTCATGGACAGCCTGTCACTCGACAGCAACATCCCATTCCGCCGATCCCGCAGTCGACGCAATCGCCTCGACCAGTTCCGCAGTACATCCACCATCAACCACCCGCCGCTTCGCCTTCCCCGGCACCAGCTCAGGTCCCCACACCCGTGCCAGTGCCGGCTCCGGTTCCTGCTATCGCCCCGAAGCCCGAAGAGCGCCTGGAAACACCTCCTCCACCAGAATCGCGCCGTCAGTCCATTGCGCAGAGCCCGTTATCCCTGGATCCCGAATACAGGGATCAATTCTGGCCTCCCGGAGGAGTAAGTTCTTTCTCAATATTGTTCTCTGACATCCGCTGACGTAATACAAAGCTCCCATGGTACAGCGTATCTGAGGACCGCGCAGTCTTTCCAACACGTGCTACCACGCGTCGCCGACGCAGAAGAAATCTCCGTGGTGGTAATACCTCTGTGGCCCTGCCCACGCGAGAGGACACTGAGCAGGAGGTGTCGGCGGTAGAAAAGGCATCAGCACCAGTAGCAGAGGTACCTCAGACACCATCGGCCGAAGAGCCTGAGCCCGAGCCACAGTCTGAAGTCTCGACCATCGCAGCTCCTTCTGAGCCGGAGACTCCAGCAACTTCCCAGGCCCCATCCGAGAGTGATTTTACCAACTCCACCGTCACGCCCGCACACGCGCCCGTTCCCTCGCCCAAACCCCTACCGACCCAACAGCCGTCCCGTGCACGCCGAGACACACGAACAGCCATAGCAGTGCCATCGATTCCAGGCCTGGCAAGGCCTAAAGACGCATCGCCTCCCTCTGTATCGCAGAAGGGCGCTCAGTCTCAGGCAGGAGAAGAGGCCACTTTGAAGCCGGAAGAGCAGAGGGATACGATTGCGGAAGAGGCGTCGCCTGTGGTGGACAGCGTCAAGCCGGCTGAATCGAAGCCAGCGCCAAAGTCATCATGGGCTGATATGGTGAAGCGCAACGCCCCAAAGGGGCCACCACCAGCCCGTGGCCCTCCAAAGGGTGATGTGGTCACGAATGGCTTTCATCTGCCCAAGTCAGCTTCACTCGCCGATGCTTTGAAGCAGTACACCGTGGACAGTGGCACCCATCTCAACTTTCTCGAGCCGAGAGGCCTCGTGAACACTGGCAATATGTGCTACATGAATTCTGTTCGGTCTCCCACCATACCCTTCTCTTGAGGATCTGACGTGCTAACATGGGAACAGATTTTACAAGTCTTGGTGTTTTGTGTTCCATTTTACAACTTTCTGGATCAAGTGGCAAAGCGCACTGTGCACTCCATGAAGAGCGATACCCCTTTGGTCGATGCTATGATCATGTTCATGAAGGAGTTCAAGCCGTTGGCAACTGCGGCGTCGGCGGATGCTGTGCGTTCTCTTCTCAAGCAAGAGCAGCTCGAGCAGTATGGCGACTCCGTCACGCCAGACTATGTTTACGAGGTGATTCGCAATCTCTCACGTTTTGCGAACATGAGGGTAAGTATTCTGTTAGTCTGATTCATGGATGAGATCTAACCGATTGCAGCGCGGCCATCAGCAAGACGCAGAGGAGTTCTTGGGTTTCTTGCTCGAAGAACTTCACGACGAGTGCGTAAAGGTGATGCTAGGCCAGACTGAGCAACAACCACAAACCAATGGTGCTGCATCTCCCGAGACTGTTTTGTCTCCCTCGTCTGCCGATGGGTGGCTCGAGGTGGGCCCGAAGCAGAAGTCAGTCATCACCCGTACCACTGGTCAACAAGACATAGCATCGCCTATTACTAGGATCTTTGCTGGCCAGACTCGAGCCGAGTTCCGTGTGCCTGGCCAAAAGGATTCGGTTACACTCGAGCCTTACAAGCCGCTTCAGCTCGACATTGGCGGAGAGCACGTCAGCAATATCGTTGATGCCCTGAAAGGTCTCACTAACACGGAGACGCTGACTGGCGAGTTTGGTGGACGAGGTAATACTGCCAAGAAGCAAATGTTCATCGAGACGCTGCCACCAGTGCTCATCCTGCATTTGAAGCGCTTTGAGTACAATAGCAGCACCAAAGCGACTCAGAAGATCTGGAAGAAGGTCGGATATCCACTGGAACTGCAGATCCCGAAGGAAGTTTTCTCCCCAGCCAAACGCGCAGGTCTGCAGATTTCAGGCCTGCCAAAGTATAGGCTCACTAGCGTTGTCTACCATCACGGAAAGTCTGCGGCGGGTGGTCATTACACTGTCGACGTGCTCCGACAGGACAGTCGCGAATGGATCCGCATGGATGATACTATCATCCGTCGCATCCGCTCTGAAGATGTTGCCGAGGGAGGTTCTGAAGAGGATCCCAAGGTCCTTGCGAGAGCCCTTGAGCAGCACAAGGCTGATCAAGATATGCAGAAGCAGCGCAACATGTACCAAGGTCTCGATGAGGCTGAAAAAGAGCCGGAAGAGGAGAAGCCATGGTCCGAGGTCAACGGCAGCATTACCAGTCACAAGAAGAACTGGAGCGGTGTTGCTGCCTCTCTCACCAATGGAACCGCCACGCCCTCCAGCACCGCAGGCAAGCGAACCCCCACTGCCAAGAAGGAAGGCGTGCGCGACAACAAGGTTGCATACATCTTGTTGTACGAACGCATTCGTGATTGAAGACGGCCATTGGCATGAAGGCCAACGAAAGATCTTGGCGCACCGAGGATGGGGTGCGAATATATCGACAAAGCGGTCCCCTGGGTCTTTGGCACGAATAGGAAAACGACGACTGCGCTGCGTCTGCGTGCACAGCGGGTCTCATCGACAGCAGTGGTAGCAGCAGTCTTTCTTGCACACAAACACGAAAGGAGAAAAAGTTCGGCATTAGCGACGGCGTCGGCGGACGTCTTGTGAGCGAGTGCGTATGTATGGACCGCTTCAATCGGCCCTCACGACGACACGCTACCGTGTACTTGTAATAGTTGTGCACCGAAAAGGAGACATACGATGAATGATGAGTGTGCAGAGAGGCAGCAAACCTTGGGTGGTTTCGTTGGCTTTGTCCGCTTAGCTTAATGTGTGTACTTCTAGGATGTGTACATAGCGAATGACACATCATTCACGAAGGGCCACGATGCCACAACATGTATCCATGCAGAGAGAGAGGTATGCTTTTCCGCAATTTTTCCTCTTTCCTCCCCTTGCACTGCTGCTGCTGCTTATTCACTCACTCTGTTGTTGATAACCAAGGTGAAGTCGGGCATCACACCGTTACAGAGATAGAATCCGGGATCACATGGCTCCATGCCGCAATGGGCTATACCTCCGCCACTAAAGGTACTTGGAACTATTTCTCCTTGCCGGTCTTCCTGTCAAATGCCTGCTAGGGAGATCCTTCACCACACTACCCGGGATTAATAAGCGAGAGATGTGCATACCACTGACTGCACTCCACACCATGCACGAGGCATGACGACGAACCACCTTCCGCACGTGTAAATGACCGACGTCAATCATCACGCGATGGTTTAAGCATATCAGCTACGCTTAGGCGTAGTCTGGCACTTCCAAGGCATGGTTGTCTTGCCGGTGCATTGCATTTCCACCTGTCGAATGGAGCCTTAGATCGATGCCACGAGGAGAGGGGGGGGGGGAGGGGTTGGTTCCACCTATCGTGTGTGTGAAAACCTGATAACGAGACTGTCGTCGCGAAAAGGAGTATATATAGATTACTATGAGGTACGCATTGCTGGGTGGAAGGATTGAATGGTACAGGTACTTACTCACGCAACCATATCAGCAGCAGCAGAAGTCTCCGGTCCCCGAACACGATGCTCTTTTCAGCTACCACTGCGCTGCTTGGCCTTGCAGCTACTGTCCTCTCTGCACCAGTAATCGGAATTCAGAAACGTGCTGTCATCGCACACGATGCAGTGGTGGGGTTTGCGGAGACTCTCCCCAGCGGAGTCACGGGCACGTTATACCTCAAATACAAGCCGTACTTGAAAAACGACAACGGCTGTGTACCATTCCCTGCCGTTGATGCAGCTGGCAATACCGGGTGCGTGCGCCTCTTTTTGACTTTTTCCAAAACAAACATCAGAGAAAAGCTAACTCAAGATCGATGTTGCGCTCAGCGGTGGCCTCGCTCCCTCAGGCTCCTCCTCAGGGAGTTGCTCCTCCAACACCGGCCAAGTCTACGCTCGAGCGGGGAGCTACAACGGAGCGTACGCGATCATGTATTCGTGGTATTGGCCCAAGGACTCTCCCTCGGACGGTCTGGGACATCGTCACGATTGGGAAAGTATTGTCGTGTGGATCTCGGAGGCTTCGACAACTGCGACGCTGCAGGGTGTTGCGGCGAGTGCGCATGGGGATTTTGATACGACGACGACGCCGAATTTGATGAGTGGGACGAGTCGGCCTTTGATTCGGTATTATAATGTTTGGCCTGTGAATCATCAGTTGGGCTTTACGAGTACGGTGGGAGGGCAGCAGCCGTTGATTGCTTGGGAGAGTCTGCCGAGTGCGGCGAGGACGGCGCTGGAGAATACGGACTTTGGTAAGTCTTGGAGATTTTTGCTTACTATTGTTTCTGTGTTTGGAGATGGAGAGAAGATTGGTGCTGACGATTGATGTGATAGGGGACGCGAATGTGCCGTTCAAAGATTCCAATTTTCAGAATAATCTGGCCAAGGCTGCTTTGTAGATTTCTCCAATTGTAAGGGAGTTGTTGGGCGGACTCGGCCGAGTGAAGTGAAGAGAAGAATATTAAGAGGTTGGTAGGTAGGTAGGTAGCTCAAAAGCCCATTGTTGCTTACCTAGCTGCGCACGTCTATTGTCTCTCTTTCTGTGATCAATCGTACCCGCCCGCTATTCACGTCTTCACTTTCTAACCTTCTTCATTACTTACCACCACAGGACGAGAAAGGCACCACAGAGCAACCACCTACGACATCACCAGAAGGAAGCACCGCACTCCATATCAACAAGCACTACCCACATCACAATGGCAGCCCCGACACTCCCACCGCTCTCGCCATCACCACCTTCTCGAACCACCCGCTCCAGACGCGTTTCTACAAAAGCAGCGAACGCGGCTTCAGACCTCCGCGCTACCACCAACAAGATTGCAAAGGCCACTCGACAGCAACGTCGCGCCGCTGTCAATCCAAGGTGCGTGCCTCCGCCCAAACGATCTCGAAACGAGGGTGGTGATACTAACATCACCAGCATGACCACCACCACTGCGGCGGAACTCACCGTCCAGGAGAAGATTCTGCGTTACGTTGGTTACCGTGCCCCTGCGCAGACGACCGCGTCGGAAGGAGAAGAGCAAGAGCGGCACGGAGAAGGGGAGGAAGAAGAGGGACTTGGTGATGCACTTCCAGAACCAACAGAGAAGCCGATGGCAAAAACTTCATCGCCTTCCTCCTCTTCAATTTCCTCCTCTCATCCATCGCTATCTATCCCCTCCTGTACCATCAACACCACCATCAACAACACCACCACCACCACCACCACCACCACCGACACCATCTGCCTCTGCGCCCTCACCGTCACCCTCGAAGAAACCCCCGTTGAAGACTTGATTAAATGCAGTATCAGAGACTGTGACCAATGGTTTCACCTGGCTTGCGTGGGGCTACCCGAGCATCCTCCGTGGTACTTGGGTTGGAATTGCGCGGATTGCCTGGCGCACCAGAGAATTCCTGGAAACGTGAAGGGACTGTATGATGTGAAGGCGAAGGATTCGAGTGTGAGGGCGAAGGCGTGGTTGAAGGAGGTGAAGGAGGAGGCCAAGGGGGAGGGCATCAAGAAGAAGGAGAGGGAGGGTGGGATGAAGAGGGGGGTGAAGGGTGGAGTGAAGAGCAAGAAGAGAACTTGAGGGAGGGAGGAGATGACTCGACTGGTCCTGTTTTTCTTGTTTTGTTTTTTTTTTTTTGATACCCTTTCTCCCCGCGAGAACGATTTCGTCTGCGCGATGTCATGGCAGGGAAGGAATTGTGAGAACTGGCTTTTTCCAGGAACGAGCAGATGGCAGATGACAGACGCCCGAAGACTTTGATCACAAGCGCTCGAGACGATTGTTATGCTTTTTTTTTGTTATGCGTACTGTAATGTTCAGGATACAGTATCAGAACGCATGATGACAACAGTCTTGCTGTGTATAATTTCCACCGTGAATATGGAGTTTCAACGACTTGAATAAAAAAGCCACTGCACTGGCAGGTCCAGTCAGCGAGTAAAGGCGACATTGCCTCAAAGTTCAACTTACTCTTGAATTTTACTTCCTATATACCTAATGTTAGAAGTGAGTAATTTGTTTGCCTGGAGAGCTGATACTATACTTACTCTCCTCTAGTACGTATGTCTGTGTATATGTCAGTGTATATGTGAGAGAATGAGAATGAGATTGTAAGAGCGGAGGTTGGAATTTCTTGAATAACAATCTAGATAGGTAAGGTAGGTAGGTATCACAGCATTAGTATTAGTATTAGGGGGCTACGCAGGCAGGTACTATTTACTTATCTTACCTTACCTTACTTATTGGTTTATATGCGAACTGAACGTTTCTAGGTAATCTATTTTTCTAGCGGTTGCAGATTTGTGTGTTTTACGCGCGCGCGCCACAGGCATCTACATATACTGGTGAGCGTCGAATAGATACCGGTACCTTGCCTTCTCTCTCTCTCTCTCAAGACGACGGAAAACACATACCTTTTATTTCTGGTTTGCTTTCTCGTTCCATTACATTTAACATTAAAAAAACATGTTACCAACCATATATCTATAAAGATTTGCCGCAATAGGCAGAGAGTTTGATGTGGTCACATTTTTTCGTAATATTCATTATAGCCAGCCAGACCCTCTTTTGGTACATCCTATATTACACTCGTAGGATCGTAAGCCTTGCTCTTTCGCCCATTGCCGGCTTCCCAGCCATCCCAGCCGCTATCGAGTTCATATATCGATGCTCTCGCAGCCTCTACGGGTCTCGCGTCCTCGGGAGCCTCGTGTGCGAGCCCCATGGGACTCATAGGTATTGTATCCTGCGAGCTCGCTTTCGAGTGACCCGGTAATTCGGCCTTGCCATACTGCGACACGGCTCGAGGAGGATCCTTGGGTGGATAGCCGCCTTCCAATGTATTGTCGGCTCGGTCGTGTTCCCGCTTCTTCTTTTTCTTGTATCGGTATAGCATGAATGCCCATGCGACGATGCTCACGGCGCCCACCAGAGCGAGAATTACACCCGCCCCTATTCCTATCTTTGCCCCTAAACTCAAGCTATCCGAGTCATCTTCATCGTCCGAATTGGTCGAGGTTGCCGTGGCTGTGGCCGTCGCAGTGGCTGTCGTGGTAATGGCGGCGGATGGGCCTGTAGCGGCTACGGGACCGGTAATCACATTGTACTGTGAGGAGGGGACATCATCGCTTCCCTGAGCAGCATTCGCGCCATCGAGCGCGATGCTCGGTGTCGTGCCGTTCATGTTGATGAGCGTGAAGCGATAGGAGTAGTTGATGACGGTATTCCCCTCGTTGGTAGTACTCGTCATTTTGAAGTAGAAGCCATTCTCGACCGAGCCGGCCACGTCTGCTGCAATCACGCCCACGACCTGTCCATCGGCCACTCTGCTCGAATTCGTGCCCAGCGTGGCTACGACCTCGGAATTGTCGGCGTCGTTGCCTCCCACTTTAAGTTGGAGCATATATGTATCCAAATCGGCCATATTCGGCGATCCTCCCGCGTCCGTCCATCGAACAGTCTGTGGCACCTCTGTCAGCCCGGTATAGACAAGACAAATGGCTGACACATCATGGCAGCGGCAGGACTACTCACAATCGGCCCTGCTGGCATGGTCGAGCCCGCCGCGGGTGATGTGAACATGATTCCGACCGCGTCCACATGGTGTAGTAGTAATGACAGTAGCAGGAGAAGAAATGAGAGGAGCTCAGAAGGCCGTGAAGGAGGCATCTGGCATGTTATCAAGAAAGGAAAAAGAATGACTGCGCAATCAAGAGTGCGTGTAGTGAGAAATTGATTGCGTGGAGGAAAAAAGAGAGTGTGTATATGTCTACATCACCGTGTAGCAGTCAGTTCATTGTACAACCAACAACAACAACGAGAGTGAGTGAGTGAGTGAGTGAGAGAAGTCGGGGACCGCCGCGTGGACATCAGACTAGACTAGAGTTGTTTGGGGAGTGATTTGCACTTTCAGCCTCTTCTTCAGGGCTTCAAGGCACTGACAGGCAGACAAGCAGAGGCCGGAGGAAGGAAAAAAGAAGTTCCCAGGGGCCAGGGAGAGACTTGGCAAAATATCGTGCCAAGAGAAGCAACTTTTCTCCTTTTCCCCTTTCCCCTTTTAGGAGGTAGGGAGGTCATTCTCCCATCAACAACAACAACAACAACAAAATCCCCATATCCAATATCCATAATCTCGTATATAAATACATCTCTCAAACATCTCCCAACAAAACTAACCAAAAATCGAAAAAGAAACGACCCTTTCTCATGCAACAGTCTACCCTCTACAGGGGGGAAAAGAAGTCCGTCTTTCTTGGTATGCATCGCAAACATCCTTATAAGCCGTACGGCATCTTGTCGGAAATACCCGATCGTATGGAAATGCGAGGTTCGGTCTGGATTCCACGATTCACGACTACTCTGAATACGGCATGGATTCTGACACAATACTGGTGCACGTCCAAAATAAGTCGGATTTGACCCTAAGGTAGATCTTGATGGATGCTACCTCCATGAGACTACTCTTACTCTACCTTTATAGGTACGGTATTCAACAAACGAAAATGTTCTTCTTTTTTTTCTTCTCTCTAATCATGAATGATGATGATTACTCGCTCGCTACCTATCCGTACCGACCGAGACGAGAGAATTCCTTCTCACACCGAACCATGTCAGCACGGCTAGCCCGGATGACCTTGGGTACCTAAGTCAGAAAGCTTCTTCTTCTTCTTCCTCTTCTTCTTCGTAAGGGAGACTACCACCAAACAAACCATCGCATGTATCCCATACGAACACTTTCTGTCTTTTGTGCGCCTAGCCTAGCAAAAAAAAAGGAAAAAGAAAAAGAGTGGCACAATAATAATAACAATGATAAAGGGTTCGTAACTTCGTTGACCGTTGACTACATAAGGTACATAGATACATAGCTACCTGTACCTTCCTAACAAGATAGGCTGGTTCAGTTTACTTCCAGACGAAGCCGAAGCCGAAGGAAAGCTGACTGGACTCGAACTAATCAACGTATCAGTACCTAGGGAGGTAGTATCAGGTAGGTGGGTAGGTAGGTAAGCCCCAGTCAGTTCACCGAGGAGGAGGATGATGGGGGTTTCTCTTCTGAGTCATTCCGTTTGCGCGTGGATCCGAAGTTTTGTAGTAGAGATGTAACTTGTAAGATGTAAGATGACTGAGAGGGGGGAGGGGAGGAGGCTTGGTGAGGGGGATTTGTAGTAAGAGAGCTACGTGATATTTTCTTTTCGTTTGTTTGTGTGTTTACTATATGTTCGAAAGACGAGAGAAAGAAGGGAAGCAATCAGAAGTGAAGGTTAAGATATATATTATTACATCTAGTGTGTCTCTCTCTATATATGGCTCGCTCTCTCATTCATCTCTCTCTCTCTCGATCCATCGTAGTACTCGTTAAAAAAGCATAATATGCTCGCATAGACGACCAAAAACCAAAAGACCATTTCCTATCATCTCTCTCCCTCCCTTTCTCCCTCTTGCTCGCACACACACACATTTACAACAAAAAAAAGAGCCATCCCGAGCTATGATCCAAAACATCGCTAAACGCCTTTGATTCTTTTTGATCCCATGATACAATGTTGATTCTCCAGATCCATCAATGCGCATCTTTCCTTCTTCTTCTCCCTTCTCTGCACCCCCAGCCACACTTCTTGGTCACAGTCAGTCGACCGACTTGTCCCAACACCCACAGCAGCAGACTTAGACTCGTGATGAGAACTGCTCCATGTGGTGTCCGTTGGCCTCCTTGGCAGCATCGTCGCCGTTGCCCTCCAGACCCGGCAGGGAGATAAAGTGCGACTTGACAATCTTCCTCATGGCGCGACCGTTGCCGTTGAGCAGAGCCTTGACCTCACTGGGGTGGATGACGTTGAAAGCAACCATGACGATGATCATGAGCAGAGTGTCAAAGACGTAGTTGGGCCACTCGTTGGTGAGCAGGTATCCATCCTCACCGGCAGCGTATTCGATCAGACGGAAGATGCAACGGATGAGGACCAAGGTGGATGCGACGTAGATGTTGACCAAGTGCTTCTTCCATGGCATCGATGGGTATTGCATCATCTTCTCCGTGGCTTTGCCGGCGATGCGCATGTGGAAGACGAGGGAAACGACGACGAAGAGGGCGAAGAAGATGATTTGGATCACGAGACCGACGATGAGGATCTTCTGGCCAGTGTTGGATGTGCTGACGCTGTCGGAGGAGAGGAGAGCGGCACCTGTGAGAGGAGGGTGGAGTTAGTATGTGTGAGAGAGATATGGAGATATAGATGATCGTTGCTTACCTCCAGCTTGTGCCAAAAAGGCAATGATATCGCCAATGACGAAGATCTTTGTGAGCCGGGAGACTCGCACGAGGGAGTAGGCTTCTCCTCCAACGAGGCGGATGATGCGTCCGAGTTCCATGTACATGCTAGCAGCGAAGAGCGAAGGTGCGATCAGCACCATGATCTGACTGATGGCATATGGTCCCGTGGAGTAGTCTGGCTTTTGCTTGGCAGACCAAATTCTCTATTGATGCGAGTGTTAGTGGGATGTTGCTCACCGTGTCAGACGGTTCGGCGGGGGGAGGGGTGCTGCTTACTGTAAGATACCCGATACACTCGAGAACACCACCTATCCAGAAGGCAATGAAGTACCAAGTTCTGGTTCGCAGGAGTTGGTAGCCATGGAGTGTGGTCAAGAAGATGAAAATGATACAAACGATGGTTGCGAGACCAACGTTTGGCTCATACTTCCATGGGTTCTGGCCGTTCGCCATTTGTGCGGTTGTGTATGTGTGGAGGAGTGTCTGGTATTCGTGGGTCTATTATGTGTGTTGCGGGTCTGGAACTCGAAGGTCTAAAGACTGCTGGACTGCTGCTCTCTGTGTTGCTGCTGAAGTTGGAATGATGGATTGATGGATGGATGAGAATGATGACAGTCGGGACGAGCGAGTGGTTGATATACCTGCTGCTCTACACTGAGACCTGGTCAACATTGTGGCTATACATCCATTCAATGTGCTGCCAATGCTAAACACAGCAGGGCGGGTGCTTAGGATCTCCATAGTCCGAGGGAACGCGAGCAGAGCGAGGTATACGAAGCGGATGCCAAGGAGGTGAGCGCCATAGGGGATTAGAGTGGTCTGGGGTTGAAGCATCTGTCGAGCGTCTGTTCGGTTCGTAGGACTTTCGCGTACCGAACACCTAAGGCAGGAATCCGGAGAGCGAATCAAAACGCCCATCTGTTCTTCCGGCATGCTGGCGGTCCCCAGCCCTTGGTGTATTTATTCCCTGCACAGCCCCCAACGACGCCATGTTCGCATTCTCGTATACCTGATGACTCAGCTTTGGCACCCTATAGGGTTGTCAATCTCGACCCAACCGGCATTCACTACAGTGACCACACGCGCGCGACCCAGCGCCCAGACGTCGTAGCCCGAGAGATAGGCAGCTTCAGAAAAGGCTTGTTGCACGTCAAGATAGGTGAGCTCCACCAGCAAATCTCTCGTCCATCATCCCTATCACACACTGGTGACAGCTCGGCACAACACAAGCAACACCAGGCTCACCAGGCTCACCAGCCCATCTGCACGGCGCGTAGGACTCGGCCTGTTTCTGTCCCAGACTCCCAGCCATGGCCTGCCTCCAGAACCTCGTTGTCGCTGACGACGGGGAGGGTAACGACATCACGGTGTGTTGCTACGCTGCTGTCACTAGGAGGTAGCACTCACTCGGTGGGAACCTGTTCCTAGAGCTACGGAAGCTAAGCAATCCGTGAATGCCACACGTGGAGCGACGACAACAACAACAACAACAATAACAGAGTTGCTGCCACGTGCCTGTACACCGCGTGCGGTCCCGCCGCCGAGGATGCCACGGTTTGGAAGTGCTATAGATAGCCTAAGTGACATAGCTTAGATACCTGTAGGCGGTGGCAGAGAGATGAGAATGAGATAGATGATGTCACATCTGTAGCGTAGACCAGAGCGATCCATGTCGTCGATACATGTTTGAGCTTGATGGGCTCTTGGCGACGAGGCTCCCCATGGAAGTCTAGGCCTGCCACCGGGATCCGGATCTTACTCGTATGTCTGCCACTCTGCTAGGAGATGAATCTCGTACTTCGTTTGTTCGCACCACTACCGCTCCAGGAAGAGACACCTGCACAGACTTGCCTAGTACCTCCTAGGTACCCAGGGGCCTACGCTGCAGCCAGGGTCTGAACAGCGCTTCTCCTCCTATCAGCACGCCCAAAAGAGGTGTTTCGAGTCAATCGTGCATCCGGTGCAGGGTAAAATCGTCACACTCTGGTTGGTAACGAGTCACTCTCACCAGCCGTTATGCTTACTTTCAACTACATGTAAAATGTCGAATTAGGGTCGGTGACGTCGGCTCACTTTTTCGTGATCTAAGTTAGAAAGTTAGAGCACATATAGTTTAAGCCTGTGAATTGCAGCGTTTGGAGGTTGGAGGGCAGTTCATGCCGAACTCGCGTGCTGCGAGGACAGCCTTGCTATCACACCACAACTGCAACGGCAATTTTCCCCGCATACGGCAACTGCTCTCATGTGTCTCCGGAGCAACACGATACTTTGACTCCGATATTGTCGAATTCGAGCTCCCAGTTTGCCAGCCGCGACATCCACGACACACTATTCTCCGAGGGGCAGCGTTCACACACGTCGTTCCGGCAACACCTTTCTGGAGCCGCGCATTGCCTTGGGCTCGAGAAGCATTGCATGATACACCTCGTCATTTGCTCTCTCAAGTCCAGATTCCATTTCTTGTCTCATGAGGATGTCGTGCTTCAAATCGAGCCATCATCTATCTGGTTGAGACGACATCACCAACGACACCGATGCAAATTTGCTCTTCTCTTGGAGAGCAAGTCTCCTATCACGCTGAAGGTGAGGCTTTGGGCATCATCTGGGAGCTCGAACCAAAGTTCGAGGGATCTGTGGATTGTCATTGCCTCTTCCGACAGGAAGCCGCTGTTGAGAGCCCGGATGGCTGGTGAAAGGTAACACAGCAGTCGATGAAAGATTTGATCTAACACAACTGCCCACACATAATCATGTGAATGGCTTTTCCGTGTTAGAGAGGGAGCAGCTACGCGAGCCACACAAAGACCGAAATGCTGGTATACGACTCTCAGAGTGTGTGTGGCAGTTTGTCCAACAGACTTGCCAATCGCTGGCTGGGTTGATAGATGTTGGCGAGCACCTACAGGCCGAGGAGGAAGGATCCGAGCGTGATGAAAGCAGACATGCCGCGACGCATGAGCGTGATCAGGACATCCAGGAGTCGATCGAAAATCTAGGAAGATAGCATATTCGTGATGTGATGGTGGAGACAAATCTCTTCGGGTTTGCCACAGATCGCAGCCTGGATCTGTCAAGCTCCCAGTAAGAGTTTTTGGCGCTCTGCCATTGCCCACAATATGATCAGACGGTTTTGAGATTCCCAATCCAACCCCCATGAGGGCAGATTGCCCTTGAAAGGACTGGCCGCTCGAGAGACTGAAAATGACGAATTGACTGCCTGGCTCGGGGCATGATAGAGTATAGGTATCTCTCAGCCGATAACCACAACATACCCAAAGTACCGATGCCCTGCCGAATTCAATAGCACTCTTCTTCAACGAGATATGAGTGAGCGCTCACCAAGCTGCAAGTCCACGCTGTCGAGCGCCGCTTTCCACTCCACAAAGGCGGCTTACGCGCATCCGAGTGTCAGACAACAGTCAGAGAGGAGCTTAAACCGTTGTCCTGAGGCATGCGGAGTGCGTAAACTTTGCCAGGATACATTATCCAGCGTGGGTGTTGGGACCCGATCCGTGACGAAGCCGGTGTACCATACATCATCATCATGATCATCATCATCATCATCCATAGATTGTCGTGACCATCGACCTCGCGACTCAAATCACGATCCTCGGGGTGAAGAGCAAGAAGAAGAAGAGCTGGAAATGGAAAAGAACGAGATAAAGCCGATTTTGCATGATAACCACATTGGTGAGGGAGAGAGAGAGACAAGACGAGACAACGTGAAACTTGACACGCCAAGCCGGCTCCGGGCCTTCGCGGGCAGTGGAGTGAACCCGAACCCGACCAGCGGGAACTTCGGCGCGGGACGCGATCTCCCACTTCCTTGAGATCCTTTGACCCTGCTCGATTTTCTGCCTCCATGGCTCGGGCATCACATGACAACGTCAAATCATTCACTCACAATGAGAAAAAACTCTTCCAAGTGCCTCGTGCAACCGCAAAATCATGAACACCGCTCGCTCGTTCGCTACCTCAAATTTCCAAACCCGAAAAAACAACAACAACAACAAGCTTCTTCCTCAAAAGTGCCGCCAAGAATTCTACGCTTCCGACTCCGACTACATACCTAACCTAACCTTATCCCAACGGGGAGTATATACTTTTTTTCTTTTTTGGACGGGAGGCCCTCCTATAAATAGAATGAAGCTTTTCCCGGAGACAGAAAGTCAGTGATATCCGCGGACAGCCTCCGTTGCAAAGGGGGCGCAGGAGGGAGGGATAGTCGGAACGTCTACTACTATTCGGTTCAATTTCTTCCTATCTTCCTATGTACTACCGAGCCGATAATTTCGTCATTCTATGGCTTCCGGGTTGAGCGCACAAAGCTGTAAGGCGCGCAATTTTCTTTTGGGGGAAGGTGATGGCGGTTTCTGGAGAGGCAACGCCAAAGAGGGACGATAGAACTACATCTTGGTGAGTGCTATAGTCTGTACAGTCATGAGCATTGACCAGAGTCCTACTTGAGAGCATTTGCACGCATCGACAGCTCGGCGAGGAGATATGGACATGATAAAAGCCAAAGTCAGGATGGGCTCAGTGATGACTGGCCGATTTCTTCAGGCATTTTCTCATTCGTCTCGTTCGCATATCTGCTGCCTCGCGGCTCAGACTGCTCGTATTCCATGCTTTTGTTGCGCGAACGCTTCATACGCACTCCACAACGCCGGCGTAGCTGCAATACCATCACCTTTTTATGGCAATCTACGCGGGTCGCTGGGGAAGGCAGTCGCCAGTCGCACGTTGGGAAGACCCAACCACAACATGACAATGCGCTCAAGACCGATACCGCCGCCAGCGTGTGGCGGGCAACCTTGTCGGAAAGCATCGACATAGGGAGCGATGCCGGGGTGTTTGGGATCGACGGCATTGGGGTGCTCCTTCATTCTCTTCTCGAGGAATTCTGCCTTGTGGATACGTTGAGCACCAGACATGATTTCTTGTCCTCTCATGAAGAAGTCGTAGGAGTTGGAGTAGCCAGCATTGGGGTCTTTGGGGTCGTAGTTGGCTTGGGTCTCCGTGGTAGGCATCGTGTACCAAGGTCTCACGATGAGAGGGTACTTGTCGAGTACATAGAAGTCAGAGCCGTACTTTTCCAGGACCAGAGCACCAAGCCTCTTCTCCTGAGGCGTGCTCAAATCGTCAAAGTCTCCAATTTCTTCCCCTGCGTCGCGCAACATCTGGATACCCTCCTTGAACTCGAGTCGTGGGACCTTGCCGGCTTCCGGCAGCTTGAACGGCTCCACGTGATAAACAGTTCTCACGTGCTCGGTCTCCTTCTTGTAGCGTTCGTTGAGGCCATTGAAGATGGACAGGAAGAGGTTTTCAAGTAATGACACGACTTCGTGGTAATGCTGGTTGAAGGCCATCTCCAGATCAAGTCCCACGAATTCAGTCAGATGGCGATTGGTGTTGCTGTTCTCTGACCTGAAGACGTGTCCAATCATCATGACCTTTTCGAAGCGAGCAGCGATGAGTCGTTGCTTGTAGAATTGTGGGGACTGTGCGAGGTAGCCTTTCTTTTCGAAGTACTTAACCTCGAACACAGAAGCACCACCTTCGGTGGCAGCTCCGAGCATTTCCGGTACATCGACATCGAGGAAGCCGCGCTTCTCAAGATACTCCCGGAAAAGCTTCTTGACACCAGCTCTGATCTTGAGGATAGAGTGGTTAAGGCTTGCCGTCAGGTCAAGAGTACGATTGTTCAGCCTCGTGTCGATGGACACAATGGCTTTGCCGTCCTCTGGCACCTAGATATTTCAAACATCAGTCAGTGCCATCCTCGCATATGCTGTATAGTGGGAGGGAGTCCTACGTCGTTCTCAGCACCTTCAGCTGGGATACGTCCTTCACAATCGGCCACTTGAAGCGGCAACTGCTGGTCGGCCTTGTTCAGCAGGTACAGCTTCGTCACATGAACTTCGAGATTCTGCACGGTCGTGCTCTTGACTGGTTCGAATGGCTTGTTGAGTACTCCATGCACGAAGACTTCACTCAATGTGGGTATGCTGCCCGCGAATTTGACCATTTGCTTGCTGAGAGTCTCGCTTCCCGCCACGACAGCTTGAATGGTCTGTAAGATTGAAGAGACTCGATGTTAGCAGAAGGTCACAAACCTAGCAACACCCATTTGTTGCGATAGTTCTTACCTGTTCCTGCTGCGCGAAAGTGAGAAACGACAATTTGGCGCTCTGATTCCTCGCATTCAGGACAGTGGCACGGAAGACCACTTTGGGTGCATCCGCAGACTTGAAGTCTTTCCCATCATACTCGGCTGCAAGATCGAGAAACGTCTCGTACTTGGGTCCTGTTGTCTCCCGTACCATTGGCAGCTCGCCATAATCCTCCTTGGACACATCGTTGGCCTCGTCGGCTTTCTTTCTCGCAGCCTCCTCTGCAGCCAGTCTCGCCTTCTTCTCCGCCTTCTCCTTTTCCTTTGCCGCCTTCTTCAGCGCAGATTTGCTGGGCCCTTTTTCTCCATCGGCAGCGGCTTCTGCGGGGGCCTCGTTCTCTTTGGGTCGGGTGGGCAATTCTTGTTCCGACATGCTGACTGTACTCGACGAGAAGTATATTAGAGTGTGAGCGAGTGTGTCGTTGTGCAAATGGTACTCACGGATGGGTCAGGTACATGTACTTACAGAAATTCGTGCTGTTTGTTTACTGCTGTGGCTGTGACTCTTGTGGGGGAGTCACTGGAAATTCTGGAGGGGCACTCGGGAGCGCGTCATCGGCTATACTTTCCTTGCATTCTTTCCCTCCCAATTGAAGTGGGATAGCGGGATGAACAACTATTATACTATACTACCTTCTACATACAGCATTGAGCCATTATAAAGTCAAGAATTATATTTCAACCCGGACCAACAGTAGCGTAGAATTGCGCCAGAAGTTGCCATCTCGTGTGATCGATATTAAGATCGAATCCGGTGGTAACAAGAGATCTGCACACTTGACTTCACTTCAAAAGCATTCTGAGATCCATACATGTAGTCGCAACTTCGCATGCAGAGAAACGTGAAGCTTCATTTATCCTCGTCTTGATCCACATTCAACTCGCCATTCAGCTTGATGTTCAGCAGTGATCCCCCTATTCTGAAGTCATCTTTCATTCACTTCTCCCCGCCATTTTCTTCATTCTATTGACCCACATCCATCCATCTTCATGACTTCTTCACACTCCTGCTCTTCTGCCACTCAAAGCAGTTCATCACCAATCATCAACCTCAAGCATGCCTCCCCTACCTGCTATCGACGATGCGGCAATTACACGCGCCGCGCCAAGCGATGTGCCCACTGCTACAGGTACACACCCTGGCCAGAGAGCCGATGGGAGAAAACCTCAATCTCTGCCGCCACCGGGTGAAATGACGCAGCATGCCGAAGAGGACTTGCGAGCTGCGACGTTGCGAGCTGCTCGTCGTGCTGATACGAGGAAGAAACATTCGACGGCCAATAAGCCAATCACCGCGCGCCAGAAGATGAGTGCTGTGAGGGCTACAATTGGGAGTGAGAGGCATAATCGGGATGAGAAACGAGGAATTAGGATGCCTTCGAAGAGCGCGAGAGGGAGAGTGCCAGGCTTGACGAAGCTATTGGAGATGCAGAGTAAGAGTGCGGGATGGGGTGTAAGTTGATTGTACTCAGCTGATGTTGTCCTGGGGTTTGGAGTACAGAATCCTGACACGATGGTCATCCAAGTTGACTGACTTGTTCCGTAGGTCAACTCAACAGGAGGAATCGAGTACATCCCCTTCACGGATCGCTTCGTTTCTACCAAGGTATTGCGCTTCAGAGAGACTTTAAAGAAGAATGTAGAGGTAAAGGTTGTGTTGGACCTAACAAGGCCCAAAGCAAAGAGAGGGCGTAGAAAGAACAGAGTTGAGACGAAGGAGGAGGAGAATGAGACATTCCGTTTTATGGACCTCCCAGCTCCAGTCAAAATCCGCGTTTACAGACTCGTTGTCGTTGATTCGAGGCTCTGTGTGTGGCCTGCTTCAGTCAACGATCGCGAGCAACCCGACATCTCGATGGTCTGCAGAGAGATCCGATTGGCAGTCCTGCCGATTTACTACGGCGAGAATACGTTCGCAGTCGATATCACTGCTCCTGCCCAGGGTGTCCGCATGCTCGCACAGAACTATGAACAGGCGTCGAAGAGACAACCCGTCACAGGACTTATCGCCGTTGAAAGATGGGCAGAGAGGATGAGTGCCAAGCATAACGAAGGTGGAAAGTGCTTCACCGCAGTGAAGAAATGGTGTTTCAGCTACCGGGATCCTCTAGCTGGTTTCGAAAGTACCAAAGCTGCACCGAGTAACCCTATCCCTGATGAGAGCTTCGTTACGAGTGTGCGCTTTCCAATGACACGACGCAAGAAGACGGATAAGAAGATCAAGATCGAAGTCCACCGCCGAGCAGCTTGCGTTATGCCCGGTTGGAGAGACTACGGCGAATGTGCAGCCATGGCGGCACCAGATGCGCTTTATGCCGCGGTGGCTATTTGGCGGCAGACTGGCGTGCAAAAGCCAGAGGCTCTTTTCCAATTTGTGCTGAACATGAGGGAGCTCGTTGACCAGCTCTCGTTCCAGCGTTGCGAAAATGTCAGGAGAAACCATCGAGGTGATAGGATGAAGCGGTGTCCCAAGTCTGAAGTCTCGTGACCGCAATCAGCGTGTCGAACTCGAGACGAATGACCTTGCGCAGAGCGGTACACCATGCCTTCTGAATTTTGAGCTTTGATCGATAATCGCTCGTTTGTTCGTCTGGACCAGAATCTCCCGCGACCTTCTTACTGCTTCCATGGGTGCACCACTTATAGCAATGTCCAGAGCATAACAGATCTTTTAACCCACAATCTCCCTCAATGCCCTCTTGACTTCATTTCTCTGTCGCTCTTCATCCCAGCCGGCCTCATCAGCCGCTACAAGCAACCTCCCAATAGTGACAGTCTCTCTCACACTCGCACTGTCAATCCACACTCTCCCGTTCCTCCCTACAGCAACCTCAAACTTGACTTTCTCGCCGACAACATCCAAGATCACCACTCCACCCTTCTTCGCGCCTAGCATCAATCTCCTCGCAAACCCAGCGGAAACATCAAACACCATCCCACCAGTCAATGGCCCCATACCTTCTCCCTTGCCCGTATTCGAATTGACACATTCAATTTCCGTATCTTCCCATTTACTCACCTTGGCCACTCGCGCATAGACCAAGTCTCCCGATTTCAATTGCGGTCGAGTCTTCTTGTTCGCGCCTTCGAAGGCTAAGTGGCCGAGTAGTGCATACGGTGTGTGAGGTGTGAGAGAGCAGTGGAAAGTATCTGTGCTGCCATGATGGACTTGAGCGATCACAAGATCGTTGACGGCGGGAATGTAGCGGCCATTGGGGTGTTCGAGCCAGAGGGCGGATTTCTTGGGGTCAATTTGAAGGGTGCCCGAGGTGGTGGAGAGCAGGGTTGAAGGGGGGAGATGGCGGAGGTGGGGGCCGAGCGTGAGAGTTCCTTTTTTCGATTTGGGTAGAAGAGAAGGAGGAATGGTGTCGCCTGGTAAAAGGACTGTCGGAGAAGCCATGTTGAGTGACTTCGTGGAGAGAGATGGTATGCGAAGAGCTGGCTGTGATGTTTTTAGAGAGCGAAATGTAGTCAGCGCTGGTTAGGGTTTCGTGTTGATCGTTGCCGGCTTCCGTAGCGGTTGGAGACCCTTGCGACTTTTTTACGAGCACTTCGCACACACACATACCTCCCACTCATCCTCACTCAGCTTGTCTCCGAGAAACAGGCTTCAAAATGAGCGCAGACAACGGTTCCTCGGAGCAGCAGAGCTCGCGCAACGTGATTGGCATCTCCTTTGGCAACTCATATTCCAGCATTGCCTACACCAACGCGGCAGATGGAAAGGCAGAGGTTATTGGTATATACCACATCCCACTCTCTCCTACATGGATAACACTGACTCGCTGTAACAGCTGATCCCGATGGAGACCGTCAAATCCCCACTGCCATCTCCTACGTTGCAGGCGAAGAATTCGTTGGCGCACAGGCAAAGGCCCAAATCGTGAGGAATCCACGCAACACCGTTGCCTACTTCAGAGACTTCCTCGGAAAGTCCTTCAAGGAGATCGACCCCACTGCGAATCACTCCAGCGCACATCCAATCGAGCACGATGGTGGAAAGAGCGTGGCATTCCAGGTGCAAGAAAAGGAAGAGGGCGAGAAGAGCACATTGAGCATCAATGAGGTCGCCACGAGGCACATCAGGCGGCTGGCACAGTCTGCTGGTGACTACCTTGGAAAGGAGATCAATGCGGCTGTCATCACAGTGCCTTCTGACTTCACAGACTCGCAAAAGGAGGCTTTGACAAGTGCTGCAAAGGATGCCGGAATTGAGGTTCTGCAGTTCATTCCAGAACCTGTTGCTGCAATTTTGGCCTACGATGCGAAAATTCACGCTTCCGGAGAGTCGCAGCCCGCACACCAGGATAAGGTTGTGGTGGTGGCAGATCTTGGAGGCACACGATCGGACATTGCAGTGGTTGCCAGCAGGAATGGCATCTACACTACTCTTGCAACTGCGCACGACTACGAATTCGGAGGCGCCAGCCTCGACAAGGTCCTCATCGAATACGCCGCGAAAGAGTTTCTCAAGAAGAACAAGAACGCAAAGGACCCCCGCGAAAATGAGCGCAGCTTGTCGAAGCTGACTCTCGAAGCTGAGGCTGTGAAGAAGGCGCTCAGCATTGGACAATCTGCCAACTTCTCTATTGAGAGCTTGATTGATGGAATCGATTTCACACTCACAGTCAACCGCACACGATTCGAGCTCCTTGGCAACAAGGTCTTCAGCTCCTTCACGCGTTTGGTACAGGGAGCCGTGCAAAAGGCCGACCTTGACGTTCTAGACGTCGACCAAATCCTCCTCTCTGGTGGGACGTCGCATGTGCCCAAGATTGCCTCTAACCTGCAGAGCGCGTTCCCAGAGAGCACATCGGTCATCGCACCCAGCACCAGTCCTTCTGCCGTGAACCCATCCGAACTGACATCCCGAGGAGCGGCCATCCAAGCCTCTTTGATCTCCGAATTCGAGCCAGCCGATGTCAAGGAGAACACCGAAGCGGTCGTCACTGTGACACCGCACCTTCAGAATGCCGTCGGTCTCGTCACAGCCGACAACCAATTCTCAGTTATTGTACCCGCAGACACGCCCGCTCCAGCACGGAGAACGGCACACATCACCATTCCCACGGGTGGAGACGTGCTTCTCAAGCTGGCCGAAGGTGTGCGCGAGATCAAGGTCACGAAAGAGGAAAAGGCTGCCACGAACGGCAAGGACGAGGATGACAGCGAGGAGGACTCGGATGACGAGCCCGAAGAAGTGCGGGAGAAGGTTTGGAAAGCTGGAAAGCCGCTTGCCGAGTTTGCGATCAAGGGTGTCAAGGCCAAGGGTGTTGTGGAAGTGCAGATCAACGTGGCCGCAGATCTGACGCTGACGATTGTTGCCAAAGAGAAGGGAGGGAAAGGTGGCGTGAGAGGTGTAATTGAGGCTGGAAAGGCCACGAGCAATGGATCCGCTTAGATGGAGAGAGGAAGGCAAAGGTTGAAACAGGCGCAAAAAAGTGAGTGTCGGTGGCTCTGATTGCATACAAGCGTCTGATAGTCCGCTATGGCTCTGATGAGGATGCTACATATAGAGATCGCAAATGAAAGATGTGTGAACGCTTCCAGTCCTCCATGGATACTGTGAGAGAGCTTTTCTGGAGAGGAGGGCATTGTTGGAAGGTCACGATATTGAGAAGGTAGGTAGGTAAGACGGACAACATTACGCTTTAATATGGATGACATATGGCAGCATGGCGGGTTTGGGGAGAATGACCGCAAAAAGAAAAAAAAAGCAAGGAACGACGAGGCTACGCTGTTGAGATTGCCAGAGCTCGAATGAACGAGAGACAAACAGATATCTAAGGTAGGTACCTAAGATGCCTGAATGGACCCAACAGGCATTCCTTTTCCTTCCTGCAACAATCCATCAATCAGCAGCCACACGACGACGACGACACATTTCGTATTGGTTTGACTTACCTTCACACCACCCTTCCACTTCCCTTCGACTTTTTCCCACTCGAGGTTTCCAAGCGTGACAGTACGCAGGACATTGGCTTTGAAGTTCGATAGCTTCGACAGCTTCTCGGAGAGCCTGTTCATGTCGAATACATCCGGGAACGTCTTGGCCAAAACCTGTTTTCGGGGATTCTGCACCTCTGTAATCAATCAGGTCAGCGGATGTGCTAGCAAAGAGGTATTTACTTGGAATGAATGGAAGACTGCTGCTGCTGCCCACGATGACACCAGAAGTAGGTATCACACCGGACATCGATTCGCAGCGTCGGACAAGCAGAGAGCAGACAGATACTGACCCATAAAGAACGGCAAACTCGGGTTGGCCACAATCTCCACCTGTTCCAAATCCTTACACTGCTCCATCGCTCCCAACAAGGCTTTCTTCGTTTCCTCTCCCGGCTCAATTTCTGCCGTCATACTGACTACCATCAGCCCCGTATGTGTAGCCATGACTTTTCGAATCTGCTCGGGCGATAGAGTATAGAGTGTCGTATTCAGTGCCCGAAGTCCTTTGGGTTTGTTCTCGTCTTCGGTCAGAGCGTGCATGAGTTCGTTGGTGAGTGTCTTGTTGAAGGCCATGATGCCCTCTTTGTCGGATGCTCCTGCGATGACGGTCGGGTCTTGCTCGTCTTCGTCTTTGCTGACATTTTCTGGTTCTGCGAGGTTGAATGAACAGGAGATGAGACCTGGTCCGATCAGGAGAGGAAGTTCGGTTGCTTGGATTTTGCTGTGTTGTATTCCAATTAGTATATGTTGTGACTTCTTTTCTTTCACATTCCATTTTCCAGGGCAAAAAGAAAAGGCTGGAGAAAAAAGAGATGAAAAAGACCGAGGAAAGAAAGAGAGAGAGAGAAAAGAAACTCACCCCATAAACTCCTCATCCTCATGCCGAAAGGTATAATTCATCTCCAAAAACATCAATCCCCTCCTCCCCTCTCCATCACCATCACCATCTTCTCCCTCCCCATCCTTCCTAAACCTCACCCACTCCGCCACTTTTTCAAAAAAATGCGGTTTCGCAAAAACATCCAACAAATGCAACGCCCTCAAACCCTTCCACTTCCGAAACGCCAACACAGCATCCTCTTCCTGCTCCCTCGAAACTCCCCCCAACAACTGCGAATACACGACGAGAGATTTCAAATTCGGCAGCCGCGTCGCCAGCGTCGAGAGAAATTTCGGCGGGTATCCAAGACTGAAGAGTTCGAGGGTTAGACTTTCGATGGATGTGGGGAGAGTTGTTGGGATGGTCCAGGGGCGAAGCAGGATTTCTTGGTATGACGAGGTGTTGATGTCGGAGGTGAGGGTGAGGGCGCGGAGACCTCGGGCTTCGGGGGGGAAGGTGGGGATGTTGAAGTCTGTGAGAGGGATTTGGGCGCCGTTGGCGGTGGAGGGGTCGTTGGTGGTTTGGGGGGTGGAGGATGGTGGAGGAGCGGGAGCTTTTTGTTGTTGGGAGGGAGGATCTGGTAAGGAGTGAGGTTGTTCGACTGTAGCTGCCATTTTCCTTTTTCTTTTCCTTTTTCTTTGTTGCTGCTGCTGGTGGAGGTTGTTTATCTGGTGATGCTATATATGGAATTGACGATCAGGTGAGTATGTAGAGGATATGGCAGTTCTCAGAGCTCGTTTCTGATATTACAGCCAGAGAGAGAGACAGATTTCAACTCTTTCAAAGTAAATAGGTATGTAGTAGTGAGGTACGTGAGCTGACCTGACCTGACATTTTTTCCTTTATATACCTCTTCACAATGTCGACAACCAAGAAGAGGGGGTTTGGTGTGTTCCCATGGACCATCCCTGACCTGAATCCATGTCTCCCCTCTTTCTTGTGCATGTGGGGGAGAGAGCAGGGATCAGGTAGACAGAAGGGTGCCAAGACTACAAACAACCTAAACGTATATCGAAAGGCTTCATCTAGGGTTGGTGAAGTATGTATTGTGAGACTGTAATATGTATTGTAGTCATCTATCAATCTTGTTCATTCTATCCTTCGCAAACACTTCCGCTCCTAGAATTTAGGAGTAAATGACCCCCATCCGGCACAGCTACCTATACAGCATTCGTCTATCTGATTCTATTGACGACATCTTTAGCGTCTCCTGCAAAAGGTGTTGCTTGATCAGGGTCCATAGTATGACAGTAGTAGGTTGTTTCTTCTCGAAACGTGGTAGGCAAGAGAATCATTATCATCGGAAGTGAGGGGCCGTTTTTCTAGGTTCCGAATAGACCGGAGTAGAACTTTCTTGGAGACAGTTGTCACAGTTGGCAGACACGTAGAAGATTGACGAGCGAGTTCACGCTATTTCGCAAGTATGAAGCCTTGCCAGTTGTGGAGGACTTTAGGACTTCCAAAGATTGACGGCTTTCTCTCTGTCCTGTAGTGGTATATGGACATGCCTGACTCCGCCGTTTCGGCATCCTCGGCCCTGGGCGGATGGCTGGGCTGGGGGTCGTCCTACCAGGCTACCTCTACCAGCCTGGAAGTAGGAGATAGATGATTTTGGCCGATACCTGTACCTTACAGTCCTTACTGCGTCGCTGCCGGTGAGGATGAAGGACGGGAACAGGCTCACTGCATACCTGTAGGAGGTAGTATCAACTTGCGGATTGCCGGGAATTCGATGTCGTGGGGTGGTTGTGCTCGGTATTGATGTCAGACAGCATGCAACATGGGCCATGGGTCGTGCGTGGTTTCTTGGCGGCCTCTGTGAGCCTGCATCCTTTGAACCTCAATTCGACTCTCACGCCTTTCATGGTATACAGCTACCACAGTCTCGACATGCTCGTGCCGACCTGTCACCCTCATTCTCATGCTCACTATCCACATGGAAGTGCATTTGCTTCTTAATAATCATCTTCGTACTGGCCTCGCTACCGATGCTTCGCGAATCATACCCACCACGCACCTGCGTCTCCGTGCCCGTTTGATCGGGTCGGAAGGTCTCATTGGAGATACTCGTGCCCGTGTCGCGCCTGGCCGCTTGCGAGATCTTGCCCTTGAGCATCGACAGCCGGGATGGCCGTTCTTTGCTTGTGACGGGCGACATGATGAAGCTGTTGCCTTTGGGCGCCGCAGAAGTGTCCTGGCTTTGCAGTCCAATCTGAGATCCTCCAATGACGGTCGTCTGGTTCATGGCACCATAATTGGTGGAGAAGCCTGCGAGAAACGGTCGGAGACACGGTACCGTTGCTGCCATGAGACCGTAGAAGATTTCGACCTGAGTGAAGATTGCCGTGAGAGCTCCGTCCAGCGTAGGATTTGTGGAATGTTGAAGATGCCGGATGGAGATCAGACGAAGGATTATAACTGTAATGACACTTTCCACAAGTCAGTCAGTCTGAATGCGCTAGGTACTAACATGACCGAAAGAAAGAAATTTCAATATGGTGAATTGCGGCGAATTCGCAGCCGAAAAAAAGGCAACTCACGGGAAGCGAATACCGAAGGCGAGCACCACCCGACATTTATTCATCACAGCTGTTTGTAAGTCCCAGACCAGCATCACGCTGATTGAGAAGAGCATCAACTCAGTGAGAATATCGAAGGCGGCTACCGCAGTAGCTTGCGCCTCCAAGCTCGAACAATGCTCTCCGAATGACTTCCAAGGGTGATTGAGATCGCATCTCAGTGCACATAGCAGGAGAGAGACGAGGCCGAACAGCACACACAATACAAGAATACTCCGAGCAATAGTTTTGTGTGTTTGAATGACCGAGATTCGGGCAAAGAGCATGACGACAGATGCTTTGCTGGTGTAGATGGTGAAGAAGTACATGACATCTGCGGCGTATCCAAGCTGCTCTGAAGATCAGCAAATGTCTCTCGATCCGAAACGAAAGCAAGGCGAATTCACCTTTTCAATCTTGACAATGGCACCATCGCCGAGCAAGTCAATCGAGGTGCCGAATCCAGCGCTGACCTGGGCGAAGACCAGTCCAGCTTGGATGACACAGAGTGCTGTCGCGCCCGCCAGAGCGATATCATCATACTTGAACGGGGGGCTGACTTTGATTCGAATATACGTCCTGATCGCCAGCGATATCAGGATCACGACCAGGCCAAAGCCATTGGTGATGTGGACCCATGCGCCATGATGGCTCGCATCGAGCAGCGCTGCAGGAGCCTGGTAGCCGTCCGGAAGTGTCGTCGCAGAGGACATGGACAGCGGGTGTCACACAACGTGAACGATGGATGAATACCCTGGAACTTGTGGTCCAGCCTCCCGGACACTGAAGGGGGGAGACCACTCGGATAAGTACCTAACGTAAGTAGGTGGCAGAGACTACCTACATGGTGATGAGAGTATTAAAAAATTCCAGGGTGAGAACGTGTTATCAGAACTAAAAAAAAACTTCTTATGAAGTCGATCTAGTCCAATAACGAGGCTCAGGATTGCGCAGTGCAAAAAAGCATAAGTACCATGTAGGTTGGGAGGGGAGAGCGTTCCTAACTTCCTATCACGGCTTGATGATCATCACAGCTCGCTGAGTGGACACTAGAAGTACATGTATGCAACCAAACCTGTAAAGGAGTCGCTATTGGTTGGGACTCTTGTTTTGAATAATGCCATCTACCTTACAGTACCTTACCTAGCGCAGTTCAACTCCGATGTGCACCTATAGACGCTGGAGCTAGGTAGGTGGACCAAGTAAGGAGCTTCTACCGGTAGAATTGGAGATATCTCCATATTAAATGTGCATCAGATCGGACCGTAGCTAGAAGACCAGTAAACACTGTCGATATACTATGATAAGGTCAGGTAGATAGGTATAATTGACAGCACGATTAAGGTATCAACACAATGTAGGCAAGGTACCTGTAGTGCGTGAAGATCGGCTGTTCGGGCGATATGCCGCCTCGGGATGGAGCCGTGTGTGCATGCATCTCATAGCGGGTCAAGATGGGGAAGGGAAAGAGTGGCAAGTGGAGCAGGAGCAGGAGCAGGAGCGAGGCGAGAAGGAAACAAGGGAAGTGAAGAAGGAGTGGATTGCCTTAGTCAGCGCCAGAGTAGGTAAGCTTCTGTCGGATCTCGCCGCCAAGCCAGACGCCAAGCCTTCCACTTGTGCTTGAACATGGAGCTCTGCCCCTTCACCAACCACCGCAGCCTCCTTCATCTGAACTCTATACCGCTGACGAGACGCTTCTATCGAGATTCCCTCCTGTCCTGTCCCGAGAGAGCAGCAACATGCGTGCCTACTTCAGTAGAAGAGTGTGCCGCTCGAGCAGGGCACGATGATGTCGATGTTGACGATGATGATGATGATGATGCACTTCGCAGCACTGCTCCACTGGCCCCATCTGCAGGCCATATTCTGACTACCGACATGTACACGATGCGTGCGTCTGGTTGCCACCCTTTCAACTCCACTCCGATATCGTGCTCGAGCCGGGCTAGCAAGACCTGTCCGATCACTACTCCAGTATGTCGACGACGGCACGTGCCGACCACTTTTCACTGCTTCGGAGCACTCCATGCCATATGCCACCTTGCTCCGTGGCTGTCGAGGAAGTCTCCTCTTCCCACGCCTTGTCTCGTTCCAACAAGTTCACCGAGGTCTGCTTTCAACGCCTGCGTCTGGTCCTCGATCTACGAACTCTCACGACCCACTGAGCCATGGCAGAAATGTCCTCGTCTGAGGCTCCAAGACCACCATGGAAGGAAATTGGACGGACTCGGACCACGTCGGACTCTGCTGAAGACGATGCTTTCGAGCTGCCGGGCTTTGCTGTAGCCAAGAAATGGCAAGGGACAGCAGCCGACAAAAAGGACATGGTCCAACTGGGCAGAGTCCAGGAACTTCGGGTATGTTTTGAATGAATTTACAGTATATGCCTGAGCTCAGTCTCCGAGGCGCTCGGACTGAGCACAATAGAAGTTATTCGTAGAGCACAAAACGAGGTATAGTCATCTATGGATTGCCCCGCTGACACTACTTTTAGCGCAACTTTCAGTTCATGTCAATATTGGGGTTCGGATGCACACTCATTGCAACTTGGGAGGTGCTTCTCACCACCATCAGCTCGGTCCTGACAAATGGTGGGACCGCTGGCGTCATCTGGGGATACGTTGTCGTCGTCTGCGGCTTCTTCTTCGTGTACCTGTCTATCGCAGAAATGACATCCATTGCTCCTACCAGTGGAGGTCAATATCGTAAGTCCTGAGGCGTCCCCTCTCCTGACAGAGACCTGCTTACGCAGCACACATAGATTGGGTATCGGAGTTTGCACCGAAGCCTGCTCAAAAGTTTCTCTCATACCTGGTGGGATGGCTCTGTTTCACCGGCTGGCAATGCGCTATCACAAGCATCACATATCTCGTCGGGACTGTCATCCAAGGATTGATTGTGTTGAATACCCCTAGCTATGTCGCCCAGAGCTGGCATGGAACGCTGCTCGTTATGGCAGTGGCCACCTTCGCCATCATCTTCAACACCGTCTTAGCCAAGAGACTACCCATGGTGGAGGGACTCTTGCTGGTTCTGCACGTACTGGGCCTTTTCGCGATCGTCGTCACCCTATGGGTACTTGCGCCGACTGCGAACGCTCGGGATGTCTTCACACAGTTTACGAACGCAGGAGGCTGGAATTCCGAAGGCACAGCCTTTATGGTTGGCTTGCTGAGTCCGATCGTGTCGTTGATTGGCTTTGACTGCGCAGTGCACATGTGAGTCACCACCAGATGTATCGCATTTGAAAGGGATTCTGACTAGTTCTGAAGGTCGGAAGAGGTGAAAGATGCAGGAAGGACGCTCCCGAAAGCTATGCTGTGGTCCTTCGGCTTCAACAGCGTTCTTGGTCTCCTCATGGCCATAACCATGTGCTTCACTCTTGGCGATGTGGACGACATTCTCAATAGCGCGACTGGGTATCCCTTCATACAGGTCTTCTACAATGTCACTCAGGTAAGCCGACGTTGCAGGACCCGTACAGCGGATGGACATGGTCCTTTACTGACAACATTCAGTCTTCCGCAGGGGCCTCGATTCTCACCGTGATTCTGATACTGACTCTCACCTCGTCCGCCATTGCCGAGATAGCCACCGCGAGTCGACAGTTGTGGTCGTTCGCTCGAGACCGTGGTATGCCCGGGCACAAATGGATTTCACACATCACGCCCGGCTGGAACATACCACTTCATGCCGTTCTCGTGTCGCTCTTGGTAACGTCGCTCCTCTCGCTTATCAACATTGGTTCGTCAGCAGCGCTCAATGCCATCTTGGCTTTGACCACTGTGAGTCTTTTGACCAGCTACATCATCGTCATCGGATGCCTTCTCATCAAGCGGCTCCGTCGCCAACCATTGCCGTGCAGGAGATGGAGTCTAGGGAAGTTCGGAGGCGTGGTCAATGCGATTGCACTGTGCTACCTGCTTGCGATCTACGCCTGGATGTTCTTTCCCGTTGCTACACCTGTTGAAGCAGAGTCGATGAACTGGGCGATTGTCATGTTCGTGGGCATCATGACTATTGCGACAGTGTGGTATCTTGTGGAGGGACATAAGAGCTATGTGCCGCCTGTAGCACTTGTGTCGAGAGACGGCTGGGTGCGATGACGCTCCGTATGGTACAGATATTGTATGGGTACCTATATACCTTATACATCTATACTATCACTGATGCCAACTGTCAAACGACCACGCCGACAAGAGACTCTTGTGCTCCCGCAGTGGGATTGAGATCTCCAGGGTGTTGGTCACTGGCTAACAGCATATCTAGACGCTCGCTTGATATTGGAACCGGATGAATAGGGCCTGTTCGATATTGAACGTACGGAAGTCGAAATTGGTCCACATGATGCGGTGGGATAAAGTTTGATATCTCGTCATGACGACGCGTCTCCACTTTGAAAATCTTCGAACGCGACGAGATGGACCTTCAAACTGGCGTCGAACATGATGACGCCTTTACCACAACGACAACAACAACAAAATATCGTATTAAAATGCCTGCCCGAACCGATGAGCGGCAGCCTCTGTTGAGAGATGATGAACAGTCTCGAGACCAGCCCAATCAGGATCACAGTCGAGAACAAAAGGTCGAATTCGACGAGACCGACTCGGAAAACCCACGACAATGGCCCCTCTTCACCAAGTACGCCGTCGTACTCCAGATAACCATGACGGCCTTCTTTCTGCCGATGGCTTCCAGTGTCTTTGCGCCCGCGAGCGATGTACTGGCAGACGAGTTCGGTGTTTCGAAGCAGCGTGCTTTGCTCAATCAGACCGGATTCGTTTGCATGCTTGGCATAGGCCCTCTCTTTCTGGCACCGATGAGTGAAACCTTTGGCCGGAGAATCATATACATCACCTGCCTCGTCATCTTCACATTACTCCAAATCCCATGCGCATTGTCTCCCAATTTGGCAACCTTTGTGACGTTTCGGACGCTCTCGGGGTTCTTTGGGTCAGTGGGCGTTGGGAATGGCGGTGGCTCCATCGCAGACATGTTTGCTGTTAATGAGAGAGCCAAAGTGCTCGGATTCTACATGATAGCTCCACTTCTGGCGCCCTCGGTTGGTCCTGCTATCGGGGGCGCATTGGTTCATGTCACCAGCTGGCGGGCTCTGGCGTGGCTCATGTTCATACTCGGATGCACGACGACACTTGTATCTTACTTCTTCCTGTATGAAACGCGAGCAACTACCATTCTACAGCAGCGCAAGGCCCAGCTGGAAGAGAAGCACCCCGACACGTCCTGGTATGTCGAAGGCGTGAACCCGCAATCAATACCCGCCAAGATTGCAGGCAATAGCACACGAGCTGTCAAGATCCTGGCTACCCAACCCATCGTACTGATTATGTCGGTGTACCAAGCCCTGATCTTCAGCACAATGTACAGCCTGTACGCATCCTTTGGCACTATATGGGCCGATCCTCCCTACAGATTCGACAAGCGACAGGTGGGCCTTGCTTACTTGGCTCCGGCGTTGGGCTTCATCATCACGGCGTTTGGGATCATTATCCCTTTCATCGACAAAGTGTATGACCAACTGGCTCGCAGGTACAACAATGATGGAACGCCAGAATATCGGCTTCCATTGGCGAACATTGGCGCTGTCCTTCTGCCCATTTCCCTCTTCTGGTTCGGCTGGTCAGTGGAGGAGGGCCTGCACTGGGCTGTTCCGCTGACAGCTATGATCTTCTTTGGAGCAAGTCAGGCTTCAATTTTTAACGCTGTACAGACTTACTATACCGAGGCATACGAAAACAATGCTGCCTCTGCCCTCGCTGCTGGTTCCTTTCTGCGAAGCCAAGTCGGAGGTGTCATTCCGTTGTTCGTGGGCACTCTTTTCCAGACTGTCGGCTATGGGTGGGGCATGAGTGTGTTTGGCTTTATCGCGCTGGCTCTCATGCCAGCGCCGCTCCTGTTTTTCTGGGTTGGCGCACGATTGCGAGAGAGATTTCCATTCCAAGGTTGAAGCACAACGCACACTGTGCGCCTATCGCGGAGAGAAAAAGTCCTGCAGAGAGGACAATCTCGTGGGCGGTGAAAAATGGCACGTAACCGCAATGTTGGACGGGTCTCCCAACGTCCGGGAAAGACATAGCTTAGCGCCATATCTGAGCATTTAGCAGCGATTGAGTATGGCTGGGAGGCAGAGAACATCGAGTCATCAGCATCAAAAGCTGTTTTTGTCTGCCGCGCGAGACGATGTCCTTCATCTCGGCAACAAGGCTGGTCGGTATTCAAACTTGGTAAGATCTCGATTTCTAACCCTATTTGCAACACACTTTAGCCACATGGAGAAGCATATACCAAAATGGATAAACGCCATAGGTCTCCAGCTTCCACTACCTGAGCCACAGTTCGGCTTTACCAAAGGCGGGTGATATGGCGCTCTGCTATGCATCTCTTCTCCTCATTATTTGTGAAGATGCGCAACGCGTGACTTGCAGTGTAGCCCGAGACGTCATGGCTTGCATCTTTTATATCGTGCGAGCCTCTACGACGAGCGCCCCAGGCATTCCGACTCTCACTCGGTCCATCTCATTCAAGGAAGCGAGAGCACGATGTCTGGGAGAACAGCACTTCTGGCGCTGCTGCCAGTTCTGGCATTATGCCAACAGCCACAGTATCCTCCAGCGTTTCCGCCAACACCCATATTGCCATCGAGCTACAGCTATGCGCCCTCTGTGACGCCGAACGTAATGGACAAGACGGCTCCCAATGCCCAAGCAGTATGTCCTGGATACAAAGCCAGCAACGTGGTTGAGAACGCCAAGGGCGTCACGGCAGACCTCAATCTAGCGGGAGCCCCTTGCTCAGCGTACGGCAACGACATTGCACAACTGTCTTTGGTAGTCCAATATCAGAGTGCACAGCGTCTCTCTGTTCGCATGTTTCCCAAGCATTTGACAGCGGAGAACAGTTCCCAATATCTCTTGTCCAAGGACTATACGCCACAACCTGGACAGGACCCCGGTGCAACGAAGAGCAAAAGTGATCTGCTGTTCGAATGGAGCAACGAGCCCAGCTTTCAATTCAAGATCGTCCGCAAAAGCTCGAAGGACGTAATCTTCAACACCTACGGCAGCAAGATTGTGTTTCAAGATCAATTCCTGGAGCTCGCGACGTCCATGGTACCGGATTACAACACATACGGGCTTGCAGCTTACATTCACTCATTCCGCCTGGGGCAGAACTTTACTCAAACTTTCTGGAATGCGTACAACTTGGATAATGATCAGATCATCAACGTGAATGGTCACGATACGCACCCCATGTACTTGGAGACTAGATATGGCAATGGAACGTCCGCATCCCATGGCGTGTATGCTCGTAACGCGCATGGCCAGGACTGGCTGTTGCAGAAGGGCAAATTGACATATCGAACCATTGGTGGCAGCTTCGACCTGTACTTTATCTCCGGTCCTACGCCGACCAAGGTCATCAGCCAGTACCATACACAAATCATTGGCACTCCTGGAATGCAGCCGTACTGGGCGTTGGGCTTCCACCAGGTCAGATGTAAGTGAATCCCTTCCCATCGTCGAAGCATGGAGTTCAGCTCGAACACGGAAATTTTGGCTCAGATAAGCGTGTCCGAAACTCGTACTAATCTGCAATATCAGGGTCATACCAAAACTGGACGAATCTGCAGGATGTCATCGATCTATATGCCGCGCAGAACATTCAGCTGGAATCCGTCATGAGCGATCTCGACTACCTCAAGATGAACCGAGACTTCACCCTCAATCCCGGCCACTACGACCTCGAAGAGGGCCGTCAATTTCTGGCTAGGCTGCACGCCAACGGCCAGCACTGGCTGCCCATCCTCAACGCACAAATCTACGCACCCAACCCACAGAATGCTTCCGACGCGTATGCCACGTATGATCATGGAAAGGAGCTCGATGTATACGTCAAGAACAAGGACAAAGGCACTTACCTTGGAGTCATGTGGGCAGGATTCGCTGCCTTTGTTGACTACACTGCACCCAAAGCTCAGCAGTTCTGGACCCAGGAACTGCAAAATTACTACAAGCTCGTTGAGTTTGACGGCTTTTGGCTCGACGTCAGTGACCCGACTTCGTTCTGCACTGGCAGCTGTGGAACCGGACAGCTCGGTATGAACCCTATTCACGTCCCTTTTGCTCTGCCTGGAGACCCGGACACGGCCCTCGCTGTCGACTACAGGTATCCTGAGGGATTTGAGGTCACCAATGCCACCGAAGCCGCTTCGGCCAGTGCATCAGCTGCATCGCAATCCGCTGCATACCCTACACCAATGGTCACGCCCACCCCAACGGTGGGACGTACCATTGCCACTCCAGGAGTTCGAAACCTCACGTTCCCGCCATATGCCATCAACAACTTCCTGCCCGGACACTCTCTTGTCAAGTCTGTCGTGTCTCCCGACGCTCTCAATGCAGATGGTACCACTCAGTACGAGTTGCACAACCTGTACGGACACTTGAGTGGACGTACCACGTACAATGCCTTGGCCACTTTGTATGACGGGAAACGTCCATTCTATGTTTCCCGCAGCACCTTTGCCGGCTCTGGAGCGTTTGCAGGCCACTGGGGTGGTGACACGAACTCCAAATGGGGAAATATGTACTATGGTATCGCCGAGGCTCTCCAAATGAGCATTGCTGGTAAGTACTATCTTGTTGTTCCGATGTTGATCGCCTGCTAACAACATGTATAGGTATTCCGTACTTTGGTAAGAGGCACGCAGCCCTACTTCGTATCAATAACAAGCTAACAGTAGTGAAGGTGTGGAAACATGTGGATTCAACGGCAATGCCGATATGGAGCTCTGCACTCGCTGGATGCAGCTCAGTGCCTGGTATCCCTTCTACAGGAACCACAACAACCGGAACACGATTGCACAAGAAGCATACATCTGGGCTACGACGGCCGAATCGACCCGAAGGATCATGAACATCCGGTACTCCCTTCTTCCCTACACATACACATTGTTCCACAAGGCAAACACGGCAGGAGAGACTGTCCTGAGGGCTTTGGCGTGGGAGTTCCCCAACGATCCCTCACTCGCTGCCGTCGAGACGCAGTTCATGTCTGGTCCAGCTCTTCTGATCACGCCGGTGCTCGCACCACTGGCCACCACTGTGAATGGTGTCTTCCCCGGTGTCGCCGATGGCACGATCTGGTACGACTGGTACAACCTCACCAAAGTGGACGTCGCTGCTGGCCAGAACAAGACTCTCGACGCTCCTCTGCTGCATCAACCCATTCACATCCGAGGAGGATACATCATCCCGACCCAAAAGGCAGGCAACACGACTGCTACCTCGAGGAAGAATCCCTGGAGTCTCATCGTGGCCCTGGACAAGACTGCAAGTGCCCGGGGTGAGCTCTTCCTAGACGACGGCTTGAGTATCCAGCAAAAGGCGACCAAGACAGTCGCGCTCAACTTCGCGAAGAATAGCTTGTCTACCAAGATCCAAGGATCCTACATGGACGCCAACCCACTCGCCAACGTGACGATTGCCGGCATCAAGACTGCGCCCAAGAGCATCAGCGTCAACTGCGGCGGCAAAAAGAGCTCTTCTTCTGCAAATGTGCAATTCCATCTTCAAGGAGAGGCTCTGTACATCACTGGCCTCGAGAGTGCCACCAAAGGTGGTGTATGGAACAACGAGCTTGTGATTACGCTGCAAAACTAGAAGGAGAGACAAGAAAGCAAAAAGCATTGCCTTTATTTATGCGATGCTTTTCGATCCGATTGTACGTAGTAGACTAAAAAAGTAGACCAGACCAGAAGCTGATGCAGGGGTTTGTGAAAGAGGTGCGCTTATTTGGCTTGTCTTCGGGTGTAGGGTGATAACACAGTCATCCCCAGCTATGATTGGTCAATCTCCCTCTCTCTCATGGTTCTCACACCTATCCTAGTCGAACAGGGGGTGAGGGAAGAACTTGTCCTTCTTCTCTCGCTCTCTCTCTGAGACTCTCTCTCTCCCTCCCACACATGTTGTTCATAATATGTTCTGTATCTGTCACACCCCGTACCTTTTTCTCTTTTCTTGCCACCCCCCTTTTCCCCCAACGCCCTCCTCACCACTAAATCCATCCATTTCACTCCCTCACCCCATCCAACCCCATAACAACCAATAACAAAAACAAAAAGAATTTAAAAAAAAATCAAAAAAAAAATGGGCAACGTAGTCAGCCACGTCATGCGCCACCACCGCGGCAGCACTCTCGCGCGCCGCGAAATCGAAGACGTCCTCAATCGTCTCTCCGTGCTCGCCGAAGTCAAAGCTCGCAACCACCACTCACGAGTCACTTCGCACCCGATTGATGCGGAAATTTTGCCGATTGAAAAAGTCGTGCGCAAGGTCCATTTGGCGCATTGTGGGGTTTCGAGTGGGAATGTCAAAGCTGTGCAGGATGCGATTGAGGAGCATTTTGGGTATTATATGGTTGGGGATGTTGTATGTATGAATTTTTTTTGATCTTTTTTTTTCGTTATTCACTTGGGGGGATTTTTTGTGAGGGGGTTGGGGATGAGGGGGGTTTTCTTTTTTTATTTTTCACTTTATATATAATGGGGTGGGTTGGCATATATATATGTATATATACAATTTTCTTTGAAAGAAAAAGGAAAAAGAAAAGAAAAAAAAATCAATGAATGAATGAACAAATAACTCACCCACACTCTCTTCCTTCCCCCCGCCAAATCTAGGTCGAAGGATTATCCGCCGTCCTCACCGAAACCATCGACCATCTCATGAACACACTCTCCTCCAAAAACAGCAGTGAATTCACCAGCTACGCCATCACCATCGGCAACACGGGCAGCATCGGGCGCATCGACATATACATGTTTTACTACAAATTCGCCAGTCCGCACGTCGCGCGCATGCTGAGTAATTGTCTCATTACTTCCTTGGTGGTGTCCATGGTCGAGCCGTCGAAATTGCGTCTGGATGATGTGAGGGCTTTGGCGAAAGCGCCGTATTCTTCTCCGCTGCCGGGTGAGAGTGAGAGGGAGGCGGATGAGAGGTTGGAGAGGATTGAGAATTTGTTGGTGCAGGTTACGCAGACGGCTTTGGGGAAGGCTTTGCAGAGGTCGGCTTCGGCTTGAGGGTTGGGAGGAGGAGGAGGAGGAGAAGGAAGAAGAAAGACATTTTTTTCTTTTCTCCGAATCGCCTTTTTACATCTCATCTGCTTGCTTGCTTGCTTGCTTGCTTGCCGCTGCAAGTCAAAGCAAAACTTCATTAATCCAAGGCCCCCCTCCTATCGCTACGACGAAAAAAAAAAAAGAAATGCCTTCATCCCGAGAGGATACCATATCGCCACCAAGGTGTGGTCGAAAAGAGAAGAAAGAAAAAAGAAATTTCAGGTAGCCAAGCCCCTCCTCCCAGCGAGTCCCTGGATATTGATCTCCATCATCACATCTCAAGAAACCCGCGGATATGCCCAAAGCCCCTCAGGGATTGACATCCAAAAGAAAGAAAACCCCCCTCCGTGGATACTAGGACTTTAAGGATAGGCTGGGCTGGCTGGCAGTATCCCATCTTACCTACCCAACTGCCATGAAGAAGAAGAAGAAGAAGAAGCACGCGCAGACTATAGAAGTGAACCAATCTGTTGGTCAGTCTGTCAAGGATTAGCCCATTGTGCTCGGAGGAGGGTCAGGCATTCAACAGTCTCTTTCCCCTGCATTCCCATCATGCAGGTCTCTACTTCCTGTGACTACCGCGGTACTCACATCTCCGAAGACTCCTACAACATCTAAGACTAGACTACTACCGATAGGGGGCAAAATCACAATTACTCACTCACATCAAGAAAAGAGAAAGCTTCTAGTAGTAGAGAATGAAGCAAAGAAAAAAGGGTATCATAACCTGCTGCCAAATCTATTACATTAAAATTGAAGCAATGTCTGTCTGGAACCTAGCAGGATTTTCCTTCCCTCCTCCGAGAGAGGAGATGGGAAAAAAACTGCAAAGTCCTCGCAAATACATCGCCCCACTCGCTGCTACCCTATACCACCTCGAGCGAATAGTAGTAGTGTATATATGAAAGAACCAACCAAATAAATTGAAGCAGAACCAAACACACACGTGTGTCCAATAAAGATGCAACTGCGTGTCCCGGCCGGGGTGTTCTACGTTTCAATCGTGGCGTCGATGCAAGAAATATTTCGCTCTTTCCCCCCCCCCTTTCCTTGTGCTGCTGTTTGTAATAAAACTTCTTTAGTGTCGCGTCGCTCTGTGTACCTTGCTCCGCAGCCTGTGGGAACTGCTAAAACTGTACAAGAAATGTGTCCCAAGTGTGTCAACATCTTTTCTGGAACTCCCGTTGCTCACAATGTCGAAGTTTCTCCATTGTGCGAAAATTCAAAAAGGTCTATTGGTGCTAGACGATTCTAAATTTACAAGAAGAAGGCAACGAGGGCGGCAACACCAGCGAAAGCACCGCCAGCGACGTTAGCCACGGCAGCACCAGTGTAGGTGGCTGGCTTGGTGGCAGATGGCATGGCGCCAGTGCCAGCAGGGTAGGTAGGTGCCGGCATGGTGGTGTTGTTGGATGGGTAGTATCTACAGAAGTCAGCAAAGTTCTCTCTCGAGCACGCGCGCGCAGATGGAATGCAACTTACGGAACAGCTGGCTTGGATGGCTCCACTGGGCTCGATGGGCTGGTGTAGGCTGGGGCAGATGGCTCCACTGGGCTGTATGGCACTGGCTTGGATGGCTCAACTGGGCTGTATGGCACAGAGGAGCTGCTGGAGACCCAGGTGGAGCTGGAGACTGGGACAGTGGTGGTGTGGACAGCTGGGATGGTGAGGGTGGTAGCCTTGGTGACGATGTAGGTGCTGGCCTCGTGGGTGAAGGTGGTTGGCTCTGGGCAGTAGGTGGTGAACACAGTCTCGTAGGTCTGGACAGTGGTTGGGTGGACTGGTGCAGTCGTGGTGGGGTAGCTAGGGCGATGTCAGTCACTCATTCGAGTCATTCATACGAGGCTTCGTTCGCGGAGACGTACACTGGAGCGGCAGGGGTGGTCGAGCTCATGTACACTGGTGGGTGCTCCATGGACGAGCTGCTGCTGGCAGTTGGGTAGACTGGAGGGGGGACAACGCTCGAGCTGGTTGGCTTGTAGCTGCGGAGGTGTTAGCGGAGTGTCTCTCTCCCGATCCGTGGTAACACGTGAATACTCACACAGGAGCCTCAGGAGTGGTGCTGGTCTTCACGACGGTCGAGGTGGTCTCGACTGGCATCGGTGGCACCGAGCTGGACGAAGGAGCCTCGTAGGCTGGAGGAGCCGGAGGAGCCTCGTAAGCTGGAGGAGCTGGAGGAGCGCCATACGATGGAGGAGATGGAGGAGCCTGTGCGTTGGGAGAACGGTCAGCTAATCGTTCGAATACGAAGTATTAGGCAGTCCACGAGCCAAACTCACGTATGAGGCAATGGCGGTGCCAGCGAGGCCGAAGATCATGGTGGAGGAACGCATTTTGATTTTGGTTTTTTGGGGTGGTTGTTCTTGGAAAAAGAGTGTGGGTAGTTGGGTATTACTAGGTATGCGAGTTGGCAGGCTTGATTGTGCTGAACGAAAGTGGATGGAGAGCAAACAAGATGAGAGCGTCAAGCGGAGGGTATATAATGGCAACAAGTGGGAGTGAGACTAGTGGCGGACATTATTGTTGACAGCGCGTGTGGTGTCCGTGTTTCAGGGATGCGGTCAATCTCTGAAATTGGATGTCCATCCTGCTGGCCCAACTCGGAAGCTGAGGTTGACAATGCACAGATGCGCTAGACCGGTAGCGGCGGTGCCGTGGTCCACTCGCGTGCCTCATCACCAGTGGCTGCCGTTATTACACCGTGCTTGGCGGGTGAATCGTGCTGATGCAGTCAAATCCTCCGGACTCGTCCCAGCCAGTGAGCATGGCGCTCAATGAACTGGTCCCCAGAGCCGGCGCATGCTGTGCTCATCACACCTTCACCGCGAAACCGCCTCTCTCGCTTCTCTCTCACTGTGTCTGTCTCTCTCTCAGTCTCTTGCTGCCGCGTCCACCTTACGGAGGTAGGACTTGAGAATGTTACGCGACAGGGTCACCATCATCATCGTCATCAGCACGGCGTCTCGCTACCCCTAGAGCTGCATGGACAATTGGAAGATGAGACTGGATTGTGCGACAATCTCCACGTTTGAGGTGATCTCCGGGACGCGAGCTATCAAGGCCAAAGGTCCACTTGGAGACACATAATACGAGCGCCTTCAGCGGGCGCGGCTTCTTGGTTGGTCTTGGAGGGAGGCTCGCAGCAGCAGTGGCCAATGGCGGTAGAGTGGCGGTTTCATGTCCGGCAATCGAGGCCGTGCAAAGAGTCAGTGTGCGTGGCAGGCCTAGCGAGATTAGCCAGGGGAAGTGTGCAAGAAGCAGAGTCAAGAGGGCGCGCGAGGCAGAGGCAGAGGCAGAGCAGAGCAGACTTGCGAATTGCGAAGTGCGAAGTCAAGCTTTTCTCGATTGTGGATACGCGCGGCCGAATCGATAAAACATGCCAGGCGGCAGGCAGTGTTTAGCCGCAAGTCTGCTTCTATTGGTTGCTCGATGAATTCTGTGGGCCCCGCCTCTACCCTCTGGCCTGCTTTTTCGATCGATGCGACCCGAGAGCGCACCATGCATCCCTGATTTGATGTTGCGATATTGTGATATGTGACTGCTATTATATTCCTTCATCACCACCTACTTCCTACTTCCTACGCACTGTATATCCAGGATGTAGAAAAGTAAGTAAAGGTGGAAATGGAAGTGGCAGTGGCAGTGGCAGTGTGAAAGGGAATGAAAAAGGGGAAGTGAAAAAGGGGAGTTCTCCATGATTCATGGAATGATTGGCTGCCTCCCTCTGCGCCTACAGTAGTCCCTCCTAGGAGGTAGTAAGTACCTGATGTACATGTAGGTACTCCGCAGCCACACGACAATACTCTACTGCAGGTACGCGCCCATGATGCTATTCTCGCTGCAGGTACAACTGCGAATGCCCGGCATCATCTCGCCTCGCCCGTGCTTCTTTCAGCCTCAGGTTTGTAGTGCTAACAACCTCCTCCAGGCTCTCTCCTACAAGAAAATTCCCGGTGCGGAATCACGTGGAGGTAGGTAGTCTGAAGTCTCCACCCCCCGGCCATGAATTACCTCCTACTCCACTCCCGTCTTGGAAGTTGGGGCCTTGTGCCAAGCCCGCGCCGCGTCTCAACCACTTCCCTCTCCTCATCATCAATGGATGCTTTTGGCTCTTTTGTAGAGCCTCATCTCTTTCCGAACTGTGTCACTCCTGCAAATAGAACGACAGTAGCCATCTCTCCTGGATGATGAACATTCGCTGCCCCCTCTCCTGCATCATGATGTCTCCTTTTCCTTGTCATCTTCCGCACGTTTGAATTCCATATTCTAGAACTGGGCCATGGAGTTTCAGAGACTCGAGATGCATGATTCCTGCCGTGGCACTGACCTCGTTGCAACCACCGGAGTAGCTGCAAAGGCACATGTCCAAGTCTGGTTCGCCGAACGCCTCTACCAAACTCATCTTCTACTCCATCCCGACTTCCAGTAGTCTTCTACTGAGTTAGGCCAATGCCTTGCAGCCTTCTGGACCCTTCTGGAAAACTCATAGAACTAACTAGGAGGTACCTCATCAACCCGGTCTGCACTTTCCGCCCTCATATCTGCTTCTCACTTGCGAATCCATTTGTGGACCCTTGCAGATATCCTGACCTGACCAGACCAGCACACTAACCCCAGCAATCAACACTCGTACACATACTCAGCAGCAGGCCGTGGTCAGATTCTGCTTCGACCACATCGCCGCTCCCGAACTTCAGCTTCACGAGTCCCTCGCAGCCCACCGCACGCTTGTCGACTTCAACGCGATGACCCGCTCTCCCACGGCGAACCGCTTCTCGCACTTGGTCACCTGCAACTTCGACTTCGACATGGAACAATCTGTCAAACCAGAGCCAGTTGTATATGGCAGCTTGTGCTGAGGTTTCTGCGCATGATTGATTGCATCTGGAGCATATCCTACAATCCCGAATGGAGGACTGAATCGGAACTCGGTACTCTTATCTGAAGATGAGAAAAACAAGGGAGTTTTCGTCACGTTCAAGAGACAGGTAGTGCTGTGAAGACGCCCACTCAAGCATTCTACAGCGCTTGTAAAGAGTGAAGGCAGAAGTGCGAAAATCCCAGGTGTGTCAGGGAGAAGGGAGGAGGGGTAGCCAAGAGTAACACATCTGATACGATTCTCGATCTGAGATTCTGGCTTCAGACTACACGCACTTATTAGCGTCTTGAACTGAGCTTCTTCGAGAGAATGACTATCGGCAGGAGGTAGTGCCCTGCTGTCGTTCTCTTGCGTAAATCACAAATGTTGGCTTCCAGCAGTCGTCCCTCGGCGCGCGCCATCTTGCGAACCAAATCATAGAGGTAGGGAATATCGCAGCGTCAGAACCAGATGTTTCAGCTATGTATTTCCCGATTGCCAGTTCTACTTTTTTATTAGAAGGGAAGAAGGGGTCTCAAGCTCGCGTCTGGTATAAGGTAATGTGCCGGAGGTACTCTATCGTCTTTCTAGAAAACGCCTCGTTTTGGTTTGTTTTAGCAAGCTCCTCCAGAAGGACCCCCTTCGTACCTATTCATGGCATGTCATATCCACGAGGAGACACGTTCCTCATACCTGCACATCCCGTAGGTTCAGTATGTCTGAGAAGCGTCGCAGATGCATATACATATATATATACTCTGCTCCAGATCGGAGACATGTTCGAGATGACGAGGATCGGTTTCATTGTGGAATGGCGGGGAAACATATGTATGACATATACAGGGGGAATTATAAAAGGCGGGAGGGCAAATTTTAAAAGGCGGGAGGACCCTGCTAAGCCAAAGCCTGAGGCTGCAACTTCTGCGTACACAACTCTAATTCCAACGTTACCTACCTCTTTACATGTATACCAATCTTTATAGGTTACAATACATATAGTATATTCTATCTCAATATAGAGTTACTTAATACGACGCTCGCGCGAGCCGTATTAACAGACGCTAAGCTCGACGAGTCTATTAATATACTCCTCGACGAAGAAGATCTATTAGCTAATCTAGTAGCGACTAATACAGTAGCACTAGACGTAGTAGTGCCCGACGTAGTAGCGCTAGATATAGTACCGAGCTAATTAGCGACCGGAGAAAGGTATAGACTTAGCGTAGGTAATAGCGAAGACAGTAGCAATCGCTCTAATTCTAGTAAAGACGACGACAAGGCTAGCGTAGCCGAAACCGAGACGGATAAAGCTATTACGATTACTAATCGCTATTCGATACCTAAACCCTCCTACGAATTCGAGCCCTTCGTATTAGAGTCTACTATTATAAATTACCTTAGGGCTTACGGCCGTCGGTATAGTGTCGTATAGCAAAAGAATAGTAGTACAAGGAAGAATAATACTACTAAGACTATCTAGAAACGCCCTCTTAAGTACGCGAGAGGTAACTGTATAAATAAGCTAGTTAAGAATCGTCTTAGTAGGCTATCGAAGAAGCTAGGTAAGAGGATAGCTAAGCAGAACTGCCGCGTTATAGCGACTATCAGCGCCTTAGACAAGGAAAACCTAGAGAATAAGTAGATATTTAGTCTTAGTAAGTATATTAAGTATAACTATAAGAGCGTAGCCGCGGCCGGCCTACCTTACTACTAACGAGAAGTACGTAGTAACGAGTTTCGTAAGTATCTAGCTAACTGTCGTACGAACGGAGTATTACCTACGGTTATCTATACTCTAGCAAAGGCCTAGTTTATTACTAAAGCCGGCCTTACTAGTATTGCCGCTATACTAGTACTTCGAGATATCTACAATAAGTTTGCGCGGATCTATAGCGATATAATTATTAGTCTAACACTAGTAGACAAGATACTAGAAGTACTAGTTACTAACAACTTCTTCTATAAGGTAGTAACCAACGACGATAACCGACTCCGCGCCCTATTCTTCGCGGATTTACGACTTATCGTACTTTTTAAAGATAACAACTATATATTAATCTTCGATTGTATATACAAGATCTACGCTAGCGGCCTTCTACTTCTCTGCTTTAATATTGTTACTAGACTCGGCGTCGTCCTACTATTAGTATATATCCTTATACCTAACGAGACGTTCGAAGGGTATAAGTAGGTATTCCGTATATTTAAGCGCCTTCTCGAGGCCTACGATATCGACGAACCGGATATTATTATTTATAATCGCGACCGTACGGCTATAAACGCGTTAGAGGCTGTATTTCTAGAGGTAGAATCTATACTATATATATAGTATATAGATACTATAGTCGAGGCGCAGGCCTATAAGATATTCGGCTAGAAGAAGAGCGACGATAGAACGCGTTACGTCGCTAGCGAGCTCGCTGCCGAATTTCTTGTATTGTATAGAACGTATCGCTTTGCTAAAACTAAGCAGCTGTTCGATAATACCTACGTAGCAATACTTATACGTACTACCCGCGACGAGGCTAGCGACAACGAGAACGAGACTAACGACGATACTACTAACGAGACCGCCGAGGCCGCGCAAGACGACGAAGTAGACGATATTGTACGACTAATCGCTATTGATAAGCGCGCTAGCTATAATTAGAGAGATACCTTAATACGCTAGCTTAAGATAATACGCTATCTCGAGAAGTACTAGTAGGTATACAAGGAGAAGTACGTTAAAGCCTAGACTAATAAGATACGCTATTTCGGCTACGATATGTCCTTAGTAGGTAAAGGTATATACGCAGGCCTTAAGAAATAGATAGTAAGTATACGGAATAATATACTTACTCTAATCCTCCGGATAGCTCTATTTTACGACAGTTATATCGACCGTTATACATATACGCTGTCTGTTGTATAGAATACCTCCTCTACGCGATTCGTTAACCGGCTATTCTACTATACTATTAATACTATAATCGACGTTCGAGGGCTAAAGGCTATAGCTATACAGAAGTAGAAGTACGACGAAGAGTAAGAGAAGATTGCCGCTAACCCTAGGTATACCCGTAGCGTGTATACTAGCGTATTTATAAAGACTATAGATTATTAGATATAGCTTGCTCGTACTAACTTAACGGTATTACTTACCTAACCCTATCGCAATTCGGGGACTTCTAGTATATCCTATACGCCGAGTTAGCGACAGCGATAGGAGACGCGCGCAGACTTCTTAAGCCGCCGCCTCGAGTAAGTAGACGTAGCGCTCGTCAAATACGCTCGTACGCTACTATTATAGGCGCCTTAACATTATAGCGTCTACCTACCCTCGTAGAGCGACTCGATCCGAATCGACGTAATACAACGCCGCCTAGCGAAGATAGTCGCAATAGCGAGGATAACAATATACAGCTAGTACGTCGCAATAGCGAGGCCTAGCGGCCGGTTTAGCAACAATCTAGCCGGTACGTAGTAGTAGTAGAGGGTACTATTAGATGCAATTGCGCTAAGGGCTATACTTATAGTAGGTATATATGTCTCGCTATAGGATAGGTATATAGTATACGTTGCAAGCATAAGGTAGGCGGAGAGCTATACGCTAACGTCTATAGAAGCGCTACTACTTAGCGGCTAGCTATAGCGATACTACGAGCAACCCCGATACTACAAGCAACCCCGATACTACGAGCAACTCCGGTACTATAAGCAATACTACTGCTAAGAGCCGAGCTAGCAGTTACAAACAAGTAGTTCGTATAGCTACTATAGCAACAAGCTAATATATTAGCGTAGCTCGCTACGCTCGCTACTAGTTACTATAGAAGAGTACTAGACAGAGTATAAGATAAGGATAGTAGTTACGAGACGGATATAGATATAGATACAGACGACGAGTTCGTATAGCTAGTACGTACGTACGTACGTATTAGTAAGGCACGATTTAGGCCGCTAGGTTAAAGAGTTAACAAGAGGGGTAGATAATTAAGAGTTAAAAGGAATTCTCTAGCCTCTAGTTAGCTAACGCTAGGAATAGTAGCAAAACCTATAGTACGGAGTAGTTTATAAGTTTTGTAAGGGGTTCTAGACTAATAGGGTATTAGACAAGAGAGGGTACTTTAGTTAAGAACACAATACTGTATTATATATCCGATATAGCCTTTTGATAGCTTGTTAGCTTATTGCGACGATTATTCTAAGCCTCCTCTATATTGTTTGTATTACCGTACTATATATTGTTGTTATATTCTATCGCTATCGGGCAAAGTTGCAATTTAGGTTGTATATGCAGAAGTTGCAGCCTTAGGCTTTGGCTTAGTAGGGTCCTCCCGCCTTTTAAAATTTACCCTCCCGCCTTTTATAAATGCCTATATACAGGTATAACATAGAAGAGATATAACATCTGCTGAGATTCTGTAGGATGTTTTGTTACCGCATTGCTAAGCTATACATAAAGTAACACATACCTAATACTACTACGTCGATACTGTACTATATATACAGGATATCTTTAATACAAAGTTACCGATCTTCTTCTAAACAACTATATATACTATCTCGCTTTTGCTGCCTACTCGACAACTACGGCATACGTCTTATACTCGACTACGTTCAGAATCCTACTAGGGAAGCGCAAGACTGATCGCTCTAGCTATATATATCCCCCCTTTGTACCTCTCCTCCGCCTTTTCCCATAATAGCCAGATGCCAATAGTCTTTTTCTCACTACTCACTTTCCACGTCTCTTCACACCGGGCCTAGCTGTAAGTCGGCGATATATATAACGGTAATCAGGCTTCTCTATGAGATTTGTCTGGGAAGTAGACGTTCTAAGGACTGACCCCATTTCCACAATGCTACCATCGCGATCCAAGGGCTATCATGATAGCAGGTAAATCGCCAGCCGCGGGGTTGAAAGTCTCGGATGATGTCGATCGACATCGAACACGCACGCCTGTGCGCTTCCACGAATGGACTCGTTGATTTCCCAGCGACCTGAAGCTATGGCTCTGACACATCACATGGTCGTCGAAGGAAAAGAACTTGGGGCTTAATCACTTTGCTTCGCGGGGGAGTTGGGATGATCGTCGATTTGGAACAAGAGCCAATACGCAGTCGGACGCTTCTTAGTCTTCAGGTCAATACCAAGACAAGGCTTGGGATCAAATACAATCGTGATGTCTTTGATACATTTCCAGCCGAGTGATGACTTGTGGTCGCTCAAGAACCTCGCAATGCCGCCGCCATTTGCGGTTCCGAGGAGGGCGAAAAAGGAAGGGCTTTCGGATTCGACAGGCTCGCCGGGGAATGCTAGCGTCTGGGAAACTTCTGTTGATTGGATCCCCATCTCGCGGATAACGATGTTTATGATATCGTTGTCCGCTCTATTATTGATCTTGCCACTGACAATCAAGCTCAATTTAGTCATTCCGGCGACGTCGTTCTGTTCAGCAAGGCATTGTTGATGGACGAGAAAAGTGACATCAGACCAATGCTCTAGATCTGGTATCTTCTTGCCGCTCATTCGAGCTCTGGGACTGTGGTTGTCCATCGAAAAGATGACATAGGGACTTGCTGAGTGCCATCCTCGATACGCGGCACCAGTGCCGGCGTGCAGGCTGTCTACCTTCGTGATCTTGCTCTGCTGTATCTGGAAATGTTTGGCGATAGCATCGAAGACATCGCTTTCCAACTCCCAGCTTTGGTCGAGGAGAAGAGTGGACTTCCAGCCATTGTTGGCTAGGTCGCTATACGCGGCGAAGGAAGACATTTCTATACCTGTAGGAGGTGAATCGAGGAGCGCGTGTCGTAATCGGCCCTTCTGGATGGCTTCGTTCCATTCACCAGCGCCTGGGGTTCCTGGAGACAGTGTTATGTTCTCACTCGAACGGGGAGAAGCAGCAGAAGCTGGAAATTTCAGGAACATGAAGCTGGTGAGCCTCACAGTGAGCGACATGCTCGTCAAGTACATGGAGTGCTCGAGAAGGGCTCAGTATCGCTCTTGACATGACAGATTTCGTGCCTTCTGAGGTAGGAAATGTTGTATGCTCTTGCTGACACGACAACTCGTGCTTACAGAGAAGGTAACCTCGCCCCAGGAAAGCAGTTGATCCCAAGATCTTGACGATCCATCATGGGGTTTGTGCGCACGTTGCTCGCAGGTATACGTACCAAGTTTGACAACCTGTGAGCATGTCACAAGATCAATAACCGACCATTCCTTCAATTGAGCATGATCTGCCCGTCGTACATATCTGAGACAATATAGTGTACAAATGACGACACCGCAGTCTTAAACTTAGCAGACGATATTCTCCACGAGCAGGAAACAGGTACCTGCAATGTAATGCAATCCTTCGTGGCTGAAATGGAGGACCTGGATTGTCCAGCAAGAGTCGGGAGAGTGCGATTCTCAGAATACTCGAAGCGCGAGCCGCAGGTTCATTGCCAGACACAAATTCATCCATATCAATGATATGATCACGAAAAAGAAGACCAAGAGGACATCCCAAACGTTGTTTTGCTTCTGCACAGGAGCCAGTGATTCTTCACAGCTGATACACAGTCCCAATGGGAAGCATCCTCTTGCTTTGTATCGGCTTAGCAACGATCTGTTTGTTGCATTTGCTCAGTCGAACTCAGGCGCGGTCGTGATGCAAGCATGTACTCAGGATAGAGCTGGAAACGTCTGATATCTTGGACCAGCTCAAATGCGTAGTCGCACAGCGCCAATTTCCGGCTCGTGGGCATGTTTTGGGTGAGAGCAATAAACTCAGATCGTGCGCAATGTGGCTCTATCGCTATCCTGAACAGTCGACAGTGCAAGCGCAATGAGTCTGCGCTGGTGACTTAGCATCAGAGATGATCGGGCGAGCTTGGTAACATGACCGGGGGCGTGGGGACCAGGATTCCAGGCTTAAAGAGGAAGAAAAAGAGACAGGGAGAGACAAGAGTACTCGTTTCGCAGTCCAAGCAGCATGTGAGCCGTGAGATAGCTTCATTCCTTATCACTGACATCGTAGGACGATGGTGTCGACTGAGACGACCGGAGAGAGCTACCGGAAGCCTCTCTGAAAAACGAAGGGACCAGTCAATGTGGTACTCTCGGAGGACGAGCCCGCAGACGGGATACGATTCGTCTCCTGCTCGGTTTCATCTGAAAGTCCATGCAGGAAGAAGATGCATTTCCAGGCTCTATGCTGTGGACCGGTGGTCGATCCGCACACTGACATGCACCTGGCATATATCAAGACGTCTGTATAGCGCACCCGGACCTAGACGTATCCATTGTAAGGCAGAGGGGAAACCCAGACATATCCATTGTAAGGCAGAGGGGAAACCCAGACATATCCTTTTTCGTAGAGTAGAGATTAAAACCATTTCCAGAACAAATCCATCACTTCTTCTCCCTCGTCCCAGCTCCTACGTCCCTCGCCTCCTTCTCTGCCTGATACTTCTTCTTGTCGATCTCCGCCAACTCCTGCATCTTCTCCAACACACTCGTCTTCAAATCGCCGACCCCATCCTTCCGAGCCAAAACCTCCGCCATCCAAGCCTCAATCTCCTTGTCAGCTTCTGTCTCTCCTCCGTAAACATCATACCCGACTCCAGCTCGGACCCAATCGCGAAGATCCTCTACATCGCCAATATTATTCCATTTCATGAACAACCCTGTCCCGGCCATAAAGACCGAAAAGACCGAAAGAGTAGCCAGACCGAGAGCTTCGGCTGCATCGAGGCCGCCTTCAACTTTGGGAGGTATGTTGGAGGGAGTGAACGTGGGGAGGGAGAGCTGGGTTTTCGCGGTGCCCGTTCCGGAAGGGGAGGGAATGGGAGTCTTGATCATTTGCGGATAGGCAGCAATGTGTTTTCGCGCGAGGGAACGGCGTGTTACGAGGGCGCTGAGGAGGGTGAAGGCGAGGCCGCCGTAGAGGAGCGCATCTTGGCGGAGTTGACGGGTGGACGATGAGGCGCGCTCGGTGAAGCGAGGTGCGAGAGGACTTTTTTGTGCTGACGGACTTGTGGTGTCTTCTGCTTTGGTCGGATTCGATGTTGTTGTTGTTGGTGATGGTACACTTGATGGTGTGGATTGTGAGTGACGAATGTCACCAGGAGCGAAGTATTTGTCCCACCACGACATCCATGCGGTCTGCTGTAGAGTAAGTGTATTGTGCGGTATAGGCAGAATATTGGAACCTGAGATCATATGGCCGAGTGAAAGTGTAGCTGTGTAGCATGACTAATCACCAATCCCGAAGGAATCACTCGCCACTCACATCTCTCTTTCATTCTTGTGATAGGTACTTCCGACTCTCCACCACTCCGCTCTCCCATTCCGCCACACCGACGACAGCAATGGCGACTGCTCTCCGCCCAGCAGCAGCATCGCGCTGCCTCCTTTCCCAGGCCCGAGTCGTCATCCCCCAGAAGCGCAACTTTGCCACCACAATCTCAGAAACTCCGCCCGCAACGACCACATCCTCCACTCCCCGCGCCGCCACCGCTTTCACAGACCGGCTCAACAGCGGACCCTCCTTCGGCGACTTCGTCTCTACTCCGAAGGAAAAGATCCTCACACCCTCCGAACTCTACGAACTCCGCGAAGTAGAAATTGGCCCGGCCGGCCGTAAGAGAAAACACACTCGACTACCCTCATGGCTGCAAACCCCTGTGCCCTCGAACAACAACTACAAAAAGATCAAACAGGACTTGAGGGGTCTAGGCTTACACACCGTGTGCGAAGAAGCTCGATGTCCTAACATCAGTGATTGCTGGGGCGGATCCAGCAAGAGTGCCGCGACAGCGACAATCATGTTGATGGGAGATACGTGCACGCGCGGTTGTCGATTCTGTTCCGTGAAGACGAGTAACAAGCCTGCGGCGTTGGATCCTCATGAACCGGAAAATACAGCGGAGGCACTCAAGCGGTGGGGATTGGGATATGTGGTTCTGACATCAGTAGATCGGGATGATTTGGCCGATGGAGGAGCCGCACATTTCGCAGAAACAATCATGAAGATCAAGAGCAAAGCGCCCCAAATACTCGTGGAAGCGCTCACTGGGGATTTCGCAGGAGATTTAGAAATGGTCCGCAAAGTAGCCACCAGCGGACTAGACGTGTACGCACACAATGTGGAGACAACCGAAGCTCTGACATCCCAGGTCCGAGATCGACGAGCAACATTCCCACAAAGTCTCTCCGTCCTCCGAGCTGCCAAGCTGGCAAAACCCAGCCTCATCACCAAAACCAGCATCATGCTCGGCCTCGGCGAAGAAGAAGACCAACTCTACCAAACACTCCGCGACCTCCGCAAAGCCGACGTGGACGTCGTCACCTTCGGCCAATATATGCGTCCCACGAAACGACACATGAAAGTCCACACATACGTCACGCCCGCGACATTCGAGCTGTGGAGACAAAGAGCTCTGGACATGGGTTTCTTATATTGCGCTTCTGGCCCCCTCGTTCGAAGCTCATACAAGGCGGGTGAAGCGTTTATCGAAAATGTCCTCAAGAAGAGGGCGGCGAACCAAACTACTACTACGACTACAACTACTCCTGATCCGAATTCACTCCCGGAGATGCTAAGATGTTAAAAAGGAGAGATATATAAAGCTACGTTATGAAAAATTCCAGAGAAATGGGAACATTACGGGTAGAAAGGATGCACCCGGGGGTACATTGGTTCGGTGTTGATATTTCCATGCCTAGGTGTGCATACTTGAGGTCAGGTAGCGACCAGGTTTTTGGGGGGGGGGGGGTTTCTTTCGTGTGGAAAGATTTGGTTGGCATCGCGATCTTGACGTGAAATGGGACGCATACCCGTAGATGGACATATACATACTGTACCTGGTGTACTAGAAGAGCAGGGAATGCACGTCACTCAACGTGCGATTCCTCCGCCCCTGATGCACACAGCAATGTCCCACTTCTGCCATCTCACCTGACTTCTCATCTGACTTGTTATTTGCACTCAAGCAAGGGGCCTCTGTAGACTTGATGCTGCCCATCATATTGTGGTCAAGACAGGGCCACTTCTCTGACCGACATGGAACCATGTCAAATAGAAACGAACAAAAGTAAGAAGAGATGACGATAATACAAATTTGTATTGTCATCCTACAGAAAAGGGGGGGGATCGCCAAGGCGTCGCAAACGCGCGCCCTACCATGCATGTTCAAAGCAAAACAGAAGACCAACATTCATCGCTCACACAATCTCTCTCTGTGCATGCCATCTTCGTTCCTCGATCGCTCCATTGGGCCTCATAGACCCGACGTGCTGCCTCACGGCGATGAATGCACAGAAATCCCCCTCGTCCCCGGTTTGTTCGCATTACCTCCCCACGCGTACCCTATACACTTGCCGCCATTACTTTCTTCCACGCATCAGTCGATTGAATAACATAGCCCATAACAGGTAAGAAGGTCCAGAGTAGCAAAGAAACGCCATAAGAAATCGTGTAGTTGTAGTTGTAGTTTTTTTTTGTGTTGTTTGGTGGTGTTTTATCGAGAACCAAAGTCGAAGACAGTAGGAAATGTTGAGTGGTGGCGGCGCGGCGCCTGCAGGTGAATCCAGCTTGGTTACGCTTCATTTCGAAGGTCATTGCTGAAAGCCCTGCCGAGTGACACTGCCAGTAGACTGCATGCTGCAAGTTGAAATGTTGCACGTCATCTGTGTTCGCTTCTCCTGATGTGCATGATCGAAAGCACAATCGATGGTGGGGTGAGCCACCCTGATTGTGCGGTACCATGCGAGAAGCGAGATGACCAGACAGCCATGTACTAGTGCCAAATACCAATAAGAAAGTGTTGCTCGGACCGAGACCATGTCCAGATCCAGAGCATGAAACATTCGGTGCTGATGTCAGCTACGATGTTGCAGAGTTGAAATTGTGAGGCAGCCCTGCCCTCGAATCCAGAGCCATTCAGTAATTGTTATATCCGGACTGGTCGGCAGCGCCACGCTTGTTCGCGCTACGAAGTTGCCTGTCAAGAAACGTCGTTAGCATAAGTCTTCTGTCCCCTCGCGTATCCAAATCACGAACGCAGAGGAGAAGGCGCCTTACAAGACGGAGATTCGAAGGCAGGTCATGTGTACATAGGCACTCACATTCCGGTACCCTCTCTCGGTGGAACAGCGCCAGAGCGATCCTTTGAGAGCTGGCCGGTAGTACCGCGAGTGGCTGCTCCAGTCCTACGGCCAGGCTTCTCCTCGGTGTCATCGGCAGCATTCTGGTTGCCCGCCGCCTGAGCAATAGCCTGTGCATTCTTCTGGTACTTGTAGACAGTCCAGTCAAAGACGTAGTCGTACTGGAAGCCCTCACGGACGAAGAGGTCGCGGAAGATCTTGCGGAGGTAGGAGTAGTCTGGCTTGTCGTCGAAGCGCAGGCTGCGGGTGTAGTTGAGGTAGATGGCGAATTCGTTGGGGAAGCCGCGGCAGAGGACCTCAGTGGGAGTGGTCATCTTCTTCTCCATGATGCGGTCATACTTCTGCTTCTTGGTCGCCGCCTTAAGACCTTGCCATGGGAGAGAACCACGGCAGAAATAGAGCATCACATAGCCGAGGGACTCCATATCGTCGCGTCGGGATTGTTCTAGAAAGACAGTCAGTCATGTGTATTGACGGTGTAGCAGAGACAGATGAGTGAGGACGTACCGACTCCCAGGTGGGTGTTGATGGAGGCGTAACGGGCGGTACCAGTCAAGTTCTTGTTCTCTCTGTACGGGATATGGAAGTGAGTCTTCGGGTCGCGGTACTTCTTGGCGAGACCGAAATCAATCACGTTGACTTGGTTGCCGCGCTTGCCGATGCCCATGAGGAAGTTGTCGGGCTTGATGTCGCGGTGGATGAAGCTCTTGGCGTGGATGTACTCGATGCGGGAGATGAGCTGATCGGCGAGGAGCAGGACAGTCTTCAAGGAGAACTTGCGGTTGCAGAAGTTGAAGAGGTCCTCGAGGGAGGGTCCGAGCAGGTCGAGGACCATGGCATTGTAGTCGCATTCTGTTCCGAACCATCTCACGAAAGGGATACCGACACCACCAGCCAGCGACTTGTACACGCGAGCCTCATACTCCAATTGTGGGTGCTTCGCCTTGACGGACTCAAGCTTGATAGCAATCTCCTCGCCGGAGATGATGTTGGTGCCTGTGAAGTCTTAGTACAGTGATTGCCCAGCATCAACTGTCGCGCATGTGTCATACCCAGGTAGATGTCGCCGAAAGACCCGCTACCGATCTTGCGGCCGATTCTGTACTTGTTCCCCACACGGAGATCCTGCCCGTACGTCAGTAGATGTTCTCGTGATGCGGAGGATGCGGACGAGGAGGCGGGAAGGCGGAGCGTACCATTGTCGTCATGGTGTTGTGTGACCTCGAGATGAGGGTTTTGTGGTGGTGTTGGGGTGTGGTGGGAGGAGGATCGGTGGGCGTTGCTCAGTGTGTCCACCGGAGACCAGTCGACGCGGCGGTCGTCGGGGAGAGGGGGTGTGTGTGTGTCGTTGGTGTGCTGAAGGCCGATACAGTATTAGTGTATGTTGTGATGAAGATGAGGCAGAAGAATGGCGAAGGAGCCAGCTGAGAGGGCTGTGCTGTGCAGTGCAGAGGCTGACAGACAGGGAAGGGTCAGGCAGGTCAGGCAGGTCAGGTCAGGTCAGGTCAGGCCCGGTTCAGCAAGTCAGGTTGGACGGGAGGGAGGGAGGGGAGGGGAGGGGATAAGAAGGGAGGGATGTGGCGGTGAGAGTGCGAGCCGAAACACTTGCTTGCTTCTTCGTGCCTTCTGCGGGGAGTCGGGCGCGGAGGGGAGGTGCACAATGGCAGAGGCAGGCACGAACGTCAATCGGGCAGCAGTCGGTGAGAACAAAGGATTGCTGGTCGGTGAGGTTGTGTTGTGCTGCACAAACGTGAACGGCGCGTGCCCGGCCGTGCGTGCGTGCGTGCGTGCGGGAGTGAAGAGTGAGGGAATTGAAGGGGTGCAAGTGATGAGGGATGCGAGAGAGTCAGATGGTAGCAGGCTGATCCCGAGAGTGGACGAGTCGGGTGACTGACTGACAGACGGCCTGACTGACGGCCTGACGGACTGACTCTGGGACGGACTGATTGACCACTGCGCTCGTGCTGTGCTGATTGTCTGTGCCGGCACCGTTTGTGTCAGGCTCCAGTGGTGTGCATACCTTAGGCAGAATAGACCTGTCTCGAACTACCTCCTGGCAGCTTCCTGAAATAGAGCGAGAGAGAGGTGAATTTGTTGACAGTTGGGCTATCGTACAACACGGTCGGTGCGGTGCTGATGTGTCGGCAAAGACGGCTCTTTCGATCGTCTGTGGTGTGGGAGGGCGTGCGACGTGGAGGCCGATATGAGCGGGCAGAGAGTAGAGAGAGGCAGACACAGCGCTCGGAAGGCTGTCTGTGGCCCAGGCAAACAAAGTAGCTGGCGAAGGTGGTGGTGGTGGTAGTGAAGAAGAACAGCGACACCACTAGTAACTGTAAGGTATAAGGTATGGACTTTGGTGGTTGGTGGTGATCTCACGGATCTCGCCAAGGGGCTTGGCGGTGACTCGTCAAACCACCCTTGAAATCTTGATTGACATTTGCTGCTCTTCTACTTAATCGACGGCTAGGTGACCACATCGCACCTGTTCCCGCCTCCACATTCCGAGCAACACATCTCATACACATCTCATCAGCACTGAGGTGTCATCTTTACTCTGTCACAGCTGGTGCCAGACGTGAATACCTGACCTGGTATGCTCGTGTCGACCACCGCCAGACCACGGCCAAACCAGCCGATGGTGTCACTGGTCTGCCACCGCAAGCCTTTTGGGCCTCAATAATGTGAAAGAGGCGGCAGCCATTGGCCAAGTGCCAGCACCTCCCCTGTAGCAACTGTCGTCCTAAACCAGAAGTCCCAGAACAACGCCGCCACATAATACATCAGAAGGGGATACATATGAGCATACCTCCTATCACGTCCCCCAAATTGGGCATCCGACCAAGTCCGAGCCCGTGTTCGGCGGGTTCCATGTGCCCTTGGGTTCCAACGACGCGCTTGCAGCAGTCCAACAACTCTCCGCTTTCCGGTGTTCATGCGCGCATTCTGTAACGTAGCCAACGCAGCGTACATGTACAATGTAGTTGTAGCCTACCTCCTAGTAGGTAAGGTATTGCTGGTGGTATGGGATTGTGATCTCCAAGTACGGGGACATGACACGTCGTACCCGCGCGGATCATATCTTGAGCTTGACATCGGGAACATCGGGCACCAGGCAACCGCACCTCATCAATTAGACGCGCGACGGGCGCCTTCTTTCTGACCTGACGTACCTTATCATGAGAGACGAGTGCCATCTCCAATGCTGCGATCGAGTCCTTCATCAGCCATCACGCTCCGCCGCGACATTCTCTTGCCGAGCTGCCATTATTGACTTCAGATGGTAATATAAGTCACCGGTGTCTCAACTCGATGAAACCTGCAAAGTCCAGACCCCGATGACATGAGAACGATCGACATACCTCTTACTCCACAGAGGTAGGAGGTATGTTCGTCGCCAGGCCAGCAACACTCGCACGCGCCATGACCTGCCTCTTCCGGCTCCTACGTGGCATATCGGGATACGTGCGGGTGTGTTGGCTGGGTGCATGAGGAGGACCTCGCGCTCTGACAAGCTAGGTCTGCTCTGGGTCCAACACATCTTCAAGCCCACCTCATACATGAAAGTCATTGAGCACGACCGGATGTCTTCCGGGATTGTGCGCGACATGACAAGAACGTCTCCATGAGTTCTTCCGATGTACTGGAACGCCGTTTGCTGGCAGCGTGGACCGAGTGCAAACTCATGTTCTTGAGCGTTGCTGGCGTGAGCTTATGACTGGTGCTGCAATGGCCGAATAGGTAAGTATCAACAGCTGGGCAACTTTCACTGACTCAACCCAACTGCTCTATTCTGCTTCCGTCGCTGACCCTCTGCTGTCGATGTGGATGGGAAGGCATTGGAATGCGGAGTTCCCTAAGATATCAGACCATGGTGTGATCAGAGCCGAAATCATGCTTCATCTTCACTTCCATTGTACATGTCAGACTCTACCCAGCTCCTGCAACCAATAGAGCTGTGGTACGGCGTGTAGAGATTAGTCGCCATCTAGTGCGAGGTCGTGAGGGCGTAACACGTCGGCACAGAATGTCGCGACCCGTCCACACGTGAAGAAATGACCTTGGTCTCTTAGCATGTCGAGATAATCTCTCTTGTCGGGCAGTACGAGAACTGAGCTTTGGCCGAGCTCGGCCAACTACATGTACCTAGACGGCCAACCCCAACTATCGACCATACCACGTCATGACGATAAGGTAAGGCCCTCTACTGCTGATCCAAGACCCGCAGATTCACACAACACAACAGTCGTCAACCCATTACCGCCAACTGAGGCACATTCGTTCGTATGGCTGAAGTAAAAGTTACCTCCGCGAGATCAGCGACTGACCAAGCACGAGACTACCTAGAAGATCGTCTTGGCACAGCAGATGACTCCCAGAGTCTCAAGACCTTCACGATACCAGTAATCGATATTGCATCATCCTACTCAGGTTCGCTCAAGGATCGAAAAGGGGTGTCCCGACAAATCAGAGAGGCATGCGTCTCGAGCGGCTTCTTCTATGTCAAGTCCCACAACATCACTCTACAAGCCTCGCGAGACATACTAGCTCACTCGAAGCGCTTCTTCCACACGCTGTCAGCCGACCAGAAGAACGCCCTGCATATCAGCAAATCCAAATACGGCTATGGCTGGGAGCCCGCCGACGCAACGAGCATCTACGGCGACGCCGAGCAAAAAGAAGCTTTCAACTGGGGCTACGAAGCCGATTTAGATCCGGAAGTTCGCGACAATCATTCACACGTCCAGCTCGACGGGACGAAATCCGACAAAGTCAACCAATGGCCAGCAGAAACCGCCTTATCAGGTTTTCGCAACGCCATCAAAACATATCATCAACAAGTTCTCACCCTCGCACGACACCTCTATAAACTGCTCGCACTCTCCTTGGATTTACCAGAAAACTACTTCAACCCCATGATCACCGACCCAAGTGTAACAGGCCGCCTGATGTATTATCCCCCTGCTTCTGCCAAAAAAGAACCTAGACAGCCCTTATCCGACGACGACGACAAGGACGACCTCACAATCGGATTAGGAGCTCACTCCGATTATCAATGCTTCACCATCCTCCTCCTCGATTCTTCGACTACCCCCGGCGGGCTGGAAATTTTGTCTCCCATTACAGGCGCTTGGATCCAAGCTCTCGCGGTTCCGGATACGTTGATTGTGAATATTGGCGATATGATGATGCGGTGGACGAATGGGTTGTATCAGAGTACTGTACATCGAGTCATTAATACTTCTGCCGAGGAGCGATTTAGCGTTCCGGTGTTTTTTGGGGTGGATAATGATCAGGTTGTTGAGGTTGGTTTTCTGATAGATTCCTTTTTTTTTACGTTTACTTATGCTGGAGGGGTGGAGGGGGTTTCTTTTGTCTTGGTTTTTCTTATTTTTCTTTATTCTTATTTCTCTCTCTCTCTCGGAAACTGACAACTGCGACAGACTTTACCAAGTTGCATCACACCCACAAGTCCTTCAAAGTACCCTCCTATTAAAGCTGGCGAGTATATCTTGCAACGTCTAGCAGCTACGCGTTCCGCTTCATGATTCCATTTCTCTGTAGGCAAATGAGGATCACATGCGAACTTGGCGTGCGGGCGACATGATGACCGACGACATCAGATCTTGCAGAGCAGAGATCTCACTCACAGTTTTACAGACTCAGAGACGAAGAAGAAGATGATTCCACAATTTGCTCTCTCTCCCTCCCTCTACAATCCGTTTCCATGTCCCAATCTACCATAAAAAGAATCCCCCCCATTCCCATCCCAATACCTCCCCTCTCTCCCTCTCACTCACTCCACCCCATACAAAATCTCATACTTCCACTCCGTCTCGGGCACATTTCTCCACTTGACACTCGTCGGATGTTTCTTCCTCGCCGGCAACACCCTTCGAATATACAAATCCCCGACATTAATCGCCGGGGGAATTTCCTCTCCTGCTTTTACACAGTTGGGAAGAACTTCGAGTGTGGCTTGAGGGTTGGGACTGAGAAAGAAGGGGATGGAATATCTTCTTTTTTGTTCTTGTCCGGATTTGTTGCGGACGCGGTGGATGGTTGCGGGGAAGAGGGAGTTGGTTTGGTGTTCGAGGTACTGAAAGGAGAGAAGGAGGAGGGGGAGGAGGATTAGCTTGTTGTGGATGGGGGATAGGGGGGTTGAGAGATTTGATTTGGGGAGAGAGGTAAAAAACAAAAAAAGTGAAAAAAGTGAGAAGAGTAAAAGAAGAAAAAAGAGAAAAAAGAGAAAAAAGTAAAAGGGAAAAAAAAACTCACCTGCCCAACATTAACAACCAACGTCCCCTCCCTCGGCGGAACATCAATCCATTTCCCTTCCGAATTCAACACCTCCAACCCTCCCACCTCATCCTGCAACACCAACGTCACCCAACTAAAATCCTTGTGAGCTCCCAATCCCATCCTCTCCTCATCCCCATCCCCATCCCCATCCTCTCCCTCCTTCTCTTTTTCCGCACAACTCGGAGGAGGAGGATAATGCAAAGCTCTCATTCCCCAAATCGGCCATTGAAAATCTTTTTCTAACCCCCCATCACCACCACCATTCTTATTCTCATCATCATGACTATCAACCCCCAACGCCACCCCAAAAATCTCCACAAGTTTCATCGCCACGGGGAAAATTTCGCGGTAATACGCATACATGCCTTCGCGAAAACCAGGCGCAGAGGAAGGTTTGGGCCAAATATTTTGGCTGCGGGGGATAGAAGGGAGAGGGGAAGAATGAGGGTAAAGGGACTGATAAAAAGATACTTGTTCGGAATCGTGTACGCAGTCTCCGATTGTGAAGGCTTCTTTGAGATCTGAGTAGGATAAGTCGCTCAACAACTTACCGCGAAGGGAAAAAGGGGTAAGAAAAAAAAATACTCACCCCCCTTCCTCCCCCTCCCCGTCTCCCCCAAAGGTTCATACCCCCTCATCGCGGGATTCGCATGTAAATGCGCCTCCTGCATTTTTTCTTTTTCCCCGACTTGTCGAAAAAACTTCTCCATGACTGCGAAAATCTCAAATTGGCTTGCGAGAGGGATTCCGTGGTCGGTTGCGTAGAAGAATCCCGTTGTGGTGCATGCTGAGTGGATTTCTGCTGCGAGGGATTGGAGATGGGAGGGGGATGTAGAGGATGGGGAAAAGAGGGGGAGGAGGGAGATTGTGGGGATGGATGTGAAGTTGGATTTTTCTGAGGGGGGTTGGGGGATTGGGGTTGGGGTTGGGTTTTTGGAGGAGGATTGGGGCGGTGGGAGGGGAGAAGAAGGGGGTGGTGGTGGCTGTGGGGGGTTGGTTTGGGTTTCTTTGGTCATGGTGATGATAGATAAATAACAAAATTTCGATCGTGGCAGTTTTTGTCAGATTGTGGTTGATGGTGATGATGACGATGATGAGTGAAAGCTACCCACGGAAGGCGATATAGTGAAATGGTTGGTCTGTCTGAATGTTATTATTATGGCGGCTCTCACGAGGTCTTCCTAACCCAAGTTGACGACCCACGGCCAAAGTATTGCCCTATCAGAAACAACGGATTAATCTGCTGCTGAGCTATCGATGAAGAAAGCGATAAGTGTCCATCTAGGCGAAGAGACCGCCGCCTGCTACTTTAGCTATAGCAGCACAGGCACAGCACAAGCTTGACGGCAGGTGATGATAGAAGAAGAAGAAGAAGAAGATGCCCGGATGTCGTGCTTCAAATAATGGAGGCGCGGACTTGGCTCATTGGAGTGATTAGCTGACCTACATATTCTTTCAACACACTTCCCTCCCTTTCCAGTATGGAACTTGTTCGTACCGCTTTCGCTTCTTCCTATCATGGCACCGACAAGCCCAAATTCTTCTGGTGGTATCCCAAGGGAACTTCACTCGCAGAGAAGAAGCTTTTGACCAAAATCGACTTTTTCATCTTGTCCTATTGCTGTCTAGGATATTTTGCCAAATGGCTCGATCGTGCGCTTCTTCTTTTTCTTCCTCTTCTCCCTCTTCTGGCTATTCATGACTGCTTAGCCCACGCTAACGAGACTCCTCGCGCCAGAGGCAAACCTCTCCAACGCCTACGTGAGCGGCATGAAAGAAGACCTCGACATGTACGGCAACGAACTCAACCTCGCTACTACCTTATTCAACATAGGTTCCATTCTGGGTGGGATTCCGAGCAATCTCCTCATCACATACGTGCCACCGAGATATATTCTTCCCGGTTGTGAATTATTGTGGGGCATCATCACCGTCTTCACGTACAAGGTCACAACCGCACAACAACTCTATCCGCTGCGATTCTTTCTCGGTCTCCTCGAAGGCACGTCATTTGTCGGGATTCAGTATGTTCTGGGATCGTGGTACAAGAGAACTGAACTGGGGAAGCGGACTGCGATTTTTGCGTGCTCGGCATATGTGGGAACTGCGTTTGGAGGATACATTTTCAGTGGAGTGTATGCTAGCATGAATGGGAGTGGTGGCCTGGCTGCTTGGCGATGGGCGTTTGTGGTCGATGGAGTCATTACGGTGGTCATCGCTCTGTATGGTTTAGCATTTTTTCCGGACACGCCAGAGAAGACGACGGCCTTCTACCTCTCTTCTGCCGAGCGAGAGAGATGCGTGGAGCGTCTTGTGGAAGAAGATCGACGGCCCACAGGAGGTTGGTCGTGGGATGTGTGCGGAAGGATCTTTGGCAGCTGGCAATTTTACCTGCTCACCGTGCTGTGGATGTTCTGGCAGACGACCGTCGGCAAGGTCGGAAATACCGTATTCCAGCTCTATTTGAAGAACGATACAGCTCGAAATTGGTCCGTCTATCAGATCAACAACATCCCCACAGCGATCAACGGTTTCAACATCGTCATGGTCATGCTGGTCAACATCTACGCCGATGCCACTGGTCGGAGAATGGTTGCTGCGGTCTTCAGTCTGAGTATATTGTGCTTTGGGACGATTTGCCTCGTGGCGTGGGATATTCCACTTGGACTGCGAGTGGTGGCATATCTCTTCGCCGCGTGTGATGGGCCGTTGTCGCCACTGTACATGGCATGGGCCAACATCCTCTGCGGCAGCGACAAGCAGGTTCGAGCCATGACCATCGCCATGATGAACGCGTTGGGCAATGCCACGACGACCATCATTCAGCAATTTGCGTACCCCGTGACATCTGCGCCAGAGTATCGCGTGGGATTTCGGACCAGTCTGGGCTTGATTTGTGGCATGTACGTGTGGGTGTTCGTGGTGAGATATTTTGAACTCAGGGCAGAGAAGCGGCGGATGAGTGCGTCTGAGATACTCGAAGGCAGCAGTTGGGAAAGCAAAGAAGTCCAGCCGGTTATTCGTAAGATGGACGAGTAGAATAATGCCTCAACTACCTTACCCTCCGCTGCATTACCTCCAACAAGTGCAAGCATTTCTCCGCAGCCTGATTGGCTCAGCGGTGTTGATACATTCACTCAACTTGACGCGTAGGTGATGTGTTGGGACGTTGCAGACTATCGTTTCAAGTGTGAAAGCCGTCACATCTGTCTTGGCAAAAGGAACGCATCGGATCTCGACCTCACCCTTTTCCAGTTCCCATCTCGACCACCATTAAAGACCTCACACTCTCACGCCATTTCATTCTATATAATATATTGTCTATTCACAACTTTCCACATTCGGCCACCTACCACATACCAAAATCTGCCTTACCACCCGCTTGAATCTGCCAGCACAAGAACCTCTTTCGGAAGAAAATTGAACAAATCTTTCATCAGTAGCCTAGCTCTATTCAACTTATTGTATACTGCCCAAGCATTGCAGATCAAGTACTTGTATCAAGTCCAGCTCGCTTACTTCGCCTTCGTTGATATAGTTGCAGCTTTGTGGCAGTAGCAGTTCCACAAAAGGGGAACGAGTTTCGTGGCATGTCGTGCCTTGGTGACACGCAATAGTTGCCGGATTGCCCTTCGGATCTTGTGTTGACCACTCCGAAGAAAGCTACGCGAGTTTTCTTGTCTGTCTGTCTGTCATTATCATCGTCGAGATGGAAGACGAAGAACACGGAAACCGGAAAACTTTCATGAAAATTACTTGCAGACTCCTAATTCATACAGCTCTCAGCTCATAAAAGTCACCACACCCTAGATACCTTTTCTCTAGAGAAAAGAAAATCAAACATCATCCCCACTACTACTACTATCTCCATCATTCCCTCTCGTCCACTCCTCCAGCAGTTCAGCAACGACATCTTCCTTCTTCACACAATGATATCTTCGGGAAATTTCCTCTGCACTATTACTTTCTCCATGATTCTCATCTTCGTCATCTTTGACAGATTTCACATTCGCTCTTTTGGGCTTCTTGTCCTTTTTCTCCTCCTCTTTCTTCATCTCTTTCTTCGTCTCTTTCTTCGTCTCCAACGGCGACGATAGAGACAATTCGCCTGGGAAACCATGAGCGAAAACATCAAACGGATTGCCACGTGTGATGACTGGAGGCAACGTCTCATTCTCAATGCTCGGGGGCATTAGCTCTTTGAAAGCGTCTGCAAAGTGCTCACTGAGATTGTGAGAAGGTGGTGATGATTCGTCGGGTCGTGGCAGCGGCGGCGGCGGCGGCAGAACATTTGGTGCGGTAGTTTTCTTCCATGGTCTGCTCTTGGGAGATGCTGGTAGTGGTGGTGGCTCTTTAAAGGGGTTCCAGTGATAGCCCGCAAAAGGGTCACCGAAGGGATCCGTTGCTTTTGGGAGTGGGGGCGGTGGGGGCGGCATCATCATGGGCAGAGGTGGCGGGGGTGGCATCATCATAGGGTGAAAAGGTGGCGGTGGTGGTGGTGGCATTGACATGTTTGAGAGATCGTCGAATGGCGTTCCCAAGTGTCTGGACTTCTTGAGCGCCTTCTTCCTTGCCGATTCGTCCCGAATTTGGATGGGAGATGAAGGACGTCTCATGTTGGATGGAGCACAGTCGACGATGTCTGTCACGACTGTGCTGAGAAGTGTCACGGGAGTGCAGTACATTGTGCCCTTGCATTGCTCAAAAGTGCCCAGCAAACCTTCGACTCGGCTCTTTACAATTTCAAGAGAGCCTCTAATGGCATTCGAATTGTAGCGGCGGGACGTGTGCCAGGTGTGACTCTCCGTAGCCAGCTCGGTAGCAAGACTGCTTGCACTATGGGAGGCCTGGAGCAGCAGAGTATCGACCTCGCATGGGTCCACGGCGTGCCTCGATCGTGGTGGAAAATGCAGGAATGAGCTCTGCGAGTCGCTTGAGGATACCGATGAGGGTGCTGAAGACATGACGGATTCTGCAGCGTGAGCCTTCCCGTTTTCGAACTGGTATTCCTTGTAGCCTCGACCGCATCGGCCACCTCTGAATCTAGGCGCACCCACTGAGCCATCCCGAGGAGCGATGGGGGTCGTTCCTGGCGTGTGCTGAGTGAAGTTCTTCGCACCTTGAGCTCCGGATGCCAATTCATCTTCGCTTATGACTGACTCGGCATCAGAGTCAGTCTCATCAGCGTCCTGGCCGTCTACTAGGCCGATCTCCTTCATCTGCGTTGCAAGTTGCTGGACCTGCATACGCTGGAGCTCGACTGAGGCATTAGCACTATGTGCTGATTAGTACTGCAGACATCTGTATTGTAGCAAGACCTCTGTACCTCGATGATGCATCTTGCTTTAGCTTCAAAACGGCGAGCATCAGGATGAGAGATATCCTCGCACGCTCCATTTCTTTGCTGAGAGACGCAAGTTTCTCTCTTGCATCACAACATCGCTGCGCTATCATCCAGTCCGTGCAACCGACAATTTGATCGGGCACTAGGGAGAAGTGCGCCCGCATAGCATTGAAAGCTCGCTTGCAGCTCTTGAGAGCCTTGGAAGCGGTCTCCATCCCCTCAAAGGAAGACCATTGACCAAGCAGATCAATATGCAGCTGAATGGCCGCAAGCTTCAGAACTTCCGTCGAAGCTTCGATTCGAGAGGTTGTGGTCCCGACGAATTGGACATAGTCGATGATACCCGGAGGTTGAAGAGGATGATGCCCAGTTTGACTTGCAGCACCGAAGGCTTCAGAGTGTCTCTTGGCCGCCTTGAGGACTAATGTACCAAGCTCCGCTAGTTCTAGCGCCAGGCTCACGATGGTAATATTGTCGACCATGTTTGACGATTTTGGCTCAAGTTGACCAAAACTGTAGGAAGATGGAGATAGTTATCGTGTGCAGACCGCGGTTGAAAAGCCGGAGGACCTTGGACAGGTCAGCGTCGTTGCACCAAGTGCGGGCTTTCTGCGGAGCCGTAGGATTGGTAGGATCTGTCACCCTTCAAGTGATGTGTTGGCGTCGGCCAGACCAGCCATGGACATATAACTGAAAGTGAAGCTAGGTAGGTTTCTGAAGTCTCCTTTCACATGTGCCACATTGTCAAGCGATGCGCATGTAAGCAGCCATCCCAATTCCACTGCATCTATACATGCGCGTACACAGCTCGGAACACGACTTTTGAGGTCGCCCAGGTGCATCAGCACAACCAATCGTGTCACTGTCGAGGGTTTACTTCATAATTGACTCTCGGAGTTGCGAAGCTCTACCATCCAGAGTCCCAGTGGATCGCGTGAATTGATGATTAAACTGCATGGCGGGAAGCGAAATACAATTACGCTCTTCCGACGTGGGAGCCAGTGCTTTGTCGCTGGCTTGAGCCTCGACCATTGACCAATCGACGTCGGATCTTGCGGTCGCTCTCAACATGTGCGTCTGCATGTATAATCAGTAGAGTGGCAGAGACCGGCCGTCGTGATAGCTCACCTTTGTCCTCGTCTATGCCGGGCATCATGATTGCTTTTTGAAACACTGCTCTTACATGCATGGTGAGCACAAAGAGCCACGTCACGACCAACGCAATGGTCATTGCGCTTGCAACCCATAGGATGCCTTCGCTTGCGAGCTGCCTTCCAATCATAACCGTAGCGGTCGTGAAGCTCACATTCGGGAAAACGAACTAGTATCGGTTAGTGAACACAATGCGAATGCAGCGGGACTCTCCTGTAGTTGTGACTTACTGTCCACCAAGCTAGACAAAACGTCATTTTTCTTGCACCGTGCAACACGGCCAAAGCACTAACGCAGAAGATCCAGAAGCTGTACGACCACAAGAAGATTGCAAGGAAATCTGCGACAGTCTGCAAGATCATGATCATGCCAGGTCTCTCTGAGAAGTATTCGCTATGTGCCGGAAGCGACTGGCTCATGCCGACCAAAGCAAGACCAGTCATCGAGGGTGGTCCTACTGCGATGAACATACCAGGGCGAAGATTCGGTGCAGGCAGACCGAATTGTAAGATGCGTTGTAAATACATGGTGTATACCATGAAGCTTACTGTCCACCCCAGGCCTTGCGCGGTGACACCTGCCACGACGATGGGAAGCTTGTAGGTTGTGGGCTGATCCGGTGCAACAAGACTAGCCAGTGTTCCGCACAGCATGACGGGATAGACTGGCAAGATCCAACCGGCGGTCATGCTTTGTATCGTCAAGCGTGATGGCTTTGCAGCGAAAAGGTGGAAGTACTGCAATACCGCGATGCTGAAACTCATGGTGAGGTAGATCCAGAACAACACACGCATGACCGTGATGGACCAGTCCCCTGTTGCAGGTACACCGTAAATCTGCATGCCGTTGAGAATGTAGACTAATGCTACGAAGAATGTCGCAAGGAACGGCGATTCGGTTGGATGCACCAGCGACTTCTTCAAGACGCCTGGATTCGTCCAGAATCTGATAGAGATGCCTGCGCATAGCAAGACGAAGATGACAATGTCGAGAATATAGACGATTTTGCCGATGGTAATCAACCCGGTGAACTGGTGAGGCGTGGTATGCAGAAGTAGGGCTATGCTTCCAGTGCTCATCGGTAATGCGAACCATGCCCAGGTGAAATGCTTTAGTCGATGTCGTAGTGATAGTGTTTTGTCCAAGTGTTCCATATGCTCATCTCCGTGTTGTTGCTCAGTTTCGGCACCGGACGGAGAACTTGCTCCGGTGTATATGACTTGGACTCGAAGTTTTGGTGCTAGAACTTCCATCATCGCCTCCAGCAGAATCTTTCGCAAGCGTGGTCATTGATCGTGAGACTGGATCTTCCCTGGCGATGCACCCAGTCGTGGCAGTCCTCATATCTTCATTTACATTTGGGACCCAGGCCGGATCGGGCAGTCTGGCGTCAGTAGGCATTTCCTTCTTCCTATTTCAAGGACCAACATCTTTGCCAGCCGTACAGTGTTGGCCAGTTTTGAGTCAGTGGTCTTGAATAATATTGTATAGCCTGTGTTGGGGCTAGGGACTGTGAAGATTATGCTTGGCTAGAATGAATACAGTCCTACACCTGCGCCGCACACCATGTAACGTAAGGCTTGTAAATAGCATCGCTCCGCGAAGTACATTTATTTAGATCGCGATGTCTTACGCGGCTTACCTCTGCTGTGATCCATCATTTGGCATCTTGTGGCCTTCCTGCAGATGCTGCCGCACGAAAAGGCATGACTTCAGGTGCGAGCGAGCTCACCTAGACCTACAGCCACTCAGATATATCCTGGAAATGGCCAGAGTCATGGCGGAGCGTGCTACATGGTGCGTTGGAGTCGGACTGTTCCTTTCGGGCTCAAGCTTCAGTTGGCGAGTTGTTGATCCACCAGTAGGTCGCGGAACATACTCGTGACGGGGCGCCCAGATCTGAACCTATGCTCGTTCTCGTAACATCGACAAGGCTTGATAGTGGTAAGAGCCTGCCAAAGGAGTCCAATACAACGCTACATTACTCCCATATTTGGCAACGATAAGGCATCAAAAAGCAAAGCAGTCTTTGCGGCAGTCTTTGCTGTTTGATTCTGAGTGTTGCTCCAAAGGGGGAACTGCCTATTTCGTGATTAGAACGCGGCGCGTGGGGCTCCTGATCAGATATGTCGAAAGCGAACAAGCTGAAGGTGAACGTAGAGGGAAAGTGAGGAATATTGAAGTGAGGAGAGGAGAATTCTAGGAGGTACCTGTACAGGTTTAGAGTACCACCGGCCTATACGCCGCACACGCCACCCACTGCCCCGAGCTTAACCTTCTACTCGCGTTTGTTCGTGTATAGAACGCGACCACTCTTCGCTGAACATCGGGCGCATCATCCACCTCTTTCACCTCCATCCACCTCTACCTCCCATTGTCATCGCCGACTCAGCAACCCACCATCATCAGCGGTGATTCAAGGCCCCACCCACCGCGACGATGGCGGACGAAGTCAGCATCGACAAGACGCAGTTCCACAATCGGCTGTCGTCGCTGATCACGGCCTGGAAGAACGACAAGCGCAGTGGCAACAATGTCTTCGGCGACGTGGGCAGCATCGTCGTGTGCATGGGCAAGAGCGATGAGACGGCGGGCTTTCACAAGGCTAATGGCCTGCAGTTCTGGCTGCTAGGCTACGAGTTCCCTGCCACTCTCTTCCTGATCTTGCTGGATACCATGTTCATCGTCACCACGAAGAAAAAGGCGGCCTACCTGGATGTGCTCAAAGAGGGCAAGACCCCCGTTGAAATCATCGTCCGGGGCAAGGATGCCGAGGAGAACGCAAAACAGTTCGAGAAGATCAAGGAGAAGATCAAGGACGCTGGAAAGAAGGTGGGAACATTGCCTAAAGACTACTCGGGCGGACCTTTTGTCACCGAGTGGAAGAGCGCATTTAGTGAGCTCAGCAAGGATGTGGAGGAGTTCGATATCAGCACAGCTCTTTCTGCCAGCATGGCCGTCAAGGATGAGAATGAGCTGCGATCAATCAGAAACGCTTCCAGCGCATCTGCATATCTGATGCGCGAGTACTTCGTTGAGACCATGTCCGATGTCCTGGACAAGGAGAAGAAGGTCACACACAAGGCGTTTGCTACAAAAGTTGCCAACAAGCTGGACGATGACAAGTTTTTCCGCGGAATGAAGGGCGTGGGCAAGTTCGACCCGCAGCAGCTAGACTGGAGCGTGGCGCCGACAGTGCAGAGTGGTGGCAACTTTGATCTCAAACTGCAGGCTGAGCCGGATGACAACAACATGCACCAGCCGGGTGTGATTATCTCGGCATTTGGCCTGCGGTACCAGACATATGCGTCTCAACTCGCGCGCACATATTTGGTGGAGCCAAACAAGGCGCAGGAAAACATGTATAAGCTTCTCCTCAGCGTGCATGACACCGTGATGAAAGAGTTGCGGGATGGCGTTGCAGCCAAGGACGTGTACAACAAGGCTGTAGCTGTTGTCAAGGCCAAGAAGCCGGAGCTGGTGGAACACTTTGTCAAGAGCGTGGGAGTTGGCATTGGTATTGAGTCCAAAGATCCCACGCTCACTCTCAACGCGAAGAATGGGCGCCAGATCAAGGACGGCATGACCTTTACCATCACCACCGGTTTCTCGAACCTCGAAAACCCGAATGCGAAAGACAAGAAGCGTGAAGGCACCTATTCTCTCCTTCTGAGCGACACGGTGCGGGTCACATCCGCCGGAGAAGCGTACTGCTTCACCAAAGAGGCGCCGCGTGATATGGAAAGCGCATCTTTCTTCTTCAATGATCCGGAAGAGGAAGAGAAAAAGCCCAAGCCCAAGAAGGACTCGCGTGTCGGTGCGGTGGCTTCGTCCAACATCACGAAGTTTCGTCTGCGTGGCCAAGGCGGCACCACGCAAAACGAAGAGAAGGAACAGGCACGTAGAGAGCACCAGAAAGAGCTCCATCAGAAGAAGCAAGCGGATGGTCTCGAGCAGTATCGGGAGGGCCACGGCAACCTGAACGGTACACAGGAGAAGAAGTTCAAGCGATTCGAATCGTACAAGCGCGTCGAGTCGTTGCCATCACGCGTCAAGGACCTCACCATTCTGGTTGATGCAAAGAACTACTCCCTCATCCTGCCGATCATGGGCCGTCCGGTGCCCTTCCACATCAACACGATCAAGAACGCTACGACCAGTACCGAGGGCGGATTCACATACCTCCGCATCAACTTTCTGTCGCCCGGTCAAGGTGTAGGCAGAAAAGATGAACAGCCATTCGAGGATCCCGCGGCCCAATTCATCCGATCGCTGACGTTTCGCAACAAAGATGCCGATCGCATGGAGGATGTGCGAGAACAGCTCACGGAGATGAAGAAGGCATCGGTGCGCAAAGAGCAAGAGAAGAAAGACATGGAGGATGTTGTGGAGCAAGATAAGCTCGTAGAGATTCGCAACCGACGACCATTTCGGCTGGACAATATTTACATGCGGCCAGCCATGGAGAGCAAGCGCATTGGAGGCGCAGTGGAAATTCACCAGAATGGTCTGCGCTACAATCACCTGGGGAATGCAAAGATTGACATTTTATTTGGCAATGTCAAGCACCTCTTCTTCCAACCGTGTGCGGGCGAGCTGATTGTCATCATCCACGTTCACCTGATCAATCCTATCATTATTGGCAAGAGGAAAACGAAGGATATCCAGTTCTACCGCGAAGCCACAGAGATGCAGTTCGACGAGACGGGGAATCGCAAGCGAAAGCACCGATATGGTGATGAAGAGGAGTTCGAGGCGGAGCAAGAAGAGAAAAGACGACGAGCGCAACTGGACAAGGAGTTTAAACAGTTTGCCGAGAAGATTGCCGATGCGGGAAAGAGCGAAGGCATCTCTGTAGACATGCCTTTCCGTGATCTGGGATTCAATGGTGTGCCCAGTCGGTCATCGGTCATGATTCAGCCCACGACGGACTGCCTGGTGCAGTTGACGGAGCCCCCATTCATGGTCATCACACTGACGGACATTGAAGTGGTGCACTTGGAGCGTGTGCAGTTTGGACTGAAGCAGTTTGACATGGTGGTCGTGTTCAAGGACTTCACGCGGCCTCCAGCGCACATCAATACGATCCCTGTTGAAGCGCTCGATGGAGTTCGCGACTGGCTGGACTCTGTGGATATCCCATTTAGCGAAGGCCCTCTCAACTTGAACTGGGCTACCATCATGAAGACAGTCATCCAAGACCCCCACACATTCTTCGCAGATGGTGGGTGGAGCTTTCTGGGCACCGAGTCGGACGATGAAGGATCGGGTGACGAAGAAGAGGAGAGTGCATTCGAGGCATCCGACGACGATCTCGACTCGGAATCGAGTGAAGACGAGTCTGACTTTGACGACGATGCGAGCGCGGAAGCCAGCGAGGAGGATGTCAGTGATGAGGATGAGGGTGAAGATTGGGACGAGCTGGAGAAGAAGGCAGCTCGTAAGGATCGCGAAGGAGGAATGGGGGAGGACGATGGCGAGAGCAAGAAGAAAAGTAGCAGCAGCAAGAGCAAGAAGCGATAGTTTTCCACGGTAGTATGGTGTCAATGAAAGTATAGCGGGGCGTTGATTGATTCTTGAGGGGTTGGTGTAGCGGACAGTACCTTACCGCATGCTGTGGTAGCATTCGAATCCAAGAGCTTCTATTATTGTATGATACCTTATGATACAAACAACAATCAGTCGTTCCACGGACGACGGTGCTCGTTCATATCTCTGGCTGCTACTGCCGCAGCCTATGGCGGGCGGTCCCGGTGCGAGTGATGGTTGATCTTCATGTGATGGGTAGATCTAATCTCATCTGCACGACTCACGCCTTCGCCTTACCGAATCCTTCCATTTCTTCCAGGGCACTTGACTTTTACCCTCTTCTGCTCGATGGCTACACCAAGCACAACGAAACTGCGCCCTCTGCTCGCGCGTATACCATCTCCCCTCCTCCCCTCCTCATCGTTCTCGCCGATACCTACACACATCAGCCATCTACCAATACCATGGCGTCATCCGTCTCATCGCCGAGCCCACCAAACCTCTGCCCCTCCCTCCCATCCTAAACAAGCCAAACGCAAACGCAAACCCAAGTTCGCCTTCGCATTCGACATCGACGGCGTCCTCCTTCGCTCCTCTGCGCCCCTCCCCGGCGCCTCCCAAGCCCTCTCCTACCTACACCAAGAACAAATCCCCTACATCCTCCTCACCAACGGCGGCGGCAAAACCGAACTCGCGCGCATCACCGACCTCAATCGCAAACTCGGCATCGATTTCCTCCACGAAACCGACATTGTTCAAAGCCACACGCCCTTTACCCAGCTCTGGGGCCTCAAATCCAATGGGATGACGGTATTGGTGTGTGGAGGTGATCGGGATGGGGCGAAAGAGGTGGCCAAAAGCTATGGGTTTGAGAATGTCGTGACACCGGGGGATTTGGTGGTGGGGTATCCTGAACTGTGGCCGTTTAATGCGCCGTTGAAGGAGTATTATGAATCTTTTGCGGAGAAGTTACCGAAGCCGCTGTACTCGCCTACGGGGAATCCGGTGCTGGATGCAAAAAAGACGTTGAAGATTGATGCGGTGTTTGTGTACAATGATCCGAGGGATTGGGGGTTGGATGCCTCCATTATACTCGATTTGTTGTTGAGTGAGAAGGGTTTTTTGGGGACGTTGAGCGAGAAGAACGGGAGGGAGGACTTGTCGAATTGTGGGTTCTTGCTGGACGGGCAGCCGCATGTGTTCTTTTCGAACCCGGATCTTTGGTGGGCGACTTCGTATCATCTGTCGCGGTTGGGACAGGGTGGGTTTCAGGCTGCACTGAAGGGGCTTTGGGAGAGGGTCACGGAGGGGAAAGCGAGCTTGGAGAGGCAGGTCACAGTGATTGGGAAGCCAACCCAGTTAACTTATGAGTTTGCTGAGCAGAGCTTGAGAGAGCGAGAGCACGTGGATGTTAAGAGGGTTTATATGATTGGAGACAATCTAGAAAGCGACATTGCTGGAGCGAATGGGTATGAGAGTCCGTGGGGAAGTGAGTGGAAGAGTGTATTAGTGAAGACGGGCGTATGGCGAGACGGAATGGAGTGGAAAGAGAACCAGAAGCCATATGCGATCAAAGAGAATGTCCTCGAAGCTGTTAAATGGGCGGTTGAGGATGCGAAGAAGAAGAAGACAACATGATCCAAACAAAGTAGACGCCATCCATACCTTACCCATCATCACACATGCCCCTCCCCCCTCATATCTCACCTCAGAAGCTGACCCTCCTGCGCAAGCAAAAATCTGCCAGAATCATCATTGCCATCTCGCGCCCTCTTGAGCCATCTTAGCCGCTGGTGAACGGATTTTGCAGAAATACCTCTCGTACATCCTGTAAGTTACACGTACTTGGGCCAACCTCACACCCTCGATCTGCTCGTCCAAAAAAAGCCCTTTACATCCCTCGCCACTAATGGTATGGGTGTAGCCCCACAACCACAATTCCCTCCATTATTGGACCAATCGATCCCATCATCATTAAGTCATGAACAAAGAAAGAAGAAGCAGAAGTCAGGTACGACCTAATCCGGCCATATAGGAAAAAGACAAAGAACATTCTTCTTTTTTCTTCCTCTTTTCCGGATTGGGATTTCAATGCGGATTTCTCCATCATCATCATCAGGAAGAAGATTCGGGTTTTCTCTTCTCTTTACTTGTCATCTTGTCTTTCTCTCTTCTTTCCTTGACAAGGGGAGGGAAAAAACAACTCGAAGACTTGTTCTATCGTTCTTTTTGTTGAAGCAAACTGGACTGAGTGGTTTGTGTTTCTGGAAATTGGGAGAAGGGTTGAAGAGGCTGCTGTGGTGTGTTGTGTAGTTGAATTTTCTTGTTGAGATTGAGTTTGTTTTTGAAGGGAGGATGGCGTTGCCATTTCAGCATCATTATCAGAAGAAGAGGAAGGATAAGGGGGGCAGGAGACGGGAGGAGACGGGAGTTCAAAATTTATTCTATCCCAAAGCTGGAGTTCTGCACTGAAGTAACATAATACGACAGGGTTGCTTTGCAACTTCCCTCTGACAAATATCATTTTCTTAGCATCACCTTTGCGCCTCCAAGGTTGGTGCAAATGCCAAGAGTTATGTTCTCCTGCCATTCATCATTCGGATCAAAGCTCGCGATGCTGCTGAATGTCTGGCACATTCTGACAATCGTGTAGCTCGCATGATTAATGGCGAACTGTTGGCCAAGACAGATCCTTGGTCCACCTCCAAATGGAATTGATTCCCAGCTCACACGTAGTCCCTTAGCTTGTGTTGTATCCAACCATCTTTCTGGGATGAAGTCGCATGCCGTGGATCCATACAAATCGAGACGCCGTTGCATAGCGTATGCGTCCCACATTACCACTCCTCCTTTGGGAATGAATATCGGTCCATCACCAGATGGCCCGCCTCCTGAAGGGAGCGTGGTATTTTCTATTGCTTGTCTGACGTTGCCAGGAACAACAGGATGCAGGCGCAGAGACTCATTCAAGATTGCTCTTAAGTATTTCAAGCTTTTCAGCTGTTCGAATGTCGGTTTTTGCCCGTCTGGGAGCAGAATCGATATCTCTGCCTGAAGTTTCGCCCAGATATCAGGTCTTTTGGATAGAACGAACCAAATGTTTGTGAGAAGAGAGGCTGTGGTGTCCCGCCCGGCAAAAAGGACACTGAGTATCTCGTCCCGTATGCGCACCTTGTCTCCAGTCTGCTTGACTAACTCGTCAAGAAAGATGAGCCGGGAGCTCTCTTCGCTCTTTGTTTGTAGTAGTTGAGGGCGATGAGCTAGCCGTTTCATGATGAATTTGTCCACGAATGCATGAATAATTCTGACGTCTTTGACGAAACGACGATGGGCTGGGAACATCCATCCGAAGATTCCCGCATCGCCGCCACCACTGCCAATATGATGCTCAACTCTATGGAGTGCTAAGTTCAGACTCTCGTTGGTATCGGTGTCGACCGCTAGTGATGCGGTGGAGTCGCCTAGCAGGAACTCTAGTGACGTGTCAAGAGTGAGGCGGAAGAAGAGGTCTTTGAGGTCTACCTTGCCATCGTTGCGTAAGATGGCATCAATGAGATGCGAAGCTTGAGAATCGAATATGTCGAAGTCTGATATGTGGGATCGTGCGAACATTGGTCGGAGTAAGGCTCGTGAGTGCTGCCATCTAGCTCCTTCCGCGATGAAAATGCCTATGACCCTCTGTCAGCTACAGATACGCACAACACCAAGGCTCGGTGTAGAGCCCGTTTCCAATTTCGCAGATCAAAGTTTTATATGCTACTCTGAGCAGATCGGCTCAACAAGTCATTGGCATATGTAGCGGTATAGTTCGTGTTAGTCTCGAGCCCGATCTGCTACGTATCTTGCACGAGGGTGATGCTGTTCCCTGCGTTCCAAACAACAGACAGCTTGCAGTGGCCACAACAAATCTTTGCGAGCCCTATACACTAAATGAAATGACTTACCCTCGCCTATGGCAAATTTGAAGGTGCTCTTCCTGGTAGATTCCAGTCCCCACCTCTTGAAATCTGTCGACAGCATCGTCTTGACGTTTTCAGGCTGACATGTGATGTGAAAATCACCACCGGGGAAAACCATGTGAATCGTCGAGACGCCCATTTCCTGGAATCGCCTGTTCGAAAGCTCCAGCACTCGATGAGCTTTGAGCGCTTTGATACCCTCTAGAAGAAGGCTCATTCCACCTGCAACAGGGGCTCCGAGTAAGTTACGCCTCCTGTGACGTCCACTGCGCCGTAGAAAATTCTTGTTCCATAGACCATAGAGTATAAGCGCACCGACGACTCCGCCGGCGAATGCGTATATGAGAAAAGATAAGCTCGAGATGTCCATGGCAGATAATCAGAGTGCAAATTGATATGAGAAAGGCGGAGAGAGTAATGCAGACCAGTCTTCTCGACCCATCATGGGCAGCGCCACACAAAGAATGCCAGCATCACAAAGCAGCAATTTAATGATGGAATCCCTTTCAGAACTTCGACAAAGAAGCAGAGATCGCCGTCCCGATGCGTTCGCTCCATGAAACCTAAGGCGACATATCAAAACACATTCTCGACTGACAGGGCCGGATGATCATTAGCGAATGCCAATGAGCGACGGCGAAATAAATCATGGGAGTCTGAGCTATGGGTGAGAAAGGCAATCCTAAAACAGCGCAGTCCAGTCCAGTTGACTCACGCTACTCATTGCGAAGGCAAGAGGACATAGATCATCAGAGCAGATAAACTGGATATCTCCACTGCGGCGTGAGTGAGGACGGCCGTGCACAATATAGATAACATGTCTTCTACCTTGGGACTGTGCCTTGGCTACTTGACATATTCTGGCCATTCAATGGCCGGGCCATCCATCGCTAAAACCAACCGAGTCAGAGCTTTTGTGCTGCGCCGCAGTGCTGTTATCTGTACCAGCGGCTGGCGCACGCTCCCTCATTTTTAACAGGACAGTGGCAAGCGCCTCGTCGTCACCTTCTTTTACGAGGAGCTACTTCGCTTCTTCGGAGCGACCATTCGCCAGGAGAGCTTTATAATCAGATTCTCGGTCTGGCCGTACGTCCTGTGACAGTTCATAATCGCCTTTCGAACGCTTGGCAGCTGTTTCATCATGTTCTCCGCCGATTCCGGTCCCAGATTCCACTGGATTGAGCTGCGGCGCGGCCTTCGAAGAGCTTCCCTCAGTCATATGAACATGAGCATCTAATCGTTCGGATGTGAAGTAGCCGTTGTTCTTAGTTTCAGCAGTTACAACCGGATGATTTGCGGCGAGTATATCATGGCTAGTAGGTGACGGTTGGAGGGAAGATAGCCTGCCAGAAGATTTCGTCTTGGAGATCTCATTGGCGACGGCCGAGACTTCGGTTTCTGGTATGCGCAATGCGGGAGCGGTAGCTATGCCAACATCAGGCGAGTCGGATGTGGATGTGGAAAATGCTCGACTTCGACTTTGCCTTCGACTTGAGTTGGCCTTATTGACTGGTAAAATCTGATTCGGTCGCGCAGGCAGTGGCGGCGGTATTTTCCGGGATCGCAGGTCGTCGTCGGCCAAGGACAGATGTGACCCATACGCAGCTACATTCGAGGGCTCACCAGACTCAGCTGTGGTAGCATCGTGGATGCCAACTTGTCTTGATGGCATGGTATCAGACCCGGATTCGCTAATTGGCACATCGTGGACGTTCGGTTGTGAGAGACCACTGTTCTCTTGCCACGGCTGAAACTCCTCCTCGGTGGCTGACAGTGCCTCTTCACTTGCAGACGAAGAGACACGTTGCACCACTGCTTGTGCGTTTCCTTTGCTTCGTGATTGCTGCTCTGAAGGTTTCGGCGGAGTACCCGTGGAAGGCACTGCTCTTCGCCGAAGGGCTCCAGCCCCACCCCAAATACCTTTCTGTGGACCTGGAAGCGGTTGACCAGGCGGCGGAAGAGGCATACCGCGACCGATGGGCTGCTGAGCCCCCACGTCTTGACGCTTTTCTGGTCGGGAGATGCCGCCTCTATTGCGTTGTAATGCATTCCAGCTCCAGTTCTTTGCAGCTGTCGTTGCATTGACCGTCGCTGCAAGAATATATGCTTTTCTGCTCTGAGACTGCACATCTGATTCGCTTGATGCAGCAGTCGACTGTATTGACACTGTACTCCGAGTGGATGGCGTTGGTGTGCCTGACCCTGTAGTCGAAGAAGGATCGTTAAATTGTCCGCTGGCAGAGCAATCTTCGTCGGCCACACTGGTAGGATAACTGCGACAGGCCCCTTCCTGACTCGATCTAGCTGAGATCTGTCCGTCTAACTCAGCAGCGGTGGGAGCCGTGAGCTGCTCCGCTCGACTTTGGAGCTCTCGTAGTCCTGCAAGAGCATCTTTCTGTACAGGAATTTCAGTCGAACCCTTGGGTCGCCACAGCTTCCTAGATGGTTGCGCTCGCAGCGAGGCATCGTCACCTCGTACTGGCTCCACATTTTGGCCATCTACGGCAGTAATTGGGGACGATGAGACGGAAGGCGTTCGTAAGGGACGAGGAGGACGTGGGGACCGGTCTGAAGATAATTCCGGCGGCATCGTCGAGGAATGGCGGACTTTGGCTGTGTTGAGCGTAGGATGGGCATCAACTCCCGTAGAGGCGCCGTCTGCAAGGTCTGGTACAAGATCGGGCAACGATGTGGAATTTTCATTGCGCTTAGCGAGCGTATCATCTGGCCGAAGTTGGGCGTGAACATCAGGAGCACCCGGATCACTCCACAAGCCTCCTCTAGCACACGTGCCCACGGTGTCGGAGAACGGCATGGGGATATCGTCCCAATTAGGCTTAACGAGGCCTTCTTTGAATGCAGTTCTCAACCTTTCCTCGATGGCCCTCAGCACGAAGCCGTACGTGATTTTCCTCTCACTGACCACTGGCTCGACACGTACATCTAGCTCAGGCACGTTCTCAAAGCAGAACCAGATTCGATTCGAGGGAGGTGGCTTTATTCGAAGGAGCATAGTCCCACTGATACGCTGCACGATCGTCTTCAGAGCCAAATCGACCGTTCGTACCTTGAATCGCGTGCCGAGATCCAGCTTAGCAACTGCAAGAAGTGTCACAGAAAGCCGGCCATTGTACTTCACATCTGCAGCTAATGTCATTTCTCCGTCAATATTCAGATCTCGCAGTCTCAGATTCGAGAACACGGGACCGGCATCGCCAAGATTGATGGACTGCACTAGCAACGAGGGTATGAAGGCCGGCTTCTGAATGCGATTGAGTTTCTTCTCTAGCTTGGCCCGGACAAAGCCTGACAGCGATGGGACGCGATGTAGTGCCAGAAATAGGCGGCCAATGAGCGCGTCAATGGCACGTGACTCCGCTGTCAGAGAAGAGGAGTGCAGGGAGGACTGCAGCTTGATCAAGGCATCTGGATCTAGGGCCCTCGGCGTCGGTGGGCGAACGCGATTAGATAACAGGGCATGATAAAAGTCCTCTTTGTCAATATTGGTCGCGGCGAAGAGATAGAATGGCTTTGCAGATGTCGGGGCGGCAGCTTGCATTGCTCCCTGGGGGAGCTCCACAGGCGTGAGCACGATGGCGGTTCTTTTGGTGAACAGGTCGGCTTCGAGGATCTGCGACTCTTCGCAGAGACCTTCGTTGTGTGGGCCAGCCTGCAACGAAACCTCGTGATGTGCGAGGCTGAGGACATGCTTGACCTCGACTTGTGCTGGCGAATCATAGAGCATGAGGTGCCCGTGGCGCAGGACAATGTAGAGGAGATTGGCAGGAGGCAGTTTACGACGAGAAAGGGAAGAGTCCCCATCAGGATCCTGGAGCAGAGACGTTGTGCTGCTCGTGCTCTTGCTTCCTACGAAGACGGAGCGGTACACGCTCTGATAGACCGACTCGGCGGCAGTGCCCCCCGCGGACTCGGTGCCTGTCAGGCCTTCCCCGCCCGAGCCCCCTTTGACGCCTGCACTGCTATTCTGTCGACCATCAAGCGCGGTGAGAGCGGCCTGGAAGTCGTAACGTCGGAGGACAGCATAGGTGCCGCTGGCTGCTGCATCCCCTGACAGCTTGCCGAGACTGGCTGCCTTCTCTTCTGCCCGCTCTTTGCCCTTGTTATTGTCCGCCTGTTGCTCCTGTTGCTCGTGTGCAGTAAGCTCCGCCGAGGCAGCTCGCGGAAGTAGATACCACGCCGGTATCACGATGGCCGCAATGAGGAGTGGGACGAAGGTCAAGCCGCCAAGCACGTAGGCGAGCAGAAGCGCGCGGAAGGCCATTATGAGACCCGTTCATCTTGCTCGGCCGGCATTATCTTCCTACCAAGTCGATAATGGCACGTTGCAGGAAATGGAGAGGGTTCATGTGACGACAGATCAGACATGGATAGGTAAGGTCAGGTCAGCTAGGAGGTAGAACGCCGGGTGGATTATGGGTAAGACGCGACATCACGAGCGATCACGACGTCATGTGCCGCTGCCAAGACAGAACCCCTTAGAGCTTAGGTAAGTAGGAGGTATACCTCCAGCTGTTCTCATAATCCCATTGCATCGAGGCTGAATATGTATGTATCTGCATCGACTCCGATATCACTACCTCTCTCTACTGTATACATCATCCTCGACTCACAGGGAAGCACAGTCTCTCAAAGAGCTGCACTTCCCACTGCTCAATGCAGAGATTGCTAGGACCCTTTAATCACACTCCACCTTCCACACACACACACACACGCGAGACAAAGAGACATCTGGTCTCGCCCTTTCCGCACTGTCTGTCCCCCATCCCGAGCTGCCTCCCACAAACTCTTCAATGTCGCTCTTCCACTATCATGTCCCATTCCGCCATCAGACAGCAGTAGAGGCCTTCCATGCTCGTGACTGCACATCTACCCTCTGCTCCCATGAAATCCATGCCACCCACGAACTCGTCTCAGGTAGAGTGCGCATTGATTCCATGCTGCCTCCTCATTTCCATAAGTGCTCCATCTTCAAGTTGTCGGTCGGCCATCAAGGAGACAAGGCGCTAAAGCCGTCAGTCCCACAATCCCATTGTCGCAGTGCGTTGCAGAGAGGATTGCCTGACTCCCAAAGTAGAGGTATCGTTGACAGTGAAGGTCAATACGGCTGCACGCCACTGTGGCCAAGGTTATAAATTACCAATTGAAGCTACACGGCAGGGTTAAGGACAAACCAGGTTTGGTATAGAGAGAGCCAGGACGCCAGCATTCTGCAGTACCTAAGGTACCTATGTTGGAATGTGCCTGATGCGAACCATGAACTTACCTGATCGTCAGAATTGGTCAATTGTTAAAGCCACCGTAATGGACCCTTTTCAAAGCGCTAATGTTTCTGGGTAGGTAGCATTGCGCACTTCTAAGGCATACATTCCCTATTCGATCGCCTGGCTTAGCCACATTCCATCCAGAGTCAACGCAATTTAACCCGAGAACAAAGGTGGAACAAAGGTGTCACACGAAGACCGTCGAATCTTTCTTATGACTGCTTTCGGACTGTGCGAGCTGTACACACATTGATCAACCTCAATTACGATCCCGCTGTCTTCAGCGCTTGCTTTCTTCCACAGCTTTCCGCGCGCAACTCCACTTTCCTCTCCAGTATCTTGGTCGCTATGATACCCGACTTGGAATTCCCATTCCAAGTATGATTCACTAGAGCGGTATTGATCAGTATAGTTCAAGGACGAAGCCAATGGCTAACAACTCACAGAAGAGTCCAATCTCAAACATCCAGAGATCCAAGGCCCGACACAGCAGGATCTCCTCCGCATCGTTGGGCTGACCATACTTCGTCGCGAAGTCTGCCAGAGTTTCTCTTGCCTCGAACGGAAAGACGGCCTCTGACAGCGTCTGCGGAGGGACGCAAACGAGGCCGCTGTTGTAGGCGAGACGGTCTACATTGCGGCAGAGGTTGCGTTGGTGAGCCGAAAGTAGCAGCTCGTAACAGACGTCGGTCATTTCTGGATGTCCTAACGTCGTCTGGGCCTTGCTAACTCCGCTGATAGCTTCTTCTTTGGGGAGATTTGGATCTTGCATTCTGCAATTGAAGTGCTTGAAGAGCGCGCTAGTCGCGGCCTGCTCCTCGCGCCAGAGGTGCTCCAGCTGTTGTTGCCCCTGCTGCTGCATGAGCTCATAGTCGCCGATATTGCGCACAATAACTCGATTTGCCGCTGGAAGACAGGGCGGCACACTCTCAATCTTGCGAAAGAGGTCGCAGAGCTGTTCTTTTGCTGTCATCGCAGCAGGACTGAGCTCGCGGCGCGACATTGTTGATTGGCGGTGGTTTGTGTATGGCGAGGTCGAGGTTCGCGACAATCTCCGGAAGTGAGTCCTCTCCGATGGTCTGCTGCTTAGTCGTGGTGTGCCCCGAATTCGAGGAGTACATGTAGCTGGGTCCATGCTCTCTGGTGCACGGGCCCCTACATGGGCTTTTTTTCCAGCCTCCTCAGTATTGGAAATTTCTGTACTTGAGGAAAGTTTTCTTGCACTCAAGTTCTAGATTACTACACCCACTTTCACACAATCCCCAACACTATCACCACGAACGCAAACAGAAACACAAGGTCAAGGACGCAGAAAGTAACATCATGGCTACTCAGGTCACCGCCCTTCCGCAAACACACGGTGGTCACGCCGAGGCACTTCAGCAAATCTTCGACATCTGCGACGATGTCAGCGCGAGGTTGAATACGCCCGACCAACACCTTCCTGTGGAAGTTCCAAGTAGCATTCTGCCAGACAGCGCGCTCTTCGAAGTACTCAAGGCACGCTTGGAGTAAGTAATTCCTTTTCCCAGTATTGATGGTTCATCGCTGACGTTCAAAGGTCAATGACGGGCATGCGCTTCACTCTGTACACAAGCGGCGCTGAAGGTACTTGGTTCTTTCCTGCCGCTGCGCCCATGTCTTCTGAGCCACCAGCGAACTCGGTCGACAACGCAGTCGGCCTGACTGGTGGAGCGCAATCACTCTCTGCAAGCACACCAGGCACCGGCGATGTCGCATCGACGAACAAGAAGATCCCACGTCCAATGAACGCTTTCATGATCTACCGTCTCCGCCACCACTCGATCGTTGCAGGAGAGAATCCTGGCATGCACAACAATGACATCTGTGCGTACTCCACTTTATAACCAGCTTAACAGCAGTGCTGACATCCTACCAGCGAAGAAGATCGGCCTTCAGTGGCGATCCGAGAAACCAGAGGTCGTCGAGGCGTTCAAGAAAGAGGCTGAAGACCAGAAGCGTCAACACGCCATCGACCATCCAGGCTATCGATACCAGCCACGCAAGCCATCCGAGAAGAAGAAGCGCATGACCAAGAACAAGTTGGCCAAGCTGGCCGCGGAGTCTGGCAGCACCAACCTTACGATGGATATGACCAATGTCCCAGCCCAGCATGCCAATGTTCCGGCCCAGCTTGCCAATGTCCCAGCGCAGCTTGATCTGAGCGATCAGCTCTACGATCCGCTTGCTGGTGAGCAGCTCAGCTTCGACATGATCCCTGAGAATTGGGACTCTGCCATCGTAGCGAGGTCTTCCCCCCTCGATGGTTCCAACTATGGCATCAGCAGCGATCTCGCTGGTGCATGGGCCAACGCAGCCACGTTCCCTATGGCGTCGCAGCCTGGCACACAGCAGGATACCTCCGACGCCGAGCAAGAGCGCCAGAAGATCCTGGATGCCGTGTTCGAGGCGGCAGCCCGACAGTTCCTCAACTTCGAAGAATTTGGCGTTGAGGGCTGCTCATTCTAAGGGCCCCCAGTCTGTCGTCAAGCAACATCGCGAGGGGCAGCTGAACGCCCTGTTCGAGTCGGATGCCGACGCTATCATCAAATTCGACCCACTTGAGGTTGAGAGCTACCCATTCTAGACGATGGGTACTGATTGAAGATGCATAGTCTTGTTTGTAATGGTGTTCTTTGAAAGCGTAGCAATAAAACTGTAGACAGCCGTTGAAATGCTACTTTCAGCTTAATAAATTCCTTGATTTCCCGCTCCCACGATGACGCCAAGCATTTCAATATTCAGGTCGTCCCACATTCTGTTTTGCTCAGCACTTTACACTTCACACCGCTTTCGAAACCACGGCAGTTCTGCAAGCTGCACCAGTACATCGAACTCAAGATGGACATTCTCGAAGCAAACTTCCCTCACCTGTTCCCCCCTAAGCAGCCTGGTCAACAGGTGCCTAAGGTGGAACAGGCCAATCTTCTCGGCGACCGCGGTGTGGCTAACGGTGAGCGGCGGTCAACATCACACCCGCAAGATTGACAACTAATGTGTGACAGATGAGGCATCGCCCTCGCGTGCCGCCCGGGAATGCGACGAGGCATTCATCGATTGCTTGCTTAATCACCTCAAGCTCGTGGACCTCAAGGTCCTCAAGTTCATGGATCCTCGCGACTCCAATCACGACGGAAATCTGGAGGAAGCCCTCGTTCTCGCCAGCCAGATCATACCAGAGGTTGAGAGGCTTCGTTCGCATCCTGAGCTGTTCTCGAACGAGTTGCAAGAACACCACTTTCTGATGAAGGCTGGTCAACTGGCCTACCGCAGTCGCGAGCTGCTCGACCTCAGCGAACAGCTCGGCAATCTGAACCCGCCTCTTCACAAGCAGAGGGACGGAGCAGCTGCAGACTCGTCCGCAGATCCTCAGACCAAAGTCAAGACGAACCCTTGGGCCAGATTCGCGGAACCAAGCGGATTGAAAGACCTACCCTTCGTCAAGGAGGTGCAGAAGGACCTTCCAGACATGAAACCGGTCAGCGGCTGCGCCTTGCCTCCGGCCATGGTGATGATTGCCGAACGCAATAAGAAGAGACAAGACTGGTACATGGGCACTATGACAAACCCGCCAGCAGATGTACTGGCACTTCAGCACAATCTTGGCGACTTGGTCAAGAATCTCCATGTTGTACCTGGTCTGGAGGCTACCCACCAGAGGGGTATCCCTTTGCAACCTCCCATGATAGAAGAGGTAAGACTTCGTAAGTTTTCGCGCGCTCGATCGTAGACTAATGCATTAAACAGAAAGATGCGTTCGACGGACGGCACGCTCAAATTTCAGAGATGGGTCGCTTCATGGCACACATGGAAAAGGACGTCACCACCTTGCCAGGTCAAGCTCAAGCTGGAACCACATTCCGTACCACATTCCTGTCAGAGGAAGGCAAGCGCGCTCGCAAGGAGGCTGCCTTGGCCAAGGAAGATGAGGAGGACTACCCCGACCTCACGTAAGATCTCAGCACAAAGCATGTGTTGGTCTGAGTCGAGCTCTGAGGAGGACCGCGAACGCTATCATCGAAGAAGGATTCTTCTCGCCCACGACGAGCGTCACCACGTCCTAGACTTTACTGTCGCAAGGCCAGAACACCAGGAAACTGTTTGTGCAATTGTATAGCACAGTCCCAAAATCGTTGTACACTGTAATCCGCATGTTCTCACTTCATGTCCCAATGTGATGCCAGTGTGGTATTGCTTCCCGCCATCCTAGAGCCCATGACCGATGCTGCCTTCTCGTGAAGCTGCACATCCACGCGAGAGAACTGACATTCCCAGATTCTGAAGCAAAGAATACACCAGAATGCTCGCAATATGCCATCAAACCAGGGAACGGCACATGGGAAACGGCAGAGCGAGGACGAACCAGCCGTCAAATCTGCGTGCGCTTCAGCGCTGGCTTGAAGACGAAGGAAAGCAGTTCAGATGCCAGTACACACGACTAAAGCATCCGCGTGAGGGCGCGGGCGCAAGCAATATGGCGAAATGGTATGGAACCCAGCACTTTCAGGAGAGGCGGCGAGACAATGATCACGCTACTGGCGAATGCAGATACCACAGCGCAAAGAACTGACAGATGAGCAGAGTGCCAGATGGACGAGCGACCGCCTCCTTCCTGACCATCTCCCTCTCTCCCATCTCCCGCGTCCATACCACAACTTCCTCAGGGCCTCAGGCAGAAAGCGTCGGATCACAGACCCATGGAAGCGTCCAGCACTCAGGCTCTCAGGCACGTCTGCCTCTCGGACGCGAGATAACGAGCACACCAGCGCTGCGGCTGCGAAAAGCTGTGGGATATGCAGCACGGGCGTCGTCCAGCCAGCAATTACTTGCAGATGGTCGTCATGGTAGCTTCTCGAATTCGTGGGGCCAATCACAGCAGTTGCAGCGTGCATGTGTAGCAAACTAACTTGAATAAACGGGGTTGGGAGGCGGGTTTCCTCGGCGACGACCGGAGGCGAGACTTGCGGGCTGCCATCTGAACTTCACTTTGAGGTCTTGGCAAAAATGCTCAAAACCTATACATCCCAGAATTCACCACAACCACGACGCGCTCGACTACTGATGGATGCTGGGGCGTATGATTCGAGGGTGAGGATTCCTAATATCTGGTTCTCTTTCATGCTGTCGGAACGGCTGAGGAGATATGACGCCGGCCAGATATGATGAAATGCCAAGAGATGACAGCAATGGATGAAGACACGATATGCTGGAGACGATACCACCAGGAGGAGATAGCCTGACCTCGATTTTGCTGGAGGCCAACGTCCCGAGAGGCCTCGCGCAAAGGCGATCGAGATATGGCGGCCGAGCCGAACTGGTTTGGCAACACCACCACCGGGATAGCAGCAACGCAACGGCGGAACAGTGCAGCGACTGTGCCATCTGAAAGAGCGCACCGATATTGACTGTCCTGGAACCTGGCGAGTGTCCTCGCAGAATGATACTGGAGTTGTGGTGGTCGAAACTGAACGGGATTCGTGACACTACAGCCAACCACAAGCATTGAGCCACATGACAGACCAGCAACTAGCATGGGCTTGTAGAGCACATCCAACTGCCTTATATGCCTGGATCCTACATGGTCCTGCATGTTGCCTTGCAAAGATATGGCTATGGAGACCAAGCCTCATTTGCTAGACCATGATCGGCGACGACGACGACGGCAGCGATGGTACAACCGATTCATCAGAGGTTGTAGAGCACGTCCAACTGCCTTATGCCACTGGGTCACAAGTGGTCTTGCCGCTGCTGCTGTAAAGATATCCGAGGTGGGAGAAAGCCGGATTTGCTATACCGTGCCCGGGAACGACGATCAAGACGGGACCGGCATAAGCAAATCACAGGAGGTTGTAGAGCGCATCCAGCAGACTTATACCACTGGGCTACATATGGTCTTGTCGTTGCTGCTATACAAATATGCGTGGTGGGAGGAAGCCGGATTTGCCATACCATGCCCGAGAACAACGATCAAGACAGCGCCGGTACAAGCGATTGGCCAGAGCTTGTTCGGCACATCAAAATGTCTTACACCACTGGGTCCCATGTGGTCCTGCCATTGCTGCTGTACAAGTATGCGTGATGGGAGGAAGCCTGATTCGCTATACCGTGCCCGAGGACCATAAGTAAGACAAGACCGGTACAAGCGAATCGCTGGAGCCTGTTGAGCACGTCCGAACAACGTATATCACTGAGTCCCATATGGTCCTGCTGCTGCTGCTGTGCAAATATGCGTGGTGGGAGGAAGCCTGATTTACCATTCCGTGCCCAAAAGCCACAATCAAGACAGCGCTGCTACAAGCGAATAACTGGAGCTTGTTCAGCAGTATCGATTGCCTTGGATCAGGAAGCGCGATGCACATGCGCCACCCACGTTGTCCATTGCTGCCGGGTCCACCAAGACCGAGTTGAGCAAAACTTTCATCATCCGAACACCAGGTCTCAATCGCCCCATAACAGCATGATTACCACGTGAGGGATTCTGTCTGATCCAATGTCTGCACATACTGGAAGGGTTTGATCTCTATGTATGGACCTGCGCTCGTAGAGCTGAAGCCTTTCCTGCGAGCTATGGACGATACGCCATGAGGAGAACAGAGGATCCACCCAGGAGACTCTAGCACTTGAGGCGCAGCATGAAGAGATTCACGCGCGAGTGTCCCGTGTTGGTACGGACAGTTGCCGTCGAGGTGTACCCAGAGCCAGCGTGGAAAGGAGAACAAGTCAGGTCTTGGCAGTCGAGACTCGATGAAGCTACCAAGACAGTGGAAGGTGTGCAGGCTTGCACTTCGCTCTCGGGCACATGCTTATTGGGGCAGAATACAGCGATGTGTCTCAAGACAGTTTGAGATTGGGAGACCTTGACTTCGTACTCGGATATATGATGAGGCTCACCAGATCCACATGTCCAGTGAGCTCGCTGGTCCCAGACGGAGAACAACGCAACTCGATGATTGCTTGAGCCAATAGCGACTCATGTAACATGTCAACCATCAGGTATCCGAGACCTGGGCGATGGCCAATTTCCTGAAAGAAGCTCAGTAGATTGCCTGGAGAAGCTCCCGAGCTCGGCGACAGCCATCTTCGGACAAGCCTCAATCGAGGTCCTGCTGGCAAATCCATGGCGGGAACTTCTACGAGGGAATCAGGATCCCAGACATGGGCAATGGAGCTGGGATGGAAAGCGGCTGATTCGCCTCGCGATCGTGAATCAGTGGCATTGAAGTTTTTGCGAAATGACCTGGAGCTTCCCGCGACAGACTGGATGAAAGCTGCAAACATCATAATGCTATCTCAATACTCAACGTATGAGAAGATGGGCCGGTATCCAGAACTAAGGAGCGTAACCACAGCGCCCGATGTATCTTTCGCAGACCGCCAAACAGACCACATCTGCTCCTCGGGCATCCCGAACTGCGCCGTGTCTCTTGTCCATACCCGACTACAGTACACTGAGCGCGCTCCCATCTCTTTCATGGCCTCTCCCCATCGTCCAGCTCTTTCTTTGGCCTTTGCGCTCAGCGCGGAAGCTCAGGCGCAGTCCCGCGCATCATGATAGCGCGGATGGCTGAGACCTTATGTTCGGTCGTTTGATTGCACATGGCCAGTGTGACAGCGCACTTGTTCCCATCCGAGACTTGTACCATCGTATGGGCCACGCGAAGCATCGTGCGTTACCCGTGTCGACGCCAAAACGCAAGGGAGTGGATGGGTCGGTATGGGCGTGAGGAATGAAGTCTGCCACGACGTCACGTGCTTAGATGCAGAGTTTTGACAAGCTCGACTTCATTCGTTCCTCTCTCTCTCCCCTTTGCCTATTCTTATCATCGTCTATGCGTGCTTCGTGCTGCTATCGATAGGATATCACACGCTAGCCACGGCACACGAGATCTCTCTTCCCCCGTTGTCCCATCTGCCACCGGGAGAAGACCTGAGAGACCAGATTCGCGCCGGGTCAGCTACTGTACTGTACACTTCCGTCAAAAGGCGCGACCACGGTCTGCTGCTGCTGCTGCATGTCCTGATGGACCATTATAAGTGAGCTTCAAGTCCCGACTCCGCATCCGATGTTCTGTCCAATATATATTCATTACGCTGCATCCGACCTAGTCCCATCCCACACTCTGTCGGGCTTTGTTCACTGCACAATCAAAGAAGGGTCTTCTGTTGAGAGTCCGTTCCCACATATCCACGACCTTGAGACATGCTGATCTTGGCTCGATGAGTATCCTTGAGCTACGCAGGGAATGTCAACATGGACTAGTTCTAGTCCCTTGGCATCTGCTGATGCAAACATACCTAGGATACATTATCCCTTAACCACATCTGGGCAGCTTTTGACTAGGGATACGATGAGCTTTCCTCGGGGAGCCGCTCGGCCGACATCCGCTCACTATACAGCTTCTTCGCGCATCGGACTTGAGTCGGATTAGCTGGCCTTGGAAAAGTGCCTAGGTGTGTTACAATCGTTGTTCGCCGATGGATTGCGTGGATTGACTCTAGCTTTCACTTGGAACGCACCATTCAGGTTTGATGTGCGAATACGTTGTGAGAGACTAGTTCACTTCTGGGAGAAGTTCTTGCTTCCCCAAAGCAGGGGGGCATAGCTGCAACTGAACCTAGCACAACTACTGCAGCGTTCGGATCGAACCATCACATGCCGCGGCAGCGGCGCCATCTATGATTAATCCTTTCTGTGATCTGTGCTCAAAGTTATGCTTTGGGCAGGACGAAAATCTATTCCCGCTACAGTAAGTCGGCCAGGAGATTGAAGATGCAGAGTTTAAAACAAGACTTTTCTCGTGGCAGCCGAGTGCTTGTGCCTGCTGGCGATATAACGATCAGCGAAGCCGGACGCGTGAAATTGAAAACCTCGTCGGGGTTCTTGATGCATGGCAGGCTCCTCTACGCAAGTAAGGTATCATCCATACTGTGCAGTACATACCTCACTGCCAAGTGCCCATAGGATCTCTGCGGGTGGATGTGATATGTGACCGGGTTAAGCACGTAAGCGCGGCGATAGAGCTAAGGGCTGCTATCTCACTTCTCGCCATGTGCACCAAGAAGCTGTCAAGTCCACCTAAGGTCCTAAGGTGTGCATGCCAAGGCGGGATACCGTATAGGTGAATTGATCTCCGTGGGAGCACAAAATCATTCACTCGCCCCCCACGCTTGACTTTATTGCTCAGCCGCTCTCTTCTGGATACAGCGAGCGAAGAAAAAACAGAGTGTTTTTCATATTACATATTTCAAACATGTCAGACGACGCCTTGTCAACTGAGAAGCAAGACAATCGAACAACGTTGGGATCAGCCGATGGCGTCTCCTCAAGTTCAGACGAAAAGTCTCCGTATGGCATTGTGCAAGAGGAAGAAGATGCTGTAGTTCAGGATTGGACGCCCGAAGAAGAGCGCAAGATAATGTGAGTTTGGCCTTTCTCCAGTCTGCCATCTTCACTGGCATCATCGTCATCATCATCATTTGCTGACGTCGAGCAGACGGAAGGTCGACTGGCATGTGTACCCGATGCTGTGCCTCGTCTTCGGACTTTCTCTCGTTGACCGAACGAACATCTCGTCAGCTTTTATCGCCGGCATGGACGTCTCGCTCAAGTTGACTGGGGCACAATACAATGTTGCACTTCTGGTCTTCTTCATTGGATATGGTCTTTTTGAGGTATGAAGCACATTTCTTGTCTTTGGGCACAGGCTCACGCACTGTCATGTACCTGTTTGTTTTCGACGACTTTACTGAGACTTTCCTGTATAACAGCTGCCTTCCAACTATGTGATCCGCCGTCTGGGTGCTCGCTCCTGGATGAGCTTTTTGATCACGTCCTGGGGAGCATGTGTGCTTGGTATGGGATTTGTAGACCACTGGTCGATTCTAGCAGTGCTGCGCGCCTTTCTGGGTGTGTTTGAAGCTGGTGAGTACAGTTTTCATGATATGTATACAAAACCGTGAATACTGATTGTTGAAAAGGTCTATTTCCTGGTGCCATTTTCATCATCGGCTGCTGGTATCGACAATATGAGATCGGAAAAAGAATCTCGATCTTCTACATGGCGGCTCTGATTGCAGCTGCCTTTGGACCCATCTTTGCATATGCTCTCGCTCTCATCGATGTCGGCGATGGAAAATACTCTCAAGGCTGGCGATGGATCTACGTAAGTGTTCTAGTTCAGATTATCATCATCATAATCATCATCTTTCAACATTGCACGCAGTCAGCTCACATGGGAAATCGCCCCACTCCAGATCATCGAAGGCATAGTCACCATTGTGGTCGGCATGATAGCCCCCTTCTTCCTAATCGAATTCCCCGAACGCGTCAAATTCCTCACCCCACGCCAAAAACACATCGCCCTCGAACGCGTCCGCCTCGACCGCGCCGCAGGCGAACGCGTCGTAGTCCACCTCACTATGAAACAAACTCTCACCTCACTCCTCGACATCAAAATTGTCCTCTACAGCATCAACTACTTCATCGTCGCCAGCAGCGGCTACTCCCTCGCCTTCTTCTCCCCCATCATCCTGCGCGAAGGTCTCGGATTCTCCTACATCAAAGCCCAACTCCTCTCCTCGCCACCCTACGTCTTCACCATCATCGCCAGTCTCGCTTCGGCGTGGATTTCCGATAAACAGCGTCTTCGCTGGCCGATCCTCAACATTCAATCTCTCGCTGCGATCATCGGTCTTCTCATCATGCTCTATACTACTCCACCGGGAGTGCGATATTTTGGATTGTTCCTCGCGACATATGGAACGCAAAGTAATGCGCCCGCGACGCTCACGTATGGACAGAATCAAACTGCCAAGTTGGAGAAGAAAGGTGTGGTTGCTGCTGCGATGATTAGTGCGGGTGCGTTGGGTGGAGTGTGTGGTTCGACGATTTTTCGAAAACAGGATGCTCCGGATTATTTGCCGGGAATGTGGGCGACGATTGCGATGCAATTGTTACATTTGATCTTGACTTTTGGCATGTCGTGGCATTTTAAGAGGCAGAATGCACGGGCGGATAGGGGCGAGGTAGTGCTAGAGGGAGTCGAGGGATTCCGATATGCGCCGTGATGGGGAGAATTGGAGCGAGGAGGAGTCGATATTCAATGAACAGGATAGACGCAAGGTTCTTGGTAGGGTTTCAAATGGTATACACATTATAGAACGAAGAGAACGATTTGTTCGAGCCTCTTGGCCCAGAGAAGTCTCCCTGGCGTCATCAAACTCTGCAGGCGCTGTTTGGTATCATTTCCTGTACAAAATGTTCCGCCAAGTAATCGGGCATTACCAATACCAAGCCCATGTACCATCTGAAAGAAAAACAGCGAGCAAGCCCATTGTGGAACTCACATCATCCTCTGCCAAAACGCCATCGCTTCATAATAACACAGAGCACAAAAGCTGAGAAACATTAGCATCGCACTCTTTTACCGCGGAGTGTTGTTCGCCCCACCGGGCACGTTCTTCTTCATACTGCCATTTCCAGCAGCAGAGCTCCCGATTCCACTATCTGCAGTAGGAGGAGGAGGCAACTCTTTCATCTCAACCGCTCTTTGGGCGCCACCATTCGCCTGCTGCGGTTGTCCAACTCTTCCGCGAGGAACACTAAGCCTCTTCTTCAAGCCTTCCACTCGACTCTGACTTCTCTCTGCTTCCACTCGGGCTTTCTGCTGACGCTGAGCTTTCGGCAAGGTATGACCCAGTCGGATGTCGCCATGTTGATATGCTTTCTTAAATGACATATAACTTGGTGGACGAGGGCGACCGAGAACGGCAATCCAGTTTTTGAGCATGGAAGCTTGAGAGAAAGGTCGATGACGGTCTTTGGGGAGGAACTTGTGGCTGTTGAGGTATTCTCTGGTGGTTTCGCCTCGTGCGATGAGGAAGAGGTGATAGCCAAATAAGCTCCCAGGATATGGTAGAGCGAGAACGGCATAGATAAACATGGCGAAGGCAACCTGTTCTTGCGTACGTCCTGAGAGTGCGCTGCCGAAGGATATTCCGTGCTGATTCGCGTACGTGGCGATGTGGGTGATGGAGAATGCGATCAGGAGGAGAGCCATGATGCTGCCAAAACCGATAAAAGCGAAGAAATACCTGTAGTTTCTTCTGCCAACACAGTTGTTCAGCCACACACAATGATGGTCCTGAGTTTCAATGCAGGCGTCGCAGACTCGACAGTGGTGGGCTCTCGGTGGACGCCAGATTTTGCAAGTCTTACAGTACTTCGTCGGCACTTCCATGGCCGTGGTCGCACTATTAGGTCCTGCAGCGCCCTCCTCCGCAGCTTGAGTTTCCAGATCGGCTTTCATCTTTTTGGATGGGAACGTCTTCACCATGACCCATTCCGTCGTTGGTGGACCCACGGTTAGAGGATCACGCTCTTCGTCCGCGTTGGGCGGGTGAGGGTGCAGGTTCCGGGGAAGAACGGCTGGATCAGAGAGTGCGGCGTGCGCAAAGGCGGAGAATGTGATGAAGAAGATGTAGGCGAAGATGATGGGCAACGCAGGTGAGACGTTGTGCCAGAGCCAAGGTGCTGAAAAGCCGAAGAAGAGAGCTGCTGGGAGCACTGTGAGAACGAACGTGACCAGGTTCAGAGGTTTCGCCCTGGTATTGAGGCATCGTCCTAAGCAGAAGAAGAGGTAGTTGCCTGCGTAGTATTGGTAATTTCTGCCAATTCTGGAACCCGTCGACTTCGGGAATAATTTGGCTGGGGATGCGTCCCGCTCCTTGGCATTGAGGTTGGGGGATGCTGGGTTGGAAGACAGCTTCTCGTGATCCCTGGTGGAACGCCGGTGCTCATTGATTTCTCTTCTGCTCCTGTTGGATGCCCAGCCTAACGAATCTCGCAGTGATCGGGGGGATTTCGGCTTGGAGTCTACGGTCTGTAGTTTCTCGCTCGTGTGCTGTCGTGAATGCAATGGAGTCGTACTATTCCTCCTGACCATACTGTCCGGACCACCGGCTATGAATGGCGCTCCACTTGAAGTCATGGCCGCGGAGAAACCTCTGCCTGCAGGTAATGGTGGCGCCGCCTCTCCGCCCCTCGACGCCGCAATGTCGCGGGCGGTATTCACTGAAGCATCACTGTAGCGCTTTCGATGGCCTGGAATTTCGTCTTCCTCCTCGTCGACACTGCGATTGATACGATGCCCGCCTTGAATGCTGCTTGGAGGCGCGACGTGCTGACCGCGCTGAGCTTGTAATCGCTGTGAGCTCAATGGGCGAAAGAAGCCCTGTACCGATAGAGATGGCACATGTGTGGGCCCGCTCATCCCTGAGCCTGGCCGTGAAATGTCTCCCTCTCGCCGACTGAAGGGTCTGTAACTGTAACTACCACGCTGCAAGGCGGACGCCCCTCCCACGGTAGCGGACGCTCTGCTAGACGTGCGTGGCCAGCTCTGACCGCTCGTCGCATCACTTGTTGGTCGCGCGGGCGGCAGTCCTGGCTCACCAACTGGGCCTGTCGTGGACAAGACGCTCAGCCTCTTGTTGCCATCAAACTCGGAGGTGCCATTGGAAGATGCAGTGCCCGGTCTCTCGTCAGTGCCGCTCGGGAATGGGTCTCGTGCGAGGAAGGTCGGGAGAGCGGAGGAGTTGTCATTGTCATTGACATTTGGGCTGGCGAGGTGGGCCATGTTGGCCATGTTGGCGGCGTTCGTGCTCGCGGCTGTGGGCGCAATGGCTGTCCCTATCGAACGCAACCAGTGTTAAACGTGCTGAGTTGCAAAAGCAATGGTAGGGCGAGCGGACGGGCGATGCGTTGCGATTGCTATTCATACTCCGCGAGTCGGTGTTTCAGTCGCGCTGGAGCGTCATTTCACTGATTCGTGTTGTCGTCGGAGGGAGCAGAGCAGAGGAGAGGTGAACAGAGGATGGTCTGCATATCGCGTTTGTCTCCCCTACATGCACCATTTCCCCGAGTCATTAGTACGAGGCAAACGGAGGGGACCAGACCAGGGCGGACCAAGTTGACCAACAGTAGGCATCTGTAGGCATCTTAGTGTGAGAGAACACTTCGGCCCGCAGAGCCGCATTAGAGCACTCATCCATCCTCCATTGGCTTGACATCACCTTCGGAAAGATACGCACCCACCTCTCCTCTCACCTCCGCAAGATCGCCTGCCACAATGTCCTTCATCGCAAAGCGCGCCGCCCTTCAGGCCACCCGTGCCGTCCGCCAGCCCACCCTCCGCCGCACATACGCCGACGCCCTCAGCAGCGCCGAGCAAGCCGAGAAGAAGAATGTCCTGGCAAAGGGCGCTCGACGGGATCCCGAGCTCTACGTACGTACACGCCCATTTCCCACCAACCCTCTCAATATCTCTGCCAAAGGAACAAAACTAACTCTGATGCTCCTCTTCCCAGATTCTCCTAACAATCATGACCGGCGCTTTCGGCCTCGCAGGCTGGCATTTTTCGCGCAACCCAACATCCTCCTCCTCCGAGAACCCTGTGGCCCAAGTTGAGCACTCCGAGCCGTGGAAGACGGGCAAGGATGCGCGCTATCAATACCACCCTGGTGGAGACCCGAGCAGGGGAAAGAAGGATGCCCCCAGCGCGTTGAATGAGGTTATTATCCCGAACGTGAACTTGCCAAAGGTAGGATGATGCTTATACTTGATATGGAGAGAAGCTCGGGAGTGGACTGGGCAGAGAGCTAATGCTTTGGGAACAGGAACTGCACGAGAAGTACAACAAATGGGGCAAGGAGGGATACTAGATTGAGAGGGATGAGATATTGATGGCCTAGAGAAGAAAGAGTAGCAGGAAGGATTGTATATACAGTATGGAGAGCATATCTGATGCATTAGACTGAAGCGAAGAGCGTCTGCTTCGAGGAAGTGCGTATCCAGAAGCAGTCCTATCTGTTCCATTCACGTAAGTTGAGCAGTTCTCCTGTTTGAGCATGGAGCAATACTCCGTTGCGAGATATGGAGCAGTTAGGCTTCCTCTATCCCAAGTGGGTTGGTATACTGACATGGCATGAGCTTGCGCGCGGCCAGCAACGCACACCATGCCTCTGGAGGTTGATCAAGTTGGCTTGATTAAGAAGGCGACTACAATATTATAACCCTTACAGCGGCATGTTGGGAAGCCCACCTTAGACTACAAATCATCTGGCCATTCCGGGTCGATCTCTTCAATACGCTGCGCCACCATATGTTTGAGCTTACCTGTAGGCTCAAGACTGGAGGCTGCCGCGAAAACATCTTGAGGTTCTCGCACCACAAGTACCTTGCACCATAGTCAGATTCGTTGGCGCAGCCATACTGTAGTCCGAATTGAATGAGCCCGATACTGAACTGCTTATTAGCACTCTCGCTGAAATCTACAAGAAGATCGAGCGCTTTGGAGCAACAGCTAGGTCCTGCTGTGCGAGACTATGGGTAGCGGTCGCCCGGCTTCACGCGCAACTGAGCGATATCCTCGTGGCCCATTTTTCGGAGAAGATGGGTGATGCCGCCGCCTACGGTTCCACTACCTGACATTTGGCTGCGCGACTGTCAATAGGTCGGCACACATATCGGACCGAGGCATACCATCACTTAGATGTCGTGGTCTCTCGATACTGGCACTTTAAACGTGGATTGCTGGTGCCGAAATCTGCGTTGCAGGATTTGAGGATGCAGTAGAAGGCCTAAGAGACATCCGGAAATAGCGATTGAGAAGTCTCACGACAACGAGCGCTTCGAGACATCGGCCTGGGACCAGCCAGGCGTAGGAGCAACAGACCAGTCAGACAGGACAGGAACTCTGGTGAACATGATCTGTACCCGATGTGTTTTCTGCGACATGGCCTCCTTCCTCGCCGCGCCTCTGGAACGCTCCTGTGCTCATATGCCATTTCGCCGTTGTAGGCAGGTACAATGATCGTCTCTCGGACTCTACACTTCAAAGTGCTCTTCTGCTTTACAAGACCTCGTGGTAACACACATACACTCACGGACACATTTTCAGACAACACATATCATTCATCGTGAAGCCATTCGTTGGTATCATCTTATAGGAACCTCACGGGCTAGGATACCCGCAGAAGGCAATGTCGACCACAGCCATACTTCCAGTGTTTGGCCCGGTAATCGCTGTCAAACGTACATTGTCCGCCCGTCGCTGAGAACTTATCCATAGGAAGAAGAACCAACACAGATGCTCGGATTGAAATGGCTACGTAGGCTCGAAAACCATCTCTGCACGTGGCCAGGAAAATCATTGCCATGGTCCAATGAACAGCTGCCAGCTTGGTGCTCTCGAGGCTACGATCTGGTCGTTGCATTTCGGGAATCCTATGTAACATGGTATTGCGCCGAATTCCGCAAACAACCATTACGTCGAATCGAAGTCGTCTACCCATATCATTCCACGTCTGACAATCCATTTGCTTCAGCCATAGCGATTCGAAACGTCATCAACGTTCAAGTCTGGGAGTGGAGGCGTCAGCCTCTTTACGTGGGAAATCCAGATCACGCCCAAGTCCACAAACTCTTGGACCTCGTGGAAGCGGGGCAGAAGAAGGGGGACTGGATATGTGCGCTGCCTTCAGACTTCCTGGATGTCACAGATATGGTGAACTACGTGCCCTTGGACGAACTCAGGAGTATATCGCGTGCGCGTCGTAAGTTCGACCTGGAAGTTATCAAGAGGGTGGGAGTCGACGCTTCTCGGCAAGATGAGAAGCGAACGAGGGAGCAGATGGCGAAAGAGGGGAAATGGTCGGAGGTCGTGTACGAGCCTTACGAAAAGCTCATGCGGAAGTACATGGGCAAGGATGAGTCTTGGTCTTACCGTGTCGTGTTGTCGAAAACCCCAAACCCAAGTACCGGCTACTAGATCGCGTTTTGGGCTGGGACATTCACTTTGGCATAAGCGAATATGGGATGCGTTCCTGCGGGATCGTGAGGGAGAATCTCAAATCTGTCAGTCTTTTGGTTGCTCGTGACATCGGCCTGGTCCTGGATGTAGGTAGTCGTAGATTAGGTACATGTTACTTTCTCTCTATCTCACTACATTACTTCCAGTATCAAATCTCACTTGTCGTTTCGCACTGTTTGTTTCGTCTTGGTGCTGCTCGTGTTACATCATCCTGCACTGTTGTCGCTGTGTAGAGTGAGTGAGTTCATGTTGACTTCCAATTACTCAGTAAGGTATATGGTACGTGTATCTAGCAAGCAGAGACGATAACAAACAGGAAAAAAAAACAAAATAACAAAAAAGAAGACTGGACGATTGGAAGACGAGAAATGCCAGCTATTGTAGACCTACCTCAGCTACGTTACAGTAGATTTCGAGTAAACTAATTTGCTGCAATATCAACGTGAAGAAAATGAATGGTTTTGATATATCCAGCTTGAAGGGAGGGGACGCCCGCTTGTGACTTCCATCGTGTTAATTCGTACTTACGCCCCCTCAAAGAAACATCAAGATTGAGGTGACATTATTGGTCACAAATCACCATCACAGCGAGACTCACACGGGCGAAATTGAGGGATAAATTAAATAGAAGACCAATCATTGAAGTGGGTAAGTCTACTAGTAGTACGTACGTACGTGCCAGCCTATGCCTGCCGCTTTTCGCAGTTACGCGCCGGGTTGAGTGCCTCCTCGTACGATGAACTTATTCTCATCGATACACCGCAGCTCACATCCCGCTTGGCAAGGCATACGCCGGAGGCTTGCGAATGCAACGCTACATTTTGCCAGAACCGCTGTGAGCGTGCAAAGGACCTGTGGGGGGACCATCTGGAATAGTAGCGCTGTGTCGGCCTACATGTATTTGTGAAACGCCAATTTTTCCATACTGCTCGGATGTCATCTTCTTCTCTTGTGCCGCTTGGCAAGGCATACACCGGAGGCTTTCGAATGCAAACGCTACATTTTGCCAGAACCGCTGTGAGCGTGCAAAGGACCCGTGGGGGGACCATCTGGAATAGTAGCGCTGTGTCGGCCTACATGTATGTGTGAAACGCCAATTTTTCCGTAACGCTCGGATGCCACCTTCTTCTCCTTCTTCTTTTGCGGGAGTCCCGAGAACCGTCCGTTGTTGCGTCTGTCGCAAACTCAAGAACGCTTAGCGAAGTTGAGGGTGCTCTGCTTCAGACTTTTCATTTTACCGCTGCTGACGCTCGAAAGAACTTGCTTGACTCTATCACGCATGCTCTGCGAATGCTTTGGTAGCTTGTCCGTCTTGGCAGCTTGCTCGTCATCAATTTGTTCGTCTTCCTCAGTGGTAGCACCTCCAGTAATTCGTTTCTGCTTGCCTTGGCTGCTAATTTTGGTCAAGTTCGTACCGTTTGAGCTTGTGAGTTCGGCGGCAAGAGAGCTAGGGGCAGCAACAACGATGTCTGAGCCAGTGTCCTCTCCAGACTGAACCTCATCGGCGCGCTGAGTATCCATGGACTTCTCTACAGAGACAGTGGTCTTTTTATGGATGCTGGTGGTGCCGCGGCGACGCGAGCTTGGTCGCGATGAAAGCTTCGAGGCTGGACGATGCTCGACGTCGACTTCACGACGGTCTGGAAGATGGAAACGCTTGGGCCCCGATCGTGAGAGGTTTTTCACGACTTCAGTCTTGAGGTCTTCGTCACTCTCGTCTTCATCGTCAGCGGGATCCTTTGTGTTCTGGTCGGCTAGAATGATCTTCGTGCGTCCTGATGTAGCCTTCTTGCGACTGGAGCGACCGGACTGTGATGCAGGCACGGATGGGGATGGTGCAGCTGGAAGGTTGGCAGACGATTCTCCCTTTCTCTTAGCCATGCGAAGGGCGCGGTCGGAGGTCAGCGCAGCCTCTTGCTGTTTGCGCGCCTTCTCGGCAAGTTCTGCTTCTGCTTCTTCCCACAGGCACCAGCCACGCCAGCTGGGGCCACGTGCAATCTGGGCTTGCTTTTTGGCAGCCTCGACTTGCGCGCGCTGTTGCGCCTCTTCGGCCAGTTTGCGGAGGCGGGCCTGCTCTTTCTTGTTGAGCTTCTTGATCTCACTCTCGGGAAGACGCTTTCCCAGGTAGCCTCGACAGTGTTGGCCACCGCAGTAGCACGCCTGCCTGTGGTCGCTGAAGTTCTGGAAGTTGTAATCGTAGGTGAGCTCCTGTCCCGTCATGATGCCTGCTGGTCCGGCATAGACGCCAAGTCGTGAGACTTGCCCGACTCTCGTCATCTTGACTTCACAGTTGGGGTCGCAGGAATGATTGATGAAGCGAGCCTCGCTGCCTTTGTTTCCGTCCAGGATGAGACCATTCTCCATCTCCATCACGAAGTAGTTAGTCGCGTTCAGATAGGTTGTCGCCATTCTCTCTTGGCATTCATCTTCAGTAATGATCTCGCCGGTGTACTCCATGATGAGCTGGCCGGGCTGGAATGGTCGGGCTGCGCGAACGCCATGCCCACGGTTCTTTGTTTTGACAACCTCCACGCCGATGTCGTAGCGGCCGCCCTTCGTACGACGCCTCTCGAGCTCGGAGAAAGGCCTGTTGCTGCAGTTGTCCGGCTCAAGTCTGCAGTTCGACTCATCACACTCGTATCCCATGACAGCGTTCAGGCAGCTTTCGTCACATCCCGTCTCTGGCAAGCAGGTGCAATATGAGACGTAATCCTGATTCTTGTTCTTCCAGAAGGCCTTTGCATCGCCGATTGCACGATTGTTAGTAACAAGCGTGAATTTGGGCGGCTTCTCGGCCATTGCGGGGTCCATGTTCGGCGCGAAGATGTCGTATGGTATGGTGAAGGACCGTTCTCTGTCCAGGTAGCTGAACATTGGCAACCCGAAGCCGAGATGGTTGGTCTTCGGCTTTGCATCGTTCTCGCCAGGCCCAGCAGGTGCTGGAGCCGTCGCACGGCTCTTTTGCAGCTTCCTCTTCTTTGGCGGCTGGGAGAGGTCAGCCTCGGGCTCCTGGCCGACGTACAGGCCCCCCGTCTGCCACTTCTTGACGGACAGGCCGCCCGAGGTCTGCTGCATGGGGTTGGCAACGTGAGAAGGGGCGAGCTCCATTCGAGCGGCTTTTGAGGGTCTTGTCGTCGGAGGTTCCGCCGAGGGTTTCGTGCGCTTCGATGGACGTGAAGCAGGCGCGGTTGCGGGTGCGGGTGCGGGAGTGGGAGCAGGCGTAGAAACGTCGAGGTCGATGTCGTCCAGGATGCCGCCTGGACCCGTGTCAAGCTCCTTCAGCAGCTTGCGCTGCTTCTGCTCAGCCGGCTCCTCCATCGCAGCGAGCCTCTTCTTCCCGGCCTCGTAGACGTCGCGCGTACGCTTGCCGAGCACAGAGGCCGCTTTCTTCGCCCGGCCGAGCACGCTGGGCCGCCTTTCCACCCTCGTGGCAGCGGCCTTTCCCGTGACTTTCGGCGATACTGCCACTATATTCTCCTCCATCTCGTCGTCCAGCTCCATGTTCATGTCTCCGTTGTCGAAAACGTCGAGCTCTGTGTCGACGCGGTGGTTCACGAGTGTCCGGCCGGAGAGCCCCGAGGCTTTGCGAGATTTGCTGGCGGTGGCTCCGCTGACCTCCTGTGCAGTTTGCGCGTCAAACAGCTCCTTAACGTTGTAGTTGATCGTGGCCCGCGAACGTCTTGCACGGCCGCCGCCGCCGAACGCGTGCTCGTGCGTGCTACTACTGTCGTCTCCTACACTGGTTGGCGGTGTCGACGCTGCCAGCTGCTCAGACGCATCGTCGACATCCATTGCTGCTGGATCGGAGAAGGATTCGGTATGGGTGGCCATTTCTATCACGTCTTTCCGCCCTGAGTGTTATTCACCTGCGGCCAAGCCTCACGAGAGACGCGCCTGGTTGACGCGAAAGATGTGGGGACGACCCAGCGAGTTTCCCGTCGTAAAAATGCCTCTTTTTTGCTTGAGAATACAATATATCGATCGGCGCCCAAGATTTCGTCGTGGAGGAGAGTACGACAATATCAATGCAAACAAGCAAACAACAGCATGAGCATGAAAAGGCAACAATGCTGATGATAGCAGACGCGAGGGATGGGATGCTCGACAAGCCGGTAGAGAGGCTCATGCCAAAGCAACGGTTACGGGGCCGAGCACCAATCATCATTCGTTATTTCGTGGTTCCACGGGCACGATCATCGCGTCTCCGATAGGATGAGCATTCCACGACGGCGCCCTGGTGACAGACCTCATGTCTCGCAGTCTGCTGTGCTCTGCCCTAGCCCAACACCATACCGGGCAATGATGATATGCACTCGGGATATCTCTACTGGACGACTCTGCGACACTCTGCAAATGGGCAGCATCATGAAATCCCCATCCCAGAGCTCCAGCATGTCGGCCAAGACCTGGCCACTGAGGGCAAGGGCATGCCCAAAACCAGGATGGAGATAGCAAGACGGCATTCGTCGAGTACCATATACTATGCATATGGTACCAGCAGAGTCCCAGGTCGTGGTCATCATTATGCTTGTGGTCTGGCCAGCATTTGGGGTCCTACATTGTCGGAGACTACCTGAGCGAATGGGGCCGCAAAGGCGACGCATGCACTTCTCGATGGCCAAAAACGGCCCACATACTACTAGATTACTAGTATGGGAGGAAGTGCCAGCGCTCTTGGATCTGCGGAAGACTCCATGATCTAGCTCTCGACGCAGGATAAGCTGTCATCAAAGTCAGGCTCACAATCCCGAGCTCAGAGATGGTTCCATGCCAAGCCAGATCCAAATTTTGAGTCCAGGACACAAATTTTGGCACTGACTATCCGGGCCACTTCAGTTTGGCGGCATGGATTGGAACGAACTCGTACTGCGCAGTCACTTCCACAAAGGAATGCCAGCCGTACCAGGTACCTATGAGCTCTTTTTCCGTGGGATCGGATGCAGAACTTCGAAGTCCTTGTTCGCATCTTTCGACGTCCTTCTTTACGATCGCCCTCCTGCGGGATTGCCGGACTTGGCACTCTGGTCGCCACCGAGCACCTGTGATGAAGTGCTCAGCAAGCCTAGGGACCTCAGGCTAGCGTGCGGTATTCTTTGCAGCGAATACGGAAGTCATAGTCGCAGGGCGCCACCCAGCTCTGCCATTACAGAATGACTAGAGTCCCGAATGCTGCATACTGCTATCCAGCCGCAACGTCGAAAGACTGAACAAATTGGCATGGATCCTTTGAAGTTTCTGCGGTGTTGTCAGACCAAACCTGCTGGTCTGTCCACAGCGTTGCCAGCCTAGTCATTTCTAGGCGAGCGCACTGAGTTGCGGCAAATTGGGTTACTGCAGCCACGAACAAAGGTCGTCGCAACATGACATGCCATCTGCTTGAACGTTTCAATGGCTTAAGTGATAGGAGAGCGAGATGACACCGCAGAAGGAGAACAGGTGCTCGAGAGACCGCTGAGACGAATCCAGGAAGCTGCCGAGTCTCAAGCTGATTGCTTTATCCCGGATATGGACCTCCAAAGATGCAGTCGTGTCGAGAAGTCCGTAAACAGATATGTCAGGTCGCTCCACGAGACCTGGACCGCTTTCTCTCACTGCTTGTGGAAGCCACATCGCTCGCATTCCATAACCAAGGCGAGAGATCTGTCGGAAGTGCCGTCTACGTGGAGTCGTCGCACACTCCAAGTGGGACCAAGAAGTTCGAGGTTGTATGTATTCTCAGAGGTTCTGGAAGATTGCCAGTTCTCCTCCGGCCCTCCTATTGCTCCTCTCGGCGCGTGGGAAGATCTTACTGCTGTATCGAGTCCATTGCTACGCTGGAGATAGCTCGACGACAAGGATGCAGCTGCGATCTGTCCGAGCGTAGGCACAGGACAGGACAGGACAGCCCAGTGTTGTCGCAACAATTCTTGTGCTGTGTCCACCATCCGTGGAGAGGCCTGTTGCTTTGACCGCTGTCATCGGCATCTTGTCTCATCCGGTGCTCAGCCCATCGAAGAGATGATTGTCGCGGTGGCTATGAATTGCCTTTGTGACCGAGTTGGAAGTCTCCATGCCAGTACTTCGATCGACAAGCGCATCGGTACCACCCAGGAAACTGCCTCACGTCTTCGTCCTGCTCTCCGCACCTACATTGTCGGTGTATAGTTGCCATTGAGGTCATGATGCCGCGCCGACTGCGCAGCTCCTGGCAGCCACTGGCTTCGTGGTCAACCTGAACTGTTTGGCCTGGAAGCTGACAGGTTTGCGCCTCATTCGTGCAGCACGCGGATGCGAGCCAAAGTGGCCTGGATGATGCTTGCTCGCACGGCTTGCTGATATGACCTCCATCGTGATTGTGCGTGGTGGCTGTCTCGGCCTGGCCGTACTTCATCGTCGTGTGTTGCTCGAGGTCACTGGCTGAAAGCCATTAAACGACGATTGGCGACGAAGGACAGCATGATGCCGTAAGACACGATGCTGTACTGTTGTCCGTGTAATGGTCATTGATGATCCTGCGGCAGCATCTCCCAGCGCGCCATCTGATGAAGTGGTGTCCTCCAATAGACATTGCTGGTGACGCTCGCTGAGTGCCGCTACCGCGTGGAATCTGCGAAGCGCCGCGCAACAGGACGCGTCCGTCGCCGTACTTACCGTCCGCCAGTGTCACCTCCTCATATTCATGACGGTGTCCGTCACGGCGGCGTCGACGACTTAGGCCGCTGTGTACTGAGGGGCAGCGTTACTGTCGCCGTCGGCTGGTATCGTTTCTCCTCGCCGCTCTCGCTTCACTGCCTGATCGTTGGTCCAATCCAACGGCTGCGTGGAATCTCCAACTGAGGCGTCTAGTGTAGAGCGCATTGAGCAGACCGTCCCATCCGTTGTCGTCGCCGCACTGAAGCGCTGACTTTCGAGTCTGCGGCGACAAGCCTCTTCTAGTGCACCGGGAAGTCGCGACCGTGCAAGTGAAGATGAAGTCTACTCGACAGAAGATAGCGACTCGACTCCTGCTGTCGTTGACGCGTATGCGACGGTGAAAAGGCGAGCACATTGGTTGTGCGGTTAAAAGATGTTGTTGAGGCTTTGATCGTTGTAATAGAAACAGCTCACAACCACTCCTCGAGCAGGCTTGTCTAGTCGGCGTGGGCAACGCAGCCGAGGAACACATTTAACAGTTCCTGACGCTCACCAAAGAGCAGGATACACAATGTTGTGTTGGACTGTTGCCTCGATCACATCCTCTCTTGCGGTAGCTTCTTCTACTGAGAACAGAAGTGGAACATGTTCTAGGTATGTCAAAGCACGCTGCCCTGGAATATGCTCGGCTGGCATGACACTACTTGCATCTTCCTTCACGCGAGCAGGCCTGGCAACCACAACACCAAGAAGAGCACGCGTAGACTTGCATGGCCTACAACAGTGCATTGCTTTCCCATGTCCTCGCTGTCGCTCTACCGGTGCTCGGGGCGTTACAAGCGCCGCCACGGGTAGGCACGGGCTCGGTCGTAGTATTGAGTATATCATTGTGGATTGTTTTGCATTACTCATCCACCTGGCCCCTGGGGCCAGGTGGACGGGGACGGCGGGAAGGGCGGGGTGGTGAAGTGGTTAACGAGGTACGTATTTCGGCTCGTGACGTTTGCGTGGTAAACCGCAATGATACATTCCACAACTGGCGTGGCAGTTTGGTTGGGGGTGTTAGCTGTTTCCAGGGGGCCTTCAGCAAGTCTTCTCTTTTGCTCTTTCGCTCGAGCTTGTGTCCGAGCTTGTGGTATATCAGAGGGCCTTCAGCAAGTCTTCTCTTTTACTCTAGGTTTGCTCGAACTTGTGGTATAGCAGAGAGTGCTGGAGAGGTTCGAATCGCGCTGTCTGCCACGAATTGTTTTGCTGAGGAAAGCAGAAATGCAACTCACGGTCTTACTTCCACGATCAAATTTATTTGAGGGTCTGGAGGTTCGACACCTGACTTTTGCGGTGACATTCGCTTCCTCAGATGTTCCAGTTATTGCCATGGTGGATTATTATTTGATGGTTTGGCTATATCTCCTTTTTGGTGGCCCAAAACCGCCAACGCCGCGTTGTGCGAATCCGCATGTGGAGAATGTTACGGCCATCAGCACTTTTCATTGATGGGCAGTTTCGGCACTATACTACAGTGCTCACAGCCTGCAGCTGTATTAATACGCCCTTGAACGACTCGAATAGACTACAAATCACCCTCAGCAAGAGCTTCGGCGCGATCGGACTCGTGCACTACTTTATCACGGCCCTTTCATACCGCCGCTATGACCCCATCCGCGCCAGCCGTTGCCTCCGAGCCAACGCAAATCCGCGCGCGACTCTCGTTCCGAGATGACTTTGCACCTGCTCTTCGCTCAACTAGGCACGGCGAACACGGACGGCCTGGAAAGTAATGGCACTGGATCAAGGTCCAGGACAGGGACAGACACAGAAGATGAGAGAACCAGCGGTCAACATGTCCCGTGCCAAAGCGCCATGCGACGAGGAGACCAAACGGCGAGGGAGAAGCAGATCTTTTGGATGGACGTCGCTACTAGTCGCTCTTGTTGTACCGAAGGCCACAGGGACACAAGGCCGCAAGGCTCACGAGACTGTCACATAAGATGGAAGGAAGCAGTGGAGGGCTCCCAAAATCTGACCTGGCTAAGCTTAGGCAGGAGGGGCTCCAGTCCTGACGACCTCTCGTTCATTTTCCCGTGCTCGTAGCCTATCGAGCATCACGATATGTCCTAGGGCCTTCTCACGAGACAGGTCTTTCTCATAGTGCATGCATACCCAAGCACAGGTCGCGCTTTGTGTAGAGCAGTGAAGATGATGGAACAAGAGTGAGCCGCGGACCTCTACAACAATGACCATGTTGCCAATGGCTGGGCTTCTTCGAACTTGAAGATACGCCCTGTGCCAAATGGTGAGCATCAAGCTGGTGCGGGGAACGGCAGACTCAGCCTTATGGCACAGAGTCTAGTTGATAAAACAAGGCGCTGCGATGGACGCTTCACTTGGCTCTGAATCATTCCCTTTGCTGGGATATTCGGACCATGTGTTGGTCATGTAATTCATACGATTGGCTGGCAACTGATGCTCTTCCCGTTCTATCCCATTACTTCTGAAGACTTTTTGCGTACTGGATCCGCGCTGATGGGTTGACATTAGAGACTGATAGATGATCACTCCGCTTGGCGACCAGCTTTCCTCAATTGGTCATTTCCTTCGTCGCCAAAAGATCTTCACATTCATGCTCACTTGATTCACCTCAGTGGAACTTCCAGCTTGACGAATGAGATTGAATTATGCCATTACAGTATTTAAACTGTCTGGAGGCGTGAGGATCAAATGGAATGTGAGGGCAACAAAGAAATGAGTCGAAGGCTGAAGTGAAGGATGCTTCAGCCGCAGAACTATATTTAGCGCTGCGCCACGCGAAACCGCGGAATTGTGCCTGTGCACCCTGGACATCAGCCGCCAATAACATCAAAATCCGCTTCAATTGACGTTCCAAAAGATCGAGACCAGGATTGCGGTTTGGACTACTGTCAAGACCAGAAAGATTGAATACTATGGACGTCTTCCTCTGATTGCAGTGCTTCAACAGAATCAAGAACGGCTTCGCCCGGTGTTGTACAAGTTCATATATATCAACAATGCCCCCAGCCAGTGGCGTTGCTGGCATCGGCTAGTCCGCAGTAGTGATTGGTGCCGATAACCTGGGAATTGTAAGTAGGTATGTTGTGCTTCGTGAAGCCAGACGAATGATCTCCAGTAGCTGCATCACAGGATGTACAGGATGCCGGTCGGATGATCTCAGAAGATTGGTACTCACTGACTTCCCCTTGGGCCTAATTCCTTTGTCGCTCTCCTACACGTTCTACTGTGATACTTGCAAAAAAAGCTCTGGAACTGGTCTGTCCAAATTTCGTTCACTTCTCATCACAAGCCGCCAAACTGGATCCCCGAGGCGGCTATAATCTGCTAGAGAACATGAGCGAAGACGCTCATGATGCCCCCGAAGTGGTCGAAGGTAGCGGAGCAGATGGATTGATTCCAACATACGACGTCACGGCAAAGATGCCGCAAAGAATGCACCAGTACCCAGCATATGGACATCAAGGCCCCCCCAGCTTTCAGGAGGATCGGCAATACACGTCAGCATATGGGAAACACGATGAGAAGCTCGCAGGTGTCGGTCTCACAGAAGTATCAGCACACTCTCAGTCCAGCAGCAGTAAACGGAAACGCGTGATATGGATCATCACCGCAGCCATTCTTCTCGCTCTAGCCATAGGTCTCGGCGTCGGCCTCGGCGTCGGACTCTCCCAGAAAAGCAGCACGACAACCTCCACCGCGAGCAATAACAGTGAAGAAGCCACATCTGACTCCAACAACAACACATCAACATCACCAACTACTACCTCAACAACAACCACCACAACCCCCACCACGTCCGCAGTAACATCCGGCTCCACCGGCCTCGCCCAATTCTCCTGCAACAGCACCGAAACCACCCTCTCCCCGGGCCACAGCGTCCCCTATATCCAAGAATGCTACACCCAATACCAAACCAACCACCCTTCCTACTACAGCACTCCCTCCCACAACATCACCATGACGAACCTCGGAGGCAAAATTACCGTCTACACTTTTCAAGACTGTCTCGACAAATGTGACGAATGGAATCTTTCTTCTGCCGGAGAAGGAGGAGATGGAGGAGGACAACCGGCGTGCAGAGCCGTGACGTATTATGCAAATTTAACTGTCCCCATACAACGATATGGAGGGAATTGTTTTTTGAAAAATGATCGTGGATACGGGTATCAGAATGATGTGGTGGATTATGCGCATATGGCGAGTGCGTATCAGGGGTGTTTGAATCGGACTTGTTTTGCTGGGGTGGATGAGTGAGATGGGGGTAATGTTTTTTTTTTTGTTTTTGTTTATTGTGGTGGTGTATATGAGTGAGAGAGGGTTGTTGAGCGAGATTGAATGAAATGGTGGGATTGGACTGGGTTGATCTAAAGATGAGAAAAAGAAAGTTAGCTCAGATTCCTGTTACAAGAAACAAAATTCAATTCAATTCAATACTCACGTATTTCTGTTCTTCCCCTTGTGTCCTTTTCCTCCCTCCCTTCCTCCCTCCCTTCCTCCCCTCCCTTCCCCTTCTTCCCCTTCTTCCCCTTCTTCTTAAGCGTTACAAGATTGAGTCACCTCCTTAGCCTTTACACAATTGTTCTGTTTTTTTTTTAGTAACAACAATAATCAGTGATTCAATATTCCCCCAAAAGAAACTTCGAAGGGAGGGAGGGGGAATTTGCTTTGCTTACATGAACAATAACGCAGCCTGTGGGACATGGATTGACAATGACTTGGGCGGTGGTGAAGATGCATAGCGAGGCGAGTGCCATGATGGTGGAGAGGAGGGATGAGGTGTTCATTTTGGAAGGGGTGGGGTTGTTGTTGTTGTTGTTGGGGATTTGGGAGTTTGGTTGAGATCGTTTGTAGCTTGGTTTGGTTTGTGTGATGCTGAGTGAGTTCGATTGATGGAATGGAATGGAATGGAGGAGGAGGAGTTGGTATATATATATTTATTTATTTATTGACGAGACATAGACTTATGGGGTACGGGACTGATCCTGCAAGTTCAGCTTCTCCTCCTCCTCCTCCTTCTTCTTCACATGCCCTAAGAAGCGCTGGTCTGGGGGACAGCGCATGCAAGGGAGTTGTCATCGGGTGGCACTGCTACGAGCAAGTCAACGCTATGCATTTCTTCTTCACGTGGCATGAGAACCGTTGGTCTGGGGTTCAGTGGTTGCAAGGGACTTGTCATCGTGTGGCACCTTTTCTCAAGCGAGTTAATGCTATAAATTCATCTTCATTACACGTGCTGGTCTGGGTCAACCCGGACAAGGAGCCTGTGATCGCGTGGCACCTTTTCTCGAGAGCGAGTCGATGCTATATGTTCTTCTTCTTCTTCGTATTCTGGCCCAGCACGCGTGCAAGGAACTCGTCATCGTGCGGCACCTTTTCTCAAGCGAGTCAATGCTATAAATTCTTCTTCACACGTGCTGGTCTGGGTTCAACCAGGGCAAAGAGCCTGTCGTCGTGTGGCACTCCTGCGCTCGGGTCAACGCTATAAATTCTTCTTCACATGCCACGAGAAACGTTGGGCTGGGTTCAACACAGTCAAGAGACGTATCATCGTGAGGTGACCTGTTCTCAAACAAGTCAATGCTCTACGTACGTACGTTCTTCTTCTTCTTCTTCGTATGCTGGCCCAGCACGCGTGCAAGGAGGCTTGTCATGGTGTGGCACTTCTTCGAGTGGGTCAGTACATAGGTACCTCCGTAGGGTCGATTCTGAACACGAAGGTGGTGCTTCAGCTCACAAAACCCTAGGAGGTACGTCTCTTCTGTACACTTGACTTTTTCGTATCCCGACTCTACGCCAAGGCATTCTGTCCAACGAAAGTGTTCCTTCTCACAGCGTTCACGCATCCCTCCCAGGCTCCTGGGCTCCAGGAAAAAAATGGAAAGAAAATGGAACACCACTGTACTGCCAAGTCCCCAAAGGTGTTCCGGTTTTTCTTTTTCAGACATCCAGGAACCTGGAACGAGCCACATTGTAGGAGGTAGCGTAAATTTGGAAGTGGCCGTTCTTCAGCGGTCGCTACTAGCGAAGCACTAGTCGCGGTAGCGTGGTGACCAGTGTGTGATTACGCTAGGTTGTCGGTAGCGCACATGGTGGCGAACCTGGTTACTTCTTTGCTCAAGTGTGGTGCAGTCGGATGAGAAAGCTTCTGCTATTCCAACCCTGCAAACAGTAGTTTGGCCCTTTTTGCGTGGTCAGTGTTAACAGAAGGTGCGATGGTCGGTGTTGCCGAAGATCCGATATCCTTGAAAGTCCAATGTGATAGTAGGCTCTCCTGACGAGGATGTTGATCCTCGATCAGCTGCACCACTTTGCTTGTGAGTGTGTTTGTGTGGTCGTGTCTAGACCCCGGGGGTAGCGGAGACCTCAAACAGCTAACCGTATGCATCGTGTATACGTTGTATATAGATCAAGGGACATGGCCGAATCAAGTGAGCGGATTACTGGTGACGGCCTATTGCTATTCGTCGGAAAGGCCGACGTTGGCCCTAATCCCTATGTCAGCTTCTAGACTCTAGCCAGCCAACTTGGTGGGCTGCGTTGGGGCTTATCAAAATGATTTAGGAGGTAGCAGATACAAAACAACCATTGGGTTGCTTATGGTCTTTACACGAGATATATAGTCGGCTGTTCATTGGCGGGACCACCTGTCATACCCTGTCAGTTCGACAAGCTTTCGTTGTCTAGGGATCGTATATGCCTTGTGCCTAAGGTATGTGGTTGCAAGGAAGTTGATGTCATCCCCAAACTGAATCTCGCTGAGTTCGGATGTCTTCGCCGCGAGCCGGCAAAAATAGACAGCTGTATACAGAATGTGTGGTGAAGTGTTCGAATGTTCTCGTCAGCTCCTTGGAATGACAGCTGAATACCATTCTGCTGAGGCACTGTCCAGAGTCCTCCTGTCTTGGCGATGCCATACGAAGTTTCTCGCACGAATATAGAAACACGGCGCTGCGTCGGACATGCCGTCAACCGTGGGCAATTTTCGCCTCCAGCTCCAAAGCAAAGACAAAGGCCCATGGGGTTCGGCGGAGACGTAGGGCTTGTAAGGTTAATGTTGGTATCTAGAGCGGACCGCCTTGGCATTTGCGAATGAGAGGACAGCTGACCTCCAGACTCGGAGTGAGAAGTAAGTGAAGAAAAGTGGCCAGACAGCGCTTTGAGCCTGAGGAAGCAAGAAGATAGAGCGAACCCAGCCGAGCCGAGCCGCCTTCCCCCCTCCCTCCCTCCCGCCCGCCCGGCCACGGACCTCGGAGCACACTTCACACCTTGGGCAAGCCGACTTTCACTTCTCGCGCAACACCGAGATGCTAGTGTAAAGGGAGGATATGAGTGAAGTTGTCGGCAATGGCGGATCCGACGCTCGTCACCGCGAAGGCGGAAACGCGCCAACGTCGATACAGGTCGAGGCTACGAAGAAGAAGCGCAAGGAGCATGCCCATACTGGCTTCACTGCGGCGACGATGCGAGCCTTGAGCGCCCGTCTTCTCACTTTCTATTTTAGAGCGCCCATCAAGGCGTTTTTTAGACCCCGGATAGAGTAAGTTGGCCCAAGAAGTGCCTCCTGTGCATCGTAGCTGACATTCATGTAGTTACATGGTATGTTGGTGGGTCGAGTTCGCAGTCCTCCAGCTATATACTCACCACAGATAGGGCTACGCAAGAGCCATAAACCCGGGCGTGCAGGCAGGTCAATCGTGGTCTTGGCGCATGACTTCTCCTATGCTTCTGGCTTCAGCAGTCCAGCAACACGGGTGGAGATTTCTGCCGTATCAGGTCCTGCCGCCTCTTATTGCCAATACCGCAGTCGGTGCAGTCCTGTATACGGCATATCTCCAGACGTTGAGCTTGATTCACGAGCCCAACTCCATGTCAACCAAAAGGGTGTTTCCACCCCCCTCATGGGGCACATGCTTTTCCGCGGGGTTCCTGGCTGGAACGATACAGAGCTTCATTGCAGCCCCATTAGATGCCCTTCAAGTCAGATTCCAGAGTGCCGAGATGATGGATGGAAAGTACCGTAACATGTGGCATTACGGTTTGCGCAAGACCCAAGAGATTGGAGCCCGAGGTGTCTTTGCGGGATGGTCCTTGTCACTCCTGAGAGACTCCTTCGGCGCTGGCGTCTTCTTCGCAACCTTCGAGACTGTCAAGTCTCAAGCTTTCTACAGTTTCGTGAGTCATTACTATGGCAGCTGGCAGCAGCTTTCAGACACGCAACGAGAATCCATTTCAGTGCAGAAAACACACGGCGCTTCTAATCGTGCGGAGATCCGACCTCATTACATGGTGGAGCCTGCTTTCCTACTCCTAGCCGGCGTCGCTGCTTCTGTCGCACAGGCAGTCATACAGCACCCACTAAGTCGCATCCAAGAGATTCACTATGGGAGACTGGAGTACATCGACAACCACACACATACGAAACCGGGCCAAAGGAAAGTTCGTGCGTTGAGGCTATACGCTGCGGCGTATCGTAAAACAATGAAGCATGTTCTTGCGCTGGCACGGAGAGATGGCGGATTGCGGCCGTGGCTTTTCCGGCATTTCATATCAAACACGATCCGGCAGGTTCCTTCCACCAGTGCTGGACTCATCGTATTCGAGGTCATAAGAAGAGCTTATGGTATGGACGAGGAGCCCGTTCGCATACCCAAGGATGGTTACGAGATTTTGCTGACCTGATCTGGCAATCTGATACAACTACACCATCTTGGTCAATATTCGTCGCCTATCGGGATCTCTGCTCTGCCTCTTTCTCCACGACTGCCTGCCACACCAGTCCGCCATCGAGACACGCTCTCGGCTGCGCAATCGGGCTATTTTTGACCAAATCAGCAGAACGACTGCGGATCACAAGCCCTGTCGTCGTCCGTCTCGGGTATCCATCTGAGACTTCTCTACTCCTTTCCAAAGTGACAATCTGGTTTTGGAAATCGCGCCAGCAATCGCTCCTTTTCTTCAACCCCCCTCACCCCTCTTTACCCACCCTTCTCGCTTTCAACTGGCCATCAGATTCCCGTATCACCTCTGCTAGGGTCTGGAATGCGTTCTTGTGGAGTTTCTCGAGGAGTTGGTTACGTCTTGCGCAAGGGTAAGAATTTGGTTTATCTTGTTGGATATGCCATCAGAGAGTCCCTTTCTGGATTGATATAGAAATGAGGCTCGTCTCACGAAGAGCATCTGGAGGAGCAGGGTTCACGGAAGACGAGTGGTTGGTACTCTGCTTGTATATGAGAATATAGAACAAAAAAACCAAGGCTTCCGAGTCCATTCACGCACAATTTTCCTTTCGCACTTTAGCAGATTGATTCAACAAAAGCTCCCATCATGATCATGGCCCATACATACCAACCTCACCTACATCGCAACCCCTCCTCACGAATCACAAAAAATCCAGATCTCTCACCCCGCACTCCAACCCCATCCCCATCATCCACCTCACTCCCCCCTCCCCTCACCCAACAACCCCATCTCCCTCACAACCCTCCTCGCATCCGCAATAACATCATACCCATACAACCACATCCTCATCTCCGGACTCCTAATATCCCCTTCCCCCTTCAACTCCGCCTTCGGCTTCACCCTCTTTCTCCAACCCTCCTCTCCCCCCAATTCCTCCAACTGCTGTTTCCACCCCGCAGTCATTTTCGCCAATTCTTCATCTCGTTTCTCTTGAAGCGATCCATCCGGTAGTGTGAGAAATCCTTGATTTCCCATGGTCCATTTTCGTACGCCTGAGAGACGTGTGAGGCGCAGGGTGTTCCAGGCGGAAATTGCTTGGGGGAGAAGATTTTTTTCTCCTTTTTCTTTTTCTTCTTGTTTGTTTTCTGGATTTGGGTGGGGGATGGAATTGAGAAAAATCGCTAAACTCGCTGCATCTTCCAGGGCTTGTCCACCTCCATTTCCCGCATAAGGTAAAATCGCATGAGCAGCATCTCCCACGACGACGATTTTCCCATTGGGACTGACAAACGTGGGTAAAGGAGGTAAATCTCCCAAGGTCCATTTATGACACGAATCCACCAATTTCCACAATTTCTGTGGCGTGGAAGAAAAATTCTGCAAAAGAGCTTCGCCTTCGGAAAGGTCTCCCGGTTGATGCCATTTTCCTATGTGGGTTTCGTCGGCTGGTCGAGGCACGATGAGGATGAGATTGTAGAGGTCTCCTGAGGAAATGGGATAGCCGAGCATGCACATGTGCGGGCCACACCAGGCGAGATTGAGATGATTGGGTTGGATGAGAGCGGTGAGAGAGGGGTCGTTGGTGGCGAGGATACGGTCTTTGGGAATGATGGCTCGTAAACAGAATTCTCGAAAGGGACGAGGAGAGATTCCCGACACAGAGATTTCCGGAATGGAATTTCGAAGACGGCTGTTGATTCCATCTGCGATGACTACGACGTCATGCGTGACAGTTTCGCCGGATGCGAAGGTTATGTTTCCGGTTTCGTGGTTGATGGAAATGGCTTTTTTGCCTAGGAGTAAGCGGATTTTGGAGGTTTCTTCTTTGCATGCTTCTGCTAATATACGCTGGAAATCTGGTCGGTAGATTTGCCAATGCGGGAATCCATAATCCCATTCACTTTGGGGATTCTGTGCGATTTCGCCTAGGACGGAGTCGTCGGCGTAGCGACGGAGTTGAATTACTCGGGCTTCATCTGCGACTTTTTTGAAAGCTTCTCCGAGACCGAGAGCGTGGAAGATTCGAGTGCCGTTTGCGGAGATTTGGAGGCCGGCGCCGAGTTCGGAGAGAGCTGGGGCGGATTCATAGATTGTGATTTTTTGGTTGGGGGTGTTATTGGTCTTGGGTTGGGAGGGAGAGGAAGAGGAGGAGGATAAGGAGGAGGGGTCGAGACGGGCGATGCAGAGGGCTGTAGCGAGGCCTTTGTGCTAGATGTTAGTATATGGGTAACTACCTACGCCTGTGATGTCTGCATTGTTTGCGGGGAAATCTTACCGGCAATACCTCCGCCTATGATGCCAATATCCATCTTTGTGACGAAGTGAATAATGAAATTGATAGTCACGTGGATGATGGGAAGCAGAGGAGACTGGAGTAAGAAATCGACTGCTCAATAAGGTGATGATGGATTACCTTATGCTTCTTGTAGTTGTATTAAACTTGTATGCCAACAACATATACCCCACGATGAGATGCCTAAGCTCCAGGATTACCATGTACGGGAAAGGTACCTAGGTTCGAGAACTTTGTTATTAAGTATGATAAAGTCTTGAATTACTGCCTAGCTTGAAGCTTCGCAGATACATACGTACGGGGATCATCGCTACTGCGTTTCTGGATGTTTTAGACTTTTCCAGGTCCCTTTCGTTCGTTGTAGGGTAGACAGCTCAGTCACCAGTATCTAGGCTTAGCCTTCTGTTCATTCATTCTCCAACAGTCCATCCTTTGATACGTATATACACCAGATATTTACATGAACTTCCGCGAAACCCTCTCCCCCGCCTTCTTCATCCCCCATACCCTCCCATCTAAACCTTCCCTTTCCCCGGCAACAAAGCCTTCTCCACGGCCTCCTGCGTCCCCTTCCAAGCCGACAAAGCCTCCACATCCGCAATCCATCTCTTCAGACCCGGATGTTGCTCCAAAGGAAGTTTTTGCGCCTCATGCAAATGCATCGCCGACGCAACAGCAATATCCACAATTGTGGGATTTTCGCCCGGAAGGATCCATTTCTTGGTTTCGTGGAGACGCGTGTCGAGGATGCTGGCGGCTTTGTGCCATTTGGGAGCTTCGGCGTCGAGGATGGAGGGGTCGGGGGAGGCGCCTAGAAGGGGTTTGACGACGTTTTCGACGAGGTAGACGTAGTTTGTTTGGAACTGGGGGAAGGAGGTTGGGGTTAGTAGTGGATTTTGGGCATGTATGGTTTTGATTTTTGATTTTTTGATTTTATTTTTATTTTTCTCTTGTCTTGAGACGGTGGAGATGAATAGATCATACCCAAACAGAAGCTTCCCACAAGAGCCAGCGATTGGCATCTGCGCGTAGTTTGAGATCTTTGGGATATGCAGAGTTGTCGCCGCCGCCGAGGTCTGCAGCGTACATGAGGATGGCATTGGATTCGGTGAGGGTCAGATCGCCATCGGTCGCAGCTGGCACGGTTTGGTGAGGATTGATCTTGGTGAAGGCTTCGCTCTTCTGCTCGGCTTTGAAGTAGTCGATGTGGTGGAATTGGTATGGGACATGCATGAGATCGAGCCCGGCCAACACCTTGCGGCTGTTGACGGTGCAGGGATCGAGGTATACTTGAAGGTTTGACATGTTCGTCGGTTCTTTCTGATAAATTGTTATTGCAGGTTCGATGTCTGTGACAGAAAGAGTAGTATTCGGGGATGCGCCCGTCTTCTATATATCTTCTGCACGTGTTCATGGTCCTGATATTTGTCTTTACCCCGCCCGCCTGCGAGAAGTGAAGAACCCCACATTGATCGCCCTGGTATTTACGCCCTCCGCCTAACCGGCCAACGACGATTGGGAGATGCTTCAACTCGGGGACACCGAATTGGTAGTAGCTGCACTTCGCCGATTGCGAAGCTCGGCCGGAGAGGGCGAGTGTTTCAAGTCGCGCTGCAGGCCCCGTCTTGGAGGGCCAAGGCTGTGGATGCGCCAGATTGGGTCGCATACAGCTGTAAGGCATCTGCCCAAGACCGTCCTGGATATCTGTCTGTGGCGACGTCCAGAGAGCACATCCTTCGTGCTCACTCAAGGATGGGCAGATAATCCTTTGGAGGAACGTCGTCCAGAGAAGAAATGTCGTTCGCTCAAAACTTGTGGACATTCTTCTTCTCAATTCCCAGCTCCGCAAGCACACCACCATTAGCAGTCAAAGCATTCTCCATCGCCGGAGGTCCGCACAAGAACACTTTCGTCCCTTTGGCATCACCCAAGCTCTGCGTCCTGGCAATAGCTTCTTGCAGAGCACTCTTGTTGACATAGCCTTTCTTGTACTTGGTCTCATCACCCAAGCTCGCAGCTTCAGGCTTGCCTTCTGGACCAGACACACAGTACGTGACCTGGAGTCTTCCAGGGTATTGCTTTTCAAGTTGTTCCAGCTCGTTCTTCAGCACAATGTCTCGTGTGCCATTCACTCCCCAGAGTAGCTGAATGCGTGTCTGGTCGTTTGCGTCGCTGAGGATCCCTCTTGCGAGACTGTAGAGAGGTGTGATGCCCGCCCCGCCTGCGACAAAAAGGAGATCGCGGCTCTTGTCTGATGGCGTATAGCTGTAGCCGGGAATCGGTCCTCGGATCTGGAGCGTTTGACCAGGAGCGAGAGAGTGCATATGCGTCGATGCTCTGCCATTGGGATACTGTTTCACGATGAATTGTAGCTCGCCTCGTGTGTTGGCATCGGAGACGGGTGTGTAGGGTCGTAGGACTGGAAACCAAGCCCCCGAGGGTGTGTGTTGTGTGAGGACGGCAGCTGGGAGATGTTAGCATGCACACTTGCACCAAATACGTCTGGGAGGACATACATCCTGCCGGAACACCGCTGACCTCGCCGCTACCGCCGGGAAGCTTGAACGTGATGCGTTTCGTATCGTGGTTGATCTGCTCGGAGCTCGCAACTGTCAAGGTCTGGCTAAAGAGCATCGTCTTGGGGAACGCCAGAGTCTTGATAGGTGAGTTATTGGCAGAGTCGAGCATGATGGGTCTTCGCGTGACATAGAATGCTGTGCCTGCTGTTCCCACCACAGCTACTCCAGTGAGATATGGGAGTGCCTTGGACGATCTCGAGAACAACGCTGCCATTGTGTGATATTGAGACTGGAGATGGGGGTTAGGTCTGGGGGGTTGAGTGAAGGGAGTTATGAGGATTCAAATGAAATAGGAGCAGCAGCGGTATAAGAGTTGGAAGACCTGTGGGGTGTTGTTCGATCCTGGTATCAGTAAAAGAAATGACCAGGCAGTGAGCTGCTGGTGTTATATCAGCTGTAACGCGTATCAGCAGCCGCGTGAAGCTGAAATGTACTACTCATCCTGCGGGCGACCGATCAGTCCGGCTCTCCACGCGCATACTCCAGGAGCATCTTCGGCACACGTCAGTCGGGCGATGATTGGTGGTACCCGATGTGTTGTGTGATGAGATATCAGATGTTTTATATCGAAACCAGAGTGCACCACTGATCACTGCTGCACTAATTCTCCGGACTCCGTGAAACCCCGTCATCATCCTTGTCATGTGACAGTCCCAATCTCCTCTTCACTCTCTCTTCTTGTCCACACTCCCTCCGACTCTGCCAACTCCGCAGAGCTCTCTTTACATTTTTTCTTACTGTAATGACTTCGAGAGTGTCGAAGGAAGCCTTGAACCAAGCGTAGACTCATATGAAGCGTCCAGGGCGCTTGGAAGAAAGTATCTCTGCCATTCTGGTCAAAACAGCAGGTTGCCGGCAACGAGTTCCCTTCAAGTAGATATGTAAATCATACTCTAGTTGCAAAGTATCGAGAAGAATAGTCGATTGGGACGCCTTCCCCTGGAATATACGACTTCCGTTCCTCGAAGCTTTTCTCAGCTTGAGAGCCCACTCATATCGACGCGAGCGAAAAAAGAGCAACTGATCTACATTCTACAGCGCACTATCTCAGGGCAAATTCTAGCTTTTGTAATCTGGACCTATAATTATGGAAATCCTGCACGTTCATTTTTGGACGATCGTACGCACTAACAGAGCACTACTTCACATACTCGCTTTCCATATGCTTACAGCTTCCAGCACACTTCAGGTACCTCCGAACGGAATCCAGCATCTTCCATTGATGTCAGCAGTGATTGATCATCTACCGCAAATTTCCCGTAGTACGTAGGGCGCTTGACATCATCGCACAGGACCGCAAGACTGCAAGATAAGTACGATGTACTTCACATATCAACACGTATGTACATGTAGTTGATTCAACGGAATTCGCAAACAACTTGATCATCTAGACAACCACCTCCACGGATATTCACAGCACGCAATCAAAAACAATGGCTCCAACTCAACCACGCACCCTCGAGGGCAAAGTGTATGCACACAACCCCCAATACCACCCTCCTTGACGCAACTAATCAATCCCAGTGCCATCGTAACCGGCGCCTCACGAGGAATAGGCTCCTCCATCGCCTTTGACCTTGCAGCGCGCGGCGCCAAAGTCGTCATAACCTACTCATCCGACAAATCCAAAGCCGGCGCCGACGAACTTATCTCCCGCATCCAATCCGAAGCCAACAGCTCCGCCATCCAAGTCCAATGCGATCTCAGCCAGCCCTCCGCGCCGCAAAAAATCGTCGAAGCCACTCTCGCAGCTTTCGGCAACCACATTGACATCTTGGTCAACAATGCTGGAATCATCAGTAACAAATTCATCACGGACATCACTCCCGAACACTACGATTCCGTCATGAACCTCAACACTCGTGCTCCTTTACTCATGCTCCAAGCAGTCCTCCCACACTTGCGGACTCCAGGACGTATCATCAACATCTCTTCCATTGGAGCTCGTGCCGGATTTCCCGGATCGTCGACCTACTGTGCGTCCAAGGCTGCTTTGGAGGGTTGGACGAGATGTTGGGCCGCAGAGTTGGGCAAGGATGGCACGACCGTGAATGCGGTGAATCCGGGTCCGACGGAGTCGGAGATGTTGCATCAGGTGGATGAGGCGTTGATTCAGCCGCAGAAGGATGCGACATTTATTGAGAATCGGGTTGCGAGACCACAGGAAATTGCGGAGATTGTGGGCTTTTTGGCGGAAGAGAGGAGTAGTTGGGTTACTGGGCAGTGTATTAGTGCTAGTGGCGGGCTTCAGCTGCATTAGGTGGGAAGTGAAGGAATGATGGTGCTGGTCAAGCATTTGATCATGCAGCAAATGGTGATAGAGGGATTCCAACGGCGTATCTTTGTGTCCGAACGATCATACAATTAAGAATATAGACTTTCAAGAAGCAATTGGATGTCCATTTCCTCGAGCATGGGACATCGTGTTTGGTTATTGATTCGACTTGGTACTTGCCATTATGTGCGGCAAACGAGCATAACATCGTTGCCTGATAGTCCAAGACCTTACAAACAGCTTCATAGCATAAGAAAATGGTACCGTACCTTACCTAGGTAGGTATGTGAGAACTGGGAACTGAGAACTGAGAAGCTCAGAACTACATGTACCTGCGGTCTACCTCCAATTCCAGTAATGATGCTTATGTAATGATATTCACGATATGCTCAAGATTCGTCCATCGGCAGCGTTCCCATTGGTCAATCACAACGCGACTTGCGAAGTTCAGATGCATTTTGTAGACTACATGTACCTTACACTTCCATCAACATCGGTCTATCCGCTAAACACTTGGTCTTGTCTCTTTGCAAATCGATAAAGAAGATGTGGTTGGCGAGCAAGGCAGTCAGGTCGAGCTGCACGACATGCAGACTCCGCGGTATGATTCGAGGCATGGAGATGGCCAGGTCGAGGCGGACGATCAGTGCAACATGGTCGATGAAGACATTATCGTTGATGAGGAGTGTAAAGAGCAATGAACAGAAGAGAGGGTTTAGTCAAAGGACGAGCCACGAAGCCAACGCATCGGGCTTCACACGACAGCAGGAAGTCGAGCTGATCGAAACACTCTACACGCGAGGCCACATCTCGCGAGACGAGTGGAGAGACAGCGTGTTTATGCAATCGGGTCTGCGAGCCGAGGGAGTGAGCATCGAGGAATTGGCGGGCGACAATGCCAAGCTCGAAGCACGAGTGCGGACATTACGCGAATACTATGGAGTGGCAGTGGTGCCGCAGCAACTGTTGGAAAGTGATGAGATCAAAGTGCACGAAAGACTCTTCGGCGAACTGCGACAGGTCGAGGCGATTGATGAAGAAGCCAGCGATATGGGACAGTTGGTAGGTAGGAGTGGGACCAGCGTGCTAGGCCAGGACGGCGAGGAGCTGGAATTCGACGAGAACGAGGCCTTGGAGGAAGAGGAGGATGCGCTGGCAGCAGAAAACATGCCTTTTGGACACATTCAAGGCCAATCACGACCAGAAAGACTGCGGCATGGCAACGAGAGGCTTGCAGACGACATGCGAGCTGCATTCGATCCCAGTGCATCATCTGAAGCACTTGCCCAGCAGGACTCCGTGCTCGCTGACGAGGCTGCTGTATACCAACGAACACATCCCCTCACCGTCGAAGGGAGATTTGCCACTTCCCCATCTACCCTCGAAATGCCCAAAGCTCCGTACCTTGATCCAGTCACAGGCATGCTCGCTGGCATATCGAATCGTCATCTCATCGATACCGCGCTTCGTGTCTTTGGAGGACCAGGCCTCCCGTACAGCACAGCTACACCCACGCGTGGGAAGTTGATGCCGCAGAAGGCAATTGCTCTGGATGCGTATCAGCCCCAAATGTCCGAGATCGAAGGTGATGTCTATCTTAGTACGCTCTACCCGGGGGTCTATGCCAGCGTTATGAGCGTCATGGTCGAGACCAGGAAACGACTCGGTAGTGCTTGGGCGGAAGGTCTTGTGCGGAAAGCTGAGGCAGGCGAGTTGAGGATCTTGGACGCCGGAGGTGGAGGTGCTGGTGTCATTGCTGTGAGAGAAGTCATTCGGGCAGAGTGGGAAAGGATGCTGGGGAAATCAGAAGATGACTTGAATGGTTCCACGGCACTCGCAGAAGCCGACGGAAAAGTTGGAGGAAGCGGAGTATCCCCACCACTCGGACACGCCACTGTCCTGACCAGTTCTGATGCGTTGCGGAACAGGGCGAGCAAGCTCTTGGAGCAGACCACATTTGTGCCCAGACTGCCAGACTACCTCCACGCCGAGAGCGCGCCAGCCCAGGGCAAGTTCGACATCGTGGTTGCGCCGCATACGCTATGGCAGCTACGAGAGGACTACATACGCAAGAGCCATGTTCAGAACCTCTGGTCCCTGCTTTCCACGGACGGCGGAGTTCTTATTCTGCTAGAGAAGGGCGTTCCGCGAGGCTTTGAGATGGTAGCTGGTGCGCGAGATCTCCTTCTCGAACAACGCATCTCTTCTCCAGGGTCCGAGCATCGTCTCACCAATCTCGAGGAGAAGCTTCCCAATTCTGGCCGCAATTACGAACACATCGTATGGGACGATGGTGAAAGTGCAGAGGCACAAGCTGAGGCACGAGCTGAGGCAATCGCAGCCGAAGGACCTGATCTCGCAACACAGCCCAAAGAGACGGGCATGATTATCGCGCCCTGCACAAATCACGAAGGCTGTCCCATGTACATGCAAAAGGGACATGTCAAAGGTCGCCGCGACATCTGCGCCTTCGAACAACGCTACCATCGCCCAGCCTTTCTCCAAAATGTTTATGGCACGCAAGGTCGAAACCATGAAGATGTTGAATTCTCTTACATATCCGTCATGCGCGGCCGTGACTTGCGTGCTTCAGCTGAAGCTACAGACCCTGAAGATAGCCAACTGCCTCGTCCCGAACTCGTCCAGAACCAAACGGCCACAGACAACGCCTTCGCTGGCTACGAACACCACACTCCTTCATCGTCGAGCGCGCCTCCGCATTCCCTCTCGCTCCCTCGCGTGATCCTTCCACCCCTCAAGCGTCAAGGCCACGTCATCATCGACCTCTGCACTCCCACTGGCACCCTCGAACGCTGGACCGTTCCTCGCTCCTTTTCCAAGCAAGCCTTCCGCGACGCTCGAAAGCTCAATTGGGGAGATTTATGGGCGTTGGGAGCCAAAACTCGCGTTCCAAGGAACGTGAAAGCGAAACCCAGGAACCTCGGGGATATGGACGTGAAGCTCGCCAAGAAGGAGAAGAAAAAGCTTCATCAGATTGTCAATCAGGGAGTCCCTGATGTGGCTGTGGACGAGTTTGGGAGAATTGTGAGCAATTATTCAAGGGATAGTGGTGGTGGCAAGGGGAGAGGAGCCATGGGCGGGAAGGCTCGAACGGGGGCGCAAGTCAGAGGAATCAGGGATAAGAGGGACAAGACAGGAATGGGCAATGGAAGGAGAAAGAATGTGGAAAGATGGCCGGCGGACGATGATATGTAAGTAACTTGACACGTCTTGTATCGTACATGTATCTACTCAATACTGTGTGGGTGGGTATCGAGATGAGGACAGTGTGCACCTCTGGAATAAACAAACTCCGCTTCGCAGACCTGCACCCAATATCCTCCCGCTGAACAGCTCTCTCTTCTTCTCCTCCCTGTCTTTACGAAGGAAACAAAAAATGTAGTGCGTGCACGATCTGCTACCTCTCGTCGTATCGTACATACATATCGTACAAAAACAATTGCATTATGCATTATGCATTACGCCTGCTGTGCTGTGTCTGCTGTCCTGTCCAGCAATTCTGTTCTGTCCTGTCCAGCCCGTTCATTTTGTGTGTCTTCGTCTCAAAAATCCGATCCGAGAACAAATTCGCCATCCTTTTCGATTCTGGCCTGAAATTTTTGTTTTTTGCGAGGTTGCGAGGTTGGGCGGCTGAAGAGAAGGAAGAGAAGAAGAAGGATGAGGAAGAGGAGTTGGGGATCTTTCGTGGTGGTGTTCTGCGGATAGAGGGAGTGCGGTGGCTGGGGTGGAATTAGGACTAGAGAAGTGGTGGTGGGTGGGTGCTGTGGAAGGAAGAGGTGGAGGCAGCTGAGATGCCCGGTCTTGCTGTCGATTTCGATTTTTTCTTTGTGTCTCTGTCTCTCGGGAAGTGGGTAGGTGGGTAGGTGGGTGCTGATGAATGGAAGCCACGTTGCCGCGACCGGGGATTTCTTGGTTTGGTAGTCGGGAACTTTCGAGGTCGAGGCACATTGCGTCAAGATCCAAGTTCTGATGATCTCGGGAAGGCAAAAAGGTGATTTTTTTGCCGGGAGTGGTTGATTCGGTCTTCTGTGTGCCGAGCTGCCAGTTTCTTTGGTACACTTTCGGGATCGAATTTTGGTGATTTGCCGGAGAAGCCGCCGATGGGAGTGATCGTTCAGCCGAATGAGAGAGTGAGAGAGAGGATGAGGGAAGGAGAGAGAGGATGAGAGAGAGAGAGAGAGAAATTCTCTCCATCCTCATGACCAGAGCGACTAGCCGACTAGATTTCGTCGAGTAGCCAGTCCGCAGCCTCGATCTGGTCGATGCGCTTGCACAGTTCATCCCTGACGGCCCGGCGGTCTTCGGAATCGACATAAAGTAGATTCGACGGCCTATTCATGACGCGGAACGTCTCCTGCAGGTCCTCCATCCGCTTCTGAAGCCACTCCAGCTTTCGCTGCAGCACTGCTTTTGGCGTACGCTGCATGGTGCTTTGGAAGACAGCGGGCACGTCTGCAATGAAGAGCTGTTTGGCCTCCATCTCGGCCGCATACTCTTCGGGAGAGAGGATGTCTTCTTCATCCTCATCATCACTCTGTCCCTCTGAATCCGATGCTGCTGGAGTCAGAGGGCCCTGGACATCTTGTCCTGCTGATGGGGCGGTCGGGGCCGAGGAGGAGGAGGAGGAGGAGGAGGAGGAGGTTGTGTGGTGGAGGGCAGAGTCGGCTGCTGCCGATTCTGCGCGCTCACTTCGGTGCTGGTGTACGGGAGAGGCCTCTGGGGCTTCTTCTGTTCGTGCCATTTTGAAATTACTCTGGTTTGGAGTAAAGTGGGTTGGTTGATGGTATGTTGGTATCAGAGAGAGAGAGCGTGTGGGTGTGTGGGTGTGGGTGTGGGTGTGGGTGTGGGTGTGGGTGTGTGCACAGAGTTTGTGGACGTTTTGCAATGATTGTGAACGGTGAACGGAGAGCTTTAATTGATGTGCAGGTATTACGGCAGGGAATGAGTGGTATATACAATGGTGTGGATGGTCAAAGTGTGGAGTAGATGTGAAGGTTTTGAAAATGTGAGGACGTCCCAGATTGGGACATAACAATAATTGGTAGACGAATAAGATTGATGGTATCAAAACGCACTTGCCTGATCTACCGCACCCGCACCTACCTATGCGAACGAAATCATCACCTATACGGAGCCTGTCCGCAGCGATGATGCAAGTCCCGTGCCTCTATCGCTTGAGGGCAGTGGGACAGTTGAAATCAATCTCGGGGTAGGCATTCTTGAGCGCCGTGTTGATTTTGGCCAAGTTGGCAGGCTTCATGTTGCTAGCAATGGTGATGACGGTGTTCTTGTTGTCCTTGGCGCCTTTGCACTTGAGCCCGGTCAGGTCGAAGTCCTGTGCAACCTTTTCCTTGATGAGCCCGCACCTGCTTCCACCCAGGTATGGACGACCGATCTTGACCGTGAACGCGGAAGCGTCAACGTTCCAAAAAGCGTCATTGTATCCCGAGCACGACGAAGTGTTATCGGCGAGCGGAGCACTGCGGGAAGTCAAGTCGACCGTGGTATCGTGGACCTGATCATCGTTAGTCATTGGTGCGGCCAGCGCGCCGGAAGCGGCAAGGATGGTTGTGATGAAGAAGCGCATCGTAGCAATGATTTTGAATCTGCTGTTCGAAGTGAGTGTATGTGGTCTTGATGATGTATTTTTTTACTTGCGGGAGTGAGGTATTGTGTTTGTATGAGGCAGAAGAGTGCAGAGAGGAGCGGATTTTGCGAGAACTTGTAGTGCGTGGACGATGGACTCGGACAAAGCGAGAAGACAAGGACCTGTGCATCAGCAAGAGATATGAGCTAATTGTGGCATCTGAAAGGTGGCGATAAAGGAGGGACAAAGGAGGATGGACAAAGCGGTGGACAAGCATGGAAATTTGGCCACGAGGACCATTTGACAATGCTTCTTTATCTGGCATTGTGGCATTGTCATCTATAGACCGCATCTGCTGTAAATGTCAATGACTAGGCCTCAGGACGAGAAGCCACTACATTGTGCCATGAGGCTATGTTGTTATTGATGCTGAGTCTCATATGGAGGCCAGACAGAACCACTCTACCTGATGGTGCGGTGAGTCGCCGACAGTGAATGCATGTTCATGTAGAGATGAAATCAGTATAAGCCCGCAACTGTATGCGGTAGAGGATGAGGATGAAAATGAGAATGAAAATGAGGATGAAAATGAAAATGAAAATGAAATCATGGAGGCTGAAAAAGGAGAGGGTGAGGTGGAGGAGACATGCATGACTTTAAATTGAAATTGGGCACTTGTGACGCACGACGCAGAGTTCGGAGTGGTCTTGGCAGATGTTGGAGGTTTCCGCCACTTGAGCGCCCGCCTTTCCTTTCCCTTCTTAACCTCAACACCAACACCAACACCGACACCACCACCACCACCTCTGACCTCCACTCTCCACTCACCACACCGCCCGCCGCTCCCACACCACCGCGACACCCCCGACGCACATTTCCACCGAACCCTCCCAGGGACTCCACGACCACACAGCTGCGTATGTCAACCATCGAGAACCTCAAGTCTTTTGGTACGTAACCCCGACCTTGCCCCTCCTCCATCCTCAGCCGCACGATAAGGCATGTCGCACGCGACTCGTTGCGACATGGCCACCACCCACCACACCGCCAGAGCGACTGCGACATTAGTGGCGGAGCCGTGACCGCAGAACCACCTTGCGCTGCTGCTGCTGCTGCTGGCGACGTGACCCTGCCCCTCCCGTCACCACCGCCGCCGCCGTCCTCTCGAGCTAGCAACTGACCGCGCATGTGCCACAGACCCCTTCGCCGAGGCCGATGCCGACGGTGATGGTGAGACTAAGCAGTCGCAGAACTACATCCACATCCGTATCCAGCGTACGTACTCTTCCCACCCTCTCGTCGTCCCGCACCACCGCCACTAACCCACCCCGCAGAACGCAATGGTCGCAAGACCTTGACTACTGTCCAAGGTCTCCCCAAGAAGTTTGACCAGAAGAAGATCCTCAAGGTGATCAAGAAGAAGTTTGCTTGCAATGGCACCATTGTCAACGACACCGAGATGGGAGAGGTGATCCAGCTCCAGGGCGATCAGCGCAAGGATGTGCAGGAATTCTTGGTCGACAAGAAAGAGGGACTCGAGCTAGATGCCAAGACCATCAAGGTCCATGGTTTCTAGGCTCTTCACCAGACGACACCGGAATCGTCTGCAGCGCGTCGAGGGCACTGCGAAGTCGGGATAACACTACATACGATCCGCGAAGACTCTCTTTGCAGATTGCATCACACGTGTGACGGACACGTCGGGCAGCGGCAGGTACCACTTGCTGTTCCTGGCTGGTCCAGATCACGGCCGATACGACTCCACGATTACGAACTGCCTTGTTTATCCGATAACAGGCTACGACGATATGCGCAGGTAGACGCACGACGGATGGTCCCTTCTGAATCGACAACGAGGCGACATGCTTGATGTACGGTCCTACTACTTTTTCCTTTCTACAACCACGATTTCGGTTATGCTTCTAGGGAGCTGCAAGCAATGAGGCACCGGCCGGCTGGCTATGGAGAAACGGGTAGCTCTAAGTACTAAAGAATGGATTGCATGATGAGCATGCTGCAAATACCGATACCTTCCACCTCGGAGCTCTGACACTGGCTAATCTCCAAGTGCTGTGACTACTGATTGGCTTCAGGTTCACCTTGGCTAGAAACTCGCATGCACGTGTACTGTAGTAGCTAACACTGACAGTCCACAACGTGCGTGACAAGGTGCTTCAGGCGCAAAACCCATCGCGGCAAGAGTGATTGTAAGGTTTGCGTTCTTCGAGTGGCGGGGATAGGTAAGGCACCTACCTGGTAGTTCGATCGTGCAGTTTCATGACCTGGCAGCTTGGCGCAGGTTGCAGCCCGTGCCACGTGACGCATCATCCAACAACAACAACTTAGGTAACTCTGTTTGAGCCCAAACATTTCGAGCAAGGTTCCCTACCCAGCCTCTTGCTCTCTACACAGACTCCCGCTTCTTCACAAGTTACACTTTCCGTCACAGCACCGGATTCCCGCTGCGATCAATTCTGACCTGCTACAAGGACGATGTTATATGAAAAAAGACAATTGAACCTCCCAAGGAGCATCGAAACCAGATAGTCGGGTAGTCATTTATATACGCCGATATGTCAGGAAGAAATTCACAGCAACGCAAGATACGCCGAGATATTGATGTTTCAAATATGTCGAAAAAGAATTTCAAAAGAAAAAGGAAAGAAAGAAGAAAAGAAAGAAAAGGGAAATCCTACCCGGCCCCGAATGACGAAGAGGATCAGGAGGAGGAGGTAATCTACATGTAGCTAGCTACTTAGGTAGCTTAGCAACTTAACACATAGACATACACACACATACAAAACTTTCTGCGTAGCAGACCTGAGTCGGTCAAAGGCCCTCGTCGAGTAATTTTATTTGTCTACGTCTATGTATCTGTTTATCCTCTGCAAAATAACAGTCATTCGTTCTCTCAGAGTCGAAGGCAGGTAGTTTGTAGTCGTTTTTCTGCAAAAGTTGGATAGTCTCGAGATGGCATTGGAGGCTTATATATTCTTGGAATACTTGACCGTATTGGATGTTGTTCAGCGGTCGAGCTCGTACCGAGAGGTTAAGGCTCTATAGAAACGACTTGTAGTCATATAGGCTACATAACTCTATACTGTCGAGAAGAACTAAATCTCGTGCAAGAGAAACGATCATTGCATCCATTTAAGTGGAAACCAGGCCTAATGATTGATTAGTAAGCTAGCCTACATATAGTTAGTGTATTCTAGCCCTACCTTAGCGTAAAGTACTTCCCTTCTTTTATTTGTTGTTACAACACTTCCCCTTCCCTTCCCCTTTCTTTTTATCCTATCCTACGCCTCCTTCGTGTTATCCAAGCTAGGAATATCTTTGTTTTTTTTTTCTTCTTTTATATTATTTTACAGCAGCGTAGTAAGTAACCTTTGCAGCTTTTCCTCTCAGAATGAACATGTGCTAAGCATTTACGATAAGCTTCACCTGCAAAGTGGCTAAAAGCATGATTACATCGCAGAAGACTAGAGAGGTACTACCTTACCTACCTTACTTTCTTCCGCGATCTTTTTCGGGCTACTAGCGGAGATCGATCCGGGGTTGGTGGTAAGGATAAGGACTGGCCCCATCCCTCGACTCTTGTATGCCTGGAAGTTCTCGGAATCATTCGTTGACAGTGAGTCCTCGTCGACAAAAAAATCTATATCTTGGACCTTAATCTGCAAAAGCTCGCCCCCGGTGGCGATTCTTCCTAGAACCATGATCACACGTTACTTGTCTGCCTGAGGTAGGTTGAAAGGGAAAAAACTTATGGAAGGCTACCTAGGGTATCAGACAACGTAATACTCGGCGATCATGAGCAACCAACACAGCTTCAAGAAAGAGTGTTGGCACCTTGATTGGCGAATGCATTACCTGTTTAGCTACCTGTATCTTTCTATCTGTCTATGCCTTGATCTTGGACCGGATCAGATCTTTTCGAAACGTAGGAGGTAAGTTTTCCATTCTCGCCCGCAAAGAATCGAGAATATGGCTCGGTTTCTTCAGCACTCACCTGGGTCTAGAGTCCAAAAAGAAGTCGATGACATCTGCTCTTCGGTATGTCTTAATTACCGGTGTATGTGTGTTTTTAGAGAGAGTGTTGTGTGTATCAGAGCGCTAATCCCAGAACCAAATTCCGCCCTCAACCGTGCAGGCTGCAGAAGGCAAACCAGGGGGATATCATCCATAGTTCCTACAATTCTCGTGTCAGCGTCTAAAACAAGTTTTTCTGCTGTCACCAAATTTCCACGCCGCCACGGCATCCGTGAGTACCATGGGGGGGCTTTCAACGGGGCAGCAGACAGAGTTGACAGAGTTGTGTTCCATGATGGACCGATTTTGTCCCCTTGTTCGCCAGCATGGGGGTTAGGTATGTATAAAATGCTGTCTTCTGATGATGCTCACTCACGTACTCTGTCGAGGTTTCACTTTTGAATCAAGATACCTTTTCTCTCTTCAAGATCGAGAGATACTCTCGCTACATTGGCCCTACGGTACCTGCTTTTACGAGAAACTTGTTCTTGTCTCGATTCCGGAAACTCGTTCACACACACATACGCACACACATACATACACACACACACACACACACACACACACACACACACACACACACACACACACACCTACACACCTACACACCTATCATAACCATGGGCTCGCTTCTCAAGTTTACGCTAGCAGCACTTTTCCTTTCCCTCTCGCCTTTGGGCGTCGAAGGGGGTCTTTGCGACGATGACAAAGGCGAGGCGTGGCTCCATTACGCCAGAGATTGCAAGGGCTGGACAAACCATGTGAAATGGCCAGAAACAACCGGGGACCTCCCTTGTCAAGTAATCACGAATGGCAACGTGGGCAGCGTTTGGAAATCGCGTGCTAATGACCGTTGCGCGATTATATTGTACACGACCCCTTATTGCGATGATGATCACAGACTGGATACTGAATCCGCTAATGAGTATGGATGCAAGAATGTCCCTTGGGGCGCGAAGGCTTGGAAAGTCCGTTGCGTCAAGGACCCCACTTGTGATTAATTGGCGCGGGAGAAAAGGGGTTCGATCTGGATCTGAATGACTACGCTCCTCCTGAGCTGATGCACCCGATGGTAAGTCAAGTGGGCTTGCGAGCGATGCAGGTCGAGAGGAGGCTCACAAGTTTTCACTAGAATCCATCCCTCTCTCTCTCTCTCTCTTTCTCTCTCTCTCTTTACCGGCCGCCTTTAGAAGGAATCCCTAAAATCCAAATCCCCCTAAAAACGCCAAATCACCCTCCTCGCTGCTCCAAGGACGGCTTGGGACTGGCTACGAGCCCCTCCCTGTTTCGACCTCAAGCGACTTCCTCAATGAAAGATATGATCTGGTTCTCTTAGCAAGACACCGAGGAAATCATTGCAAACGCATGCAGTGTGTCTCCTTGATATGGGATGCAAATTGGTATCTGTCTACATCCCTAGCAAGATTCTTCACGATCGAAAAATAAAAGGAAAAATAAAAAATAGAAAAATAGAAAAATAGAAATAAAAAGAACAACTCTGATCTCCCGAGCTGTTGGATGACGATGATGATGATGGTTCTTTTTTGAGCTTGTGCTTCCTCAGATAAACCGTACTAGGTAGGTATCTTGTACTTTTGTATTCTCTTTGGACACCACCACACAGCCAAGAACCTACTACATACTTCTGACCGCGAAATGCACATCACCATCATCATCATCATCATCATCATCACCCATCATCACTCCTTATTAAAATCAATCACAATTCTCCCCGCAACTTCTCCTCTTCTCAACTGCTGTACACTCTCAGGAAAAGCGCTCAAGCCTCGTACTTCAGCAATAGGTTTCAACAATCCCCGTTTGGCATAATTGAGTGCAGAAGCTGTATCTTGTAGAGTCCCCACGAGACATCCAGTGACGGTTAATTTTTTCAGCGCGAACAACAATGGCGGCGCTCCCGCGATGATGTTTTGATCGGCTGGTGGGAGACCGATGCATACGATTTTGGCGCTGGCTCGATCGCCGATGTAGGAGACTGCGTCTGTGGGATGGGGTTAGTGAGGTGTAGGTAAAGAAAAGAAGGGGAGGAGGGGGGTTATAGGGGTGTGTTGCGTAAGGTACCTCTGTATGTTTGCCAGGCGGTTACGATCACTCCGTTGGCTCCGAGACCATCTGCTATTTCTTTGATGCGAGATGCGATGTCAGTTTCTTCTTTGAAGTCAAGAAATACTTCGGCTCCGAGTGTTGTTGCGAGCTTCTTCTTTGCTTCGCCGCTATCGATCACGATTGGTCTCATTCCCATTGCCCTGTTCAACAATCAGCATTTCTTTTTTTTTTTCTTTTTCTTCTTTATTGCAACAATATCCATCTCGCGCCCCCACAACATCCTCAACGAAATATACACCACACCACACCACACCAAAAACATACCTCGCCAACTGCACCCCCTGAATCCCCACCCCGCCCGCCCCACCCGGAAAAACAATCCAATCGCCCGCCTTAAACCCGCCCTCCCTCAGCGCACAATGCATAGTCGAAGCCGAACACATAATGGGGCCAGCCGCCTCATCCGGCACTTCATCAGGAATTTTCGCCGTATAAATCGCCGGCGTGACAACATATTGTTGATAGGAACCCGTCGTCATCATTCCCGTGTGAATCACTTGAAGACAATACTGTTCTTCGCCGTTCCAGCATTGTGTGCAGTTGTGGCACACGTCCCACATGGGTCGTACGCCTGCTCGGTCGCCGATTTTCCAGTTGGTTACGCCGGCGCCTAGTTGGACTACTACTCCTGCGCCTTCGTGGCCGGGGGAGCGGACGTTGAAGTCTTGCATGCCTAGATTTTTTGGAGGGGAGGGGGGGTTTGGTTAGTGTTTTGCCTGATCTCTTTTCAACTATTGATTGATTGTTCCATCTCTACTCACCAACTGGATTCCCGAGATCATTGGCCATAAAGTGGATATCACTCCCACAGAGGCCTGTAACATTAAGCTTGATAAGGAGTTGACCCGGTCCTGGTTTGGGAACGGGAACATCTTGAACTTCGAGATGGAAATCTGGTCCATAGTTGACCTGTTGTTTGTTTTTTGCATGAGAAATGTGTACACAGCATGATGTGGTGGAGTAAATGGGTACTGACGACTACACCCGCCTTGCAGGTTTCGGGGATTTCGAAGGTTGCCATTGGATGAGAGGGATTACTAGATGGGGCAATTTGGATGGTGAAGTGTGAAGTCAAAGATTGGGATACCTACGTTCAATGGGAAGATGAGGGAGAGAGGATATGATGGCGGGAGGTATTGATTGCAATTATCATCAACACCTTAGATGCGATTCATACTCCTCGGTACAAACTTGGTGCGGGGTCCATATGGTGGGGTCCTCATATTAGCCACACTGCGTACGTACTCTAGGCACTATGGATCATGTTCCACAGCGCTCAAGGCGTGTTGTCATGTCATGTGATGTCACAGGTACAATCATCGGATAAGTGAGGGAATTCTGCACAAGCGAGCGAGCTGGCCTAAGGAGGTGGAGAAGTCGACATGTTTGAATACCTACCTACAAGACGCTGACTGCACCACCTATAAGCACGCACACAGTACCTCTTTTCTGTGAGTCGACGTTCAATCTTTTTGCACGCAAGTTTGCGTTTAGCAAGTGTATAGTGTATGACAGGCACGTCTAAAGTTCATCGTCAAAAGAATCCCACTGGCTCTCGAGTGTTGCCCCACAGCGCAAGACTCGTCTCTGGAGCTATCGGCAATGCATGTACCGATTGTATCTCATGTCGTCCGGCTTCGTGTAGACTTGCAAGAGTGGCCATCCAGTCCTGCGCGCTGGGCTCGGTATGCATTACTTGTTCGCCCTCGCTTGCTGCTACAGCTGCCGCTGCCCCAAACGTCGGTTCCGGATGACTGAACTCATCATCCGCAGAAGTGTCCCCTTCATCTGCGTCTGCAAAGTTCGACTCCGGTACTGTTTGAGAGGGGGGCCTCACTTCGAATGGTACCAATTCATTGGCCAGTAGCCGGAAAGAAGAAATGTCGTTGAAGCTCTTCAGGAACGCCTCGGAGAATGAGTACATCCCGGTAGTCTTGTTGATCTTATACGCATCTCTCAATTCCCAAGGCCAGACAAAGCGGAAACTCTCTGTGAAAGCCAAAACTCCGCGGTCGGTACATTGCTTGAGACCTGTCGTCAGCAGGTGTTTGCGGACTTGCGGCCAGCCAAAGTAATCTATAATTGCAGGGTACGAGCTCGATCGCTGACCAACTGTAGTAGACATGAATGTGGCCATCTTCCTTCTTGGTTGATTCTTGAGCTGAATCTTGTGTAACATTGTGGAGCGCACATTCCAGAAATGTGCAAAACGCTCGATCGGTTGAGCTCGATGCCATAAGCCCTCGTCAAAGGCTCGAAGGAATCTCCAGACGATGTCAAAGTGGTGGAGGCGTTCCGATGCGTCCCAGCCGCAGGTGATGGCTCGGATGAGGATGTCCTGGTCTTCTTCGAGGCTGGAGAGATTGTCAGGAGTCTTCTCGAGCTTCTCAATCAGCTCGTTGAGGCGCAGAAGATATGTTGCTTCGTCACTGTCTTCGCAGTACAGGTCGACACCTAGGACCACGAGACTTCGGGGTGATGAGGCAGCTTGGCGAGGTTCTTGTGCTTGTTTGAAATTGCTTGATTGCGGTTGCGTAACATCATTCATGAGGCACCGGTCCTCACTTTGAGCATCCCAGTTCATCACCGAGAATGTTTTGGAAGGGGACAGGGCATTTCCTTCGGGCAAACCATCCTCTTCGGACTTTACGGTGTCCTGGACAAGCGTGCGAATCTTGTTGACGAGACCTTGCAGCTTGTCGATCTCCTGCGACTGCTGGGAAGCATGCTGAGCGAGATAGTTTGCATGGTTGTCGCCGCTGCCCTCAGTCAAATCTGCTATCGTCTTCTCGAGGTGAGCAATGTATTGCTTCGTCTTCTACGGAACCCTTAGTCGGCCACCTAGCTGGTGAAACGTGTTGCTGAGATTACCGCTCGCGATGCTCTTTGTGCTTCTCTGTCATGAGCTCTCTTGCGTTCAATGCGACAGGAGTTGGAAGCGTTGCTGTTGCGTCTCATGGTCAGTGAAGAAGGAGAAGTGGGAACGAAGTAGCACGAGACCCGGTGGGAAGAGCGTCGGTCATCATCTAGGGGGTGGGGGGTGGTGGGAGTGTGGGAGATGTTGTGTCGTGGGAACAGACGGCAGATGCGGTAAGTTAGTTCATGCACATCCTCGCGGGGAAGACCAGGGAGGCCCTGTGAGGACGAGGCTAGAAGACTGGGGTGGTGTTCTGCAGACTGCCGTCTTCATTGTATACCCAGATGGCGATGCAGAGACCACACCACCATTCCCATTCCCATTTCCATGTTCCATTCCCATTCCCGGGGTATTGTGATTCTCTCTGGTGCAGATGTACCGGAGATATCACCGATGGTTGACCGGCCACCACCATCCACGATACCCGGTCTGTCCAGGCCAGTCTGTCCGCCACCAAGACCGGGAATGACCGGTGACTCCGCCAAACGGGCCTTCACATGCTCACGCACAGGCATCTGAGATGATGTCGGGACGAGTTGATGCCAAGATGGCGATGGAAGACATTGGAAGTTATGATTTTTATGCAAGCTTGGGAGTATTACTAGTAGACTAGTAATAGTCCTCCCCTCCCAGACGATGGCGCCGGCAGCGGGACGGGAATCTCGAGTGAATTTTGAAAGGGGGCACGAGGAGACCATCAATATGACAATAGGTATCTCACCAGTTTGCCGTCAAATATTGATGGGATACCCCTCACTGTATACATGTCAGTACCGGCGCAATGGCGGCGGCGACGGCGACGGCGGCTCCCGCAGCTTCATCGTGATGCTGTAGCCTGCTGGCATCGGCTATCAACTTCCAACACCACCAACCTTAGTTACCAACGGTCCAACAGCATCTCTGACTTCCAGCATCGAACCTGGCCCTACGCTCCGCGAGTATCTCATAGCCGACTACCATACTCACCGCCAATTACAATCTCTGTGTGCCTTCGCATTTGCTTGCCTTGGCGCGTGTGCACGCAGCTCCGCGGTGGAGGTCGAGGTCTGGTCTGAGCTCCCTTCTCGAAGCCTCTTCGGCGAATCGGGACCAAAGGCTATTGTCTGACCTCGCACTGTCCTGTCACAGGTGGTATTGCACCGCTCGAGGCACCGACGCGGGCCGTAGACGTCCAGTGGCACGCGACAACCACCATGTGGTGCTAGCAACCGTCGAACACCGGGAACGCCATCGTCGCGCTCATGCGCACGCACCGAGCTGACAATCGCATACCATGACACGCGAAGGAAGCGGCGGCGCATCATCACCGCGAGTCCACTCCTTCCTGCCCGACCAAGTCTATGGCCAGCGATCGAAGCACCCACAGCCTGCCAGCATCAGCATAGAGCCCGCAACGAACACACCGGCGAGCAACAAGTCTGCTCCCGCTGCAGCCTTCAGGCCGACAACGCCAGCTTCTTCGCCTACTCCGCAGCCGCGCGCACAACAGAATGGCAGCAGCGAGTACCCTAACGGCGGTGGAAATCACAAGACTCGGGTGGAGGAAGACGAGGATGATTCGGACGACGACGATGAGGATCGGGGGCTGCAGCTGTCCGTGAACGCTCAAAGACCGGCCGCGTCTAGACCGACACTGTCCCGAGCGAGGAGCGACTTTGGCTCAGGCACGAATCACCACCATAACGGACACGCCAATGGCAAGTTGCCTGGTGAGAAGAAAAAACATGGGGAAAATATGAGACACGGCTGGGAGGCGCAGCTACAAAATGAAGAGGCCGCGAAGAACCTGAGTGAGAATTTCTTCATGTATTATGAGGACAAGCGGCACGAGACTGCTGGCAATCTGCCACCCGACTTCGACGCGAAGAACATGGTCACGGAGTGGCGCATGAAGGATCGGCTCAAGACGGTCTCTGCTCTGCTGGCCGTCTGCCTGAATGTGGGAGTTGATCCACCAGACGTGATCAAGACGAATCCATGCGCACGACTGGAGTGCTGGGTGGATCCTGTGCCTCAAGACAGCTCGAATCAGACGTCAAACACCACGAATGCCCAGATTGGAAAGAACTTGCAGGCGCAATATGAGAATCTGTCTCTCCGCACGCGCTATAAAAGTGTCATGGACCCGACGATAGAGGAGCTGAAGAAGAACACCGTATCACTGCGAAGGAGCGCTCATGCGGAACGGATACTATTCCACTATAACGGGCATGGTGTTCCCAAGCCGACCCAAAGCGGCGAGGTATGGTGCTTCAATCGAAGCTACACACAGTACATTCCCATTAGTCTCTTTGACTTGCAAGAATGGGTGGGCGCTCCCGGGCTGTGGGTGTGGGATTGTAGTGCAGCTGGCGGCATCATCCAGGGCTTCTTGGAGGGCGCGCAAAAGCACAATGTCACCCAGCAGGAGGCGATGAAGCGAGATCCGAACAGAGCACAGCAACAGCCACTCGTAAAGTGGGAGGATTGCATCCACCTTGCAGCATGTCGAGAGAGTGAGGTGCTACCCACCAATCCGGATCTACCAGCCGATCTGTTCACATCATGTCTGACTACGCCCATCATGATGGCTGTGCGCTTCTTCATTCTGCAGAATCCACTAGGCTCGACTTTTGGTGTCAATCTCGAGCAAGCGCGAAATATTCCTGGAAAGGTCAGTGAGCGTAGAACGCCCCTGGGAGAGTTGAACTGGATATTTACGGCCATTACGGACACCATTGCGTGGAACTGTCTCGAGAAGCCGCTGTTTAAGAAGCTCTTCCGACAAGATCTCATGGTCGCTGCCCTGTTCCGCAATTTTCTTCTCGCGCAGCGGGTGATGCGAAGATACCACTGTCACCCACAGTCCTATCCCAAAATCCCTGACACGCACGATCACCCGCTGTGGCGAAGCTGGGATCTCGCTGTGGAGATGATCTTGTCTCAACTCCCAAGCTTGATCGATCAGCAGAAGGCGCATGAGGCTGCCATAGAGGCTCTCCCACAGACTGGACACGGAGGTGGCCCACCCGCGCAGATGCCGGAGCTCGACTACAAACACTCCGACTTCTTCGCGGATCAGCTCTCTGCATTCGAGGTCTACCTTACTGCAGCGCCGAGCAATCCTAGTGTCGCCGGCTATGCGAAGCCACCCGAGCAATTGCCCATCGTTCTGCAGGTCCTGCTCTCCCAAGTCCACAGATTACGAGCACTCGTCCTGTTGTCAAAGTTCCTCGATCTTGGTCCATGGGCGGTCAACCTAGCATTAAGCATAGGAATCTTTCCCTACGTGTTGAAGCTCCTGCAGTCTCAGGCGATGGAGTTGAAAGCGCCCATGGTGTTCATCTGGGCGCGCATACTGGCTGTGGACCAAAGCTGTCAAACAGATCTGCTCAAAGACCAAGGCTATGCATACTTTACTAATATACTGAACGCCACGAACGGTATTCCGATCGGCAACGTCGCGGAACATCGCGCCATGTGCGTTTTTGTCATTGCAATGTTCTGCAAGGACTTCAAGCAAGGCAAGGCGGCAGTCCTCGACAGCAACCCAGAAGTGATCGAGCAGTGCATCGGCCACCTACATGATATGGAAAACCCTCTCCTTCGGCAATTTAGCTTGTTGTGTTTGAGCAACTTATGTCGCGACTTCTCCAATGCGAAAGAGGCTTTCATCGCGCATGCGGCGCATGAGCGGATATGTGACCGAAGCCACGATCCTGTCCCGGAAGTGCGGACAGCTATGCTCAACGCATTGACGAGCTTCATTGCCACGGGCGATATCGATGGCGACATTTTGGACCTGGAAGAGGTTCTTGTCGGCGTCATCATCAGCATGGGTATGGATGGCTCCATCATGGTACGGAAGGAGCTGACGGTATTCTATTCCGAGTATGTGAAGAAGTACTTGAAGCGCTTCTTGTGTGCTGCATTCGAGCAGCTGCAAGAGGAGCAAGATAAGCGCAGTGGAAGAGAGCAAGCTGCAGACGACTTCATCGCCATGCAAAAGGAGTCTAGCATTGATACATTGACCTTGTCGGGACCTGGGAACCCACTCCTCAGTGGTATACGCTCTGCCCATCATCGCAGTGTCTCAGCTGCTGCTGCCGATGACCGCGACTCACGGGCTGCAAAGGCCGTGCCGCGACAGTCAAACTCACTGGGAACGGTATACCGTGCAGTATGGCGACAGGTGATGAGCTTATCCACGGACCCGCATCCCGAAGTCGCGCGCAATGCGGGTATCATCGTGGACAGTGTGCTGGAAGCTTTGTTGGACTGCCCTCTTGGGCAAGCTGCTGAAGCAATACTTGAAGCACTTGAACGCAGATCCACAATGGAGAACTCCAGTACTGGTGCTGCAGTCCAGCCTTTGAGCAGAGTACATGCAGTTGGACATGGTCCGCGACCTGATACGCCGCCGAGCCCCTCTGCATCATCGATATCTTCCAAGGCCGATGGATACTTCGCTCTGTCGAGGACGGCCAGTGTCGCTCAAGCACTGGGAAAGTTGGTCGGTTGGGGTCCCAAGACATCAGGGGAAGCATCTACTCCTGGCTCGCCGACGCACAAGCGACGCGGCTCTGGCTTCGATGTCACTACGCCGTATCGATCGAGACCACTCACTCCTCACGATGCTTCTATGCTCCCACCAGATGCATTAGATAACATTCCCGGTCCGGCCCATCAGCCTCCGGCCAAAATCCCTCCCACTCCATACTTTCAAGGCCGCGATATTTCCGAACTCCCTGAGCTTCCCTTGAAGTCAACATTCTTTGACTGGTCAGCTTCGTACTTCCGGGAGCCACAAATGCGTCCTTCCGAGGCGGATGAACCTGGGTCCAGGGACTACAACGAACGGCTTTGGCGGCGAAATCGCAATGACAAGATAATTGCCTCCACCCAGCCACTCAAGGAAGCTGCTGGGTCACAGAGCTGGGACAAGCCATGTGGGTACTTTGGCATTGGCGCAGCGCCCGTGAAGATGGTATTCCATCAATTCGAGAACCACTTAGTGACCAGCGACGATCGGGACAGCATTGCCGTGTGGGACTGGAAGGAAGAAAAACAGCTTGCACGATTCAGCAATGGCAATCCGAGGAACAGTCGCGTCACAGAATTGCGATTCATTAACGAGGATGATATCGCCATGCTCATGGTTGGTTCCAGTGACGGGGTGATCAAGATCTACAGAGATTATGATCACCTGAAGAAAATCACTCAGGTTTCTTCCTTTCGAGCACTCAACGATCTCGTCCCCAGCACAGGCGGGACTTCCGGTTTAGTCTTCGATTGGCAACAAGGCCAAGGCAAAGCTCTCGTGGCAGGAGACGATCGCGTTGTTCGCGTCTGGCAAGTCGGGCAGGAACTTTGTGTCAATGACATCCACACTCGATCGAGTGCTTGCATCACGAGTCTTACCTCAGATCAAGTCGAAGGCAATGTGTTCGTTGCAGGGTTCGGCAACGGTTCAGTCAAAGCTTATGATCAACGTCGACCCAACGCCGAGACTATGCTCCTTGGCTGGAAGGAACACTCGTCCTGGGTGGTCGGGGTTCATCTCCAGCGAGGCGGCATGCGAGAGCTCATCTCCGCAGAGTCGAATGGCGGAATTCGTCTTTGGGATCTGCGGTATGCGAGGAGCTCTGTGAACAAAATCGACTCCGGCAGAGGCCGGGAACCGAGAATTCTGCGCACCTTGTCTGTCCACGAACACGCTCCTGTCTTTGCTACGGGAGGTAAGGATCATACGATACGAGTCTACAACACGAAGCTCCAGGCGCTGAGTAAGTTTGAACCGTACATGTCGTATCTCCGAGTTGGACTGGGAGCTGCCGCAAGGAATGCTCCCATCACTGCTACAGCCTTCCATCCACACCGTATGATGTTGGCATGTGGCGCTGTCAACGACGGGCATGTCAACCTATTCCGATGTGACATTGAAGACGAGAAGATGAGAAATGGCGATGGAATTGTGGAAGAATGGCCCCCTGCTGGCACGATTACGAGTAGTGGAAGTGGGTTTACGACGCCTACTTTGAAAATGTAGGATGCCTCCTATTTTGGGCGTCAAAGAAGAGGCCGTCAGTGCCTGAGCGCAAGCTCGATGACTTGATGATCGTCAGACATGGGTACCCACCAGGCGTCTGCGACCCGAGGGACGAGACAGCAGCGGAGAGTGAGAAGGGATCGAAGGACGTACATAAAGACGAATGGGTGGGCGGCAGACTTTTGTTTTACGCCCCGGATAAATTTTAGCACGGCGTTCAGGGAAGAGGGGCGGAGAATCTTGATAATGAAGCTTCAGCGTTGTTATTTGTACCTACGCATGCATAGCATGGGGAGGAGGCTTAGCACAGCAAATCTTTTTTTTTTACTTCTTGTTTTTTGGAACTTGTACGAATGCACAGCCTGGGTCTGTGGGTGGTAGTGGTAGTGGGATGGAAAAAGGTCAGCTGATATCATCGTCACACAATGATGGGTCGGTTAATTCTTTTCCTTTTTTTCGATAATGATGATGATGATGTAGCAGTAGCGGTAGGAGGTAGCAGTAAGGTAGCAGCGGTAGCATTACTGAGCAGCAGCAGGCAGCTTTCTTTTTTTCTTTCCCTTTCATTCAGTTGTTGGTTTGGTTTGGAGGCATGGTTTGGAGGCATGCCACAAACCTTAATACCGCCATCATTATCATAATGGTACGTAATAAATCAATTATTGGCGCATTGGAAAAGGGGCTTTCTCCCCTTGCTTTTCTGATTGCAAAACATTAGCACGACTTTCAGTGAAAAGGACATGTTCACGGGTATGAAAGAAGGTTGAATGGTGCAATTGCTAGCACGACTATTTTGTAGCGATCATTCCCGATCGCATCATTTCACTCCTTTTCGGATCATCACTATCATCCCCTCGCGTCGTCTCATCTCGTACCACTTCATCTGCGCCCGTCACTCATGGTTCTTCATCGTCCCCGAAGCCATGTGAAGCTGCGAACTTGTCAAAAGCAGATGGCTTCAGGTCAAAAGCAATCTCACCCTCTTCTTTCGTGACATCGAATTCAACCTCGCCTTCGTCAAACTCAAACTCCACCTCGTCCGAAGCACCTATCGGTGAAATTGTTGACACTGATGATGTCTCCGCGGTGTGAGTTGAAGTAGCAGGGCGGCTGGGGACGGTGGGAGAGTCCGCACGGAGTGGTGACATTGGTGGAGAAAGCGGTGGCGAAACAGCCTGTGACACGGATCGCGCCGGCTGGGGCATCTCAACCGCCATGTCCGGTATATTCGGCACCACCACGACTGTTTTCTTAGTCTTGTTGTCACCATCGTCAACTGCAGGGCCGCTTCCGAACAAGTCGAAGAGATCTCCCTCTCGCACCACGCCTTTCGAGGTGTCAACTTCCAGAAGAGGGGCAGGCTTCCAGCCATCAGGCAAGAGAGACCAGTTCCTCTTCGCGGCTGTCGTTGACTTCGGTAGCGTGGGCTTTGGCATAGCAACAACGCCAGCACCGTGTCCCTTAGTGGCGATACGTCCCAGTTCAGCAGCAAATATCCATGGGAAGGACATCAGAGGCATACTTTTGAAGTCCAGAGCACGAATTGGCGTATCTCTGCCACCCTTGGCACGCATGGTCTTGGTCTCCTTGAGCGCTTCCTCAATCTCTGTGGCTGTGACCTTGTACATGGCGACAATGAATGGCTTCATCTTGTCCCAATCGCGGTCGGCAGCGTTGGTACCAGCTCTGTTGTAGCACAACTCTTGATGCTGCTGCTTCAGGTTGGCTGTCATCTCGCCCATGGTCTCTGCGAACTTGTAGTCGCCGATTTCTTGATGGTGCTCGAGAACGAAAGTGGTAAAGACTTCGAACTCCGTCTTGATACCATGTTGAGCCATGATACGGCGAATGGCCTCGTCATAAAGCGCCTTGATCTCTTTTGCGTCATTCAGCATCTGATGCGATGGCTCCAAAGCGGTCAATATACGTTCATCGAACGGCATATCCCAGGCTGCATGGAACGGCTCTTTCTTGACTTCATCGTAAAGCTTACCGAGGACTCGGTGCGATGTGTATACTTTGCTTTTTGCCTTATTCCTAGGCTCGGACCAGTGAGGCCAGCGCTGAATACGAAGATCTGCTGGCATGACTGCTGGAACGCCTGTCTTAGGATAGTCAACAGCTTTAGAGTGAAGTTGAGCCAAATGTAGGCACTTTGCGTCTTTGACACCGTCCGGCAGTTGATCAGCCCAATATCGATGTGCGCATGCGATCCTGCTCAAGATGTCGTTCTTGATGTGTTGCACGAAGAAGGAAGTCATGTTATCTACCGTGACAGGGCCCTTGGCCATGACAGGGTCCGGAGAAGTGTAGTCCATGGGTTCATGATTCCACTCTGGCGGTATGAGCTCCTTGTCCCACATCACGATAAAGTCGTCGCCATCAAGATCACCACCAGAGCACATGTTCGCGACGTCGCGATCTCCAGTCTGTGGCAATACAACGCAATTCTTCAAATGGCGAAGTGCCGCGTTGTCGACAGCCTTGACGACACGAATGTCGCCAGGGTGCAGAGAAGGATTGCGCGCGAGCACGACGATGCCTGTGACGACCTTGTATGAGCCTGGCTTCTCGGCGTCCGGAATTTGAAGGAAGATCTCCGGCAGTGCAGACTCGTCGTGCTTGTCAACATCGGCCTCGGTGGACTGCTGGTCTTTGAGAATTCCATTTGGATCAGCGACAGACTTGAAATGGCCGCGGAGCGTAGCGGACTCATCAGTGCAGCCGAGCAGGAAAGCGCCCTGATCGATGAAGATGCGAGCCTTCTCCTTGAGATACTTTAGGTTCCAGGATCGCCAAAGACGGAGGCAGGTCATCACGAATGGGTCCTTGGTCGCCATAAAGCCATCGAAGATCATACAAGCCAGTGAAATGGTCATCTGGTTGAAGTCGACGTTCTTTTGCAAAAGTTCCAAAGCTTTCTGCTCGCTGTCGAGGGCTTCTTGCAGGTCCGACAGCATATTACGGAGCTTGTTGAGGAACACCTCATCAGGCACTCCTAACGCCGAAAGAACCAAGATCAGCTGCACGTTGAGTGAGGCGGTGCTGAACTGCGAAATTCTGCATATTTCGAGACCGTTGGACTTCGCAGGAAATTTCTGCTGGCTCGGGCGAATCTGGATTTTCATGCCTTTCAGACGTGGGTCGACAGCCAGCACACCTTTGCAACCGGCGAGTCGGATCTGGAACACTGAAGGATAGTCCTGCTCGGAATTTGCCATGCCATAGTGGTGAGCGATCATGCGGGCCAGGAAGGGCGAGATCTTTCCGACTCCATCGGTGAAGCAGAAGCCATTGCGTTCGACATCATCAATTTTTTCCACATTCACCGCGTGTGGAATAGCACGGGTAGTTGAGAAGCACTGGCCCAGGCGCGAGACGTACTTGGCGATGATGCGTATGCTGGTGAAGTCTCCCATCCAGTCTCTGATGTCGGCGGCTGTGACACCCGTGGTCGATGCGAAGAAGTAGGCACCATGATCGCGGAACTGAGCATTGCCAAAAGCAAGAAATTCGTAGTGTCGGCCGCCGACGTTGATACCTTGCGCCATGGCACGCTTGACGCGAGAGAACACCTCATTCATGCCGGCGTCATCAGCGGGCATGATTCTGCCCTTGTAGCGCTCATCGGTGAATCTAACGCGAAGGAAGCGATCCTCGTGTTGTTGATAGTGACGTATTACTCGATTAGAAGTCTCAAGGACTGGTGTCGACTGGTACATTGTGGTCGGTGTGATCGTGACGGACGGTATTTTGGTGCAGTATCCTGGCCTCTTCTTCTCCAATACCGAGACTGTGTTGTGTAGTGCCAGTATGTCTGCTGGCTCGTAGTACCTCAATTTGCGATCTGCCACTTTCTCGAGGATCTTGATAACCCGATCTTGGTCCAGCGTCCCAAGCCTCTTGAGGAAGTCTCTTGTGAGGTTGCACTCATGCAGAGCGCCGAGACTAATGCATACCTCGAGCTGATACCGGATAGAGAATGGCAGCGGTGCAATGTCATCAGCCATTTCCTGCATGTCGGAAAGAAACCCTGAAGACGCAGCGGAAACTCGATCTCCTTGGCGTGCAGGTTCGAGCCAACTCCACAAAGTATTTGAATCTGCAAGATGCGTGAAATTGAAGCTGTTGTTCGTGGCCATGTCAACATTGTGGTCCGCAAGCGCCTGGCACAGATCTTGGAACTCTGGTGATCGAACCACGGCAGCAGCGAGGTCCATTCGGTACGTGAGCCAACGACCAACTTCAATGATGGTGTCTTTCTTGCGAAGCTCAACGGCCGAGTTTCGTGCCCATGGGTACAGATCAATGTCTGTCTGTCGCAGCCATGTCTTCCGCTCGTCCCAAAGCGTGGCTTTGCTGTCATGAGTGCTCTTGACGTCCCTAGTCTTCCTGAAGACAAGAGGAGGGGTGTCAATGGTGAAGACAACAGTAACAGTCTCATCAGCACGGCGCAGCATGAGAGCTTGGGTTATTTGCGCCGGGGTAATGCGTAACTTGAAACGGCGCTCGAACGGGCCAGTAATGTTGCCATATCCCGCGTGGTGTGGTACGCAGACAGGAAAGGTAATATGCAGCTCCTTGTGTTGCAAATTCATCGAGAGCTCTAGTTTTGTCTCCGCCGTCGACTCGACCGTGTGTAGAACCAGCATCTTATCCTCCTGCTGCATTACCCCAAATCCCATTGCAGCGAGTGGCACAATCATAAGCTCAGGCAACTCGCGGTTGCCCTTCAAACTCGGATACGAGAACATCTTCTTCGAGTGGTTCCTGGTAACAATATTCCTCTGCACTCCGGACGACGGGTCCCGTACCGTGAGCGACCTGCCCACCCAAGCCGCGGATTGTGGCGCCGGCTGGAAGAACACCACGCCTTGCATGCCGGAGGTGTGTCGGTTGTTAATCTCGATCCTGCTGACCATGCCGAATCTCTCGAAGAACGCGTGAATCTCGAGAGTTGTCCACGAGGGCGGGGCGCCAGTGAATTGGACGCGGAGGGTGAGAGGGTTGAGGGTGGCGGTTGGAAGGTGTCCGCGCCCGCGGCGGTGGTCGTATGAGGAGACCACCGCGCGTGGTAGCGGAGGCGCCGCCATCGAGTGTGGTGGTGGTGGGTGGTGATGTGGATGGAGGGTGGAGGTGGTGGGTGTTGGTGTTGTAGAAGAGAATTTCCTCTCAGAGGAAGGAAAGAGGTGCCTGAACGCGCCTGCAGTAAGCGAGGCTCTCAGTCAGCTCAGTTTCGATGCCAATTCTCAGCACTCCATGTGAATGGGACGCGGCGGCGTGGTCTATTGTTGCCATTGCAGAGCGAGCGTGTGAGTTTCGCGAGAACGTGCAGAAGGCAGCAGACGCGTGTTGCATCTCCCCAATTGCTTACTTCGACTCCTCCGACTCTCATCCATCCACTCGTGCCGGAGTGCTGGCTGGGGGAATGGAAATGGCTTTCGTCTACGCACACAAGAGGCCGTAGAACTAGCTTACGTACCGGTTCTGTGACCAGCCTGCGCTATCCCTCTTCGTGCTCCCCCGCGAGTGTGGTGTCTACGCCCATCGAGGCCACTATCGCTGCTATCCATCGCTCAGTCTCCGGCGGCCGCGCTCTTGGCAGAGTGGTTGGACTATGGACAGCGTGGTCCAGCGCGTGTTAAGCAGAGCGAACTATAAGGCTGGAAGTGATTGACGTCCATCTGTTTGTTATTGTCGCTTGTGGTATCTCGCTTCCCTGCAGCTGCACATGCACATGGCCGCATATCACAACTAGTGTATGCTTCCGAGCATATGCCGCTTCCCACGCGCACGATGGATTGTCGCGGATAGGAGAGGAACGTGAGAGTAGCACGCAGAGGGTGGACAGACATACCTATATCAGAGGCAACTTCCCCGGGAAAGGGACCTCACGCAATGCTTTCCACGCCTCTTGATGCACGCACCCTTATGGAGAGCCTCAGATGCCAGGTTCTATCTGTTGCGCAGATATCTTGGGAATGTAGGTATGGAGCCAGTGCAAGCGATACATGATCGCTGAAATGTGGCTTGACCATTCTAGTATTGCTAACGTGAACCTGTGCTGAGCATAGCACAACCATGCAAAAACGATGCCATCGGATGCGTATAGTGGAAATCTATCGTCAAGCCTCGAGCATGAGGTCATGGTCATGGCCGGAGATGGTGAAACTGTAGTACCAGCTTCACGTACAGTCTTATCCGTCCTGACCTTTGCGGATATGCCTCATGCCAATGGGCGGCTCTCTTGGGGACCCCCTTCTCGATCTGTCGAGCTCACGCACCAGAGCCGCAGAGAGCTTCTCCGCGATCCATTGGCTCTCAGACTTCGAGCTCATCAGAGGAGATGCCTCATCTAGCCATGACCACTCGCCAAATGGATCGGCAGTGGGTCTCTTGCGCATCAAACCTCGCTTGTGTGGTGCTGTGTTCCATTTGTGCTGTCGTTGGGTTTCCCGGTCTACAAGGCCGTCTGTCTCAGGTTTCTCATATGCATGGCCTTGAGGAGTGCCATCGGCATTTTCTCGGGTTGCCATATTAAAAGCACCGCCCGCTTTAAATGGCGAGGCCGAGTATTGCAAGGCCGCCGGTGCTAGGACGTCTGCAATCCGCTGGCTGGGGAACATTTTCCCGTCCTGATCGGCGCCATTGCCCATGAGCAGGAGAAAGAACTCCCACTCATGCCAAGAATACTGCTTGGGTGTTGTGCCAGACATCATGTCGCCTTGCACTCGTTTGAGTTCTCTGGCCAGGACGAAGTGGTAGAAGTGAATGTCTCGCTGAAGCAGATCGCCCAGTCCTTATGAATGATGTAGTTAGCAGCGCTCTTTCGGGTTTGAAGCCGCCACGATCGTAGTACTCCGCACAAAATTGTAGTGACGGCGAAGATGCGAGCACACATACCTTCCTGGTTGGCTTCACTGAGCTCCTTCAGCTCGTCTTCGTCAATGTGAGCTTCCAATCGCTCGGAAAACGTACGCACAACATGCCTGCAATGCTCATCTGCAGTCATATGCTCTTCACGACTCGTTTTCCCAAAGTTGTGGAGCTGATCCTTGGCTTTCTCCAGCGTCGCCTGGGCGGAATCTCGCAAATTCTTCTGCGGCAAGACATGCTTGAAGATCCAATTTGTCATGTCAGAAAAGGTTTGAAATAGGGTATCGCCCATGTGCGAAATGAGGATTGTCAGAGCAGGCACGGCCAGCAAGGACCAAAAGACGAAGAAAGCCTTTCCGGAATTCGAGGCCGGTGTCAAATCGCCATATCCGATTGTCGCCAGCGATACGAAGGAGAAATATACTGATTGGAAGTATGTCCATCCTGTGAACCTAGTGAGTCGAGCACGAGTGCCTTGGGGGGCATTGATCGTGTAGTAGGGTGCTGCTGCCACAACATACCTTGCTCATTCTCTGAATGTTCGAAGACAAGCGCGCCGACGAGCCACAGAAGTGCGACAGAAGACATACTTGTGACGAGTTGAAAGTACCTTCGATCGCGTTCAGCCGCAGCCTGGACCTTGCGCATCACATTGAATTCGGCCTCACGCCTCTGCGCAGGACTCATATCGGGAGACAGGCGAAAGTCTACTTTTGCAAACCAGGAAACCTTGATCGTCTGATTTTGCTGATCTACTCCATTGATGGCGTTGGCGCGCATGTTTTCCGTGATTTGAGCTCCCATTTTCTGCGCGCCTCGTTCCAAGACTAGGCTGCGAATGCTGCCAATCACCAGACCAAGCATGAGGATACCTCCGATAGCAAAAGGCCAGAGCAGACCTCGTCCCAGACGGGACTTTGGGCTATAGTCACCTAATCCAACGGTCAAGAGCGTAACATCTGCCCAGTACACCGCGTCGAGGTATCGCCAACCTTCGATATGGCTAAACACCAGTGCTCCGAGAAGCAAGTACACGACGAAGGACATAGTCTGCGCCATCAAAGTTCTCTGGGGGTTGGTGAGATGAAACTCCTTTGAGTAGTAGCCATGGGTAGCACCGTATATCGTGAGAGCCATGAGTAGGCCCACGATGATGTATAAGGCAGCAGCGAACATGGCATAGTAGAAAGCATCGGTGAGAGCATGGCTCGAAGCTGGCTGGGCGCGCGGATCGGTAATGAAGTACGTCGGACTCGAGGCGAGAGCAGCCATATCTGCAATGAGCAACACTCCTGCCAGCAGGAAGCCAGTGACGGTGATGGGCTGAGCGACTGAGAACTTGACACGCTTGGCCATGTTGAGGAGAAGGGCGGCATTTCCCACGAGCGCGCAGGCCAGTGAGACAGCATTGACAGCCAGCAACCAGTGCGGGTCAGGGAGTGCTATGCCCTCTGCTTCCTGTTTGCGAAGCTATTAGCCTCCGCGAAACATGGCCGCGGTCTTCATAGGAAGAATGCTCTCTCCAAACTCACCAAAGTGTCGCCGGGTAAGTATACTCGCCACGAGTATACCAAAGCGCCGACACTGAAACCATTGGCTATGGGTCCAAACGTCGCCGCGAGCAGCGGACATGCAGTCGAAGCGAACCACCACCTGTTCACAGGCTCAGGTTCCTCCTCATCCTGGACCGCTTGGGCCTTGCTCGGCCGTGTTTCTGTGTCATCATCTACTACTTGCTGCGCGGTCTCTTCCATGCCTGGATCTATGGTAGTCATTGTCGTCGCGTCAGCCGGGCGCGCCTCGGGGGTGCGTGCAGCAAGCGATGGCGATGTGTTCGTATTGCATTGTTTGCATCGTCAACCGGCAAGACAAGAAGATTACATGTAAGATACGGAAGCGTGGCTTGAAGGTCACGGTACCCATGGCAAGAGTGTTGAACTGTCAGCGGTTTCCTGTCAAGTACATGTAACTTAGCGATGGGAAGTTGAAACGCGTCGCATCCAAATTCCTTTCACGGAAAGCTTGGTGCACGGCCCACTGACGTCGATGAAGCTAGATTCAGTTAGGGTTCCCTTAGGGTTATGCCCAGAGGCTCAACGGGCATATATATCGATATTTAGGTAGGGTATCTTCAGGAGGTTATATTACAGTGTGTAGCCAGAAATTATGGCATCATGTCGTCTGATATCAACTGCGTGGTCACAGCAACGTCGAACAAATGATTTATTGGGAATTTCGCATATTGTGAAGCATGCCAACATCAGAGGTAAGGTACTAGGTAGAGACGTGTACATACGACGTTTGCCTTGTCCACTCTAATACCACCTCAAAGAAACCTCATGTAGCCCCAAATGCGCACATAAGACACAGTTTGATGTTTGTATACGAGAGGAGCGCCAATACCAGGCTGTATAGCGACCTGGGGATGAGACGGGATGTATCCCATCCATTATTCTATCTTGAAAGTCCTCCAAGTACAATCGTCCTTCTGTATGTCACGAGGCCAAATGCTGCTTAGAAGTCAGGAGAAAATAATGCTTTCTCACGCCCAGCGCGTCACCCTCATACATACATATTAAGCTAAGGTAAGGTAACGAAGCAATTTTCTTCTAATACAAGTTCGCGGGAACCTTCACATTTGTATCTGGCTAAACACCATTTCCAAAGAAGCATGTCCAAGAAGAGAAGACGGTCTCGATCTCTATATCGCCCAAGTTTTTCAGCCGCGGGGCTATCCAGATACTCTTTTCTGGAATCACCCAGCGATCAGCACCCAAAGGAGGAAGAATATCATGAGAACACCAAACATCTTCGCAATCAGCCATCGATTCCCTTGTACACGACTCCAATACTTCATCAGTTCCCTTTGTGCACCTTCGACATTATCCACCACATCGTCGGTATTGGCGTCGATTCTCTGAATTTGTTCTGCTTGCTCCGAGACCATTTGTGCGAGTTGTCCAAAAATTCCACCAAGTTCATTGATGGTCCTTTCGATTGCTTCAATAGCCTCCCCTCTCTGCTGGATGTAGGAGTTGGACGAGGAGCCTTCTTCCATGAGTTGTAGCTGCTGCTGGGAGGCTTGAATAGGGGCACCCGTGCCGGAGTAGAGGGCCCCTCCACCGGCGGGCTCCAGTGAGAGTAAATCCTGCCCTTGATTGAGATGCGCCGACCCAGTCTGTCCAGGTTTGGGACTTCTCCCTCTGCTCGGTGTTTGATATAGGGGTGAATCCGACCTCCCGGGTTCTAGCCTCTCTTGTGCCGCACTAGATCTTCCAACTTCTCCCACAAAGTTCTCCTGTCGGCTTCGACTTGCTTGGATGTTCTTTGTGCGCACTTCGAGGACCTCTTTGAAGTTGACTCCTACATCTGCTAGTCTGCCTTGTAGCAGCATGACGACATTCTTGTTGTGTTCGCCTTCTTGCTGTACGCTACCACTCTGTCCATTTTGCGCTCGTTGTAGTTGTTGCAAGTTCCCAATCTGTTGGTTCAGACCTGCCAGATCCTGTTTGATCACGTAGGTGAGTTCGGCAATCTCCACAGGTCGGTCGTCGAAGAGGGTTTTTCGTTTCGCCAGTTCACCCAGCCGCTGCAATTTCCCCATTGTCGCAGAGATGCCTCGTCCAATGCCCGCCGCATTCCGCGCAAATTCGCTGCGTTGCGCTCTCGTGGGAGGGGTTGCAGTGCCATTTTGCTGGGGTATCAGTGGTTGCGATTGTGCGCCGAGAGGCTGCTTTCTTTGGCGCGCGAGAGATTTTTGGGCCTGTTGGAGGATAGAGCGGAACTCGGGCGTCCGGTCCTGAATCGAGGCGTGAGAGGACATGGTGAGCATTGTCTGTCGCGAGGGTCGTTATGGTATGCGTGTTGCGAAGGAGGTAGGTGGAAGGGACGCGAACAGACCCAGACTCCAGAGTTCCAGACAGCCGCTTAGGGCAAAGATCCTGGCGAATCAAACAAATCGTGGAGTCGCGTAACAACGGTAACGTAATGGTGGCAGGTCCAGCACCGGCAGTCTTTTATGATTTATCCGGCAGTATAGGTACATGTAGCTGGTACAGGAGTACCTGGTAGCACAGACTGACAGACTGTTCACTGTTCAGCACAGTACAACGTAATTCACAGTGTGTAAGGCCAGAGTGGCTAAGAATAGCAGAGCGCTAGCAAGGGAGGATGGATGGGCGGGAGTACACCATGTCGTTGTAGTCTGCGGCGGACAAAGAGAACCACGCGTTCCTACAGAACCTTAGTCCTGCGCGACGCAGCGATGAAGCCACCTGGCCAGGCAGAATGGGATACAATGAGGCACAGGTGCCACGTAGTTCGCCAGTCACTTCTGGCTACCTTATACATGTACCTTAGTCGAGTGTTCGGATCGTAGGTGAAAGAGAGAGAGAGAAGAGTACAAGCCTACCAGGTAAGAGAGGGAGAGAGAGAGAGAGCCTCAGCACAGACCAGACCTTGGAACATGCCAACTACTCTACTCACCTCGCCAACTTACAACCCACAATACGAGCCACACTCTCCCCTCAGTTCCTTTCTGCCTACTGTATGCCTGATCGATATTGCATTCCTCTGCTTGACACATCTACCACTGCAGCCCGCTGTGCCACTATCGCCTCGACCGCAACACCCTACAGTCCATCGTTCACGCAGCCCCGTTGCCGTCTGGTTTGAGAAGCCGGAGCTGCATCAGCCTGACCTGCATGCATTGACTGCGCCTCGACATAGGTACTCGCGCGCACACACTACAGACCCTCTGCCATGTCATCCTAGACTGCCATCTGCCACGAACGACAGATGCGAACGCGTGTAGATAATGTCCAACAACCAGACGCCGACCACGCCTGGTGGGCCTCTCTCCTTCAAGACAGTGCCGGGCAGACATCGCACTCAGAAATGGAACACGGCGCCCAAAAACACCTACGATGGCGACGACTGGGGAGACTACGATCCGTATGATGACTATGGTGGTGGGCAGGAAGAGCCGGCCTCTACCCTGCCAGCGCAGTCTTCAGCGTTGCCTTCGCAGAGGCTGAGGAAACAGAGCTTCGATCGAGGGGACGATGGCGCTGCTTCACGTACGGTATCGGCGCCATTTCCATCGTATCCACAAGATCCTGTGAGTGGAGGACGAGCGAGCAACGACTATCCTCGCAGCAGATCGAGGCCACGCGACTTCACCAATCCCGAACATGCTCCACCGCCGCTCCACTCACAACGTGGAGCTGCTCCAGCACCACCGGGATCCTTTCCTCCGCGCAAGAGCAGCATGGGTGGGAATACGTATGAGGCACAACAGGCGGCTGCAGAAGCAAGAGCCATTGCCGAGAGTGTGACACACCCTGCTGTAAACACTGGTGCGGCTACAGCAGCCGATGCTCAAACCGATAAGGCATTGCCCTTCATCAGACCTAGTGACATCTACAGGCGAGTCGAAGAAGAGAGGCGACGCGAAAGTGAGGAGAGCAGCAGGCCGAGTGTGGACGCCTTGGACAGGGCAATCTCTGTGGAAAGACGGAACGACCTGACGCCGTTACAAGAGCAGCGAGAAAGTGTGCTGTATCCGAATACATATCAGCCAAACGTGACGGAGAAGTCTGGAAACGAACAGACACTCCATAGTGTTCAGAGTGCCAGCAGCACCATCTCAGGAACGAGAGATGTGAGTCCCACACTACCGCTAGTGTCTCGATTCTCAGGCTTCGGTGACGAGTTCTTGAACTTGACAAGTCCAACGGCCACAGGAGATGTGGCATTGCCCTCGAGAGCGTCACCTCCAGGTATCAATACTGCTGGCCTCACCGGCGCGGACACGGCCTCGAGCTCAATTCAACCGACGCCAACCTCTACGCGTGCTCCGCCAGGATCTGACCCTGCAGCAGAGATCTTGGCCGAGAGACAACAGGTCGATGGTCTTCAGCATCAACCATCTGTGGGCTTACGGTCGGCGGTGCACCAAGCATTTGACAAGAACGACGCGTCACTCTCACGAGACAACTCAGGGTCTACGCCAAGCATGGGAGTCGGGCGCAGTGACACCTCCTCCACTGCAGGTATCAGTCCCATCATGAGTCGGGTGCCGTCTGCGGCGACTGCAGCATTCAATCAACGCCAACGCGACATACAGGTGCCGCCAATTACAGAGGAGCCCCTCAGTACGCCGACTGCAGCGCAACCTGTCGATACTACAAGTCCCAAGACAACGCCCGCAGGTTTCGAGCCCGGCTATCGACGAAGTCTGGATCCTCCTTCCTCTGGCACGTCGCCCGCTCGTACGCCTGGACTGGAAACCGTTGAGTCTAGACGACTGAGCACGCCGCTGTCGGGCGTCATTGCTGCTGATGATCCAGAGGTAGCTGATCAGGGTGCCGAAGTGGTGCAGCCTGATCTGCAACCAGCCGAGACTTCAGACAGTGAGGTTGCAGAAATGGGCAGTGCCTCTGCAGTCAGCACAGCAATTCCGATTACAGGCAGGGGCAGAAGCAACACGGACTACAGTGTGAGGGAGGCTGATATTGCCAATACGATAAATTCGTCCGCTGAAAAGGACCCTGGCTCACCCGAGCTTGCCGAAGCAGCACAAGAAAGCAAAGATAGTCGAGAGACGTTCCTACGAACACACAACCTGCCTACCAGTAGTCCTGTACGAAGTGGAACTCCTACTCGATCTGATAGTCCCGCTAAGAGTCGTGTACGCGAAATTGCCGAAAAATATCAAGGGATCCATGATGACAGCCGCCGCAACTCTGCTGCCAGCATAGGATCAAGCAAATCTGGCTGGAGCACGTTCACGGACGACGCCAACAAGCCCAAGCTGAAGAAGGCTGCCACAAACCAAAGTCTGCTTGCGCAAGAAGTCGCGCCCACTGGACAAGCTCCGCAAGGCCTGGGTGTTTCCAGACCCGACATCAGCCGGGAGGAGAGCTTTCTACCAGATGTTCCTGGAGGCTGGATCAATAGCGCAGCTCCCACGCCATCTGTTGAGACCCCGCCCGAGGTTAGCGCTCGCGATATATCGAGAGATGATGGACCTATCGATCTCACGCCAACAGCGCGGAAAAAAGTTGTTCAGCCCGAGACCATCACTAGATCTCCCATTGAGACTGCCAAGGACATAGGTAACCAACTAGGTGCAGCGCTCATGGGTCAGTACGGTGTAGGCCATGAAACTCGCGACTTTGCGTCAAAAGAAGCGCCGGCTTCAATTGACCAGGCTGAAATGCTACCGAGACGTGCGTATGGAGAGGTCCCGGCGGCCCCCCCTCTGATTCGACACGAAACTGATAGCACCGATGCGCCTACATCTGTGGCATCTTCCGCTGCGCCCACGCCACTGCCTAAGAATGCTCCTGAGCCTTCCACGCCCACCAATGCGCATGGAAGCCTTGGTCCCGGCTACTTCAATTCTGTTGCTCCACTACGGCTGAGAAGCCGCGAGGCAAGCCCCGAGCATGCTACACCCCAGGCAGCCGCCCAATATCCCCATCACGGGCCTGGTGACTCTGCCGAGGATGACCGCATCCGTGAAGAGATTGTGCGAAGCTTGGACGCCGATGATGCTGTGCGCACGCAGGATGCATTGAATGCACCGGACAACGAACGGCGAGTAGAACATGGTGAAGCAGCATTTCCTGCTGCCGCCGCCGGTGCTGTGGGTCTTGGTGCAGCAGCGGCAACTGTTGCAGCCGCTGCACACTCGAAGACGAGTCACACTAAGCCTGGTCTCTTGAACACGAGGTTCAGCTGGGAAAGCAATGCCCTGCCATCTCGAGAGCAACCAATAAGTCCAGAGATCAAACCCGAAGCTGCTTATGAGCGCCCTAGAAGCAAACAGCTGCATGTCATGAATCCCGAAGATGGTGCGAACAGTCCTGATACTCCTGCACTCGAGGATAAACTTCCGGAACTGTCCGCCACAGCTGGGGGACCGCTTCTCGTGCCTGCGATACAGAGACCGGAAGCAGCAGCAGCAGAAGGCGAGATTGTCCGTTCATTGTCACAGCGCGTGAAAAGCCCAGTCTCGCCAATCACGAAAAGCCAGGAGCATCTCGTTCCTGAGACGACAAATGCACCCGGCAGTCCGTCACAATCTCTGCACGACGTGGCTCCTTCGCCCGTGTCAGATGGGAGCCTACGCGTGCCATCCTACTACGCTGATTCGAATCAGGAGATACCGAATGCAGCTTCCATAGCGCCGGGTACTTCGCCTACACTTGCTGCCACTTCACCTTCTCGTCCCAAGAGTTCTGGCCAATCTCAGGTACAGATCCCGGCTTTTCGCAACATTCTGCAGATCAAGGACGCAGATGAACGCATTAAGACGTACACCGATACTCGCCGTACGTTTGCCGATATGAACACGGGACTTGGAGACTGGCTAGAAGCTATGACTGCCCGTCACCCTGATGTCCTAGATGCGGCTGAGATGGGCAAGCCACCGCCATTGGAACCCAGTGTCTCTGCCAGCGGAACGAATCAATGGAAACGAGGGCATCGTGCCGCTGCACCCAGTATGAATCTCACAGGACTGAAGAATCGTTTCACATCGGGTTCAAGTGCGCAAGGTAGTAACCAAGGACAGAATGCTTCTAACGGAGGAGCTGCACCTAGCGGGTTGGCAAGTAGTGATACCGCTGGTGGTAGTGGAGGAGTTGATCTGGACCGAGTGCAACAGCAAATGCAGCAAAAGGGCAAAGTGTTTATGAAGAATGCTGGTGTCTTAGGCAATAAAGCTGGTGCTGGCGCAAAGGGACTGCTTGCCAAAGGTCGATCACGATTTGGTGGCAGCGTTCGTGGCAAAGGTGGAGAGGTATGATTGATTTCCCCTATGTTTCTGCATTCCGAGCACTTCTCTGCACATATACTTTCCACGAACTGGCCATTGGAAGGCGGAGCAGAGTCTGCCGCCATCACCCTTATTTTTCTTTGTGATCCTTCGCTGAGACCGCGCGCTCCAGGCATGACAACAGCTGGGCGTGGAGGTGCGAAGTACAAGAGCTGCCACGAGAGAAGGATACCCGCCGCATTTGAAGCAAGGATGTTGGGAGCTGCGGTGCCAGCGTCATGTTTGTATGACGGGTCGCTGGTGCAATACCCGAATATTTTCCGTCTTGTTACTCACCTGTTCCCTCGCCTTATCTCGCCTCGCCATTTGGTTTCCACTCGTGATGAATTCAAGCTTACGGTAAGTTGCATAGGTTCCTGCCACTTCGACAGCAAAGTCCATTTCTCCTTTCTCAAAGTTGAGAGCTGTTTCTTCGCGGACCTCCTCAGCCGTAGCCCCCCCGGCACAACCTGCTTCGCCCAGCACTAACAGACAACCATCGACCGGAATTGTAACCAATCCCCACTTCCCATCCGCAGGACCAGAAGTGGAAGAAACTGTTTTGCCTGAGAAAGAAGCAATTGCAGAATCATCTTCAGTTCAAGTACATAAGGACAAAGCCTCCATCGAGGATGACGCACGTGGGTGCGATATCGCCGATGTGCAGCCGCGAATAGTGGAAGGGGAACCGCATGTCACTATTGGTGCAGACGAGACTCCAGGTACAAAAGATCGCACTACAACTAGTACAAAGGATTCCTCTGGCCTCGATGAACCGAGAGACGAGACCGATCAACATGCATCACAAGCCGTCCCTGTTGCGACTGTTGTGACTGCTTTGGCGGCACAGATCAGTGATTTGGACAGTAAGAGTGAGGCTGTACGGGAACTTCAAGAAGCCGCACCAATCGTGGCTGAGAGGAATCTGCCCGAGCAGGACGCAGTTGATGCTGGCAACCATGAGCAGGCTTCTGTCAGTGCAGGCCCGAAAGAAACTTTCGAGAGCATGCATGTCTCTCCTACGGGCTTACAGATCGATAATGCAGATTCTGTAATCAACAGTTCCGAACGCAAGCTCGAGGACATTACAACGCCACCCGCAACGGGGCGCGACTCTCCGCCGTCATCCACACTTCCTGGGATCCCCATCCCGCCAGGACATGATCGAAGCTTCTCCGAAGCTGCCATCATCCCACTGAACGGGTCGATCCTGGCACCAGTCTCTGCCCCTATCTCTGCCTCTCCTTTCGAGAATCGACCAGATCTCTCGCGAAAGACATCCGCGGCGTCTTCAACTCTCGCATTTCGAAGACGCGAAGGAAGTGCCACGCCTAGCTCGAGGTCCAGCAGACCACTTAGTGATGTCTTCGATCGTCTCCGCGGCTGGAGTCGCTCTCGGGCGGAGAGAAGTCAAAGTCGACCCGACAGCCTTGTCCTATCACGTTCGAACCTATTGAGTGATGAATGCTTACAGACATCTGTTGGCGATCAGTCTCAGACAGCTCGCGCGATCAAAGGCGACAAAGTTAAGGAGGACGACAGGCAGAGTACAACACAGAAACCTCCGCACACCGCGGCAGGAGACTTTGCTTTGACAGACTTGAGTGATGTGGCCGTCGATTCAACAGGAACAAGCTCGTCCAATCCTCCTCTGACGTCTCTTGGTCTCGCGCAGAGGACTGAAGCTTGGAACGAGCCCGACGCACAAATTCCACCCAAAACCCCGGAAACTGAGCGTCAGAGTTTCAATCACGGCAGGTTGGGCCTCCTTCCCTCACCTGCACCGACTGCTACAACGTTCATAGATGGCGAAAGTGGTCCAAGACGTGCAAGTACTGAGCAAGCTCGAAGAAGATCTTCCGCGCTCGCCTACGGGTTGTGGAGAGTAGGCCTAGAGGATCAGTACGCAGGCGGAGACAAGTTGGGCCCGGTGAAGAGCAGACCAGAAAGCGAAGAGCAACTGGCAATGAAAGATGGAGTTGCTGAAGCTCTGCCGACAGATGCAGAAAGCACGAACGCGGCGCGTTCTCGAAAGGGGTCTCCTGCAAAGAGGCCGCAGCAACAACGCAAAGTTTCCGATATCACCACTCTGCCTTCGCAGCAACGACGAGCTTCGGAGAGTGTTTCACGTCCTTCAAGTATCTATGCCGGAAGTCCTCAGCTCGGAAACCTTTCGCAATCCAAAGCTGATAGCTTTGCGGCTCTGATCACTAATCGTAATGAGAATGGCATGCTTGTCCCAGCGCACAGCAGGAACATCAGTCAGGTTTCCGGGATCACAGATGCAGAGCTTGTAGAGGCGAGTCCGGTTACGATCCGAGCTGCTGAGCCGACTCTGTTGCAGCATGAGACCACCCCAGAGAGTCAATTGAGATGGGAGCATGCAATTGCCGAACAAGAGGCCGAGATTGAGAGGTTGAAAGGCGGGCACTCGCCCCTCCAGGACGGAGCGCTGGATCCTGTTCAGGCTGCTCCTGCTCAAGTCCGCAGAACTGGAGGGGCTTTTGCATCCATCATTGCGTCCGCTACTGCTAGGAAGGAGAGGCAGAAACATGTCGAAGCCCAGCCCAATCCTTATGTACTGTCTGACCCCGGCAAGGCAGCTCACGGGAACGGTCTTGAATCACTGCGGCGTCTGAGCTCGGGAGAGAATTGGGATGATGCGAGGAGTGAAGTCTCAGCCGAAGAAGGTGCCCAAAACGACCGCTTCCATCGAAGCACTCATCTGAGCGAAAGCAGGAGGTCCAGCGTCAGCAGTATCGGTATCAATGCCATGGCGCCACCCACAGGTCTGAGAACGAGTTCTGGACAGCATGGTGTCGATCTCGCAGCTGTCAACGCCGCTGGATCCGTGACGATGTCACGATCGGAATCACCAAAATCGCAAATCTTGCAAAACTCTTCGGCTGTTGCTGAGGATCTGCCAGCGAGCCCGGACACAGTTAGGGCGCCAGCGGACCAGACAGATTCATCCACAAGGCCCATGCCATCGCAATCTGTGGGATCCGGACCGATTAGTACTTCGACGAATCCACTGCAAACCTCGCCGAATGCAGGCACAGAGGCCAGACCGCAGCTTGCGCATGCCCGAACGGTTTCACAAGGCCTTTTGCCTGGTATGCAATCCCCTGCCAAGGGCACGAGCGACTTCCAGAAGAGATTCTCGCAGAGGTTCTATGCTCGGCGACGTGATATGGGCGAGCGACCATTGTCTTATATGGCTCTTCCTAGAGACGAGGGTGGCTACGTGAAAGAAGAGATCAATACAAACGCTACAGATCCATCCGCAAGTCAAGAAGTTGTAGGACTGGCATCAGACTCTACAGCTCTGGATTCTGCCCGGGGCTCACCCATGGCTGTCCACGACACGCCACCCGCTGCTGATATCAGTGCTTTGAGTGGACCGCCTGTTGGTGCGCCTCTATTTCAGCAACATCCTCTTTTTAGAAACAGTGTGGTCGACGTGCAGCCTACTCAGTATGAGAAGATGCGAAGCACTTCGCGCCAAGGGGGTGTTTTGACTAGTCCTGGACTTACGGACGGAGGAGATGGTCCTAATAATGGACCAGGCTACTTCCGTGATGCTCAACCACTGACGACCAACATCCCTGGCAGAGATGTTATATCGGACAATCACGGACTCGAGGATGTTCATGACTGGGGCCAGACAGTGACCACACCGCACGACGAAGGTTCTGGCAGCATGCCGCAAGAAGACCAAAAGCATGCGAAGCGAAAGAGTGGCATGTGGAATGCTTTCTCGAACAGGCGCGCGCCAGATGGTGCAAATCTGGATATTGTTGAGTCTGTTGCACCACTTGCCAGTCTGGAGAATGCTGAATCTGCGAATGCGAACGTCACAGCTGGCGAGCCTGAACGCACAGATACCGTTCGGAGAGGCAAGAAAACCTTGACCAAGCCTCAGCGGATGAATTCGAATGCTGTGAAGTTGTCCGAGATAGAACCCAAGAAGAAGCGTTTCTCAGGCTTGAAATCCTTGCTCGGAAGATCGTCTACCAGTGCTGGTGACGGAGGGTCGAGTTCACAAAGTAGAGAAGTGAAGACTAAGAAGTTGAGTAAGATGGCACCTGCGGCGCCTACTCCACCACGAAATTATCAGCCTGGCAATTCAGCCACGGTGAAGGGAAGCATAAGCACTTATGAGGAATACGAAAGGGCGAGGAAGGGGCAGATGGCTGCATACTCCGAGAACACTAGTCACGTACAACAACAGCTTGCGCGTGCGCAGACTGAACCGACACACAGCTCGGCTGTTGACCTAGACAGCACGCCAACAGGCCCGCCTGTCGATGGGTGGTACGGGCCTAGCAGCCAACATACTCACCAAGATGGCGCTGTGCGCGGTAGGCAGGGTGAAGGGAGTGAGCAAATGCATGCCACACAGCAGACAACAGATCCCAGGCGTTTCAACAGGTCTGGCTCGCCTCAAGGACGACATTTAGCCAGAGTGCCAGAAGCTTTCAGGCCTGTGGATGCTTCATTCAAGAGGCCTGTTGAGCCCATAGGGCCTCCGCCTGAACATATGCCTCCAATGCGAGACTTTGGACCTCCAGCGCGAGCTCCTTCGCAGCAACAATACGTTCGTGGCAGACAAGACAGATCTGGCTCGAATGGCTCACTGCCAATAATGGGACGATCTGAGTATTACGCAACTGGACAAAGACCATTCGGAAGCGCGGCGACGATTACACCAGTGCAGCAGGGATTGTCGCAAATCCAAACTCAAGGGCATGAGCCACGTGATAGAGTAGTGTCTATGGGGACAGAGCTTGCAAGAAGTCCGGCCAAGGACTATCAAGATCAACAGACTCCTTTTGCTATCACACTTCCAGCGGATAGCCAGCCTAGCACACGCGAAGCGTCGTGGTCTGAAGGTCGTCTACCTTCTCCGGTGCATGCACAGCAACAGCAGCCTCAGCAGTATTACTATGCTGATTCTCCGCCCCCTCGAACGCGGTCTTCGGAATATCAAGAACAGTATCAGGAGCAGAATCTAGTCTACGCGCGGCCTGACGCTCGCCACGTTTCAGGAAGTGCACTGCCACAGAGACCCAGCTATGGGGGAGGCGACTTACCAGGACAGGCCTACAGCCACGACCGAGGCGCTTATCCCTCGCCACCGTACTCGCCCCAGCAACTCCAGAGTCGCTATCAAGCGCCTCATCCTCGGCCGCAAGCTTCATACGACTGGATGTCCCGTCAAGCTCTCATTCAAGGTCAAAATTACTCGCATCCCGCACAGGCACCAATGTATCAGTCTGGTATCGAAGCTGGCGCGCAGGCGAATTGGTATCCTCGTCCCCAGCAGCAGCAACAGCACCACCAACGGGACAGACCAGTCGAGCAACACCGGAGGTATTATTCACAAGGTGCACCACCACCGCAACATTATCCTCCTCCCCCTCCAAGACCGGGTTATGGAATCGGCGGTATACAACAAAGACAATTCATGAGAGGTGAAGAGGGTGGTGTGGATTACAGGAGAAGATCCAGTGCAGCAGGATACAGTGGACGAAGAGACGATCCTGCTGTGGGTGAAGATGAGGTGGATATGATTATGCGAGGGGTCAGTTATCCTGGTCAGGAGTGGGATCCTTATTCGGGAAGATATTGATGATGATGACGATGACTTCTGAAGAGAGGGAGAAAGAAAGAAAGAACAGGGGAGGGGCTAATGGGAAGAAAGAAAGGTACACGATTATGAATGATGACGCCTTTTAATGTCTCTTTCTCTAGTCACTAAAGTAAGGTACATAAACAGACATGTGGATATTCCGCTTCGGGGAAGGAAAGGGGAAGCGGAGAGAAAAGGGGAGGATTTTCAACTCTTTGGCGTTCAAGCGACTGACTGATTTGATTGATTTGATTCATTGCATGCATGCATTTTCTGGCGCATGGAAACCTCCTGACTTTTGTAAGGTGGTGGGACACATATGATATTTCTTCTTCGTCAATTTTTTATCTGAAATTTTGTGTTTGTTTGTTTTTTTTGCACATTTGACAACAGCGTGATCAAGAGCAAGCAAGCGAGCAAGCAAGGCAAGCAAGCACTACTACCTACCTCTACCTAGGTACATACGTATATAGGTACCTTTTTACTTAGTAATACAGATTTCAAGAGATTTGAGAAAATAGGGCCAGCTACCTCCTAGTAACAGAATAAGACAGACAGTTTATGAAATTCTTTAGGAAAGGGTTTAAGTGAGGGAAGATGGAAGAAGAAGAAGCCACGTTTCATATGTATATTTTATTCGGGAGTGCGTTTTAAATTATATGCAGGTGAGGTGTTCTTTCTTGATGGGCCTGGATGAATTGCTTGATCGTTCGATTTGACTGACTGACTCTATTCTCTAGAGTTTCTCGGGGGAGCTTATTCGTGTGATCAGTGTCGCAGTTCTAGATTAGTACAGAGAGAGGGAGAGGGAGGGAGAGAGAGATTTAGCAAGATGCCGTAGAAGCAGGAACCAAGCAATGCTCAAATACATTCGTAGATATCTTCTTCCATACCATACCGTTACCCTACCCTGGGCGCATTGCAGCATGCATGCAGATCGACTTTTTTCTATTCTGTTCCAGCAAAAGTCTCCACACCATTTCCACGCTAATAAGATCAGACAACAAGCACCTTGTGATGCGCCTGACGCCTCGCCTCATACATACTCTCCAGACAGACACGCCGGGCTTGCCTATGCCACACCCCCTACAACAAGTGCAGCGAGTCCTTCCTCCTCGGAACGGGCTGTAATTTTGACCGTTACTCCACTCTTCGCCGAGTAAGCCATTCTTACAGTACCCGCAACCTTGCCACCGGTGACGGACTTTCCGTAAAGTCGTAATGTATGTGTTGACGTTGACAAAGCCACCTCTGACCCTTCCAAAGGCTGCATGCCCAGAGCCTTGACAAGCAGTTCCACAGCATCTGCAATACTCTTAGCATTACTGAGCTGCAATGTCTCACTCGCTTCACTAGCATCGGGAATGCTGGTCCAGATGTTATCGAATGACCCAGCAAATGCGGGTACCACGTAGTCCGAGCCGTCCAATTCGAGGTCATTAGTTTGGTATTCATCTTCGTAACCACCTTCTTCGGGCTCGCCAGTTGTAGGGTCGATCTCCTTGAGCGTGAACTTGAGCACATTTGTGAAAGAAGCTGCAACGAATTGGCCAGGAGGTTTCGAGAAGGAGACGTAGACAGTCCCAGGCTCGTCGGACTTGAGCAGATCCACAGGGATAACAAAACCATCGTCCACGAGAGCGGACTCTTCCTCTTCGTCAGGAGACGAAGGTGTGCATATAACCGAGACATCAGATAGGACATAATCGGCCAAAGTATTTTTAATGTCGAACTGGATGACGACGTGTTCCTTGAACAAGTGTTTGACTGCAGAAACGACGTATTCGGTCTCGGATTCTGTGAGTTCGACAATCGACGAGGATTTGAGGACGCCGCCATATGAGGAGAATTCGGGGATTGCCGAGAGTTGCGAGGCATACTTCTGCGTTTGCGCAGATGCTTGAGCGACGACTTCCGCGGCGGATGCGTCTGTCTTCTTTGGACCAATCGTGGGAGCCTTGAGCGTTGGAGTGGCGGTCGTGAGCTTCTTTGTGCGGTCTTCGGCGAGAGACTGTTCGCGAGTGACGACTGGTACACTGGAGAAGTCGAAGGGGTTGGCAAAGGCCTCTGCTGACCCGCCATTGACGTAGTGTGCGAGTTGGTCTTCGAGGATGGGGAGGGAGAACATGGAGTCTGCAAAAAGTCAGTATGGCAAGTGCACACAGTTCACATCGAGTCTCACCATTTCTGACGAATCGTCCCGAGAACTCATCATCATCATCTTTCATCAGTCGCAAATTCAGTGCAGCGCGATCGCGAACTTCATCATCAGTATCGTCGAGACATCTCTTAAGCAGCACGCCGACACTCTTCTTGACTTCTGGATCCTTCTGCCCGACACCGAATTTGGCCAGCGCAGTAACTGCTGCAGCACGCACGATCGCATTTTCCAGTACAACTCTATTGTAGATGTAACGAATGTACTTTGTTGGCTGCGCAGTCTTTGGTCCTTCCATGCCAAGCACGTGCAGAATACGCACGGCAAGTTTGGTGAATTCGCAATCTTCGATGAACTCACACAAGTGTGCCAGCGCCTCGTCCCTCGCTTCTGGCACGAACTTGATAAGATCGAACATGCTTTCCACCACACTGCGCTTGAAGTCGTAGCCGCCCTCGTCGCGCAGAATTCCGGAAAGGAAAGAGAGCATGCGGGCTTGCTTGGATGGGAACTTCAAGCATAAGGTCCTGATGGCTTCGACAATGGTCACCTTGAACTCGTCTGTGATTTCCGACATGAAGGTGCTGATTTGTGTCATGAGGCGATCAACCGAGGACTCATTTCCAGTCTTGAGAAGTGTCGTGATGGCGAACGTCGCAATTGATCGGTTCGAGTTCGAAATGAGGCTTTCAATGTCAGGATTGCACTGTCGCACAGCATCCGGTTTGAAGGAAGCGAATTGGTGGAGGATCCTGATTGCAGCGAATTTGGTGACAGCTCTCGGACTGGTCAAGAAAAGCTGCAGCACATGTATGGCCTGGCCGATCTCGGCATCCGTCAGATCCGGCATGTCTCCGATGGCCTTTGCCGCCTCGAAGTTGACCATTTCGCTCTTGTCCCGCAACCACTCGTCCAAAAGTTTCATCATCGGCCTCCTCAAGCTCGGGTCGTCCTCTGCCAATTTTGCAGCCAGTCGCACTAACATAACTCTCGCGGCCGGGCTCTTAACAACGCCAGCGGCAGAATACTGTTGCACCATCTTGACCAGAGCCATGCGATCATGACTCCTCATCTGGTAGAGCAGACCAATTGCATGGTACTGCGTCATGTAGTTCGTATTCGCGGGAAGGTGTTGCGATGAGCCTCCGAACCCCATGAACCCTCCACTCGACTTCGTGGAAGAAGCTGCCTCCTGTGTCTCGCTCTGCCATCTCTTCACGATGTCCTTCGCAATTGGCAGCAAGTGGTAACTAGACACCAAAGCAGCAGAAGAGACGGACGGCGTCTTGTCCACAATGGCAGTCTTGATATTCCTCTCAATTGCCTGCACGGTGGAAGCATCTATGATGCGGCAGAGAGCTCGAATAGCATTGGCGCGGTAGACGACATCACTTCCCACGGCAGTATCCTTCATAATGGAGCTGGTGACCATGATGACATCTTCGGCGGTGTTGGCAAGCTCCTTGATGATCAGGTAGACCATCTGGCGCAGCGAGGCATCCTTGTTCTGGAACAATTTGGAGATGCCAAAGAAGAGGGAGGTTGCTTCGTTGGTGGGGAACTTCTCGCCGGACGAGAGCAGGAGCGCGAGTTTCGTGAGGAGGATGCGACATTTTCGCGGTGAGATGGGCGAGATGTTGAAGACGCGCGCTATATGATGGATCAGCAATTGGCCTAGGGGCGGAGTGGGAATGGGGGGAGGGGGGTGGTAGAGGTGGTGGTGATGTTGGCGGATGTGCTCCTGGGAGGTGAAGAGATGGCTACTGACCTTCCTGGAAGACAGAGGTGCGGTCGACCTTGAGAATGCCGGCGTCGTCTTCGTCCTTTTTGTTGAGCGCCATTGTGGGATTTCTAAAGAAGAGGCAAGAATACGGCGCCCAGGAGGTGTCAGCTAAGGTATGGAGAGATGTCGTTGCCAGATGTTCACCTCCACGCCAAGACTGCCGAAGCAGAGCCGCATCGCATCGCGTCCCGCATCCCACATCCCACATCACTACCTACTCCTACATGTACCTCCATACTACTGGTAACACCGCTTCACATCGGGAACACACCACCACTACCGAGACATAGTAGCAACGAACAACACCGCCAACATGAATAACATGCCCGACATGCCCATCAACGTCCCCGTCGACGACCCCAACGCCGACACCGAATGGTATTCCTCCACTCCATCAATACCTTAGTCAAATACACAACATACTGAGACCTTGATTCTCAGGAACGACATCCTTCGCTCCAAAGGCATTATCCCCGAAAAAGAGCCCTCTCCCACTCCTCAAATCGAAGCGGCCCTCCTCCAAGCCCGCGAACTCGCACACGAAAACCGTCTCGAAGGCAAGGACCTCGATGAATTAGACGAGCTTGAAGACGACGAAGACGAAGCCTTCTTAGATCAATACCGACAGAAACGAATGGCGGAGATGAGCACTCTCCAACAAACCAGTGTCTTCAATCAGGTATACCCCGTGCAGAAACCGGATTGGAGTCGTGAAGTCACAGACGCCTCGAAAGACGCGTGGGTCTTGGTGTTGTTGACGAGTAGTATGGGAACGAATGTGGAATCCCAATTGATGGTCGAGATCTGGCGGTCGTTAGCAGTGAAGTTTGGGGATATCAAATTCTGTCAGATTCGAGGCGATTTGTGTATTGAGGGCTATCCGGATCGCAATACTCCTACGGTGTTGGTTTACAAGGATACGGAAATCAAGAGGCAGATTGTCACATTGAAGGAGATCAACGGTGCAAAGACGAGTGTGGCAGATATGGAGAAGATTCTGTTGAGTTTAGGGGCTGTCAAGCACAACGATTCGAGGTTGAAGAGAAGGGATGGGGACGATGAGAGGGAGGAGGAAAGGCCATACAGAAGTATCAGGCAGGGTGAGAGGAATTCAGGGGACGATGATGATAGCGACTGGGATTGAGAGCTGCATGGGGGGCTGAAGGCGGAGGAAGATGAATGACCGCAGAGCTCTCAGTGCCCAACAGTTTGGGACGAAGATTGCGACGCAAAAGGTGACAGGATGCGATGAACGCCGCACCCCAAATCTCGTCCATGACCGGGCAACAGCAGGCTGCGTCACGACATATGCGCATTCTGCAGCTTTGTGGAAGATGACGAGCGATCCCGCCGCAACCAGCTTGGTCTTTGCGGACGTCCCACGGAGTCCAGATGAAATTGTTATAAGCCTTATAGAACAGCACGTTCGCTTATGCGATGGCGTACATCTCAGCGCATGGGCAAGCTAGCGTGGAGGAGCACCCTGTACGAAGTGGAAACTTCTGAAGACTCTCCCGTGCACTCCACTCGTTCTGCTACTCGGCTCTGTTTCTCATACCACTCAAGCGGCATGATTATGACAGGCAGTCATGATGTAGTACTAGCGTACCTATGTTTTATGAGGTGACCAACCTAGCTGCTCTCACGTGCAGATGATCTGTGCTTTGGCCGTTCGGACCTCCGCAGAGCCGCATAGAGATAGTTTGATTCCATACCGTACCCATACCAATGTACCTATAACCTCTCCTCTTTCCACCCGCTTCACCTCTCCGCCCCGATGTCCAAACGAGTGTGCACCTCCCTTCTCTCCGCTCCCTTGCGCTCCCGCTCCCATCAGCCGACATGTCTCCTCGTCCGCCATCACCAAAACCAAAACCAACAACCACCGTCCACCGCTAGTAGCAATCGCCGTGCAACACGTCCCTTCTCCTCGTCCGTAAGAAGAAATATCGTCGAGCAGCGAGCAGCCCGCATGGGCCAACCTAAAGCGCAAAAGTCTATGGCCGTCAAACAAAAAGAGAGCATGGAGCGCATGGCAGCTTCTGGCGAAATTCTCGACTACCTTGGCGTCCTCCGGGGCACCTTCGTTCCCCCAACAGGCCGGAACCTCCCTTCTCTCTTCTCCGACTGGCGAGGTCGAAGGACTATTCTGTACTACCAATTGGTGAGCTGGTACCACGTCCTACAGAGCAGATTCATCGCCTTTTGGCTCGTCAAACCACGGCTGAAGCTTGAAAAAGCCCAAACTCCCGCCATCGCTCAGGCGTTGTACAAGGACATGTACACAGCTTTGGCGGGCGGAGAGGTCGAGTTGGGGAAAATTGAAAGACATCTGCATCCGGGATTGAAATCTTCTCTACGTGCAAGGATCGCTCAACGAGCACCGAATACGTTTATGCAGTGGAAGTTGCACCGGTATATGGCGCCTCGGGAGTGTGTATATTTCAAGTTTGGGCTGCTCGATATGTCGGGTCCGCGCACGGAACGTACGGGTATGATCCAGGCCGTAGTGAGGATCAAGTCGCAGCAATCACTTCTGACGTTTCAGAGGAGGAGGATCAAGGATCCCGCGAATCCGAGGGGGCCGCCGGTGATGACTGAGGTGCCTGTGGATCGCGATGGTAAGGTGATTGTGGACTTTGACCAGGAGGTGGAGGAGAGGCAGAGTTTGAAGACAGTGGAGGAGTATTTTGTCATTGAGAGGACACTGTTTAAAGGTGTATTGGGGCCTTGGAGGGCTTGGGGGACGACACATGAGACGACATTGGCAGAGATCAGGAAGATGGAGAAGGCGAAAGCCAGGTAGTTGTTGCATGGCGGTGGGCCGAGTTCGGCATGAAAGTAGAATGGTTGACGATGACCTGGGAAGGACGAGACTTCGATCTAAGACGTAAAGCGTGACGGCAAAGTGATACTGCTCAATCTCCTCGACCAGTCGACAAGATCCGCGAAGTGCCATCTCTCAAGAAATTAAATTCCATCTCTAGGATGCCACAAAACTTGCCTGTGTGGCAGTACTTGCACCCGCGCCCCAGACCCAGCACTCCCCACAAGACGGCGCCGTTCCAGCGGCATAAATTCCAGAAGACGCCAGAAGCCCCAACTTGAAGTCTTGACGAGAAACCAATCTCCCAACCTTCCATCGCCTTTCTCTTCTCTACACCACTTCCACGATACGAAAGAGTGAGCGCCCGCAAGGGCAAAATATATTCATACCTGTCAGTTGAAATGTTATGGAACACATCTCACATACCGTCGGGAGACATCGATGAGAACTCTACAGGGCATATCAAGGAAAAAGAAACGAAAAGGCCAAGTAGGTAAGACTAGGTATTTTCAAACCCCCTAGCAGATCGAAAGTCAAATGGTATATCCCTCTCCCCTCCCGCAGCATTCGAGTCCAAAATACTGAATCCAGACACTTCAATACGTCTTCGGAAGAGGCAAAAGCAAAACCAATCGTCGTCCTTGATGGAATGTGCAGCGAAAATTGCAGCCCTCTCTTTCGGATATCATATTGACCTGGTGAATGGCAAAACTCATACTTCCTTCATCTTAGGAGTATCATGGTTACATAATAGCGACGTTCCAATAACAAAGGAATTTCAAAGATCGCAATCAGAGATAGGGGTTTCCAAACAGAAAAGTAACCGACGGTGAAATCGACGAGATTGAGAGACTAACTATCAAGGACAAGAAAATTGGGACTCAGCGGAGGAATATTGTTACGTGATTGATCTGGAAGGCGGATCTATATACTTCGTCGAGTATATTATGCAATGTACCTATACAACTAGACCGGCACATGGTAGTTGAAGCCTTTTTCAAAACTACATGTACTCAGGGGTAACATGATGGTGCCTACCTTACGAACACTTGCTATGCGTGCTACTCAAAGAAACTCTCTGACCTCCAGGTGAGTATAACACGGTCGATAAGAGCAAAAGAAAGGAGCAACAACCCATTTTCGACTATGATAGCGTAGATAGCGAAAGTACTGGAGACCAGATTGGTTCCGAGATTGCAAGAATGTAGAGTGCATTAACCCAGTACTTGTCCACTTCACGCAGCAACACCATCGCATTCCCACATCAAACTCTCTTGAAAAAGACCCATCCAGACTGTGCGATCCGACACACAATCAAAGACATAGCTCCGATCGTCATACACAGCGCAGACATCACCCATACATCTATCCTCTTGGAGTCAGTCAAAACCCGGTGCGCTATGAATGGAAAGGTACCCTATAGAAGGTACATACAAGTATAGCTATGGGTCACCTTCAAGATATGTCCAAAAATAGGACAACCGACCAAAACTCCAAACGAAGGAATAGCGAATGCCATTCCCATTCTAGTGGTCCAGAGTCTAGGATCTGAAGTCATTTGTAAAATCGTACTCTGCGAGAAGAAAAAAGAATCGTAGTTAGAAATTTTTCGAACAAAAAGAAGGAAAAAAAGGGGGAAGTCCACGACCATATATATGTGTGTGTGTGTGGGTTGAAATCGAGGACTTACGGGACCCAATGTAACCACCGCTCCAGAGAAAAATCCATAAAAAGTTGCCAAGGCAAAGATACTGCCGCAGGAGGAGGAGGAGGAGGAGGAGGAGGAGGAGGAGGGAGCGGAGATGAATGAGAAACAGATAGTAATGGTAGCGAAATAGAAGAGAATTAATGTGTTGAAGATCCCGAGTCGTGGTGTCAAGAATGGAGGGAAAAGTCTTCCGAAAAAACTTCCGGCGTTGATTGCGGTGATGATGTAGAAGGCTGTTTGGGAGGATGTTATGTCGAGGTCAATGGCGTATAAAGTGGTGTAGTAATATGGTGCTTGCATGCCTGCCATGGTGAAGATGCCGCCGATGAGATAGATGATGAAGGGGAGGTCTTTGAAGGTAGTTTTGTCGATGAGATTGCGGCGGCGGCGGATAGATGGGGATGGGTGCTTTTGACAGCCAAGGGCTATTATGATGCAGGAGGGAGATAAGGTGATGAGGGCGAGAAAGCCGAGGAATCTGGTCGCCCATGGAAATCCGGCGGAGCTTTGCAAAAGCTGGCTGAAGCCAAGGGAGTATACAACTCCTACATATACCATTCATCGTGCTGTCAGCAAATTTCAAGCCAGACTGCTACAAATATGTAGGGAAGTGGGATATAGAACTCACCGCCAACACTGGCTCCTGCGCCAGCCACTCCAGCCGCCACTCCCAACTGTTTTCCCTTCCAAAACCTCCCTGGCATCGACGCAGCAGGCGTAAACATCAGTCCCCAGCCCAGTCCTACACAAGTCGCTTGTGCCAAGAAGACCTGATAATACTCGCCCTCTTGCGCAAGACTCAACATCATCTTGCCCAAAACAGTCAAAGCCGCTCCCCCGCATACCAAGTAAGTTGCATATCCGGCATCGTACAGAGGTCCTGATAGGAAGCCTACGAAGAGGAGGAGAAAATTTTGGACGGAGCCGTTCCAGGCTATGGTGGAGGGAGAGTATTGAGAGAGGAGAGAAATTTGATAGTGGGTTTGGAAGACTCCATAGGCATTTATGGCGCCCCAGGAATTGAACCAGATGAAGAAGGAGGCTGGGATGATGAGATAGGCGAGTAGGCTATGGGTTTCTGGAGGATTGTTGACAGCATCTTTTTCTTTTTCTTTTTCTTCTTCTGATGTTGATGTGGCAATAAAAGTCTTCTCGACCTGATCGATAACACACTCTTTTGGTTCTTTTCGAAGCTGGTCTTCTAGTGGTGCGTCACATTTCGGATCATTGATGCTGTACTCCATGAACGCGCTAGTTCCTTCGGTAGCTTTGTCCGAAGAAGACATTGGGTTTCTCGCGTAGCGAGCGAGTCTGAGAATCGTCCTCAGACCTTTCTTTTCTAGACCATGCTCAATGCTATCTGATAGCAGGATATCGTGGCGTGGGATTATATCGTTGCAGCTCCTGCTTGTCCCTGGAGTTCCGTCGTAGTAACAGCACAGTAGACCCAAGCCGTTCTTTTGGGTCACCCGATAGAAAAGATGAAGTCTCAAGCACAAGTAAGAAGTACTGCAGCATAGACAGGCTTGCCTGGTCTGGGGCTAAACTGTATCAGGTTAGTTCCACCGCTTGGTACAGTACCACAGGTACCATTGTTGGTCTCTCTTTCTAGTTTCTACTACCTCCCATCCCTACTACACATCTTTTGCGCCTAGGAATACATTCTCGACCATTATTCATGGACTGGCAACGCGGACACCTGGAGCCATAGAGTCGTGAGGCCCACCTACGGCTGACTGCAGAGCATACAACTGTTGGAGTTGGGCTAGGCGATGCGTGAAGACGAGGCTGGCTGGCTGCAAGGCTGCTAGCTAGGCCTGGAAATTTCGAATGTCTGGGATGGCTCGGAAAAGGCAAGGTCATACGACACTTCGCGAAGGTGCGGAGACTGACGAGGGCTATGTTGTGCGCCTACTTTCTTATGCATCGTGATTGTGAAGATGCTTCGAGTTGCCCGTGCAGGGAGGTGGTTTTGTCGTCGCAGAGCAATTTGACCCTAAGGTAGACGTTACAAAATCTACGGGAAGAATAACAGAGGAGGCGTTGGTACGGCTTGTTTATTGTTGACGTTGTGCTCGTGCTCGTGCTCGTGCTATTGGACTGTTAGCACGAAGTCGAGAGTATTCTGACAATCCGTGAGTGAAGCAGTGTATGGTCCAGTCTCCAAACCACCCGACCACCGCACACCAGCTCCTCCTCCTCCTCCACTAGTTCCTCCGTATTGGGCAGTCCGCCGAAGAAGGGAACGGGATTGGGAAAGGGGATGGGGAAGGGGGTGAAGAGTGGCATCGCGGGCTCAAAGGCGGCGACCGCACAGCGAGCACGGGATTATATTATGATTGGTTTTGGCGTGTAATGGCTGTCTGAATACGGTATGGACAGAGGTCAATCCCGATGGTGATGTCATGGCCTTGTCGGTGTCTCGGAAAGACAAAACCCCACAATCTGGTTGTGAATCTCCCAAGGTGGAAAGGTACGTACCTCACTAGACCTCCTCTAGTCGCGAGCACCTCCTAGTGTAAGTGTAGGCGCCGCGGAGTGGAGCGCGTTCTTCCGTCCTCCCTCCCTCTCTCTCGAATAATGAGATGCTCCGACTCTTCCCTCTTCCCGCGTAATACTTAGAAAACCTCAGCTACTGAACGGAGGAGCGCTTCTTGCTCCGGTCCACCGTTTTCCGCAGACTGAACGAAGACGGAAGATGGTGATTTCAACGGGTACCTGCTTGTAGGCGGCGTCGTAATGGGACGAGGCGCAATAATCAGCAGCAGCATACCACACCGGACTCCGCCATTGTACACTCCTCCGCTGCTGAGCACCATCTACCGACTCTCTTTGATCCTCCCTATACAATCTTTATCCTCCTGAAAAGAACAGGAGCCACAAAATGGGCTACGACTATGCCCTCGTGTACGTTCTGCCCCCCTCTTAAACCCTCACTCGTACCTTAGGTACTAACTGACTCTCGTTGAACGATACACTGACAAATTTTTCAGTCATCTCAAGTACACGCTTCCACCCGCAGCCCTCCTCTCCCTCCTCTACTTTCCCCTCTGGACGCGCCTCGACTCCTACAAACTGCTCTTCCTCATCACCATTGCCGTCACTTCCACCATTCCCTGGGACAGCTACCTCATTCGCACCAACATTTGGTCCTACCCGTCCAATGTTGTCGTCGGTTTCAAAATCGCCCAGATCCCCATCGAAGAAGTCTTCTTCTTCGTCATTCAAACGTACAATACGGGCCTCTTGTATCTCATCACCTCGAAAGCCGTGCTGAAAGAGGCTCTATTGGAAAGGGAAGATCGCGGGCGGGTGGGACAACAATGGAAATACATTCGATGGGGTGGACAGATGGGTTTGGGCATTGCACTACGATATGGAGTCAAGTGGGTCCATGAGGGAAAGGAAGAGACGTATTTGGGTTTGATCTTGATCTGGGCCTTGCCGTTCTTGCTGTTACTCTGGAGTTTGGCATATCAGTTGTTGGTGAATTTACCTGCCAGTTGCACGCTCTTAAGCATTGCCATTCCCACTGTGTATCTCTGGGTCGTGGACACCTTGGCTTTGCAGAGAGGGACGTGGGTGATTTCTCAGGGAACAAAAACGGGGGGCGAGCTGTGGCCTGGCTTGGAGATTGAAGAAGCCGTGTTCTTCTTCTTGACCAATTGTTTGATCGTCTTTGGTTTGGTGGCTTTTGATAATGCTGTGGCCGTTTTGAATGCTTTTCCTGCGCATTTCCGGAATGTGCCTGAACTGCCGAGTCCTTGGTTGTTGGTGAAGGCTTTACTCTTACCCGCCTCGACGTACGATGATGATAGAATTTTGGGTTTGCAGCAAAGTGTGGCAAGATTGAAGAGGAAGAGTCGGAGTTTCTATCTGGCTTCGAGTACTTTTCAAGGACGATTACGCATCGATCTCATCATCTTATACTCTTTCTGTCGAGTTGCTGACGATCTGATCGATAACGCGGAAAACGAGACCATCGCCCGAGACTGGCTGAAGAAGCTGTCCAGGTATTTGGATCTCTCGTATGGAACCGCGAATCAAAATGGCCAAGGGAAAGTCATTCCCAGCAACGACATGAACCGCGGCCAAGCGACCCTCTTCATCACACAGAACTTCCCACCGGAAACACAGCTTGCTCTCATCCTGCTGCCAACGCGTATCCTCAGCAAAGAACCACTCTACGAACTCCTCAAAGGCTTCGAAATGGACCTCAAATTCGCATCAGACTCACGCTCCAACTCCCCCAAACCGAGCATCTCCGGCCCGATCAAGTCCGAACAAGATCTTGACCTCTATGGTGCGCGCGTTGCCGGCACCGTGGCTCTCCTATGCATCCAGCTCGTCCTCCATCACAACCCTTCCTCAACCTCCGACACTCTAGCCCGGAAACTCATGCTCAGCGGCCACGACATGGGAGTCGCACTCCAATACACTAATATCGCTCGCGACTTGGCTGTCGATGCCAAGATCGGACGCTGCTACGTTCCTGCTCCATACTTATCCGACGTCTCTTTGAACCCTGCAGCTTTCGTTGCTGGACTCACTACGACGTCCAAGGTTGAAGATAAGTTTTGGGCCAAAGTGAATGTGGTGAGACAGAGATTGCTGGACCGGGCTTTCAAGTTTTATGATGAGGCCATTCCTGCTGTGGAGGAGTTGCCGATTCAGGCTCGAGGGCCCATGCGAGTGGCCGTGGAGAGTTATATGCAGATTGGGCGGGAGTTGAGGGCAAGGTCTACTCATAAAGAGGGATCGTTGCGCATGATACAGGGCCAAGGGAGAGCTACTGTGCCGAAGTGGAAAAGAATTTGGGTGGGTTGGCGGAGGTTATTGGGACCTGCCCAGAGGAAGAGAAGTTGACATGCTATTTGAATGGTATATAGCCATGATATCGATTTGAGCATTTTGAGTGGGCGCATTGCTCATGAGCATGGCGTGGACTCGTATGTTAGATACCCCTTCACGCGAGCAGGAGATGACGAAGCATTGCGCCAAGATCTTTTGTCTCTTGCACGATTCTTGTCTCGTGAAGTGTCTTATCAGGTTGATTACAGCAGTTGTGAATACGGGTCAGTCAAGGTAAATGTAAATACCTACTTGTGCTCGCAAACTCCGCAAGTCGTCCAATCTCGCCAAGCCGTATCTACCTCGTCATCACTCCCGATTCGACGGCTGCTTGCATATGACAGTCTCCACACCTCCAACCTTCCCTCTTGCACTCGTTGCCCCCATCCTCTTCTTGACTCTGTTCCACAATGCCCACGACGAAACACCACCACCACCGCCACCCTCCAAAATCACAATGTCCTCCCCCTCATCTAAATCCCGCAAACCCACCGCCCTCATCATCGGCGCCGGCGTCGGTGGCGTCTCCACCGCCGCCCGCCTCGCGCACTCGGGCTTCGACGTAACCGTCCTCGAAAAAAACAATTTTACAGGCGGGAGATGTTCTCTCCTCCATCATTCCGGTTACCGCTTCGATCAAGGACCCTCATTATTGCTCCTCCCCAATCTCTTTCATCGCACTTTTGCCGAGCTGGGAACGAGTCTCGAAGCCGAAGGAGTCGAACTATTGAAATGCGAACCGAATTATCTCGTGCATTTCTCCGATGGAGAGAGATTCACCCTTTCCTCGGATTTGAGTGTTATGAAGCAGGAAATTGAGAAGTGGGAAGGTGGAGAGGTGGGGTTTAGGCGGTATTTGGAGTATTTGAATGAGGGGCATCGGCATTATGAGTTATCGGTGCGAGAGGTGTTGTTGAGGAATTTTTATGGGGTGGGGTCGATGTTTCGAGTGGAGTTTTTGAGACATTTGTTGGAGTTGCATCCGTTTGAGAGTATTTGGACGAGAGCTGGGAAGTATTTTTGGAGTGAGAGGTTGAGGAGGGTTTTTACTTTTGGGAGTATGTATATGGGTATGAGTCCGTTTGATGCGCCGGGCACGTATTCGTTGTTGCAGTATACGGAGTTGGCGGAGGGGATTTGGTATCCGAGAGGAGGATTTCATCGGGTTGTGGAGGCGCTTGTGGGAATTGGGGAGAGGTTGGGGGTGGAGTATCGTTTGGGCACGGGAGTGAAGAAGATTTTGCTCAGTCCGGACGGAGGGCAGGCAAAGGGAGTGGAATTGGAAGATGGGACGATATTGGAAGCTGATGTGATTGTCAACAACTCGGATCTGGTCTATGCATATGGAAATCTTCTGCCCGAGAGTTCTTATGCCGAAAGCTTGAAGAGTCGACCTGGAAGCTGTTCAAGCATTTCTTTCTATTGGGCGCTGGATACAAAAGTGCCCGAGTTGGAAGCACATAACATCTTTTTGGCGGACCAATACAAGGAGTCGTTTGACAGTATCTTCAAAAAGCATCTCATCCCGGACGAACCGAGCTTTTACGTCAACGTCCCCAGTCGAGTAGACAGCACTGCAGCGCCAGAAGGCAAAGATAGCGTCGTCGTTCTCGTCCCGGTGGGCCATCTCCTCGAAGAAGACCAACACGCCTCATCCTCTGAAACGCTTGCCAACGGAAACGGACACATCTCCTCCGCCTCCCCTCCCGACTCCTGTGGCATCACACCAACAGAAAAGCAAAACTGGCCGGCAATGGTCGCACTCGCTCGCAAAACCATCACATCCACCATCGCCGCGCGCACCGGTGTCAATCTCGAACAGCATATCATCCACGAAATCACCAACGACCCTGCTTCCTGGAAACAAACCTTCAACCTCGACCGTGGCGCCATCTTGGGTCTCTCCCATTCCTTCTTTAACGTCCTCTGCTTCCGCCCCACCACCCGAGCTCGCAGACGTGGGCCTCTAGACCACTATCTCGTGCCATTGGGTTTAGTAGGCAGAGTCCTCGAAGTTCTCGTCGACGCCATCCGAGGTTCCGAAGGGAAGAGTGTCAAAGGGCTATACATGGTGGGAGCGAGTGCACATCCGGGAACAGGTGTCCCGATATGTTTGGCAGGTGGTGCGTTGGTTGCAGAGCAGATTTGTGGGGATTATGGGGTGGAAGTGAGTTGGAAGAAGAATCAGCAGGAGAAGAAGAAGGCAGAAGAAGAGCAAGTCAGGGGAAAATTGGATCGTTTAGAGAGGCCGATGTGGTTGGATAGTTGGGAGCAGTGGGTGAGTGTGTTGATATATTTGCTTGTGGCGATTTTTGCTGTGGTGTGGATGAAGGGGAGGTGAGAGTAATAGGTATAGGTACTTTTACTCTTCTTTTGCTTCTACTTCTAGCAGTGAGGTAGGCAGCCTAGACGTTGCAGTTGTAATAACCAACACTAGTACCTCCCTTTTTCGGAAAGCCTCAGTACCTCCTAGTGCCATACATACCATCCCTTCGCTCCACGAGTAAGATACTGTACATGTATTATAGAGTACCTACCTTAGTCATGTCGTCCACCCGTAAACGCCAAGAATATTCACCCTCACATCCAAAAATATTCGGAAAAAAGAGAAGAATAACACTACAATAAAATCCCAGCCGTATTACCACCTCATCTCTTTCTCAACCCGACTCACATGAGATGTGGCGCCAGGGATTAGATGATAGCAAATAAGCTTTTGATAGTGTCAACGTCTCCGCTTTTTAATGCCTTGCTAGTTGCCGGGGATCCATAGATGTACCTAGTGAGGTGTAACTGTACATGTGAATGTCGTCACAAGGTACGGGTCGATGGGCGATGGGGGCGGATCGAGAGATGGGAAGGAGCTTGCATCGCATCGTCGGTTAGAGAGAGAGAGAGAGTGGAGGGAGGACTGTCTACTGATTCTACTCTACTGAACTTACACCACCTACTGCCCAAATGCTTCGACAGTACAGGTAGTGTATACAGGAACAGGAAATACCAACCACACCAGCCATGTACCTCCACCACAACGACAACGAAGATGACCACGACCGCGACACCAGATTCACCACCACCTCTCTCGCCGGCCAAAAACGCAAACGAGCCTGCTCCACCAACATTCTCCCCACTCCCCAGGCAAAACATCCCTATCTCTCCGGCAACTTCGCGCCCATCCAACAGACACTTCCCCTGACGCCGTGCGCTTTCACAGGCCGCATTCCCGAGGAATTGGCCGATGGAGAGTACGTCCGCAATGGCAGTAATCCCGTCTCCAACGAAGATTTGGGCCGCGACTCGCACTGGTTTGATGGCGATGGAATGTTATCCGGCGTGTCATTTACGAGGGACGAGCAGACCGGTGCGGTGCAGCCGGAGTTTGTCAATCAGTTTGTTTTGACGGATTTGTATTTGAATACGTTGGGGAGTGAGAGGTTGCGAGTGCCGATTTTGCCGAGTATTGCTACACTTGTGAGTCCTGTGGCGAGTTTTGTGTGGGTCACGTTGCGGATTTTGAGGACAATTGTGTTGGTTGTGTTGTCGCATTTGCCTGGCTCGAGGCAGAAGATTAAGAAGATTTCTGTGGCGAATACAAATGTGGTTTTTCATGATGGGAGGGCTTTGGCGACTTGTGAGAGTGGGCCGCCTATGAGGATACAGTTGCCTGGATTGGAGACGGTGGGGTGGTATAATGGCGCTTCTGCAGAGGGTGAAATGGTGGATGGTGTGGAGGGGAAAGAGAAGGAGAAGGTGTTGGGAGAGGATGGGGGTTTGCTCAGCTTCATGCGCGAGTGGACTACTGCTCATCCCAAGGTCGATCCCGTGTCGAAAGAGATGCTGCTATACCATGCGAGCTTCGCACCTCCGTACGTGCAGTACAGTGTGATTCCCCAGACACCTGCTGCGGGCATGGCGCGAAGTCAGAAGCTGTTGAACGTGGGAGTTCCGAAAGTGTCGGGTGCGAAGATGATGCACGACTTTGGTGTGTCGTCTGGCCATACTGTCATTATGGATCTGCCTCTCACGTTGGATCCGATCAACCAGTTGAAAGGTCTGCCCACTGTGCACTACGACTCGAGCAAGCCTTCACGCTTTGGCATCTTCCCACGACACTCGCCTGAGCTGACCAAGTGGTTCGAGACCGACGGCTGCTGCATCTTCCACACAGCTAACTCGTGGGACTCTGTTAACTCTCTTGGTCACGTCTCCTCGGTCAATATGCTTGCCTGCCGTCTCACATCAGCGACTCTCATATACGCCGCTGGAAACATGAAACCTCCGCCCGTGAAGCCCTTGGTATCTGTCACCAGCAAGAAGAACAAGCGAATGCCGTTCTTCAGCAAATACGATCCAGGGACCGATCACACCAACTTTGATCCCACCGAACCCATGAGCGAGAAAGAACCTCTTCTCCGCATCGGGGAACGGTATACCTCCATTTATGAAGATGAGAGAGATCCTCTCGCCGAGGACCAATGTCGACTCTACTACTACTCCTTCGACCTGGCAACTACCTCGATCACACATCAATGGGCACTCAGCGCCGTCCCTTTCGAATTCCCTTCCGTCCATCCCACTCGCGAAATGCAAGAAGCACGTTACGTGTACGGTTGCTCCACAACCACTACGGATTTTGGCGCCGCACTCGGCAAAGCGACCAAGATTGACGCCATTGTGAAAATCGACGCCCACAGTCTCATCGCGCGCGGCCGCGCCAGTCCTCCCAAAAGTGTCACCGGCGTCGTCGACAGCCGCACCATGGCCCAAGTCCTCGAAAGTTCCGATCCTCAAGACCCGATTCAAGTCTTTCGCATGCCACCTGGTTGGTACGCGCAAGAACCCCGATTCGTTCCCGCTGCCTCGAGCCACTCTCGTGAAGAAGACGAAGAAGAAGAAGAAGAAGAAGAAGAAGAAGACAACGGCTACCTCCTCTTCTACGCCTTTGACGAAACGCAATTGACCGCCGCAGGAGACGTTCCCCCGGACGACGACTCTACTCGTCGCGCCACATCAGAATTATGGATCGTCAATGCGAAAAATATGACTGAAGTGATTGGTCGCGTGCAACTTCCGCAGAGAGTCCCTTATGGATTACATGGTTGTTGGTTCTCGGCTGAGCAGATTCAAAGTCAGAGACCGGTGGAGTGTATTCGGACGACGGTGAAGGCGTTGGAGGAGAGGGAGAGTCGTGGGTTGTGGATGGGTGTAAGGGATTTGGTGGAGAGGTGGGTTGGGTGATGATTGTCAATAATAAGTAATTTACGGATCTTGAGGAGGATATGATGGCAATGAGGTTGAGGAAGTGGATGGGGATGATGATGGTGATGATGATAATGGTAATGAGGAATAGGTAGGCGTTATATGGCTACCCGTGAAAGAGGGGGACGGGTTTGCACAGATACCTACCTACTACCGTGCAGACAGACAGACGTCTTTCGAAATGAAACAGCTGTTATTCAATCTTGTCCCTACCCCTATCCAATGTATCAGTTGAATTTCATCGACAAATCCTCCAGACCCGGGATCTGAAGATCTTACAATAAACACAGTCCCGAAAAATGCATGGTAACACCTTACATAGACCCGCCAAGCCCTTATCGGTGTCACAACTCATCGTTCACGCAATCAACCATCTCCCCTTTCCCTCACCAACCCTCACCTTTGAAAAAAACCAACAATGTCACCAACCCCCTACTCCCTCTCCACCTCCATCTCAACATTCCTCTCCACCCACTCCTCCACCACCCGCTCCGAATGCGACTCTCTCGCCCAATCCCTCCTCTCCTCCCCCACCATCTCCCCCGTGCCCATCCAAGGCTCCTTCAGCTACACCGTCGTCGCATCTGACTCCCAACTCGCGCAATTCCGATCCCCCACTTCTCCATTAGACGTCGAAGTTCTACGGTTAGCGCGCGAGATTTATGGGGGAGATGTCGTTGCGAAGACGGAATTTTGGGGGAATTTTGGGGGGTTGGGGGTTTATCTTATTGAGAAGTTGCAGGGGGTGACGTATTTGGAGTGGTTGATGAAGGGCGGACTGGGGAGGAGGTTGGATGGGGAGCGGTTTGAGAGACAGAGGGGTTTGGTGGGGGATTTTGCGAGGTAGGTTAATGGTTGTTTGTTTGTTTGTTTGGTTGATTGTTTGAATTCGCTGCAAGAGCGAAAAAAAAAAAAATAACAGCAGAGGATGGTTTTTTTTACTCACACACATATATATGAATCTAGATTTTTCGCCGCGGCATGGAAGACACCACAAACGGCGGATATAGCTGCGACGCGACAGACTTGCGAGAATAATCTCCATCTCCTTGCTCGAAATCTCCCCGACCGCTTTTCACGGGATATTCTAGAACTTACAGAATGCTTGGACTCGATTTTTCAAACCCTCCCCATGGTTCTTACACACGGCGATTTATGCGAGATGAATTTCCTCGTTGACGAACGTAGCGGACATCTCACGGGTGTAATCGATTGGGCTGAAGCGGAAATTTTACCGTTTGGATTTAATCTTTGGGGTGTGGAAAATCTTTTGGGATATATGGATGGGAATGGATGGAATTATTTCGAGGGGTATGAGGAGTTACGGGGGGAGTTTTGGACGGTTTTTTACGGCGCTGTTGGTGCAGAGGAAGAAGAAGGAGAAGGAGATGGAGTGCTAGCTTCAGAGGTACTTTGTCAAAAGCAAGAAACTATCGATGTAGCGAGGCGGATGGGGATTCTTTTTCGATATGGATTTTTTTGGGATGAGGATTTGCGGAAAAAGGTTCCTGTGCAAGAGGGAGATTCTGGTATGAGATATTTGGATGCATTTTTTCTTGGTTAAAAGACCTTTTGCGTAGAGATTGTAGGAGGTACCCGATAACGTCTTCCGAAATCCAAAACCACCCGCGAACAGGCGGGGAGTCGGGGACATAATTAGGGTAAACGTAAGGCTAAAATCTGCTAACATGGCGCTTAGTCAGCCTCACGAGCGAGACGGGGAGGAAGAGGTGAATCAATAAAAAGGGGAGAATAGTCGCTTGTCCTAGATTAGCAGACTCCCTACCTAGAGTGAATAAATAGGTAGCCAACAACCCGGCATGGTTGGTGGTTCTACTTTAACAAATTGCAAGCATCAGTTTTGTCCAACAGACTACCTCCTACCTACCTACTTTGTGGCCTTGCTCGCTCGCTCCTCTGCATGTCCATTGTTGATCATGTCCAGCAGGACATGACCCGAGTACAAGGAAAAGTGTGTTTGTGTGTGTGCTCCGCGGCGCATCAAGAGCGGTGGTGGTCGATGCATTCATGACTGCCTACCTACAGGTACATTCGAAGCGTTGTGTATCCGATTCATGTGATGGTTCGACAACGTTGTGGAGAGCTTGGACTGGTGAAAACGCTTTGGCTGGCTAGGAGGTAAAAAATGCACGTGGCAAGGACTCTGTGTGGGATGGCTGTCATGGTAGTCCCAACGGTGTTTTGGTGTTTGGTATCTGGGGGATGGGGGGATAGGGGAATGGGCAGGAGGCGAGATGAGGATGAGATTGCAGAGCACAAATGGTTGTTGTCATCATTTCCACACCGCGTTGTCGGCCCATCTCACGATCTCACCATCTCACGCCACCGCATTATTCGTGTACTCCGACTCCGACTACGCATCCGCAGTCATTGGTCAGCATCTGGTGCATGTGGATGGTGTGGATGATGTGAAGATGCACGGCACATCGCCCGATCCTCGCGCTTCCTTCTGCACCATACTGACTGTACATGTATGCGGTATGATATGGATTACGGAGGAATGACTACACGGCACACGAGAACAATCAAGCCTTTTCCCAAGGTTCACAAGACTCGCGGTGGTTCCAGCGCTAGTGCCTATGTGGTGACTTCATCTGCTTTCAAGCATTCTTGCTGTCGATCTCTGCACTCTCATCCCTTGGAGGAGTACCCGAGTGTGTGTCACAAGACCGTATCTCAATGGCAACGAATGGTGCGTATTGGTACACGTTGCTGCCGTTCGCGCCACGCAGAAGCAAATATCACCACCATCATCCTGATGCTTCTCCCATAGGAGGGAGGTAGTGTGCTCACGGCATAGGAAAGCTTCCGATGCGGCAAGCTGATCATGGCGGCAAGACGGTCTGCCGGTCAAACCGGCACTGCGTGATGGTAAACGCCACACGCCGAACACTGCAAAAAGAACATCGACGCTATCGTCCAGCTAGACGATCTATTGGCTCATGGTAGATGAGCACAACGTTCACGTCATGGCCGTGACACGGGAACATTCTATCGTCCAGAATAACAAAATGCTCCAGCAGCGCCGCCCAGTCTCTGCTTTCCAGCTCCCATACCGACCTCAGTCGCACCAGTCCTCCGCAAGACTTCGCTCCCGCCCACAGTCATGGTGAACAACGCGCTCAACACCAACGACGGCGACGTCAACAATGGCGTTGCTCAAATCGCCATCACCACCCATGGCTCCGACTTCTACTTTGCTGTCTGTGCCGTCATGACAGTATCGACCTTTGCCTTTCTCGCTCTCGGCCAAATGAAGCCACGCGCCGAACGCATCTTCTACTACATCACCGCAAGCGTGACAATGGTGGCTGCCATTGCCTACTTCACCATGGGATCTCACTTGGGTTTCACGCCCATTGACGTGGAATACCAACGCAGCAATTCTCGCGTGGCAGGAGTCAACCGAGAAATTTACTACGCACGATACATTGACTGGTACGTAATGTATCTTGATCAGTGCCGGGAAGACGAGCTTACTGACATGCACCAGGGTCATCACCACACCCCTTCTCCTGATCGATCTGATGTTGACTGCGGCCATGCCGTGGCCAAGCATTCTCTTCGTTATTCTCGTCGACGAGGTCATGATTATCACTGGTCTGATCGGAGCTCTGGTCGCCTCGAGTTACAAATGGGGATACTTCGTCTTTGGCTGCGTCGCGCTCGTCTACATTGTTTACGTCCTGGTCTGGGAGGCACGCAAGCACGCCAACGGTGTCAGCTCTGACGCCGGCAAGACCTTTTTGTACTGCGGATCTCTCACCGCGTTCCTCTGGATCCTCTACCCGGTCGCCTGGGGAGTGTCAGAGGGTGGTAACATCATCGCACCCGACTCCGAGGCTGTCTTTTACGGTATCCTGGATCTGCTCGCCAAGCCCTTGTTCGGTGCTCTCCTCATCTGGGGTCACCGCAACATTTCCCCAGCGCAGCTCGGCCTCACCATCCACGACTACGGTGGAGAAGACCCAGTCATCCACGAGAAGAACACGGGCATCTCCCACGGCCACACCGGACACCCCGGTGACAACCCCGCCAACGTCGGCGTCATGAACGGCACCCATGGCACCACCACCGCCAACGGCAACACCACATACGCTACCAACACCGTCTAAATCAACAGCTGTCTCTTGCTGTATGTAGTCCCCGTGTCCGCCTACTGTAGGCAATTACGGGGCGCTACGGGCTTGTGGCGATCTCTCGTCTTGGGGGGGCTCGTATAAAATCACTTGGCGCGTGAATGGACATGTTGCGTGTTGTTCGATATACCCACCTCGCTTGTCTCGAGGACGAATGATGCCACGAATGTGATGATGATTATCAATTGTTATTGTACGAAAGAGTTTGCTGTGTACCGTAGGTCAGCTTTTAGTATAATTCGCTTAATCTCTCCCTCTCTGACTCTCTCACTCTCTCACAAAAGTTATCTCTTACATTGTAGCACTTTTTTCCATCTTCTTCTTCTTCCTGTTAGAGAGAGTACATCCTTCAATAGGTGGGTAAATTTTTCCGTGATGTTCAGATGGTATTTGAAAAAAGTGCGCAGGGATATTGTCGATCGCACTCCACTCAACTCCACTCCTCAATGCCGACTAGGAGGTACAGGTACTGGGCCTCGGCTTCTGCAAGAGTCAAGGGACAGGACGATCTCAAAGGACGATTCGGAATGACTAAGCAGTGGGCATCCGGATAACTAAGCCTCGGCGCGGATCAACGTTAGCTCCGGCTGAATATTACCCGCCTGAAAAAGACGCCCGGCTAAGAAGAAGATGTCTAAGAAGAAGACGTCTACTCGAGAAGAAGACGCCTAAGAAGAAGATACCCGAGAAGAAGACGCCCGAGAAGAAGATGCCCGAGAAGAAGACGCCTAAGAAGAAGACGCCCGAAAAGAAGACGCCTACCCGAGAAGACGCCTACCCGAGAAGACGCCTACCCGAGAAGACGCCTACCCGAGAAGACGCCTACCCGAGAAGACGCCTACCCGAGAAGACGCCTACCCGAGAAGACGCCTACCCGAGAAGAAGAAGAAGGACAAGGAGGAGGAGGAGGAGGAGGAGGAGGAGGAGGAGAAGGAAGAGGAGATAGAGATAGAGATAGAGATACCTAGGAAGTAGGAAGAAGAAGCCCGAAAGGAAGAAGAAGACGCCTACCCGAGAAGAAGACGCCTACCTACGACGTCTACCTAAGAAGAAGACGCCTGCCCGAGAAGAAGATACCTATCTAAGAAGAAGACGCCTACCTAAGAAGAAGACGTCTACCTATAACGCCCGCCCGAAGAAGACGCCTACCTAAGAAGAAGATACCTACCTAAGAAGAAGATACCTATCTATAACGCCTGCCTAAAGAAGACGCCCGTCCGAGAAGAAGATACCTACCTATAACGCCTACCTAAAGAAGATGCCTACCTAAGAAGAAGACGCGTTACGCCCGCCCGAGAAGAAGACGCCTACCTAAGAAGAAGACGCCTACCTATAACGCCTACCTAAAGAAGACGTCTACCTAAGAAGAAGATATCTACCTATAACGCCTACCCGAAGAAGATACCCGCCTAAGAAGAAGACGCCCGCCCGAGAAGAAGACGCCTACCTAAAGAAGATACCTATCTAAGAAGAAGACGCCTACCTACCCGAGAAGAAGACGCCTACCTATCCGAGAAGAAGACGCCTACCTGTCCGAGAAGAAGACGCCTACCTACCCGAGAAGAAGATATTAGTACTTAGTTATATAGTTATAGCGATACTTAGAGGAGTTCGGTAGGCTAATTCTAAGCGAGTTTTATAAAGGCTAGATAGCTATATCTATTGTCGTTGTCGAGTTTGATATAGGTTATCGATAGGTACTTATACTTAAAATTAATGTTTTCTACGAATTTAGATAGTAGTTTTAATATTAAGATTCCGAGGATAGCGGTATTGTATTACTAGGAGTAGTATATATATATATATATATCGTTGCGTCTAAGTAAAGATATTTAGTATTATCGGTATCGTAGGTATCGTAGGAACTGTATAGTAAGTAAGATTAGCCGGAACTACGTTACTCCGCGCCGAGCTATAACTTACACGCTACGCTGTAACTCATACGTGCTTAGTTATCCGGATGCCCACTACATATGCTTAGTCATTCCGAATCGTCCTTTGAGATCGTCCTGTCCCTTGACTCTTGCTCGGCTTCTTTTCCCACCAATTTTCATTTCCCTTCTTCACTCTTCTTCTCAGCAACACCCACATCCTCGCATCACATGGATGATGATCAAGACGCATACAATGCCCAGGAAGATGATGCCCCTTGGCCGCACGATCCGAACGTCTTCACAGAATCACACAGTACTTTACCAGTCTACCTCCTAGTGTGTTCGCCCGATGTGACAAAGCCTAAAAAACTCACTCACTGCGCGTTCAACACTCTTGTCACATGCAGGTGACAGGCATTCTTGACAAGGGGATTGGTCCCTTTCTTCACTTTCTTGAACATGAACCCCAGGTACCGCACCGCCAAGACTACCAATGATTTTCAGCTATTGCGAATTCACGCGAGCAGTTCTGGATATGCTTGCCAGTCACCAGTAACATCCCCGTCCGAATATGCTTAAACTAGGCAATCTGGACCCAAGATCTCCAAGAGACATTGCAGGGCGGCAGTCTACAGGCCATCGCACGCCCGCTTGTAGTTCCGTACCTGTACCTAGAGCGAGAGAGAGAGAGCACCCTTGTTCATACCGCCGGCTCGGCTAGGTGAAGAAGAAGATGGGATGTTCATCCTCACTGTTCTCATGTGAACTAGTGAGGAGAGATGATCCAACACCTCCCCGCCCGATATCCTCAATACCGGGCTTACTATCTCACTCACTCGCAGATCTCGTTCTCTCTTATCCTCTGATAACCACCACCGCGGAGCTCCAGACACCTTTTCGGACAAGCTCGATGCAGGCCAGCGGGCTCCCAGCAGTCCTGGAGACGTCGTCCACTGGATGCAATGCCTCCTACCCCATGGGAGACACTGACACCAAACCATCGGATTTGCTCGTGTCGTCGAACTTATCTCAACTTGATCACAGTACACAAATCACCCCCTTGTAACAGCGTGGAGACTGCATTGCGCTGGGAACATGTTGCAGTGTAACGAGCACCGATCAACGACATATTTGACGCTCAACTCTCCTTTCCTGTCACAAAAAAGGACTTGACTTGGTATTCTGGACGATTGGAATTACGCTGTGAGCACTTGAATCCTTTTTGCGCGAAAAAGGTCTTGGTCGAGCAGTGTGACATTTCTATATCATCCAGTTTCACCTCGCCAAATCAGGGGAAGTCTCTCCAGTCTTCTGGACCGTTCTCATCCTTCATCAACTATCTACGACAAGCTCACGGCGAATTCAAGAATCATGGCACTCTCCCCGATCCTCCAAGATGCGGCAGCATTGGTTACACGTGAGAATCAGAGAGTCGTGGATACCATCGGCGACAAAGATCCACTTCCATACCGACCTCTCATCTCCATCAACGGCGCACAATATTTCCCCGAGCCTTACAGTTCACCACGACTGACTCCGGGCCAACGAGTCGGCATGATCCCCATCGCCAGCCTAGGTACACTCTCCGTCGTAAGCACCCTCTGCCTGATCGCCTTCATCCTCTCACGAATGATCAACTGGAAAGGCCACTATCGCACCTGGGTCGGCTACAACCAATACGTCGTCCTCGTCCTTAGTCTGCTGGTTGCCGATCTCGTTCAGGGCAGCGGATTCGTGGTTAGTTGGTTCTGGATCCGCATCGACATGATCTTGGCCCCTTCATCCGCCTGTTTCGCGCAAGGTTGGCTGCTCCACTCCGGAGACATCTCCAGCGGCTTCTTCGTCCTCGCCATTGCACTGCACACCTACTACACCGTCGTACACGGCAAACGTATCGGCAACAAAACGTTCGTCGGAATCGTCGTGGGGATTTGGATCTGGTCCATCGCCATCACCGCCGCGGGAGTGTGGATGCATGGCAGTCAGAGATATTTCACCGCTGCGGGCTCGTGGTGTTGGGTCTCGCCTGCTTTTGAAACGGAACGCTTGTGGTGTCATTATGTGTGGATCTTTGCGATTGAGGCTTCGACGATTTTGATTTATTCGATTACGTTTTTGTTTTTGAGGAGGAAAACTCGTCAGTTGATGGCTGCTGAGGCAAACTACAACAACAACTGCACACCACCCGGCAGCGGCAGCGGCAGCAGTAGGAGTCGTCGTCCCGAAACCGCGACCATCCAAGCTGTCAATCGCATCGCGAGGCTGATGGTGTTTTATCCCCTGATCTATCTCATGCTCACCTTACCCCTCTCCGCCGGTAAGTCCGTTCCCTGAACTACTACTACAAAAACAAACAACAAGAAAACGCTAACACAAAAAAACCAGGACGCATGTGGTCCATGTCCCGCGGCGCCCGCGCCACCGGTACCTTATACACCTCCATCGCCGGCGCCCTCCTCGCCTCCTGCGGCTGGGTCGACGCTTTACTCTACACCGCCACTCGCAAACGCCTGCTCAAGGATACCATGCCCTCCTCTACTGGTTCTGATGCTGCTGCTTCTCACTGTTGCGATTACAGCAACAGCAACGGCGAAATCCACGAAGAATGTATGTTTTCTTCATGGAATAGCACGACTACCACAGAGATGCAACAAATGAAGCAGCTCCAGAAGGGAGGAAGTGCAAATCCTCATCATGCGTCCTTAATTTCCGACGATGGTACTATTCCCACTACAACTACAACGACTCCCACGAACGATTTCGATGCAATGACGATGACGATGAAAATGATGTCTTCTTCTTCTCCTTCCGATCGCAAAGAAATCATTTCTACTTCTACGACTGCATCAACTGCAACAGAAACAGAAACAATCCCTCATGAACTCTTTGAAAGGAAACAAAGCCAAATTTTCTCTTCTCCTCCTCCTCCTCCTGCTACTGCTACTGCTACTGCTGGTGCTGCCGCTCGCGAAAGAACGAATAGTACCGAACCGATGTTATCCTCATCTCCATCGTCAGCATCAGCATCAACTTCGCGATGGGGAAGGAGTTTTAGTCTCAGCAGAAGTAAAAGTAAGAGTAATAAAAACTGGAGAATGGGAATGGGAATGGGAAGAGCAGGGAAGACGGCGGGTGGTAGTGTAGATCATCAACAACAACAACAACAACAACAACAACAGAAGAAAAATGAGGAGGATGAGATATTTTGTACTACTACTACTACCGCGGCGAGAGATGATGATGTTGGAGAGGAAAGTTTTGGTGGTGGTGATGCCAGGGGAAATCATCATCATCAATTACCAGAGGATTTGAAATTAGAGGTGGTAGTACCGACGATGCCTCTGCCAGTGTATTTGGGAGAGAAATTTGAATTGGGAAACGAGGAGGAAGAGAAGAGATGGTGAGTGAGGTTTGGGTACATGTAGGTAGTGGCTTGTTTTTGGGGAGACGGGGAATTTCGATAGGTATGTCTTGGGACTGACTGGACTCCAAGAAGGGAGGGAAGGAAGAAAAATGTATATTATGATGTAATGATGAGTTTTTTTATCTGTTGTTTATTACTTAATAGGGTATCTACATAAGGTACCTGCTTGGGAGGGGGATGTATTCATTTGTATTGATTGAGAAAAAAAAAGAGAAATGCTAAAGAGAAGCGAATTATTGTGATTGGATGGCGTGTTAGTAAGAGAGGGAGAGAGTGTGTGATAGATAAGAGACTTGAATTTTATTTTTGCTTTTTCTTTCCTTTTTTTCTATTTTCTTTTTTCTCGAGGGAGAGAAAAAAAGAAAAGTAAAAGTAAGAAGAAAAGGAAAGAGAAACATCTGTTTCAAGCTCTCTCAATCACAATCACAATCACAATCATCAATCAACAATCACAACCATAATACCCCATCTCTCCATCCTCCATCCCCATATCTCCCTATCTCCCCATCTCCCATCTCCCTCCTCCCCTATCTCACCTCCCCCATCTCATCAAAAACAAAAAACAAAAAACAAAAAACCAAAATCCACCTCAACAATCTACCCATCCACCCCCCTCTCAAAAACCTTCACATTCCCATCCCGTCCCACCAAATACAACAACTCCACCTCTCTTCCCATCCCCTCCCCCTCTCCCTCCCCATCTTCCTCCCACTCCCATCCACCCCCCCTCGTAATCCTCAACACCCCACTAACATCCCTCGCGGCGCCCGTCTCCAACGCTCTGACACCCATGACCCATCGACTCAAATGCGCTTGGGTAGAAATAAACGCCGCAGAAGAAATTTCCAAGGAAGTTGGTGCTGCAGTATGACTGTTTTGTGGGTTTTGTGTGGCGTTGGAAATTAGAGGTAAGTCGGCGGATGTGGAGAGGAGGGTGGAGTGGATGGAGGGGTGGGAGCGGAGGGTTAGGAGGAGGGTTGGGAGAGAGGAGGGGGTTGGTGAGGAGGGGGTGGTGGTGAGGAGGATGTCGGGGGCGTCGAGGATGAGGAGGATTTTAGGGGGGGTGGAGGAGGAGAGGAGGTCGGTGAGGGATTGGTGGATTAGGGGGTGGGAGGTTGAGAGGTTGGGGGGAGAGGGGGGAGGTGATGTGGATGGGGAGGAAGGAGTGGAGGAATTGTTTAGATAATCGACGAAAGCGAATTTGTTGGTTTGAGATAGTTTGGATATGTCGATGCCCTGAGGAGTGAGATTGCTATATTTTAGCTTTTCTTTTTCTCTTTTTTTGGAGGGGTTTATTTTTTCTCTTTTTCTTTTTATACGGCAACACTTTTGTCACTTGTATTGATCTGGTGGTACTTACACTCGTCCTTCGGAGTTCATTTTTCCAAAAAGCCAAATCCCGAATCCAGCTGACGAGAAGAATCGCGAGAGGTGGTTGTTGTTGTTGTTGGTCGGATGCGAGCGCGCTGCTGATGAAGCGAGCTGTGAGCCAGTTGACGCTACATCCGAGCGTGGAAGTGAGGAGGATGAGAGATGTCTCGGGTGGGAGTTGGAGATAGGGTTCGAGGGCTGGTGGGAGGATTCTGGATGACATGGCGTGTTTCTTTTTTTTTTTCCTGTTTGTTCTTGGAGATTTATTGGCGCGAGGTGGAAGAGTTGAAGTTCCCGTTTGGGAAAGACGGATGGATGCCTTAGGGTTATCACGCTTTAGGGTACAGCAAGGTAAATCAGCCAAAACTTCGTACTCAGAATCAGAGCAGGATTTTGGTGGAAACCTATAACGAGGAGGGATTTCATTGCTGAGCAGCGCCGCAGCCTGCGCTTGTATTGCAGCAGGCTGATATTGATACATGTCGAATGATTACTGCTTTTGTTGTCAATTGCCTGTGTTGATGGCAGCAGACTATGCATACATTAACTGCCCAATCACGATATCTCTGAGTTCGAATTGTTCACTCTATCTTGCCCGATTCGTACTGAGTTCTGACCCGAGCGATTCGTGGAGGGCCTCTATGAAAATGTGACAATGTCTACAGTAGTGTAATTTCCGACACCATGAAGTCACGTCGCTCACATCACGGTGAAGTTAGGATTGACTCGTGCTCACTGACATGACCTTGTGCAACATCCGGCCGTACCTGAGGTACCATTGTGACGAGCAGAGAGTTCGAGTCCCGGTAGGTCTCGGCCTTGAGCGACCTGGTATTCAGCTTTTCATGTCAGAAACGCCCCCACGCTCTCCGCGAGCAGCATGCTTGGCAGTCGATGCGCATCTAGATTGCCTCGAGATAGCAGGGAGGTTCCCAATAAGCTATCTGTGACGAGTGGGAATGCGGATGCATACTCCTCGCCCCTCTCAACTTGTAGTTCTATCCTTGAGTGAGACATCTCCGACTCTCCATCTGCGGTATGGCGATCCCTAGACTGTTGTGAGCTTGCTTGATGCGAGTGCCATCCATGTCTTCGCTCTAGACGATGCCTCGGAGTGCTTTCAGAGCAGTGACTTTGGTCATTATAGCTGAGAGTTGTGGGTCGCTTCTGACTATCTGACGTGGCAGTCTTGGAATTCGCCTGAATTGGCAGCAGTATCATCGGCCCCAAGGACTTGCATCCGCTGTAGGAACTATTGTAGTAGGACTCAAGTCGATAGATGCGGAGCAAGACACTACATGTACTGTGGGGCGAAGAATTTGTCAAGTCGGATAAGTTTTTGCGGGTCAACATTACTGGATCTATCATACCAAGCACAAATGGTTTTGCTTGACATGTGGAGAATGCATAGATCTACATATCCATTGCGCTGGTATGGGACTCAGGATTGGCGTCGCCCTGGTTGTCTGGCATTGGCCCACGAGGAATTCGTCTGACTCGGCTGCTGGGAGTGAGGCGTGGATGAGTTGCTGTGATCAACTCATCGAATAGGCGTCGGGATAGTGCTTGCTGGGTTCCCTTCATCCTTTATGAACTAGTTCTGCAAGTAATTCAAGCGGCCAAGCAACCAGGTCTGCCGCTCAGGGGCCCGGGGAAAGGAGTTGCATGCGATATCTGTCGTTGGATGATGCCTTGTTGCCTGAAGCCGTGCAAAGCGAATGAGGTCCACAGTTGGAGAGTGGCTCACTAGGGATTCGGATGCGACTCGGTCTTGACTCTTCGTCCGTGACGGCGATTGAAGTTGTAGTACTACGCCCCAACCGGTGCCAAGAGATGATTCCACCTTACCTGACTCTCATCCCGACTGCGCCTCACAGGACTACATGCCACAATGTCACCAGCCACTTTTGACGTCACTCCCACCAACAACAACAACAACATTCCATTTCAGGTTTGAAAGTTTTACACCAGTTTGCCAGCAACAGAAATCACTCACATCACCCCAAAAGGGCTCACCACGACCTCTCCTGAACCATCCCATACCGCCAGAATGGGCTACATACGCCAGGACGCCTTGCCGCGTCTCAAAGAGTACAAGTACTCGGGTACGAAGGCTCTCAACTCTCCCCATGTCACGATACTAACGAAACTCCAACTTCAGGCGTGGACCACAGCCTTCTCTCGCGATATGTTCTCAAGCCATATTGGTGGAATCAGGTCATCAAGCTCTTTCCGCTCTCCATGGCCCCCAATGCCATCACCTTGACCGGATTTGGATTCGTGGTCGCCAATGTCTTGACAATGCTCTACTATTCACCCACCCTCGACCAAGAATGCCCATCGTGGGTCTACGCGTCTTGGTCTCTCGGCCTCTTCATCTACCAAACTCTAGATGCCATTGATGGAACCCAGGCGCGTCGGACCCGTCAGAGTGGGCCTCTCGGCGAGCTCTTCGATCACGGTGTGGATGCCGTAAATACCAGCCTCGAGGTGCTCCTCTTCGCAGCTGCCATGCAATTTGGCCAAGGCTGGAAGACTGTGCTCGTCCTATTCGCCAGCCTGTTGACTTTCTACGTACAGACTTGGGACGAGTACCACACCAAGACACTGACGCTGGGATTCATATCGGGACCAGTCGAAGGTATCCTCACCCTCAGCATTGTCTACGGCATAACAGCTTTTACTGGTGGGAGTTATTGGCGGCAGCCAATGCTCTATGCTCTGGGTGTGCCACAATACAATCTGCTGCCCCGCATTGCGTACGAGATGGACTTTGGCGATTTCTATCTGGTCTATGGCGGCATCGTTCTCGTCCCTTCTGTCATTGGCAGCGCTTTGAACGTGATGGAAGCTAGACGGAAGCGTGGGGAGCGCACACGGGTGGCTCTCCTTGGACTGCTACCATTCTTCGGCACCTGGACTCTGATTGCCGCTTATCTGGCACTACAGCCCATCATCCTCCGAGAGCACATCGTGCCGTTTGTACTGTACGCTGGAATGGTCAACGCTTACAGTGTCGGTCAGATGATTACAGCTCATCTGACAAAGTCGCCGTTTCCATACCAGAACGTGCTGGCACTGCCGCTCGCGTACGGAGTCATTGACTCCATCGGACCAGTTCTCCTCCAAAACATTGGCATTGGATGGTATAGCTCTCTCGGTAACGGTGTCTACCAGGTGGCATTTCTCTTCACGTGCGTGGGACTTGCTTTTGGCGTCTACGGCAGCTTCGTTGTGGATGTGATAGTCGATATTTGTGACTACCTCGACATTTGGTGTCTGACTATCAAGCATCCATATACCGAGGAGACTGAAGAGACCAACCAGAAGCATGTCAATGAGAAGAAGGCGGCCTAGATATACGGGCTTGTTGCTCACATGACCACTTTCCAGAATTCGACAACGTTTCCCGGCCGAGCTTTTACCTCATGAGTGGTCACCTGCGCCTGGATTAGAGGCTTACTGCGCATGATTTAGACGACATAGATAACGATAGCCCTCCCCCGCATACAAGCAACACTACCAAATTTAAGGCCCGTACCTCTTTCTCCTCTAGGTTCAGCAATAACGTGGACGACTCGGGCATCATCACTGCTCGGCCGTGTCAGGACGACTTGATTCACGAAAAAATGGCAAGTCTTCCGCCATGTCTCGTGTCCTAGTGCACTTGACCTGCTTTGAGGACTATCGGAAGGTATCTGGAACTGATGCGAAGCTCAGTCTGACACCCTTTTCCTTATTATTGGCTCTATCAAGGACTTTGTCTTTTCTCAAAGAGCACCCGAGACGAAGCTACGACATCCGCCTGGGATACCGGTATTCTACCAGAATCCGACTGGTGTTCAGACACCAGAGGGCAGATCAGGCAGCTTGAGTCATATTTCCACATTACAACCGCGATCAGAGAAGCTAGAGCAGAAGCTATAGATCTTCAACAACCCGATGAACAGAAGATGGCGGGCTATGTGTGCTTGTATGATGGTGATGGACTCCCGGCGCTCCACATTTGAGCAGGCTTATGAGCTGTTGGCATGCAAGGCTACTATTTCAGACCAACAAAGTGCAAGTGAAGAAAGATCCGCGAACCTCCGCTTCTTAATCACTGATACCATGCCAGACGAGCTGTACCAACATAGCTGACTGTGAACGCAGACACATTTCTGACCAATGTCCCACCATGACTCCATCCCGGGTGCAACTTCTCTGCATGTATAAATAGCCAAGCATGTGTCAGATGAGGCAACCGCATCGCTGAACAAGCAACAACGGGAATGTCGGCCTATGCATGCGGCATGCCCACTGTTTGACATGACGATGCCGACAGACTGCTTATCTGAGCATGGATTCTCCAGACCTCGGGAGGTTCCAACTTTACGCATGCGATAAGCAGGGTTGCCATGGCATCAATCATATATATAAATCGTTGGTTCCCCTCAATGAACTCGAATTGATCCAGCAGCACGAAAACAATACCTCCCATCAACATCACTCAAGTACATATTCCGACGTCAAGACACCTCACAAGACCCTTGCAGCCACCAACAATGTCCACCACCTACCTCATCTCCGGCACGACACGCGGCATTGGCCGTGGCCTCGTCTCTGCACTTCTACTTCGACCCAACACCCTCGTCTTTGCTGGAGTCCGTGACCCCAGCGCGAAAGGTACCTTACACTTGAACTCAAGACTCACCTTCTCATCACTTCAGTCGCTAACACCATGCCCAGCTGCCCAAGACCTCCTCTCTCTACCCAAAGCACCCGACAGCTCCGTCTTCCTCATCAAGCTCGACTCATCAAGCGAAAGTGACGCAGCCCAAGCCATCCAAACCCTCCAACAAGAGCACAACATCACCCACCTCGACGTCGTCATCGCCAACGCCGGCATCCTCACCACCGCCGCCCCCTGCCGCGAAGTCACCCTCGACTCCCTCCGCTCCCACTTTGAAATCAACACTCTCGGCCCCATCATCCTCTTCCAAGCCTGCCTCTCCCTCCTTCAGAAATCCTCCAACCCCAAATTCGTCCTTACCACCTCTGCCGTCGCCTCCTGCACCATCGCCCCCTCTCTTCCCGCCCCTGTCGTCGCTTATGCAGTCAGCAAAGTTGCAGCGAACTGGTTTGTCAGCAGAGCGCAGGGAGAGCATCCCGAGATTTGCTTTTTGCCGATTCATCCGGGACTCGTGGTGACGGATATGTCGAGTTCATTTATGGAACATGCGGCTGAACCGGGATCGGGAGATGATTTCTTGCGTGCCATTAGTGTCGAGGAGTGTGTCAAGGGGTATTTGCAGGTGGTGGACAAGGCGACCAAGGAGAAGGATGGAGGGAAATTTGTGCAGTGGGATGGGGAGGGGTTGCCGTGGTAGGTTTTATTTTTTTTTGGGCGAGGGGCGAGGGGGGCGAAGAAGAGAGTTGTGTGTGGAGAGTGGGACTTTCTTCTTTCAGTATGCGGGCTGCACTACTACATGCACCTACTTGATGCCTCGTGGAGTGAGTTGTTGAGTGTATACAGTGAGAGGGAAAGTTAAGGTACATGTAGCCAGCCAGACATAGCTGGCTGCCATTCGGCTTGAGCTACCGCTCCTACTACAAGCAAAGTAACGATCGTAGCTACCCGAAAAATGATAATGTCTTGATCTGGAGAAAAAAAAAAAAACAAACCCCCATCTGTGCATTTCAAGAAGACAAGTCGTATCGTGCTATACCTACCACCTTCGGGCGGGCTAGGGGATAATGCCCTCCTCCGGAGGCCGGAGGAGTATCCGTTTTCCATCTCTCTCTCTCTCACACACACACATCCGCGACTTGTCAGAAGCGGTCAAAGAAAGTCGCTGTGGATAATACTGATGATGACAAGAGAGGAGGGGAGGAGAGAGGGGGTGCAGCACAATTCAAAATAAAAGGCTGGCATCTTCGCTACATTAGTTTCTCTCGCTAATTAAGAAGCGACATAAGGATCCCAATCACATGCCACCATGGCTCTACGCGCATCTGCGCGACTAGCAGCCGCACACCACCAATATCGATTTTTGTTCATCTGTTCGAGATAGGACTTGATAGTACGCTCACCTTCTCGGTCTGCGCGGGCTTTTGATGCAGGATAAATAGAAATTTCGATCGAGTTGCTTTTTGGTGGAGTCTTCTTCTTTTTTTTCTTCTTCTTCTTCTGGAGGAGGATGTATAGGAGGAGGAGGATGTGGAGTGAAGGATAATCCAACGGCAGTGTCGACGGGCAGGTCGTTTTGCAAGAATCGTGGATACTCTGCTGCGTATTGAAGAGGCACCTATTTCTGCCCATCCAAGATCAATAACGCTAAGGTAGGTAGGCACGTAGGTACGTAGGCTGAAAGGAGTAAGTGTTGACTCTGTTCTGCCCTCCGTATAGAAGTAGAGGTTGGACGGTCGCCCAAAGTGGCCATCCGCTACCTTATCCCCCCGACTGACTAAGCGCCAAGTCTAATAGCGAGCGGATTTACCCGCGTGCGGCGCTGACTCGCACTCGTTCTGAGGTTCTACGCACTCCTGACTAAGCATTCAAAACGCATCCCAAGACGGAACGAGTGCATAGTTTAAATTACGAGTGCAGGTTATGTTTTTTCTTCTTCCTTTGTATCTACTTCTATCGAGCTATCTAAAAACTATTATTTACTCTATACTTACCGACTCTGTATTATAGTTCTCTACTATTTACTATCTCGACAATAGTAAATACTAGATACTATTACTATACCGTTACAATACCGTTATAATACCGGATCGTTACTATACTGTTACTATACTGTTACTATACTGTTACTATACTATTACTATACTATTATAGACTTTTTGTACCCTAGTACTAGTTCTAGTATATATATTTATATATTTTGTTTACTTATATTCTAGGAGTTTGTACTAGACGATCTAAATATATATCTCTATATACTCTTTATATTAACTAGAAGTACTCTTATATACTACTACTATCTTAGACTTATATATATATT